GCATTCACCGCGGCAGACGAAAGCAATGAATGCCTGACCTAACACTGAAACTGCAAACGAACTTAACTTTGTACTCGGTTATCTGATTGTAGCGATTTTTTTGTGATTCCACGTAACTTTTCAGGATCTTTAAATCTGCAACAAGCCTTCATCCCAAAAAAATGTCGTTTGCTACCCCGAACGAGCAATCCGAATGTAATGAAACTTTTTTTTCTGCATAACTTTTGAAGGACTACAACTTTTATCATAACCATAATTTTGGAATGTATGTGAATTTGTGAAAAGTAAAGGCAAAGTTATTCCCAAAATCCTGTATACCCAAAAATATTTCTTTTTTAAAAAATTGCTCGTTCAAGGTAGCAAACGATATTTTTTGCGATGAAGGCTTGTTGCATATTGAAAAATCTTGAAAATTTATGCAGAATCAAAAAAATTCGCTACAATCGGATAACCGAGCGCGAAGTTACGTTTGTTTGAAGTTTCAGTGTTATGTTAGACATTCACCGTGGCCGACAACCGCGTAAAGCATTCACCGCTTTTGTTTGCCAAGGTGAATTCACTGCGGTTGACGGCCGCAGTGATGCCCAAACATGTGTATTTTGGGAAATTTTTCAAAAATATTTTTATTTTGGTATTTTCCCATTATTATGTGAGTATGAAAATAAAAAACCCGAACTACTTTGAATTAGATAATGAATATGCACTATCCGCCCTCGAGCCAACCACTTTTGCCATCCTGAGATTGGGTGGGCATTGTAGAATCGCTATTACAAAACCATACACGAGAAGACTTTTACCTCATAAGGGCTCCTAGAAGGCCACAAAAAAGGCCACAAAAAATATAAATAGGATCAAATACTTTTTCTTTTATCTTAGATCTTGATTTGTTTGTACAATAGATTTGGGTGCGCCTACGGTAACATGCATGTCACGATGACTTGCACTTTTCGGTCGACCTCAGTTAGGATTAGGTTGACCTCATTTAAGATCAGGTAATTTATAACTTCCTTTCCAATTCTTCTATTTGTTTGACCAAATCAAAAATTTCAGGATCTTCAATTTTCATATCCTGGGAGGACATTCGAGGAAACAACCCATAGAATGGCACTGGTAATTTATAACAACAGAAAATGCAGGTAACCACAAAAGCAAAATTCATAATCTACAAAATACTATAAAGCAATGTCAAAAAACAGCATTTGCCACGTCAGCATATGCTAAAACGGCCGCACATTGTGGAAGGTTCTTTTTGTAATTCCGAATTCATCTCCCTGTAACTTCCAATCTCCTATCGGAACGGAAAGTGAACATCTTTCCTTGCGTACACTTCGGAGGATCTTCCCCATCTTCCTCGCTTTCTATCTTCAAGCCGGCCGAAAATCTCACCGCTGCTCTCGTGCCGTCTCTTCCCGACCCTCATCTCCCTTCTTCCTCCACCCGCTCCACTATTGTCGTAGCCAATCAGCGCCGAGGACCCCTAACTCGGATCCAATCCTCGATGACGACCCCACAGCCGACGACCCCAACGTCCAGAGGCGGCGTGGTCAGCGACAAGGGCAGCTGCGGCAGGGGAGACCTTGACAGGGTTCTTGGCAAGCTCGATAACGTAAACGATGGGGTTGGATGGAAGCTTGGATCTGAAACTGATTGTTGACGAATTGGGTTGTTGTTGGTGGGATTGGAGCTAATTGTTGGAAGAGAGCGGATGAGGTGAGGCTTAGAGGGACTTGGAAGAGAGATTAGAAAGTGTCGTTTCAGAATTGAGAAAGAAATTTTATGCTCTGTGGGGAGGTGGTAGTTCGTCGGTGGCTAGGGGGAATCGAGAAAAGGAGACAAAGGGGAGGTTGGATTCGCTCTTCCATCTTCAATCTGTCACAAATTCGATCCCACTCCCCTGAATTCCTTCTCTAAGCTTGTTGTCTCTTCCATCTTCAATCACGTCCTCGCACCGCAGAGCCATCGCCGCTGGAAACATGATGTCATCCTTTTAGTCCCTTTCCGACGACTAATTTGAACTTTCTGATCTTAGCATCTGCTTGGCAGTCATTGTTATCGAGGTTTGGACTTAACCGACCGACAGTGGATAGCTGCAAACTGTGGCTCCTCTCTCCCCCAGTCAGTGGATCCTCTCTCTATGAAATGAGTAGCTATTAGCTTTGCTAGGAACTAATTAGCAGCTTCGCAAATTTTCAAAGCAAATATGTCACAAGACTTCAAACGAAACTGTAATAAAGAATAACATAAGTAGACATCATAATTGAAGAGTTCCAAATCCCAAATAAAAGTTTTTATTTTCATCGCCAACACAAGTTTCTCTGTCTTCCATGTTGAATTGGTATTTGATATTCACTATTACTAATTGTGGTATTTTTGTTCCTTTGGCCATTCTGCTAAGTTAATCTGGGTGCATGTAGTATCTTTTGATCGTGATCTTAACTCTTAACTATTTCTAGATAAATGTGTATCAATTTACCCATTAGTGGTTCAAAATAACCCGACTGTTTCTAGCCATAATAATGGTTTGATCTGACCATTATGGGACAATTAATTTAGTTTGTTTCGAGTCGCATATCCATTTGTGTACTTCCTACGACATGTCTAAATTATTCAACCGCAAGAATAATTTTTTTATTTTATTTATCTTTCTCAAACTCCTCCGGCCAATGGGTTGCTGAGGAATCTACAACAGAGCTTCATGACTGTCTCGACTAATAAAATTCATGACTGAGATTTAATCGAGATTGATGGAGATGAAGGCAAATATCATGCTCTAATTTACAAATACAACAATTAGGTGGAGGACTTTTTTTAATAGGGAATTAGATGCAGGAATTGATGTTGATATTAATGGTGATAAAAGGTAATTCAGTGCTCATGGTAACTAATAGTAGGCCTTTTACTCAAGGGTCAAGGCTCATATATTGATGAATATTGAATACCATAACTGAAACTATGAAATACACCATTTAGTCATTTTTCAATTATTCAGCTCTGATACTTTCACTCAAACCCAAGTAAACTGATTGATAATGAGTAAGGACATGATTGAAACATATATGAGTTTGGGTAACGAGTATGTTTGGGTAGGGTATGAAAGTACCATAGGCAAATAATTAAAGTAGAACAAAGTATATATGTGCAACCTCTTCACTCCACCTGACAATAGAGTAAACCAAACTATACTATTAGATTTTGTCCTCCACCGGCCAACGGGCCGGGCCCAATGCTAGTGTCTATTGTTACAAAAGATAGAATGGCAGCCACTTCTAAATAAATTTACTGAATCGCTAAATGTCGCCCTTAAAATTGCTAACGGTCGTCCTAACTCTAATGATAAATGACTTATTTACCCCCAATAAAATTTCAAAATTTAAACAAACCAAACAATCCCTAACCCCTCAAACTGAACCCCTCATCTGCCTTCTTCGCGAATCACTCTCGACGCACCAGTTCGTCGGCGTCTTTCTCGTCGTCGTCGTCGCCCGTTCTCTAACGAAATTTCCAAAAAAACGCTCAACCTAAGGCAAGTTACGGTTGGTCCATGGTGCAACCGCAACTCACTTGCGGTTGGCCCATGGTGGAACCGCAGGTGGAGCAAGCTGGATGCGATGGATCGCAACCGGTAGGGGACGTGTCGAAATCGGGGCGCTCAATTAGTACGATATTGTCCGCTTTGGGCCAAGCCCGCACGGATTTACTTTTGGGTGTCTTCCCCAAAAGGCCTCGTACTAATGAGCTTTGTGGACACTAATATACAAGGGTCCCTTCCCTTGTATTACCGATGTGGTACTTGGATTGTCCCATAGCAGGACGAACAACCGGCAGGGGACGACGTGGCGGAACACGGGGAACAACAGGGCCGAGAGCTTCGTCGTGTCTCGCTTTACAGGAACTAGGATCGAGGGTCAAAATCAAGTCAGCCGCGGACATGGTCCCTTCCAAGCGAAGTATTCCTTTAGGTTCACTACCACGAAACAAGGTGAAGCCAGCCAGCCCTGTGCATCGTGATAAAGTCACTCTCTTGAGGCAGGTATTGTCGTTGTTCGTCCTCATAACGAAGATATGATCACGAGGATCTTCAAATTCCGGGAAAACAAAAGAGCAGCCCTCCAACCTGACGGTCTCGAGAGATGGACATCCGGAGATGAGATTCGTTACGAATCCAGCATTTATTGAATCCCCAAATTGAATGACAAGGGATTTCAACGACTTGAAGCACCCTCCAACCTTGAGGTGTTTCTCTTAGGAGATGAGCTCGCTTCCCGGACAATACATCGCCGATCTGACAGTAGTGCTGCTCCTGTGACGACATGAAGGATAGAACCTTAAAACCTCCAACGATTGTAGGAAACTCCTGGTTCAGTTCGATCCAGGATCTGTACCCATCATCGGATTCATTCTCCAGCAGCTCCCTGAAATTCAGCCCCAACGATTCAATCCAAAAGTCTTGGCCTTTGGTGCTCTGACTCTCCCTCCGCTCTTCGATCTGGCGGATGATATCGCCCATCCAGCTCAGGAATTTGTCCAGGCCCATCAAAACATGAGATGGGGCAACCTTTTTTGCTGTATCGAGTGGTTATATTCTCGCCCAAGTGAATGCTGGGGAGTTCCCTCCACTTGTTCCGCCAGCGACTGGAAAGCACGCTGGTCCTTGCAGCCTCTTGGATCGGCAACATCGCCGAGATCGCAGTAAGCAGCTCAGCGGGCAATTTCTGAAAGGGATCCTCCGGAAGAAAGGGCGACTTCGGTTTCTCCTTACCCTTCTACACCCGGAAAACATTACTCCCTCGATGACTGAAGAAATTCATCTTTCTTACCCTCCGTGCGGCTGGCTTGCCCATCTACTTCCGGTCTCTGCATCTCTTCTGTTTTTATAGCTTCAAGCTTTTTCCCCGGGAGAGGAGGAAAACCGTTTCCTATACCTAACCGGCTCCGCTGAAATTTAAATTGGGCCCCAATCGAGCAAGATGTCCGTAGACTCAAGCCCGGCCCAGAATCATATGGTTAGGTTAGTATTATTCGGGTTTTGAGCGCACTGGGCGGCTCTTCGGGTTGAGTCTTGAGTGGACGTGGGTTTCGATTTTAAACAGGGAATTAAAATCGAAGAATTCATTTTTTTTTTTGGTGTAAAAGCGGGCGCTAGGGGCGCCCTAATCCATTACATTAACAACTCGGGCTTTCTGAATCCCGAGGACATCATGGTTTAACCAGAAGTACAAAAGCGGCTCAGTATGGTCATACTGGGAGTTTCCAACAGGGATCGAATGCCCTTTATTACCAAGAAAATCAGCTACATGGTTCTACTCTCTATAAATGTGAGTAATCTTGATCTCACCAAAGGTGTCCATCAGACTCTGAATCTGACGGATAATAGGGGCATGCCGATGCCCTTCCTCGACCTGATTCTGTAACACCTGCACTGCAGCCAAAGAATCCAACTGGAGTTCAACTCTGGAGGCTTTCAGCCTACGCGCTAGGATTAGGCCCTCCAGCGCACCTCTAAGTTCGGCCATCATAATCGGGCACTGGCCATAATTCGACATAAAACATCCCAGGTTCCGTCCGCTCTGGTTCCTCGCAATGCCCCCTGCTGCTGCCATTGATCCTGGATTATGCACCGACCCATCTGTATTAATGGTTATCCAACTCTCCGCCGCCGGTTTCCAGCTCAACATCATCTCTTTCCTCGTAGTTGCCCGTCGGAGGCCGATCCGTTTGTCGCTCTTTAGTGCCCCTGCCGCCCCCTGATGCGAGTAGAAAAAGTGAAGTGGAAAGCATGGCTTGCATTTTCATCTTGAGTGTTCATTTATACAATCACACATTTTGCAGCAGAGAAAAGGACAGAAGAAAGCATGAACAACACTCAAACACACACGTGGGCTAGCTATTATTTTGGATTGTCTTGACATTTGGTATTGGGCTGATTTCTTTCTAGTAGCCATGAGCCCAACATGGAGAAATAAGAGCCCAAATCATTGTCTTCCAAAGTGGGAGGGAGATGAACAGAAGCTGCTGCTGCGGAACTCTGTTCTTGTACAGAGGAAGAGGAACCAGAAGCATCTTCTTGTATTACCCCCCTCGGTCCAGCAACGAATTCGCGACACCAAAGCTGTCCCTGAGGTTTGCTTTCCTGCAAAAACAAGCTCGTTAAGACACTTTTGGTGAGATCAAGAAGCCCTCGAATTGGGCCCTGCATAAACGGAGACTTAAACTGGGCCTGATCGTTGCCAATCGAAGAAGCCCTCGAATTGGGCCCTGCCCAAGCTAAGAAAATAAAACACAGAGATCTTCGCTGGCCCTCTCAAATCTTGGGGTAGGGCCTTTTTAGTGAATTACTGAATTCCGTATACCAAACTTGTTTCCGCGTCGGTTTGGCCAAAGGTGGGCAGCCGGTTCAATAACCCCATACCGAACTAGGCCAGAACGATCACTCAGTTCAATGAACTGAACACACACACTGACACACACCTCGGTTCGAAATTCAGTTGGATGTCATTTTGGTCGATTCCAAACGGAAACACTGAATCGAATTCCGAACAACTCAACCCTGATTCCCATCAACACTAAATCGAATTGTTCCGGCTCGGTAAAAATGTGTTCCAAGTAGGGATGGCAAATTATCCACCCATGGGTAATTATACCCAAACCCAAGTAGACCCATTGATAATGGGTTGGGTATGGGTGAAGTGCATATGGATTTGGGGGTTTATAGCATAGACCAGGAAACCGGATCGTACCGGCCGGTTCAACCGGAAATTGGACCAAAAGCGGTACGATGGGCTGATTGTGCTGATTTTATCGTACCGGCCGGTTTTTTCGGTTTGACCGGTTGAACCGGCCGGTACGATCCGGTTTCCTGGTCTATGATTCAGCTTCATTTCTCCGTATTCTCGTCCAATATGTGGAAAATAATTAAAAAAGAATATTATTTTGCTATTTTTCTATGTTGAAAATGGGTCACCGTGGTTGTATAATGCTCTATTTGGTTCTTTTTTTTATAGATTATATTTTTTATACTATCGCATTTCATTTCTCTATCAATAGTGAAAAACGGTATTTACCAGTACAAAACGATTGAACCACGGTCGTACCACAAAATACCATACCATAAAGGAATCCGGTATGATGTCCGGTACGGTTTCCTTTACCATGGTTTATAGATGGGTTTGGGTTTGGGGCTTCCATAATCTAAATGGGTATGGGTTGGATATGGATATCCATTTACTTGAGGGTGTTTTAACTACACATGCAAAAATTGGACCTATTTGTAAAACTTGAAAAGTTTAGGTACCAAAATGTAAGACCAAAAAAATTTAGAGACCAAAACGTAATTTTCCATCGATATTTTGAGGACTTATATGCAAAAAAAAAAAATTTAGGTACTAAATATGCATGTCTATTAAGTTTGGGTACCAAACTGTAATTTGTATTTGGACATGGGTACAAACCCAAATCCATTTGATATAAACCCAACTCAACCCAAAATAAATGGGTATGGGTACAAACCCATCAAATTCTACCCATATCCATCTATTTGGATTTCATACCCAACTCAATTGGATTGGATAGTAAGAAACCCATGGGTATGGGCAAAGTTGCCATCCCTAGTTCCAAGTACTTGCAAGGTACAACAGACACAGGACAGGATGATAAGCTTCACATAGCAATGCCTAATCTACTGAGAAAATAAATCCCTATTTTGCTTTCCCTGCCTATCCTATGCTCTTTCTTCGCCCCTCAACTGTTTGTTTATATACAACAAAGTGAGCATTATGGAAGGGGAGGCATTCACATCACTGCAGGAGGTGGAGCTTTTTTCCATTTCCATCTTTTGTCGAATAACTGTCCCATGCATTGCAAAACAACGATTAGTAGCGCTTACAGATACAGAGAGTTTGCGAACATAATCCCACGTTGAAGGCTTTTGCAAGCTGCTACGAATTTCTCCTCCAAACTGGTTTCTCCGACGGCCTGAGCAGCTGCACGTAACTGGGTTGTCGTCGAGTTGCAGAGTGAATAAAAAGAGAAGCTCAGCCAAAGTTGTTTGATGACATAAAAGATAAAACTAGAGTTTTGACTTAAAAGAGATGTATAAAATATATTGTCGTAAGTTTACCTGGTTCAAGAATTCATCCAACCGTCTGGCGCTTCGAATGATACTGCCCTCGAAGATATCAGTCATCTGTATAACTTCTGCAAAACTAGCTCCCTGGAAGAGGGACAGAATAACAGGAGGAATAAGGAGACCAATTACAACCATTTTGCTGGACAATTAGGCGATGGTAGAAAGGTAAGAAGGCGCGAGAAAGGGAGAATTACCTTTGACCAACAGTAAATCACGTCCATCAAGAATGGCCGCACAGTTGACTCGACGTACTCGTCTACATTTATTTCCAACTTGCACTCGTATTGTATCTGCAATCAAGTTGATCCCTTGTGTCAAGTTCATCTGGTTCTTGTAAAGCTGAACGCTATTGGGAGAGACAGATAAGAGGTAAAAGAATTGATCTGAAGGCGAAACCTCTGCTATTTTTCTTGCGCTTTCTTGGAGCTGTTGTAATGGTTTAGCAAGCTCGGTTCTCAAATGTATTTGCTCGTTTGATTTGTCCACCGGAATGAAACAACTTGCAAGAGCTGCAACTTGGTGATGATCAAGGTCATTGAAGGTACCTGACAAATAAAACACGAATCTTATTTCCAAATGCAACTTTTCTAAATTAAAGTCTACTGTGCTCACAGCCAAGAATGTTAGTTAATAGATTTCATGACCAATATGATGGACCAAAATATCTAAAAGCTCATTGGCCAATCAATTGCAGCATAGTGCAAGCATGAACCGGTATCACTGAAAGGTAAGAAGAAGCCATTATTTCTATCAAGCTATATAGTGTCCTCAAAACAGCGAATCAGTAACATTTTGAAACCTAAGCCCGATGCTTCAGTAACAAAACCTATCTTTGCACTTAACATAGAACCACATTATTTTGCACAATTTCAGCCCTGTGCAAAAGCTTCCTTCTCATGATACAACATTTTTCTTGCAACTGAACAAGCCCCAGAAGCTGAACTCCCACTTTGGACTTTGCATCATATTTTATATGATAAAACCAGACCAGACAAAAAAAATGATAGAAACACAGGGGATCTCATTAGGAGGGAGCAGTAATTAGGTTACCATTAAACATGAGTTCAGTTACAAGAAGTTCATCTCCTGTGTCTATCAAACAGGCTGCCCGACCCTTTAGCTGAACAACACTGTCACCATCTATATGACCAAGTCTTTTCAAGACTCGTGAACGGTTCTTGAGTTCATCACGAAATTTTTGCAGCTGCAATCACCGAAGATGAGTTTGTTTAGCAGTAGGGATGGGAATAGGGTACCAAAAACAAGAGTGGAATGCTGTTTAAATAAAATGCATACGGTACTGGGAGAACAAGAACTAAGTCCTCAAAGGACAAGAAAGATAAGATGAGCAACAGTAATATCTTATGCTGCAACATAAGATACTATCACAGGTAGAATTGTTCCACCATACGGCTTCAGCCACATAATGAAAGTGCTGCTTCTACAAGAGGATGAAATGCTCAGCAACCATGTTTGGTTTCAATATATAGAAAGAAGAGATAGCCACTGAAACAACCACAATTGAGCTGCCACCTAGTCAAGAAACTTGCAGCAGATTTCATACAAAGATGGATGATTCTTGATCTCAATCACAGTGATGACAGTTGCTAGTAAACACACAGATTTTACATATTAATTCTGGGCGCACCAAGCTAAATACCTGAGAGTCTCGCATTTTTAACTTGAGTTGTTGAATTTCATGATCCACCTCTGCCTTCCTTTGGAAACTTTTAATTTGATTCACATCTTGAGACTGAAAGCAAGATATCACATGAATAACCCAGTGAGACAACTTTTTTCACCCACGCACTATCACAACACAATGTCAATCAAAGAAACAAGGTAGAAATTTGATCCACAGGGCATGATTACCTTATGCATTGGATGTGCATGTAACTTCCTTTCCAGTTCTTCTATTTGCTTGACCAACTCAACAATTTCAGGATCTTCAATTTTCATATCCTGGGAGTACATTCAAGGAAAGAACCCTTAGAATGGCAGTGGTAATTTATAACCACAAAATGCAATTGATTAATTTCTACTATTGCGAAAGATAGAATGTCAGACACTTCTACATAAATTTATACTGGGAAAATTAAAAAATGTTTGGTCTCAAAACTTAAAAATCCATTGAGCACATCGAAGGACAAAAAGAAAATGAAACAGGATGTGAATAAATCTTGTAAAGCTAAAACAAGATGGTCCATCTCTCTAGTGAGTGCCTCTTTAATACTGCTATTTACTCTTTTAACAAGAAACCTTAACTATATTTTCAATCTTCAGGGGTGAGGCATAGAACTAGGTCCAAACCAATATGACATTTTCAAAGCAGTTATATATTACTACCACTAACTCTTTGACTATTTAAACCTTATGGATAAGATGAACTTTTTGACATTCAACTCGCAGTCAAGCAGTTACCTTCACTGGATTAAGTTTTGGAAGACCTTCAGGAAACCGAGATCCTAGTTCTTCCAGTGCTATAAGTATACTTTGCCTTGCTTCCAATGGTCGGAGATCAGATGGAATGGTAATTCTCACTTTACTGAGAGCAGAAACCAGAGGGAGCTCAACAGGGACCTGAAGCAAATACAGACTCAAGTCAGGATTGTGCCAACTCATGTCAGCATCTTTAAGTGTTACAGTTCAAGAAGAGAATAATTAGAAGAAATTTAATCGAATTGCATAAAATTTTATCAAACACCATAGGCCGACATATCATATTAGAGAACAACAATAATACTTGGCTTGGCAGGTGAAAGAGTTTACATCCAACTTCAAAACTTACCACATGCATCTCTCCTTTCTCCCCAGGCCGGGGAGGACAAGGTTTGGGCCTTGAGCCACCCTCACTTGGTCCCTGTGTGCAGTGAAGTAAAGTATCCACTATGTAGCCACTACCACGAGAGGGCAGTGCACCCATCCCTGAAGAGGGCTTCTTCACAACATTCACTACAACTCCCCAACCCCAATCTGTTCCACCTTCTCTGACTCTGACCTGCAGAAAAAGATAAACAAACATGAGGAGGATATCGTTTATAGTCTACATGGTAACAGCATCAGCATTGGTTATTACAACACACATAACTGCCACACCACAGACTAGAATACGAGTAATTTTCAAAAGGGCCGTTAGCACGGAGATACTATACCTATCCCGCGGATGAAGGATTGAAAACAGAATCTAGGTGACATTTGAAATGAGATATACATGAAGATTAGTAGCAAAAATGATAAACCTCAAAGAAGACAACTTCCAAATAATATACATTCAGAAATTAGCCTTGTAGCTTCATTCAGACACCAATACACTTATCTCCAGAACGTACCAGTCGACCAGGGCATAAATAATAAAGTACTCTTTCAGGCCTTGTGATTTCTGTCATCATCTTTTTCTCTAGTTGCACTATTTCTAGCTTCAGCTTATGATATTCAGCAATTTTGCCCTAGAAAAAGTATAAGAAAACTTTCAAAAGTTAGTTGTGCACAAAATCAAGTGGTAACAGGAGAGGGAATGCAAACACGTGGAACATATTCATTACATCTCCAGATGAAGCCAAGGTAGCAGCTTCCTGTTCAAGTTTTGAAACCTTGTTGCCAATATCAGGTAAAGCCTGCAAGGAGGAGCAATCAATGGTTTTAGTCACCCGATGATTTAATCACTCATACAAGGAGAAATGGGCACAACCAAACCTTTTCATATTGAAATTGGTGGAACGAATTTCTAATCACATGCTCGGCAGTGAACTGGCCTTCCGCACGGCTCATTAAGTTTAAAATGGAATAGTAGCTCAGCCTAAAAGTACTAACTAGAGGAGCTGGTTTACCCAGAACCATATCTTTGAGAGTCTCCATCTCCATCTGCAATAGTTACACAGGATCAGTAAATTGAGCAAGACACTGGCTGGTCACCTTTTCTTCACCATAAGGGTATCCATAAAACAAGTGTGCCTTGAACTTAATTTCACTGGTACTGCTGCATTGCAAATTAACGTCGACTAGGTTTATAATATCTAGCATCCAAACTCTATGCTTACCTGCTCATCAATCATTATGATACAGATACCGCGATCATCTTTGCCACGCCGACCAGCTCTTCCACTCATCTAAATTGACAACAAAAACAACATCGTATAATGGTTATAACACTGACTCACTCAAACACTTGTGCATGAGCATTGTCCTAGAAGTACCACTGCTCACCTGGATATATTCACCAGATCCTATGTGACGGTGACTATCACCATCAAACTTCTTAACCGCTGTAAAAACAACAGTCTTGGCAGGCATGTTTAAACCCATTGCAAACTGTCAAAAAAGAAAGAATGATGCTTAAGCAGTTATTCAACACCTACACTCTTAGTAGCCCCTTGAACAGAGCAGTAAAAAGGAGACCACAATAATACACGCCTCTTGAACAGCAATGGAGGAAGACAAAAAAAACTGAGGCTAATCCGGAAAGCTGCTAAACGCCAAGAGGTAAGGTTGTGAAGTAAACTTACTGTTTCTGTAGCAAATAATGCCTTTACAAGGCCTTCTTGGAAAAGAAGCTCGACCAATTCCTTAATGACAGGAAGCAGACCAGAATGATGTACAGCGATACCTCGCTGAAGTAGTGGCAACATCAATTCAATAGCAGGCAAACTTCTATCTTCTTCATTCAAGCATTGTATTGCATTATTGAACACTTGGTCCACCATTTCCTTCTCCTCTGGTGTATTAAAGTCCAGCTTAGACATGGACATTGCATGCTGTTCACACTCTCTTCTACTAAAGCTGAAAACGATAACAGGTTGAAACTTCCGCTCCATAATCATCTGAAACAAGATTGACGTTTCTAAGGGCAGGGTATAACTAAATTCAATCTTGGAAGTAAGTCACAAACTTGACCAGCTTAAGAAATAGTAATTTGCCGCAAACACTTTAGTACATAGGCCAAACAGTTCTCAGGAAAGGGCTAATGCATATTCTCTGCTACTGATGTAAACAAATTTCAAGTAAAAACCCAAATTTGAAATTGGGAAAACTAAGTAAGAAGATATGGTGCTATTTTACAGAGAATTAAGAGGGTCAATAATGAGTGTTCGCTAATGTTTCATTGAAATCAATGATTGTCCTCCCTTTACAATTTGCAGGAAACGCTAGGAAACATTTAGAGGGAGAGGTAGAGCGCGACCACGAATACTCTACTTACTTTCCTTCCTTACAGTTCTTTTATGAATCAAATAAGTACCAATCTCGTATACTCCCAAATGCTTTTATTTGTTTATCTTATGCAGAACAGATAGAAAAATGTATCTGAAGAGCTCTTTCTTTTAAACAAAGGGTTTAGTGAAGGCAATATGTGATCTAAAAATAACAATTTGAAGCCGTCTAGCATAAGATACAGTATATCAAGTTATAAATGGCACTTATAATGAAAAGTGAAAAGGCACTTATAATGCCTCACAAATCTATCTAAAACTATCTGAATAACTCAATAATACAAGAACTTTAATGGAACATAAACCAAAGAACAATGTTGATGAAATAGCAAAGCTACAGACCTTCACAATTTTGTATATGTCCGACCCTCCAGAAGCATTCCCGGATTTTGCAATCCTACCGCCTCCTTTACCATTAGCACTCTTATTCCCATCACCGGTTTTCTGTTTTGAGAAGGAATTCTGCAGCTTCATAAAATTCTCCTCTCTGAACTGTTCATTCTCATCAACAACAAGGTATAGGCCAGATCCACCAACAGGGAAGACATAATGCTGCAAAGGTGTCGGCCTGAAATCAGTATATACCACATGACAAGGCTGCTTGTGCACACGGCAAATCCACTCTGCAAACTCTGTAGCATTCGACATTGTGGCAGAGAGGAAAACCATTTTAATCTCTGGTGGCAAAAAGATGATACTCTCCTCCCAAACAACCCCTCTCTCACGATCTTTCATGTAATGGATTTCATCAAAGATAACCCATGCAACTTCCTTCAAAATCTGCGATCCCCGGTAAAGCATTCCCCTAAGAATCTCCGTTGTCATCACCAAAACACTAGCATTGGGTGAGAGCGTCACATCACCAGTCATCAAACCAACATCTTCAAACTCATGCTGCAACTCCCTATATTTTTGGTTACTCAAAGCTTTCAGCGGGGAAGTATATATAACCCTCTGCTTATCTCTAAATGCCATTGCAATCGCATACTCAGCCACTGCTGTCTTCCCAGCCGAAGTATGCGCAGAGACGAGAACAGACTCTTTTCTTTCCAAACAGGCAACGGATACCTTCTGAAACGGATCGAGCACAAACTCGTAGGTTTTGGCCATCTCACCATTGTACACTGGATTCGACAGAGTTCCATAGTTAGCTCCATCTTTAGGAGAGGTATAATCACTAGGCACTGCTACCTCATGCACGCAACTCCTCGTCGCATTCTGACGCTTCTGAGCAGAATCCTGCCGAGGGGTATCCTCAACTTCGCCTTCCTCGGGCGCCTTCCGCTTCCCTGGAGGGGTTACTGATTGCTCCTCCATTTATTACACGAGTAAACGAAGTTCGCACCAGCAACCAAGTTGCCCTAATTCAAATATAAATGCGTCCTGAAAACACAAAGCTTACTAATTGAATTCAACCCGAGAACAGAATAGAAATGAGAAAGGGAAACCGACGATACCAAATCCTTAGCTTTCCGAGCTAGAATGAACCTCTCGTTAACTGATAACCAATCAAATCCTAACCAAATGCTGATTACAGAACTTCAAGTTAGAAAGAAATGCGCGAGCAGAGATATCTACCTGGCCAAAGAAGTGGGCGGAGGGCAACGTTCTTCAGAGCTTGATGGCGAGCTGCGGAAAGAGAAGAATGAAGAGACAAATTCGTTCAGCAAGGTTGGCAGGCAGGGGGGGGAAAGGGTAGGCAAAAAAGGGAGCTGCTCGACTCGCTTCGGTTTTCCGAGGAAACAAACGGCAACCAGAAAACTACAGAGTACAGAGCAAAACAAAAAAAAATTGTAAAAATTGTAGGCTTACGAAAGCACAAACAGGCGCGGAAACAAGTTTGGTATATGGACTTCGTAAAAATGCCCTAGCCCAAGCTGGGAGTGGCCGGGAGATTTTCTCTGTGTTCTATTTTTCAGCTTGGACAGGGCCCAATTGAGAATAGGGCCTCCTCGTTTCACAAGGTTCAGGCCCAGTTTACGTCTGCGGTTGTTTGTTTGTTTCCCGCCATTAGATATGGGAGAGTATTGATAAGAGAGAACTGAACAAGAAATCAAGAATCAGCTTTTTACCCAAAATAAATCAGCAACAGCAAGGGCTGATAGTAACTTCCAGTTAGTTACCTAAAATAGCAGACGCAGTAATCAAAACAAGTATATTTTAGTTGCAAACAGCTGGTTTGAAATTTGGAGACCTAACCTTCATCCCATATGAAAATCGAAGAGACAAACAATCACATACGACTGGAAAATTTGCACACCAATTTGCAAACAGCCTCCTGACTACATTCTTACTTGTTACAAATGATGTGCATCATATACATCTGATCGCAAAATGGTGAACATCTGAAACCAAAGGACTGGGTCAAAAAAAACCCTGACAGGGTGACTTTGCAGTTAGCAACTCTCAGCTCAGAAGAGAACTCTCTCACATTAGTACATGAAAATCGACGCATAAATTCGATGTTACAAAGTGACGGCTGGATTCCGGACATCACGGTCAAAATCATATGTATCTATCACTTCTTTATATACCTGCCACCAGCTTTTAACAGAGTATCAAAAACCGAATCAGCACCGCCTCTTGCTACCTGTTTTCAGTCTTCTTCCTCCTCCGCTTCCCTCAACCACTGCACCAGAAATGCATCAGAGAAACACATTAGTATATTATCTCCAAATCTCAACAAAAGGGGGAGAAAACTCGTGTGATGCGGGTTTAATGAGTTCCATCGTTTACTTGAATGAACTTCTCTGATTGTTTCACGAAAACCCTGTCAGATTCATCTGCATCTTTTCGCTCGTCGTCCCACTTAAAAATGGCCTCCTCTCCTAATATGTCGGTTTGATATAGAAGATGCAAAATCTGGAAGGAAACAAAGATTGAGGCACCCCTGTGGTAGTTAGATTGGAAATAAAAAGAGAGGGTAGAGTTGTGGAAGAGCTTCAATGCTGATGTTATCGGAGAATGTGGGGTACCTGGGAGAAAATTGGAGCGAACTCTTTCGTAGACTCGAGACACATTTCTTCAAATTTCATTATCAGTTCAATCTGTACCAGGAAAAACATAGAGCATCCGTTCAAGTAGAGGGATTGCATAACGATCAACATTATAGAAAGGTGAACAAGGGCTTACAAAAATTATTGGACAACCTTTGTTCACCTAGACCGCCTAGAGGCAGGCAGGTGGACAATGCATAAAAAGAGTTCAATGATTACTGAACTCAGGGCTCTTGCTAATGCGTTTTCTTTACTCTTGTTACTTTATACATAATTGCCATTAATTTCAATCAATGAGTAAGCTAAAATTTCAAAAGAAATGTAATGAAAAACCACACAAACCTGGTCATCAACTTCTCTAGCAAGCACCTCGAATAGTTTGTGCCACTTGCTCACAACACTAGCAACGTTCTTTTGCAATTCAACTGAGAACAACGAAAGAACAATCAACCAACACATATAAAAGCATTATAATAATTCAACCATCTTTGGAGCACTTCTGAGAACCGTGCAGTAACAAATGCCAGCAGCAGGGAGGATCCACTATATATGAGGACATACACCAAACTTCCGACATATACAATACACAAGCACACGCCCCCACGCATGTATGGATAACTCTCAAGACGAGTTCAAAACTCGAAATCCAATATCCTTCCATGCTTCCTATCCATCTAGAATATAATAAAAGAATACTGCAAAAGTGCGACCCGGCAAACTATGGACATCAAGATTCGACAAATTTTACTACAGTAACGAGAAATATATATGTTGCCCAAACTATTACCAGCTGTGTTATATGGAGATTCCAAAGCCAGTTTCATCATTGGATAAAATAGGGCTCCAGCACAGTCCCCAGCAGACTTGTTGTATGATAACCTGATAAAATGTAATGCAAGTCTACCTTCAGTATATAAGTGGAATACAAGTTAGAACATCAATCTCTCCTTGTTAATAATTTAGAAACTTCAGCCTGGTGCTGGTTCGAGCATCTACTAAGGTAACACGAGAAGCATCAAACTATTCATCAAAACTATAACTCCTCTCTCCGAGGAAAATGTTCATCAACACCCACAAGTAATAGTATGTTGACTAGATGATGAACGTCTTTACTTAGATAGGAGACTTAATTCATATTAATATATCTTAAAAAGAGTTCAGAGAAAAACAGCATATAATACCTCACTGAAGGTAACCAAGTAAGCCATGGATTAGTTTCCTAACTAATCTTATCAGGCATTGAAACTTACTCGTTCAATAAGACAACAGTATTAAGACATTAACTCATGAGTAGAGAGCAGACACACCTTAGTGAGTTCACTTCAAGGATTAAATCATCGACTGCAATATTGTCCTCAGCAGCCCTCATAAAGGTTGCTTCAGCCTGAAATCAACCAAAATTATTGAAAGAGTAGGTTATTCATACATCTTCAAATTTCATCATCAAGCAACTCACTTACACACCTCTTTCTCGAAATCAACAGTGTCGACATTGAAGTCATCCATATTATCAGAGTCATCATCGTCAGACCCAGGTTTCAACTCTCCAGAAGGCGTAAGAGCATTTTCTTGAACATTTACGATCTCCAAATCATCCTCCATGGCTAGCAATGCCTTGGCAAGTTGATCTGTAGGAATCGGTGCAACAGAGTGCCTCCACTCTTCCTCACAACCTCCATCGCAAGCTGACCAAATAAAACCAGCACCACCAGGTCCAAGCTGCTCGGCCAAAAAAAAGGGAGTACTTAAATGCATGTAACTTCCTTGAGAAATTAAAACTACAAGTTTGTACACTACTGATCAGTTTCAAGGCAAGAAAATAACAACAAAGCTCAACCATGAAACAAACAAAAACAGTACAAAGCTTAAGATATGCAAGGCCAGAAATGATGCCATTTAGGATATATGGACCCAGTTGAAGACGTTTTTTTCTGATAGAATCATGTGTCTTAGGATCCATACATATTCACTATGCAGAGTCAAGATTCGCAAAAGCACAAGGTACAGAAAAAAGACACAGTTCTGGCAGCAACAGATTCTATAATGTCCGATAGTTCGATTCAAAATGTCGAATTGAATAATCCAATAGGAAGAAAAAAAAGTTCACTTGGAACAATCAAGGTTGTAAGGAAATCAACACCGCAAACACAAATGACGGCTAACCTGTGAACTAGACCAATCTTGTATTTGAGATGATTCAGATACTATTCCCCCATTCAACTTGTTACCGGCATCAGCAATGGCTAGGACATAGAAGTTGCCAGACAAATAATTGCACTGTCAGCCTCTAGTTGGTAAAATAACAAAAACATACAATTCACTTCACCTCTACCAATTTGCATTGCATCAAGGAGAAATGAAAATAATTCAACCCACAAGCCAATACAGGATCAGAACTCACATGGATCTATTGCTCCGCTGCTGTTATCAGCGTACTCCAACTCTTCATCACTATCTTGCGCAGTTGGCTGCTGAAACAGAGACACTTTCGAGTAGGCAGGGACGACAAATTCTCTTCCAATTACAACCTATAGAGCAACAAATCCAAAACTACATTTCAGCCACGAGAATCCAAAAATCAATAGAGACTGAAAGAACTTGTTAAATATTCCTGTTTGACGTAGTTCTACCTCCAACCACACTAATCCAACAGGAGATACAAAAGGTTCAGGCTTCACATAGATTGGAAAGTTGATCCCCACATTAGCGAGAAAATAATGAAGTAACAGGGAGAGTTAGTCGATATAACCTTCAAAGACAATACAACCCCAGGTTCCAAGGTTGCACCTTCTTTTATAATCACACCATCACATACTATTGCATGTCGCAGCTCACAACCATCCTCAATGGTAACATTGTTCCATATGTATGAACCCACTATTGAAACATTAGATCCAATTGTACATCCTTCTCCAATAACAGAATGAGTAATTCTTGAATCATCCCCAATTCTTGTCCCTTTTCCAATAACAGTAAATGGCCCGATATTAGCTGAACGTGACTGTTGTGTTTCTGAAGGAGAATGAGAACAAAGATAAATAGTCAACATGAAAGCTCACCACCACACTTAAAGCAAGTAGGAACAGCTCCCATAAAGGACTCTTTAGTAACAATGTTATACTGCTTGCATGAATAAAGTGCTCAACTTCTACGAAACCTAGTAAGCATAAAATGCAAGGGAAGGAATCCATATAAGTTGCAATTACAAATACAGATACATAGGACAAGAATTCTACAGGCATTTTCCACAAATAACATTGACTATATGACACAACGCTCTTGGGTAACACCATAGGCATTTTTGAACACTAACAATTACCATTAATGAACAAGATATACAGACAAAATTGTAGCACATCCTTGAGACACTAAAAGCCTATATACATTTGAGTTATTCAATATGTGCTTTATGCATCACACTACCAATAAGTCCTCACCATGGATGACAAGACAAACTCATGAGGATAAAAGAAACTTCCACAACAGCAGAATGACAGGACTAAATAAATATAGCCCTCAAGAAACAGAAGTGACATGCAAAAATAATAGATGGCGACTTTCCAGGTTCACAGAATTTACTACCTGGTGCCTTGTACATCCCCTCTCTTTCAAGTTTAGTAGTGCAATTTGCAGAAAATTTCACATCTGGCACAAACGGGTATGTCCACCTCTGAATGATATCCTTACTAATCGTGTCATAGCTCCTGTAGTTATCAATCCTAGCCGCATAGCTAGAGAGAATTTCATGAGTAAATATTTTGTACCCCATTATCTGAAAGGTGAAAAGAAGGTCATTCAGAAGACCATAAAGGCTTAAAATAATGATAATTGCACAGCTAATAATGTGGCAGATATCAATGTTGCCAAGGTAGTATAGCTGAATACGGCTAATCATAAGATGAAACCAGTAGAGACCACTTTGATTACAAAAATCTAACTCTGCAAAGTCTCAAATGGAATCCCTCTGCTGATGGCCAAAGATATCAAATATATATACAGAAGTTTCTGCTTCAAGGAGGTCAAGAAAAGACATACATCATCAACCAACAAGCCTTTTACGAAATGACGCCGAAGATGTTGATAGTCAAAATTGTCTGTAAACAAACTCAGCACCTCTTGAGAGCATATATCTATATAACAATCCTGCAAATGGCAGTGCAAACAAATTTGTTGGAATAGATACAGAGAGGAACCCGACATCCGCAAAATATAAACACTAAAAAGAACTCTCATAGATTTGCAAATTAAGAAAACCAAAGCTAAGAACGTAGAAGTAACTAGCCTGCTTATCATTATGAAGCGAGATAGAAGGATTATCAGCAAGTAACGCATTGTCAATAGATATAGCTCCTCTCGGGTGCTCTCCTCTCTCCTCATAGCAGAGAAGCTGCTTGGTATCAGGATCAATGGCCATGAAAAGCTCATCGGTGCCCAGACGCGACTGGTGGATGACTGGAGAAGGCTTTGATTTCTTGATGACCATGGTCATGACTGCATTGTTGTCCTTCTTTCTTCTCTCCTTATGTTCTTTCACTGCCTGAGTCAGTGACATGTTGCTCACTGTATCCCCACTGACTAGGACAAAGTCCCCGTGTATCTTCACGAAGAACACAATACCAATCAGGATCATACAGCAGTAACAAATTCACAATCAACACTCTTAAGGCCATTTAGAAACGGATCAAAGTGAGCATCTAAATCTTCTTCCTGAATCCGTACAAATCATAGCGTTACACAACGACAAGCACTATTTCACTGAAAGTGTTCAAGCAGCAACCAAAAAAAAAAAAAAAACTCACCACATTGCGCTCGTATATCAACCTCAGAGCATCACCGGCGCTAATCGAATTGTGCGACTCAATTGTGGTGACGGTGAAGTTGGGCTGCTTGTGCCACTCCGAGCTCTCCAAGTAATCCATGACCTGCCTCGAATGCGCACAGCAGAAAATGAAAACCTCCTCGACACCAGCCGATTCCAGCCAAGCGAGCGTGTAGTCAATCATCGGGACGTTCACCAGCGGCAAGAGAACCTTACAAGCCAAGCACCAAAACAGTTAGTAAGCAAAGGATTTGCGGAGAGCAGCAGGCAGCAGCTAACTGCTACTGAGAAATGCATACTTTAGGGCGCTCGAGGGTGATGGGGCGGAACTTGGTGGTGAAGCTATCGGCCAAGAGAATGGCCTGTAGTGGATTACGAGCCAGCTCCATGGCGTCCTCCGCAACCTTGCCTTTCTTCTGCGCGCCCATTGCTACTTTCCGAATTGGGAAGAGAAGAAGAGCGGAATCCGAAAACCCTACTTGATACTTGATGGTGTGATCGGAATTTTCATAAACCTTTTGCTGCCTGCGAAGAAGCGGAGAGATATGCGATAATTTGGGCTCACGAAACGTTTTTTTTTTCCTGTACTTTCCGATGAAACGCTCGCAACTTCGATACCGGTAACTCCGCGCGCCCTCGTGTGGTGTCCGTGTAGAAAAAAGAAGAGTGGCGTTGCTGATCGACATCTGGATCTAATTATACTAACTAAATATATTAGGATTCGGTTTCATGAATTTTATAAATACTAAACAGAAATGGATTGAAGTGACGTTCGGTTTCATTATTGGACCGTCATTCTCAAAAGTTGGTTCGGTCCGGATCGAAATGTTGTGTACCCCATTTCTATTTGTATGGCTGAAAATTAGTTGAGTTGTTGATTGAGTGGCTCCACGTTTGGTTTAGAAGAAGAAAATTTGAGCTGAGACTAGTTTTGCTTGCGAGCTGGCTAACTTGATTTGATTGCTTGTTGAGATGAATATGTGAGCTGGCTCGTTTTTTAGCTCGGGAGTTGGTTCGACGGTGTAGTTAGCAAGTCAGCTCAATTAGCGACTTATAAGCAAGTCTATCTATAACGGATGAGTAGACACATATGGGTAAATATCAAGTTTGGTCACTGGGTTTACTAAAATGTGTCATGTTTAGTCACCGAAAAAATTCATGTCAATTTTCGTCACTCGAATTAGTGCAACGGTCCATGTTTAGTCACTCTCTGTTAACTTTATTTGACGTGTCAGTCAACCTTAATAGTTGACCGTTAAATATCTGACGTTGCAATTAAAAAATTGATAAAAATTTGATTTAATTCTTAATATTTCTTCATCATTAAAATAATAAACAAAAATAAATAAACTAGCCGGATCCAAACTAGTTGAATAAAACAATTCGGATAAAACGGATCATATCCAAATCGTCATTTTTATACTCCACAGAGCATATTCCCTCAAAAACCAAGAGCCATGAACAGATGGCCGGTATGCAAGACAAGAAGAGTTATCGACGGTCATAGGAGCAACCTCATAGCACCTGTTGTTGAACTCAGCGGAAGGCATAAACGTTGCTTTTCAGTCGATGACGATGAATTGAGGCTTTTCGTACGATTAAAATGAAAAAAGTTGAACTGCAATGAATGCAATGCTTCTTTCCAAGAGTGATTGAATCGCTAGCAGAAAAGTAAGTGCAGAATACACAGTCGAGATGGACTCTGATCAATTCATTTCCTTTCAACTTCGGAACTCGAAAAATTAGAAAAGCCTGCACATTTATACACTCAAATAGCTGGACGACAATAATATCATAGCTTCCACGTTCTAAGTGGGGGAAATGACAGAGCATGAACATTTTACAACTACACGCCCAAACTGGATTCTTCACTGACTGGAAAAAGCTACATTATTTACTCTCTCCAAGCTCTAACTCTAACTGGAAAAAATTCTTACAGTTGTTTGAGCTTTGGGTGCTTGAGCTGGCTCTGTCAGCGAAACGCCCAGTTGAGGCGTGCGTGCAGCATGGGGATTGGCGTGGGACTACGGACGAAAGAAGAAAGCTAGCCAAATATGAACAGGATTTCCCTACTAGTGGTTCCAAGCATGGATGGAACAAGAATATTGTTAGCACTTGATGGAACAAGCCAAAAGAAAAAAGACCACCCCTCCATTGGTGTTTTCATCAGGCATTGCCATTGTCTGAACTGCTACAGGCTTGATTCGGAAGGGCAGAGTTGTCGAAATCTCCATCCAAGCTCATCTGCTGCACTTCTTGTGGTGAAAGAATCTTGATGCATCGGACGCAGCTCACAAACTCTCTGCAAACATAAAGGCAGACGAATTAGCACTAAAGATAGGTTCTTTGGGGTCCTTCTAAGTTTGAAAATCATCCATCACTTAAGCATATACTTAAACAAGCATAATAGCTTAATGAAATACTTGTAACTGATTATAAAGGAAAATCAAAAGGGACTTACTCCCAAGGATCATCCCCTACAAGCAGGACATCATTCTCATGATCCACATAAACAAGCTTCCATCCTACCCTGCCACGATCTTCCAACTGACCCTCTATCCCAAACCGACGAGCCAAATCGTGCTTAAGCTCATCGTAATCTGAATAACGGGTGATATCGATTGACCTCCCAACAGCTCCTCGTTTATATACCTTCAGAATAAGGACATGGGCAACCTTAGAAAGTGAGCAAAATAGAAGGTATCAAAGTATACAAAGAAAACACTATATTACAAAACAAACTACCTTAGTATAAGTCCTCATCCGCTGAAACTGGGGTTGAGGTGCCCAAGAGCTTCTGTTCAAGAAGGTGCTATCATTGATCGAGGAGTCGATTGAGTTGAATGCCAAATCCGGAACTCCAAATGATTGAGACACAATGGATGACGAGAGTTCTGGCTGAGGTTCTTTCGAGTTTGAATTTTCACAGTTAGCAAGCAAGCCCCCAGAAGAAGGAAGATTATTTGAGAAATCTTTCCCCAGTCCCACCATAGACTTTGATAACAAATTATCAGAACTCATGTGCATGCCAACCAGTTGGCCTTGCCCATCATCAACGCCGATTCCATATGGCGCATTATTACTCCTGTGATCAACCGCTGGAAGTTCTCCTCCATCTTGGCTTGTGTCTCCTCTCACCAGCATTGACTGTGAATTAAAGGACGTGGGGTTGTTATTCTGCTGCAACTGCTGTACGTCGTTCTGAGACAGGCAGACTGAGGTTGAAGATGAAGTGTCTAAATAATCAGCCGGAGTAGTTGTGGTGCCGTTCACATACGAGTGAGGGGTGAAAAATCCCTGGTTTTGATTCTTGGTGGAGATGGTAAGGGATGGCTTAACATCAGATCTCTGCTGCTGCAAGTCTTTCATCATGAGGTGGTTAGCACTAGACATTGTGTCCAAAAATGCACCAGGACCCAAAAGTTGTGTGCCAGCAGCTGGAGAAATGTCCTCTGCCAACGTAGTGCTTCGATAACCGTTCATCATTGGCTGAACCAGATTTGGGCAGTTATTGGTAGAAGGCGAAGTAGAGCAAGATGGCACATCATCAGTGATTGCTGATTGGCCTGCTCCTCCAGCTGTCAACATATTATTGCTACCGCCAGCTACAGAGAGCTGATTTATTGTCGATCTTGGAGGTACTCCCAATGTACGCCCAGGGATTTCAGGCTGTTGGTGCTGAAGTTTCTGCTGATGTGGCTGATGAGAAAATCGAGCATTCACTTGGTTGTTGCTTTTAGCTATCTGCTGTTGAGCAGTACTTGGCTGTGGGATGGAAGAGGTCAAAGCTTGAGGCATTTCCAACATTTGGTTGGAGCTCATGGATCTCGAGAAGCTTTGGGATGCATCCAATAATTGTCTTTGTGGGTCTTGCAACTGAGTCTGGGAAGCTAACGGTGACACCTGCTGCTGCTGCTGCTGTTGCTGCTGAGCTAAGAGTGACTGCTGCTGCTGCTGCTGCTGAAGCTTCTGCAACAGCTGAAGCTGAATCTGATTATCAGATACTTGAAAATGCTGGTTAACTTGATCAGGCAACTGGTTTGGCATGATGAGGCCTTGATGTTGCTTCTGACCTAAAACATGTTGCATTTGACTTTGCTGCTGAAAGCTAGGAGAAAGATTTCTAGCTAGCTGATGATTACTTTGAATAGGTGGCTGCTGCTGTTGTTGCTGTTGCTGCAAATTACCATTGGCCTGGCCCATAGACTGAGGCTGCAGAATCTGGGATTGAACTTGGCTTAAATTTGCCCTAGGTTGTTGAGACCCATCAGTGACATGTTGCTGTTGCGGTTGTACAACTGAGGCCAATGGGTTCATGCTTGAGGGTGGCATTTTAGCCAGCTGATGATCAAACTGTTGACCTTGCTGAGGTAGCCTTGGAGAAGTCAACTGGAAGTTGTTTGGCTGAAGAATTTGAGGTGCTGATGAAAACCCTAACTGCCGAGAAATGTCAGCTGCGCCAAGGTTTGGAAGAACAGAACCTGACATGGATTGCATGTAATTTTGCTGCATCGAATTAGCAAGTGACGGGTTTTGTTGCATGTTCATCCATTGAACTAAGCTTAGGCCAGGGAGATTTTGGGGATCCTTTAAGATATCATCACCAAGCCACGGCATGCTCCTCTTGAATATGCCATCTAAATCAGAAGAGTCGTCTTCTGCAAATTGAAATTATATCTTTCAGAAATTTTCTATCGTTGAGAACCTATAGGTTTGGAAAGGTGAAGTGCTTGTCAAGCTTAAAAGAGTGCCTTGCTCATGGAATAAAGAGTTGTCACTATATTCAAGATTTTCTATTGTCACTTCGGCACATTTGTAACAGACCACATGGGGTGATGCTGGGAATCATAAAAGGTCAAACTTTGGGCTGAGACCAGACAAAATGACGGAATCTTGACATGAAAGCTACCCAAATATATTATTAATTCAATTTCCAAGAATGCTGATCTTTAGAACAACTCCGTCCAGAACTGTATCATTAATCCAACAAAGAAATGCCAGTCAAGAAGGTAGGTAAGCAAAATAGACACCTAAGTGACAGATAATCAGAACTCACATATGCTCCTAGAATGCAGGAAACATGTATTGCAAATGCAGCACCATAGCTTCTCATACCTGGCATTCCCGGTTGTCTTGGACGCTTGGATCTAAAGAAAGGAGGGGGGCATATGAAAAATGGAGCAGTGACTGGTTCGATCTCCCAAACAGAAACGCGATTGCGCCTTTCCCCTGCAGTTGACTCATCCCATCCGATCTATCAACACGACAAGATGAAAATAGTTCTTTTAGTCTCAAATAGTGGATACCTAACTTTAGGGTAACCCAAATGACAAAGTTACCACCTGCAAGTTACGCCACTGTGAATTCTTCCATCTTACAGGATCAAGATCACTAATACCAGTAATCGTACCCATGTACCTGCAAACAGTATGTACAACTTTGCATGAATTTTAACTCAAATTTGAAAACATTAAAAAGTCTCCCCATTTTCTTCCAATCTCCAAAACCATATAAAAGCACAATTCTCAAACTTGCATAATGGGGAGACATTATTTGAAGCTTGGGAGTCAAGCTAAACAGGACAATGGTCCATAACTAAATCAGCATCATTCAGAAGTGGATAATGAGAATACCTTCTCGTTCCAGATTCCTCAGTTTCAAACATCATCCGGAAGCGCATGCCAAGTGACACTTGGTTGCCATAGACAGCCTTGTAGTATTTGGCTAATGGAACAACAAATTCTGATGGACTAGCCCTGCAATAAACGGATGGCAAATGTTAATAAACTGCTACAAAGAACAATTTCCTGATTTGCATCGTTCCAAAAGGACTTTTTCCACCCAATCACTGACCTTGGGTTGTAGAACACAGTAAAGGGGCTATTGTTAGCCGCTGCATGTGCTGCAGCAGCAAGGATACCAATGTGCATGCTGTCACTTGATAAAACTGATGACGACAAATTGGTAGGTTGCCTGTTAGCACGTCTGATTCCCAAGAGAAGCTGCTGCTTTTCATCTCTGCTCAGACATGTGGATGACAAGGTTAGTCAGTCAAGGTGGATGGTTCACTAGAAAAGCTGTATTCAGATACATGTGTTAGGCAATAAGTATCATATGATGCGAAAAGGAGAAAGAGTTAGACAAGCGCAAAAAGCTTCAGTTATTTTGCAGCATTTACCTAATAAACAAGACCGAGTCACCAGCCAGAAGCCTCTTTCCACTTACAAAGAGGCTCCAGCCTGTTGTAAGTAAGTGTCGCTTTGGTTGTCCTGAGTTTAGGGAAAGAAGAATATGGATTAGCAGAAAATCAAAATTCAGGTGAAGATATCTACGGAAACAGGCAGAAGAGAAAAAGAATATGTACCACGGTAGATATGTCTGAAAGTCCAAACATTATCATGTAGATCCCTGGCCACAATTTCTTGAGCAGGTGGTTGCATAGAGAAATCCTATGAAGAGTAGTGGGAACATGAGTTTTTGGCACTGACAGAGCGTTTGTACTTTCAAGGGTGAGAGATGCATACAAGGGGTGGGAAAATCTTTTCAGCCGCTCGACGAGGCACAGAGAAGCCTCCATGAGTACTAGTATCACTTGCTGTTAATGTTTTACAGAAAAACTCTGGTTGCGGCTTGTTTGACCTAAGTGCAAGGTCCGATCTCAGTAATGCTTCCTTGTCATACTGCACACAAATTGCTGATATATTTAGTTGAAGTTAGCTGCTTAGCAGTTTAATAAAGTTAATTAGTTATGAAAGAGGTATAAGTTATTGCACTATAATCATAGTTACTCTCAGTGGTTTGGTTTAAGTTGAAAGCATATTCTTTCAGTTTGTTCAAACAAAGTCCTTACAGAGGGAACAGGTTGGAGGGTCATCTGAGCATAAACTTCATCTGTTTCCGGGTCCGCCTACGAAATAAAATGAAGAATTAACAGTCTTTAACACCACTGATCCAAAGAAACTCATGGTACAAGATGGAATTACAAGCTAGATGTGAAAAGGCAAAGGAATTAGGACTGTCTTTACATGCAATGTAACACTGTGAAGGAGACATAGCAGCTTGGAAGGGAGATTGGGGTAGTTTGGAATTTGTCCATCCACATCCTTCTTCATAGACGCCGCAACCTGAAGCCCATGGTATCGATATCATGTGAGGACAACGATTTACCTCAAAGCCAAAAAGATAAAATGACATACATAAGGGGAAATTAAAAACTTGCAACAACAAGCAATCATAAAAGTCCATTCACAGCTGACATTTGGAGCAGCAAGTTTCAAAAGGATGTCATAGAAGACCTTAGGAATGTTGAAATTTATAAACGCGACCAAACAATTTGCTAAATACCCAAATCTTCTCAAACATAAATCAAACCCTAAACTATACTAACAAACCTGACTTACAGACGAGTTTTACGAGGTCTAAATCTCCAACCTATCTATAACTCCATGTTCCAAACAACATCTCTTTCTTACGCAGTCTATCTATAACTTCTTCAAACAAAATACTACCAGGAACAAACAAGCGTTGACTTAGGCAGGCAAGAAGAAACTGAAATTTCTTCCCTCCACAGAATCTGGAACTAGATACTTTGATTTGTTTGCCTAAAAATTCTGGGAGAGCAGGAGCAAAAGGGTAAATTATGATCGAACTTCCCAACCATAAATGAGGGATTAACTGCTGGAAACCTACCAAAATGGAGCTTTAATGGAGTTATTTGGACAATTCACCTGTTCACTGTGGCCTTGAGGGAAGTAAACGACATGGGTGCCTGCGGCTGGCAAGTTCACCAGAGGTCCAGCACAAGCTTGCCATAGCTCAACGTTTATGGTCTTTTTCTCTGCTGACCCTGCATCATCATCATCATCATCCTCGTCAATATTATCAGCAGCAGCAACAGAATGGTTCGCACTGAATCTCAACCACCCATTCCTTCCAAGATCCCCTATCTTCCTTTTCATTTCCCTATCTGAGATGGAAAGACAACTTTTCCTTTCTCTGCCATCTCTCCTCTTTGTTTGGCTCCCAAGAAAAAATCTTATAACAGGAAAGGAAGGGGGAAATGGAGGAAAAGCGACAAAAACAGCCGGCTCACAAGTCACAACACTAGCTGTGATGGAGATAGAGACAAATTCCCCTTCTGGGAAACCTTCGTCAATTACGTTGTTGATCCAAATTATGCAAAATTAAAACCGAAAATTTTGTTCTCCCACCATTAAACTTGGCTGCATACCGACACATAGACATCTGCTATGATGCGGCCGAGCTCAAAGTCAAGAGTATTAATCAAAATTTTAATTACAAAACTTCACCTGTTTCAGCTGGATTAGCTGTGGTAGTGGTGGCGGTGGAGGAAGGGAGGACGGCGGCTCCGCCGCCGTTCGCCGGCGTTTTCATTGCCTTCTACTTTTTTTGCTTTACCCCTCTTTCCGGTACTGATTTGTGGAGTAAAGACGAAGCTGATCCAGAGTATATTCACATCCCCATAGCTCCCTTTCTTCCCTTGTCGTTGGCTGATTCAAAAGCTACGCTTCATCAAAGTCCGGAACTTTACTTCAAACCCACCTGACCCAGAAAACTTCAAAGCATTTCCTCCATACCCAATAGGTAGAAAAAACAGATCGGTTGAACTTCCGGCCAGTTGGCCGGAAAAGAAGTGGCCGGAGAGAAGCTTAACTTGATGAAGGAACTCCGCAAAACCGAAAAAAGAAAAGAAACCCTGAAATCCCCACAAACAGGAAAAGGGTTTGCAGGAGGAAAGGTGAGGGATTTTCTGGGTTAGTGCAGGATGTTGAGTTTCTCAGAGACCAAACAAGGGTATGAATTTTTTGCTTGCCCCTATGTTCCCCTACATTACCCAGACAAAAGAAAAAACCCTTTCCCTCTACAGTCTACCCTTTTCCTCTTCTCCCTCTCTCTTCCTTCACCAATGCTTCTTCTTCTTCCTCTTCCTTCTCTCTCTGTCTCCGTGTTTGCGTGACTATCATTTTCTATACTAATTTCGATTTTTTCTTTTACTTTTCTTGCTTTCCAATTATTGTAATGGTTGAGTTGATGTAATAAAAGATGAACAGTAATGAACTGGAGTATCGAGTATGTATCTGTTTATTGTTTATTTATTTATCTGTTGAGTATTTAATTTTCTGTGGCCTCCATTGAAAATGCCATTACTGAACTGACTGATTTCGCCTGCCTTGCCTCCACCCTCTTTCATTCGTCTTCTTTTTCCCCATCTCTTCTCCCTGTGTTTTCGTGATGTCTTTTCCCTCTTTGTTTTCTGCTTGTTGACAGTGAATCCCATGATCTCTTTATAAGATCATGATAAGAGATCATGGTAAGATTATTCGCATTCATCCATGGCAAAAGAACAATTTTGTAGGGTGATAAGGTTTTTGCTTTTAAGATGACAATGGACCGGTCGGGTATCTCAATATCAATATTGAGCTCTCCATCAAACAGGAGTAAGGTCGTGTAATATTCAGAGCGGGTTAACCTATTATTATATGTTATTTGGAAAAAAAAATAGATATTTAACTTTTTTAAAATAAAATACAGAGAAAGCACTTCATAAATGAATGATAGAGGAAAAATACATGTACATATTCATAAAAATTATGATAGAAAGGGTCAAGAACGAAACGAAACAGGGCAGGGCAAGTCGAAAGCTATACCCATACACAGCTCCAGCTACTACAGGTCAGGTAATACTCGACCCAAATAGATTGGGACGAGTCAAATAATAAATTGTCATCGTAAATGCTACTTAAGAAATTCGAACTTCAAAATTTCTTAGGTGAAACTGTCAAGAACTAGTTGATCTCAACAACTCGAGCTGTTGGGAGAGATTCATTCGTGGATAATATACCATCTACTAACACAACCACCCAAACGAAAACCACCATATATAGGCTTGAAGTTTGCACAAGTCCGGACACCATGTGCTTAACAGAACATATGTGGGTCATCAAGATTCGAACAAAAGACCTCTCAATTACAAAAGACTCTGATACCATGTTAAGAACCAATTGATTTCATTAACTCAAATTATTGGAATAAATTCAATAATACATCATATACCATTTACTAACACTTCGCTTTTTTTTTTTTTCCTTGAGGAATGATATAACCAGGGATACTTAACCTTGGTTATTTGAAGGACCAACCAACCCCACTTAGAAAGCTAATTAGCTAAACAATGAGGGACAATAAAACAAAAACATGAGTTATCAAAAGTATTAATAATCATTTTTAGGTTTTTTCTTAAAAAACTAAACCCATAATATAAGGGAATTGAGCCTGGCCATCGTCACTCCTCCCACCACTACCAGTGCTCCTGCCATTATTTGATGCACATGATCCTTGATCTCTTCACTAGTTTTCTAATCCCATCAACTTAAATATATACTTAAGTTTACGTTCGGATTAGATTTAATTGCTTTGACAACTATTTCATAATCATTGTAGTAACCTTCAATTATGGTACATCATTATTTGTATGATTACACCATTTTCTTCAAACACTCGCTTATTCAAGAAAGAAAAGTTCTCTTTTCCATTCTTTCTCATTTTCCCAGTATGGTTCCTCAATTCCTGGTCCCTAACCATTCTTCCACTCCATGTATAACTTTACTCATAAATAATTTTAAAAAACCAACCCTCTAATTTTTCTTTTGTTTGATTTCGAGTCGTTTTAACATGGCGCGCGTAATCATTAACACACTTTTTAGATGTCAGGTACTATAGCACTTAGCCATCAAGATCTCTCCTAATTGTCAAGCATGACACTATAGGGTTATAGAGTAAAGACCACCAAGCACGTACCCATAACAATCTATGTCTACTAGTACAAAAAGGGTGTCAAGCGTGACATCTAGCCATCAAGACACCTACAAGATGTGTAAACCATGTGTCCATCGAGACTATCAAATCACCTCAAGCGCAATATAAGAGTTTACATCATCGTGGTGTCATTAGCTAAGCACTAAAGGCGTCTAGTGAGCGTCTAGGTGGTCATCATCCAAGCTCCGAGTCACAATGCACATCGCCAGGCTCTAAGCCCACCACAGCGCGTCGAGAGGTCTCTCGCGTGACAAGCAAATAATGCGTCCAAGCCCCCATGGTCGCGCGACCGCCTCATGCGACCATCCCAAGCCTACAAGACACCAAGTTAGCTAGCTAGGCAGGCCAGGCATGGCACCAATGCAAGTCATCATGCAAGGCACCAAGCCCGTAATGCTCCAAGGTATATGAACTATGAAGGCATCAAACAATTGAAGAAGAGAAGTGTATTTTTTTGCCTTGTGCTTCTGATAGTGTATTTCACTGCCTCTATCAAAATATAATAATTTAAGTGGTTCTTATGTGTTAAAAAAAACGAAGTTTAAGAATAAATCAAATAACCTGTATTTGGATTTCAATCTTCTTATGATGTTAAACTAAGAATGTATACATATTTGTAGACAAGGAGAAACCTTCAAAATCCCTCTTCTTCTCCACTTAGACCTACGGCCTATATCTCATTTTCCTGCACAAAATGTAAAACTTATTCCGACAGAAAAAAATAATAAAATTATAAAAAATAATCTAAATCCTACTATAGATAATACGAATATTCAAATTTAATGACAAAATACTAAATATTTAAGAAAATATTAAAAATACACAAGTTCGGAAATTTTAAAATTGTCATAATATCTCGTAAATCGTATCATAAGTCAAAACACATTCTCGCTGATGGCTACTCCCTCCTAGGAATGGCAACCAAAAATGAATCTGCGAGTATCCTACCCCACCCAACCCGGTCGAATTGGGTAAAACCCGTGTTGACGAATTGCGGGTCGGGTTCGAGTTGAAACTTGAAACCCGTTTTATTGTTTTGCAGGTTGGGTTGGATTCGGATTTAACCATATTCGACCTGTGGATACCTGAACCCACACCCAAGCTCTCATGACCCACGAATTACTCAACACTTAACTTGAAATTTCCTAAATTTGATGTGTTTAGATTTAGTAACTTGCGGAGTTGTGGATGTTTATCTTTAGTATTGAACAACTAACATGAATAGTTTGCGGGTTTGTTTGTATGTACTAGACAATTACAATTGAAAATTGACATGTTTGCATTTTATCCATGAACCTGTGGATATCCAGTAGATTGGGTTGAGTTTGAGGTTTTAGAATTCATATGGTATTTTCCAAGATTTTTTTTTTATGAATCCGTTGATTTGAATTTAAATTTGACAAAATACGACCCAACCCAATCAATTGCCATCACTACTTCCTACTAGAGGCTCCCACCCAACTTGTGTACAATTTATGATCTGATATATATGCGTCTCTTTGAGTCTTTCGGTCCACATCCTAACCTCTTTTTGGACCATTTCAGAACCAAAAAAACTCTTTATGGACCACGAAGAACAAACTTATAGTAGAGATTCATATGCATGAATCGACCACACCTGCGAGTGTATACATAACCAAAAGTTTGAGAAAAAAAGGAAATACTTATACTCATGTCAACAGTGAGAAACGGAGAATTGAGATTTCTCTTGCATCGTAAATGTGTATTGTGTATTCTCAATTCTGACATGATGGTTGTAACGTTGATTAGGACTATTGGAAATGGATAGTAATCTGAACTTGACCTACTAATAAATTGAATTTGCTACAATACCGACACGAGTCGTATTTTCGCTCAATTCATTTTGGTCCTCCTCATTCTCGAATCATTTGCATATGAGTTTTGTATAATATTAATTAACTCAAATTATTTAGTGAACGAGTTTAGGTTGAACCAGGCCTTGTTCGACTCGCGAGGTTTCGCGAGCCATGCAACTTGGCTTAGTGGGTTTTTTTAGTTTAACTCATCTCATGAATTAGCTCGTTTTGAGTTATGGGTTGGCTTAATGGTGTGGTTAATGAGCCACCTCGACTAACGGTTTATTAATCTATAGATTATGAGTTGATTTGTTGATAATATCATAGGTTTGTGTTTGTTAGATTATATATATCACTGTATATGATGTTTAAGACGTTCAGTACATGAACAAATTTTTCGCATTTATAAGCTAAAAGAAAAACTATGTATTATAGATAATAATTTTTTTCCAATAAAAAAGATCATGAACTAAATTCTATGATACATGAGCTCGAGTCAATGTCACGAACTGATTGATGAGTCAAACTCGAGTAGAGCTCGTGAACCCATTAATAAATCGTAATAGACTCAAACACGAACATATCTCAAAATAAACCGAACTTTAATTAGATTAAAAACCCGTTTCCACTCGACTGATTTTCGGCTATACTTTCCACAGAAGCCGAGTCACAAACCTCTTGAGCAACCCAACGGATCAGCAAATTGGATCACTAACGTCTTTGGATTCGCGTCTACCACTTGCACACCGAAAACCTGTTGCCTTGGGTTGACTCTCAGGCAAGGCCACAAGATGCAAAGAGAGAATGGATAATAGGCCAAAAGTGACTATAAATGCACCAATGGGGTATAGCATACATTATTGATTATACATTCTCATTTCAATCAACACCCAACATGTTCATTCCCAATGCAATGCAACATTTAACAATCCCCACAACCTTTCACTAAAAGAAGAAAGAAAGAAAAAACAACCCCACATCTAATCATGGTTGTCAACCCAATTTAGCTCGTTGCCCCATTTGAGCAAGTTAGTTCAAAGTTAATGACCGGTCCGATTGCTTTAATTCAATTTAGTCTGAATGTATGAAAAAAGTCTTTATATCGTTCCTACATCTGTAAATTATATCAAATTTCATCTAACGTAAGAGTAAATAACGTATAACATTACACCAAAATAGCAGTTCATACTTGAATCCAACATATAGTAAAAATTCGAACACACTCATATACCATCAATATCGAATTGTTCAAATTAGAATTCAAAGTGCAGAGTTAGGCGAAGGGGAAACCCAAAAAAAAAAAAAAAGATACACAATTTGCAAACCAAAGAAAAAATCACGCCATATAACCTCCAACCCATGAACCTTGCTACGGATCGACACTCGAGTGTGTGGCGCTGGTTTCCTCACGGGGTCCGGAGACTCGCGGGTTGACACCCTTGCAAGTTGCAACTAATCCATCAAAAAGGAGAAAGAAACAAATCCCCACAAAAGACCAATTCATGACCTTTCTCATTCTCTTTGATTGCTACTATCCTTCTCACACCCAACTTGTGTGTATGATTAATGATCTTGATATGTACCCACTGGTGTCTTTCAGTCCATATTCTCCATCTAAGCCTCTTTTTGGACCACGTAAGAGGAAGAAGAGCATAGTAGAGATTCATATGCACGAATTGACCACACTTGCAAATGTATACACATACCAAAAGGTTAAGAAGAAGGGGAAAAATGAGATTTCAGTCGTTTGTTGTAACAAATGTGCTCACATGGTTCGAAGGGGTATCCGACTTTCAGCATAAAACTAATTTACTTTTAATAAATGCTTTATAATGACTCGTAACGTGTTTTCTTGTTACGCATCTCTCAGTAATGAGTAATCCACGGTTCTTGGATACATACGGTGATAATTATTTACAAAATCGTTACCGTGCGCATTAAACGCCTTTATGAGTTTTTGGAACGATGGATTCACTCGCGTAAGCACCTGACTCTGCTTAAACGGTGAACACGCTAATCGAATCTGGAGAATCGGAAGCGCCATTGACTAGGCATTTTTAACATGATGATAGAAATCATATTTGATTAGGACGACTCGAATTTACTTTCCACTCTTGAGAAAGCAATATCAATATGGCCTTAATATTGTTGGGGGAAAGTGAGAGTGACTTTCTGATATGGAAAAGAAAAAGCCTCTCCATTGATACGAGGACGACCAACTTGGATACGTTTGGAACCAATTCCGCCGTATATGTCGACAGGGAAAATATAAGCCCAACAGGCCCTCTCGTCGCAAAATTGGACGAGAAAATGAACATAAACTTTTCAGTTCCTTCTGAAGAATATCACTGTCGATGTCATGCATGTAGTGGATTGGATGAAAAACTTTTATATTGTAGGTATAGTTTCTGTTAACACGTTAGGCAAATCTCACATTGACAAAGTACGAGAGAGATTCATGGTTTATAAGTAAGAAATCGAACATAACTGACAAGACGCGTTTTGGAGGTGAAATATATGAGTTCTTGGGAGAACTCCAGATACAACAAGAATATGTGACTTTATGGGAAGTCACCTTGAATTGTACCCCCAAGGCAAAAAAAAAAACGTGAGGATCGAGACCCAAAACAGACAGTACTGTCGTCGGACATGTCATGAACAAGTTATCGTTTATAGTACATTTGGATCTCCTCGTCCTGGAGCTGCAGAATGTTTGACTCTGTTGGTGTATAGTTGGAGAGTGTGAAACTAAACTGAGTTACTAAATTATCTCGTGCACGCTTCAAATGATGAAAGTCAAAGCTCTTTTTCTACCCTCACGGTCAAAGTCCAACCCTAATTAGCAATTGCAGAAACTTCGTTGGAAATGTGGCCAAAATAACACACCAGTCACCGTCACCTTTTTTCTCCAAGTGTAAATTAATCCTGTGTCACGATTTGAGAATATTATAAAATCAGAAGGTTAAAGTTGGCGTGATTAACAAGAAGCAAGTTTATCGGGACGTTGATTACGTTGCTTGTAGTAGGGGCAACAATAGATAGTGAATTTGGGCCTCAATGGGCTATTATTCGAGTGAAGCCCAATTTAGGATTTTGCGTGCAAAAAAGCCTTTTCTGGTGAAAGCTTTTTTAGTTCCTGGGCCTAACTTATTAGTAGTCTGTATTGATATCTGAACTCGGTAATAGAAATGAAAATTAACTTTACTCACAGACAAAAATAAAATAAGAGATTATAGCAAAAAATAAAAAATAAAAATAAAGCAAGTGATCTGTACCAATAAGAAACACTATCATTTTAAAAACACCAATACTAGCTCAAAATAAATTAATGCCAATACAGAAGAAACAAAACATCATTTTAACGCGAACCAATATAACTCGACACGCTTACTAAGCATTCTCAATCGAATGCCAAGTTTAACCAACGATCGAGTGTAGCATAGGGTAAACAAGTAATAAAAAATATCGAACCACGGGTCTATAAATTTACCTTATTTCGGCTTAAGTTTCGTTATCTAGCCAAACAAGAATAGTGATTAAGAAACTAATCTAGCTAAACTAGCCTAACTACTACCCTAGCTAATTACAAGTTTGTGGAGCTCTCTTACCTTAAAACCCCCCAGTTTCAACATTCGGACCGATGTTGCGTACTATCCTGTCTAGCTCGATCAACTCAATTTCTCTATTAATAGAAGATAGACTCCCTCGGGTATTCACCTGAAACGGCGTAGCGATGAATTGGTAGTGTTCCACTTTTGCACTACTTTCCTCTACAGTCGGGGAGCGGGCCATTGCTTCAACCCTACAAAGTTCCGATGCTTAATCATAAATTTTTTTCAGTAAAAAAATATCTTCTCCCGGGTCATAAATTTCTTTACCAACACACTTTACTTTTTAGTTTGATATGTTTGGATTCTATATTTATTCGTAACTGGTTATTCCGTTCGAGAATATCATTCGCTAAAAGAATGAGAATGCATTTACCTTTTATTTATGACTAGCTTTGACCCGGTCCGTTGGCCGGATTAATTTAATTTACTAATTATGTAATGGGGGGGGGGGGGAGAGTTAGAGCGAGCAAGAAAAACATTTATTTGGGTCGAACCCACAATTTGAACCTATTTGAGTCCATATAATTATCCCTATAAAGAAATATCGACCATCTAGATATTCGCATTAAACCAATTCACACCTTCATTATCGGTATTTCCACATTTATTTATAATTTTACATTACCGAATTAGATTTTTAAATATATTGTGGTTGGTATAATTTCCATGATATAAAAATAATTTTATGTTTTTACCAATGAGTAATAATTAAATATAGGGTAGTTATCATAAATGGTCACAAACCTATTTACTTTGTACAAAACGGTCACAATCCTTTAATTTTGCACGTTTCGGTAATAAAGGTTTGAGTGAATAACAAAATAGTAAATCCGTCCAATTCCATTCCAAATTCCGTTATAGATTGCCCCGTCAGCATGACACGTCAGTGCAAATATTAATTAAAAAATGGTTAATCAACCCACTTAACCCGGCAATCCAACCGGCCGGAACAAACCCTTTACCCATCAACCCACTCAACTGCGGGCCTATTCGGCCATGGAAGATCGCGATTCATCTTCTCTGCGATTCTCCGCAACACCGCCGACCGGAAATTCTTAGCTCTCCCCCTCCGCTCTCTCCTCCTAAGAATGCGTGTCGTGCTCCAATGGGAGAAGTCGAAGTCGGAGTTTCAGCTCAGCTACGCAAAGTGATGGCGGCAGAATGAAGTCTCCGGCAACTGAGACTCACCTGTCGGACAACACCGCAACCATAGACGGTTCCCTCTACCGCGCTTCCTCGATTTCTTCCACCACCGCCGCCGTAGAAGAATGCGCTTGGGCCCTGCGGTTAGCGGATGAAAAGGTTGCGGAGGAGACCAAGGAACTTGCGGAGAATCGCAGAGAAGTTGGCCGAGTCGGTGGAAGCGGAGAAGGCCGCGGTGAAGTCGGAGAAGGCGTCGGTGGAGTCGAAATTGAGGGAGCTAGGAGAAAGAGAAGAGGACTTCGAGTCGCTGGGGAGTTACATTGAGGAAAGAGCGATTGGAGTTCGGAAGGTTGAAGAAGAATTGGCAGGGAAGAGGAAAGAACTCGAGGTTCAAGAGAAGGAGATTGAACGGAAGAGGGAAGAGCTCGAGGAACGCTTGTACCGGTTCCAGAATCGGGCGAAGGGATTGGAGGTGGGCCGAATAGTCCCAGGTGGGGGCGATTCATCTTCCGTCGCCGAATAGTCCCGCAGTTGAACATAAAACACCATATCTCCCGCAGTTCAGCCGGCGAACGAATCAGTTGGAGGAGTGTCGGCGAGGAGGAGGATGGTGGACCAATCGGTTGGAGGAGGTCTGGTCGCCGACGGCAGAAGAATCGCCAGTCTCCTCTCCTCACGATTTCGTTCTGGCCGTTGGGGGTAATAGTCCAATTGGGGACCGGATGGGTGAAGGATTTGTTCCGACCGGTTGGATTGCCGGGTTAAGTGGGTTGATTAACCATTTTCTAATTAATATTTGCACTGACGTGTCATGCTGACGAGGCAATCTAGAACGGAATTTGGAACGGAATTGGACGGATTTACTATTTTGTTATTCACTCAAACTTTTATTATCGAAACGTACAAAATTAAAGAATTATGACCGTTTTGTACAAAGTGAATAGGTTTGTAACCATTTATGATAACTACCCAATGTTCATTTCATTTGTTTGCCTAGTTGATCCAGTTGGTGTTTTCTCTCTCTATCTCCGCAGTTCCCGGTTTCCATTCTTTCTGTCCCTCTGTTTAGTGTTTACGAAGGGGGCGCGAGGAGAGAGAGAGAGATGCCGAAAAGCTGAACGCAGCGAGCCAACCGAGAAACAGAAATACCCGTTGTAAATACCGAAGCCATAACGCCATTAACACAATAGAAACAATGGCCGCCTGCTGAAACTCCGTCGACCAACTCCGTCTCCGACCCGATTACGCTCCGCCTCCTTCCCCCAAAACATCGAAGATTCGCGCTCCCCGCACATTTTGCACCCCTCACCTATCGGGATTTCACCGCCACCTCTCTCTGTAAATCCTCTCTCTCTCTCTCCCTCTGTTCTGTTGTCTTCGGCTCTTGTTGGATTGCTTTCTTCTGATCCTTCCCTCTCTGTGATAGTTTCTTTTCTTCTTTTTTTCTGCGAATCCAGTGAGATCAAGGAAATTGCGTTCCTCGAGAGATCATGAGGAATAGTATGAATTTCTGAATCATCTGTTTGGTTCCTTCGAAGAAGGAGAGGGAAAGAGTAAACAAGATAATCGCCAATACGCATTTGACGTTTTCCATTCATCGACCTTTTTCCTTGTAGTGAAAGGAAGATAAACGAGGCACTCTTAGCGCTTGATCTGTGCTTAGTGGGGTTGATTGTTTTGCCAGAAAGTTTCATAATTTAGTGTGTGTGGCGTTTGAAAGTTGACAATGTGTTTGCCCCTTTTTTTTTCTAGGGTTTTATGTGCATGCTTGTTTCTTCGATGATCATATGATATGATGTTTTTTGAAGTGTATGTGGTTTAGAGACCAAAAAAATCCCATACTAAGACCAGAAAATCTTCATTTGCGTTTCCCATTGTTGGTCGAAGTCTTGTGGATCCGTCATATTGGTCAATAGCCGATATCAAGTCGCGATTTTTCGGTTTTTCATTTAAGCATTTTTCCTGCTGTATTTGATCCTATTGTAGAACTTCTAGTGATGTTTGATTTGTTTCGCTTGTGCAGGTTCTCGGGTTATTCTGGTATTTGGGTCTCTTGATTGCTCATCAGACCCCGAAATCCTTAAAAGGCCCCTCAGATGGTTGAAACACATTTGCTTGTACTGTGAGGTAAATTGTGTTCTCTAGAGAGCCGTTTTGCCTCACAATATTGTGATACTGTAACCTTCTGCTTATTCATTTCGAGATGGATTCAGATTCTTTTGCACCTTGCCTAGAATCAAGATGTAATTTCGGCATGGTCCATGAAACCGTATCGGAGATCGTACCGGAAAAGTCAGCGGTAGGGTATTTTATGACAAAACCGTAGTTTAACCGTTAGTACCGTTAAATACCGCATACGGATTTAGCCTCCGATACTGGTATTTTGTGGTTGAACCGCCGATACGGTACGGTTTCATGGACTATGAATTTCGGGTGGTTTGTTCTGTTATTTTTTTTTTGTCACTAGTAAAGACTATAATAATGGTCTTGATTCTAATTAAGCATGTATTATGACAATGTGTTAAAACTGGTATCTGGTCCTTTGGGTTGCTTCTAGAAAGCAGAGTATTTGTCTTTGTAATTTGCTTTCTTGATGTTATTTCAAGCTAAAGGTTTACGGAATAGGATCAGCTTCTCTTTCATTGTGCTGTTTTGTGCTAGGATCATAGATTTATTGAAAACCTTGATATTCTGAAGATCCTACTTAATCATATATATATAAAAGAGATTTCAGAGCTAGACTTGGGAAGCATGGAATGCACAATATCCATGTTACTTTGAAGTACAAGGCGATCTGCATTTTTAGATCCTTCTTAAAAACCTACGCTTTACACTTCTAGGTCATCAAAACGCTTCTATGTAGAATCACGCTTTTCACTTACATCTGTAGTCAAAATCTACGTTTTAAAGCTTACGATTTTACGCTTCTATGTCACCCAACCGCTTCTACGTAGAATCACGATTTTGATTGCATTGCTTAGGGATAAGATGTATGAGCTAATGTTGCTTTTAAACAAATTATGCTGCTGTGAGCTGGTTTGATAAAGTTTCTGAAGCTTTGTTGCATGCTTGGCTTGGTCATAGCCCATAGGCATTCAGGTCATATATTGAGATGGAACCACGTACTAAAGAAGCTTCCCCTACTGTGAAAGCGGAGGCAGGCGAAGACACTACTCCTAGCTTCAAAGATTATGTCCATCAAGCCATTCAAAGGATCATTGATATTTCTTCTTCCTCAGAGGAGGATGACTCTGATGAGCCTCAAGAGGATGTGGAGGATGGCCAAGTTCAGGAAAATCATGCCAACAAACAGCTAGTGCTCTATGATCCTGGTGCAAGCAGTAATAACAGCGAGCTTGACACGAATCCTCAACCAATTCAGAGCAGAGCCCCAATGATTACAAGATATACCCCTCGAGTTATGCCTAAAGTTTTGCCATCCGTAGGTGCTTTCACAGTTCAATGTGCCAAGTGTTTCAAGTGGAGGCTCATCCCAAGAAAGGAGAAATACGAAGAAATACGCGAACATATACTGGAAAGACCGTTTTATTGTGAAGCAGCTAGAGAATGGAGGCCTAACGTATCATGTGATGATCCAGAGGACATTTCCCAAGATAGCGGCAGGCTCTGGGCAATTGACAAACCGAATATTGCCCAGCCACCTCCGGGATGGCAACGGTTACTACACATCAGGGGCGAAGGCAGTACCAAGTTTGCTGATGTGTAAGTCTATTTCTTATTTTTATTCTTGGTTTCTCTTCGTGTTTGAACAACTTATGGGCGCTTTGAATCGTCAATTGGAACTGCAACGTAGACATGATAAGTTCCCTTTTGAGAGATGATATGAGAGCCTTTAGATTGATGAGCCTTGATGGTATTGCAGTTGCACCTGCATGTGATTGGAGATTCATTGAAAGTATGTTTTCATTTTGTTTTCCACTCAAGTATGTTTCCGAACAATATCTTTCAGGTACTACATGGCACCCTCTGGAAAGAAACTTCGGTCTTTTGTTGAGGTACAAAAGTAAGTTGGCTTTACTCTGGTTGCAACAGTGAGAATGTTATTAGAAGCTATTATTATGTATTAAGGGTGAGAGTACTTACTCTTCAGAGAGATATTTATAGGTGCGTGTTTTTCTTTTTAACCCTTAATGTTGCAGGTACTTGGCTGATCACCCTGAATTTGCCGAAGGATTATCCATGTCGCAATTTTCATTCCAAACTCCAAAACCTTTGCAAGAAAACTATGTGAGGAAGCGTCCTCGTTTACCCCCTCAAACTGATAATCCCAGACTTCTACCACCAACGGAAGGTACATGTGGAAAAAGAACTGATATTTGTGTCATACTAGCTTCTTGGTTATGGTTGCTGCTAACTGAATAGTAAGAACTAAAAAGTTACATGAATCTGCTTGTCCATACATTGAGTGAAAAACTTCATTGCAGTGAAAATTTTGCTGACTTGCTGAATAGAAATCATTCCAACTAATATTCCCCATTTTTTCCCTCAGTGACTCCTCTCTCAATGGTTCGTCCAGAGAATTATGTAGATCTGCAGCTTGGTATTCCGCCGCTCTTGCCTCAGGAACCTGCTTCTGATTCTGCTGGTCAACCAGCAAAGAAGCCAAGAGCTTTCTGGAAAGACATGTACTGTGATGAAAGCTCAGTCTATAACAACCAATGTCAGCCGGCGGTAGGAGATCCGAGTCAATCTGTAAATGATGGTTTGAGTCTTTGAACTCTTTCCTCCCCAGAAATCCTTGCATGCCTCGGTTACAATATTTTTTTGTTCACAGGCTTTATCTTTTGTTTACTGGAACGAAAGAAACCTATATCCGAGCCCAGGAGGCACGGGGATCGGCCTGTGAAGCATATATTGTATTGTTTAGTTAGTGTTTGTGGAAATATAGTTTGTATTCTCTGTCAAATCTCTATCATCTTCTCTCTGAACTTTCTCTTCTCTACAAGCCTGCAACTTTCTACCATTCCATGCCCAGTTGCTGTTAAAAGAGACGTCGACTATTTTGCTCTTGGCAATAATGGCTTTCGGCCAATGTCAAGGATCGAGTCCCTACATGCTCAGCGACAAGACCGCGATCCATTATTCGAGCAATTTCATTCCTTCGTCCTTCGGGCTCATATGTCCGAGTAATAATCTGCTTCATGGCCGGATAATCCAAGCGTGCCAGAACCCAACAATATGACGCAAATGATCAATGTCCTGAAATTTTCAAAGCTTGATGAGTCGAGCCGTTTTATAGACCTCCTGACTTCATTGGCAAAAACAGCACACTGTCAAAGGTTAAAATTGGCTGTCACGCAAGACGAACTTAACAGAAAATGAACGATGAAGAAGTTTGAAGAAAGAAAAAAAAATTTAAGTGACAAACGAGCTTCTTCTTATAAACCCAATGACCAAACATGTAATTTACCTTTATCTCTGTGAAAAATGGCAGTCTGCACAAAAAACCAATATTTTCCCGTAACGGATTAAGAATTTAATCGACATTTCAATATTTCATCATCCAGAAACAAGAAACGGAAATCTTTTATCAACTTGGAAAAGAGTATCAACAATTCCATCTTTGTCTTTTGAAACGTCACCATTTCCCCTTTTTTTTCTCGACGGAATTCCCATACGAGATTCACGTAACCATCGATTGGATCATGGACGTCCATGTCGAATCCAAACAACAACAACCAAACTTTTTCATATCAGGACAAAAAGAAAAAAAACAATCAATCAAACAGAAACAGTTTTTTTCCCCCTTCTTCAAACAGGATTTTTCTCCGCTAAACGAAATTCATATCCATTTCTCGAGCCAGAGCCGCCTCTCTCTTTCGCAACCTCCTCGATTGTGAAGAAGCTACAATGGCTACTACTGCGCCCCTGGTGTTTGCGTACTACGTCACTGGCCACGGATTCGGCCACGCCACTCGCGTCGTTGAGGTAAAAAAATGGCGACCTGGTTTCCGCGTTGGCGGGAATGTGGTTTTGAAATTTGCTTGGATGCGACGATTGATTGATTGAAATGATCGATTGGTGTTTTGATGCGTAATTGCAGGTGACGCGCCATTTGATCGACGCCGGCCATGTGGTCCACGTCGTCACCGCCGCGCCGGACTTCGTCTTCACTACCGAAATTCAGTCGCCCAACCTCTTCCTGCGCAGGGTTTTTTCAACTTTCTCTCTCTTTTTTTCCCCCCCATTTCTCTGTTCATTGTCAGCTGCATTGCCTGCATTATGATTGGTGGGCGGTGGCTCGTCATTTTGCCTCCCTCGAAATCTCGCAAAGTGCTTCTGAGCTTGTTTTAGTTGTCGCAATTGGAAAGTGACTGTGAGGTCTATTGCGCGCTGCCTTGCAGGTATTGTTGGACTGTGGAGCTGTTCAATCAGATGCGCTCACGGTTGATCGTCTTGCCTCATTAGAGAAGGTGCGCTTCTGTTTTATTGCGCCCTCAGTTGCCTTAAGGAGCGATTCTGGCTGGTTTGATTTTGTTATGTTTTTGTCACTGGTGCATGCAGTACTCCCAGACAGCTGTGATTCCCAGGGAGTCTATTTTAGCATCAGAAGTTGAGTGGCTCAAGTCCATTAAAGCTGACTTAGTGGTAACTTACAACTTTTATTATCGTGTTTCCAATCAATCGGTGGCTCTTTAAATCAATTCAATATGTTTCAGATGTCTGGTGAATTCAGTCTCAGTAGTCTTTTTTAATGGAGCAGGTTTCAGATGTCGTGCCTATTGCATGCCGCGCAGCTGCAGATGCAGGAATTCGTTCCGTCTGTATCACCAACTTCAGGTGAAGTGGTTTTTTTGATACCTCACAGATAATAATATATTGAAGTTTTGCCATGAGACATTGATTCTATTGCTGGGTACCGCGTAGAACCTGCTTGTGGTCCAGATATGTCTACTTGCTTTAGTCGGGTATCTGATATCGTTTATTGGGACGAAGTGAATCAAGCAAGCGCTGTTACAGTCTGAGTGTTGTGTTACCTGTTTCTTTGCTTCATGAAACTCCACAAGTTGCCACAATTTTCTATTGGTTGTTCCCATATTTAGGAGTGATTTATTTTGCACCGGGTCAACATTAATGCTGTAGTTATTTTGCTACTCATCCTCTTAATTGATCTCAACACATATCCTCTACGTTCCTCTTTTTATTTTTATTTTTGAAGTGATTATCTTTGTCTTTGATTCTCATGAGTAATGTTGCTATCTAATCCCATTTGCATTTGATTAGACTAAAGCCAGGTCACTTGAATGACATTTGCTTTCATTCGTCTTTTGTTTGCAGCTGGGACTTCATTTATGCTGACTATGTGATGGCCGCTGGCCATCACCACCGGTCAATTATTCTGCAGGTACTGGTTCAGATTATTCTTCTCTATAGCATTCTTCTGTTTGGAGTTGGAAAATTGAAACCTACTGCAACTGCCTTCCATTTGACGAATTCGAGGGACCTTTGTTGTCATCAAGCATAAGTATCACTTTCCTTCTTAGAGTAGCTCATCATTTGCGACTCAGGAGTACGGATTGTAGTGGTAGTTAGTGGTCAGAATGAGGTTAATGGGTGCAAGAATCACTGCCACTTTTGTTCCCTGATTTTTAGAAGAAAAGATTTGTTATATATTCCTCTCGAACTTTGCTGCAATTCCACTTTACTGTGTCCTGTTTTGCTTGCTGGAATTTGGTATCTACTACAGATGTATTTAACTATTTATCAATCTTATATCTGCCATAGTCATCTAGTACTCAATTTCCAGAGGAAGAATGGGCATCACTCATCTTTTCAAGTGACTTTGCAGATTGCTGAAGATTATTCTCATTGCGAATTCTTAATTCGCCTGCCAGGATTTTGTCCTAGTAAGATTATGACAAATTTCCTTTAAATTACTTATCCAAAAAAAAATGAAAACCATGTCCTTTGATTTTTTCCTTTTTAACTCCTGGATCAGATTTATCTCAGTAGCTTGCTTCGAAGGAGGTTTCTTTGATGTGCATAATGTTTGTCTTTGCCTGTCCCTGCCCTTATCTACTCGGTTATATATTTTTCACATAAAACATTTGTTTGTCATCTTGCAGTGCCAGCTTTCCGTGATGTAGTTGATATTCCCCTTGTGGTGAGGCGGCTGCACAAGAGCAGAGAAGAGGTTTGGGCATAAAGCTACTCTGTGGAACTACAAACTCCCAGCAATAGCAGCACAAAGGATAGCTTATCATTTCCCAACTTCCCTGCAATGCAGGTGAGAAAGGAGCTTGGAGTTGGAGATGATGTGAAGCTGTTGATTTTCAACTTCGGAGGGCAGGTGACTGGTCTCCTTATTTGTTGTAATTGACATATTTTTAATTGCCATGTCAGATCATGTTACCCTGCTTGCTGATGACCTTTTACATCCTATATATTGGAGTGTATTCCCAGAAGCTCCCCATTAACTTGCCTTGATTTTGCAAGCTCCTAACATGGTTGTGTCCAGCTTGTCGCCTGCTCATCCTTGTTGTTCTTAGTGGATACAAACTAGAACTCGGTTAAAATTTCACGTCTTCAAATCCAACAGTGAAAAATGACGACTTTCAAATAAAAAATAACCATATATATATTTATTTTTAATTGGACTCCTCATTGAGCTGAAAGTATTTGTGGTTCATGGTTCAGTTATTAGGTTTATGGAAGGCGAGTGAAAAATGAAACTAAGAGGAAGTAGATGATAGAGAGGTTTTGACCAATGCTTCTAGTTGGCCATCAGTACAACAGTCAACCATATTCACCGTAGCAATTTATTGACACTTGCTTATGTAGACGTCGCATATTTTGTTACATGTAGTTAGTATAAGTTTGTTTAGTACCCCGTAAATGTACAAAATGAGTTTATAAATTCGCTCTTATAATATTTTAGAGTCGTCTCTTTTTTATAATTTATTTAATATTTCACGTAATGAGCAAATTTAGAATGGTCGAACTCGAATCTTCTCTTACAGTTGAGTGATACAACATGTTGTATGGTACAAACTAAATGTATACTTTTAAGTTATGGTGGATTGGATTCATGGATTGGTTCAAAAGGATTGGTGGATACATTATTTTCAAATAGATTCAGTAGATTTTCTTGCTGCATTGTTTTTCTTTTTCAATGCTATTAAATTCTCATTGCTGCATAGTTTTTCTTTTTCTTTCTCAATGCAAGGAAAGAATTTCACAGTCAATTGTTAGTCAGCACATGCTTGGTTACTGGTTTAATCCAGACTGTTCATGTGCTTTTCCATTATCTGCTACTTGCAGCCAGCTGGTTGGAAGCTAAAGGAGGAGTATTTGCCAACTGGTTGGAGGTGTTTGGTAAGTCTTTTTTTTTTCCTTTCAAAATCAAGGAAATGCATTCCCTTGTGAGCAGAAACTGGTTGTTAAGTCCTTTCAAAGGTCTATTCACGAATGGAGAGTACTTTTATTGCACTCCATGAATGCAACGGCACAAATTTGAGAATCTGTCAGCGACCCTTCCCCCTTTTTGTAACTTGAATGTCTCCAAAGCCTTGCGCCCCTCACTATTTCAAGCCTGGATTTGGTCAAGCAATGCACTGAAATCAAATATCCTTGCCTCACTTTTTCACTTGATGGCAGTTCATTATTGATGTTCTGGTCAAACAATCAATAAAAAATGTCAAAAGCCATCTTTCAATCAAAACGCAGGATTCCTTGCTTTGTAGTTTGTACAGTCTCTGGAATAAGTGCACATCTAGTTGGTCATGAATATTACATGCCATAATATTTCAAGTTAAACATATTGAGTATATTTCCTATGTGAAGTATTTTGTTTTTTCTTGTAGGAACTTACCTTTTTTTTCTGCTGCTAAATTGGATATAGGTGTGTGGTGCATCAGACGATCAAGAACTTCCCCCCAATTTTATCAAGCTTTCAAAAGATGCATATACACCTGACGTTATAGCAGCTTCAGATTGCATGCTTGGTAACTCGTTTGCGCTTTTGTTCCAGTAAAGACCGTTGATGCTTCTAAATGTTCTGATCTAGACTTTCCTATCTCAGGAAAAATTGGATATGGTACATCTAGTGAGGCCATGGCTTACAAGTTGCCATTTATCTTTGTACGGAGAGATTACTTCAATGAAGAACCTTTTTTGAGAAACATTATTGAGGTGGAATTTTAAGTTTGTTGGATGAATTGGGTTTATTGCTGAATTATATTGGCCTCATTCCCTCAACCATAACATGTTTATTGTTTTTCTGACTTCAGCATTACAAAGGTGGTGTGGAGATGATTAGACGTGATCTGCTGAGTGGATGTTGGCAACCCTACATTGACCATGCTGTTAGCTTGAAACCATGCTACAATGGGGACATTAATGGTGGCGAGGTGTGATTTTCAGGAATTTTCTAGCTGATGAGCCATAGTTTAACAGTATCATGGGCAAACCAAATTTAGTGCACGGGCCCTGATTCACATATAGATATCTGTATAGAATGTATTTGCTAAATATCTTTGTTCAGGTAGCTGCAAGCATACTGCAGGACACAGCTCATGGAAACGTCCATACTAAATATAAGGTAAATTCTAGTCAGTCCCCCCCCCCCCCCCCCCCCCCCCCCCCCCCCAAACCACTTGTTCTGCATATTATTTATTTTTATTTGTTTAGGGTTTTATGATATGCTATGTCCTCTGTATTATGATTTCTGATCAATCTTCAGTAACTTATGATTGTACTTTACCTTAAATTCTTTGTTTGGCTAGAGAGCATGGTTGTCATCAGTTATTTTTTGCTGATGAAACAATTTTTCTGGTGCTCTTACATTTCATATTCGGATGAAACTCAGTTTGCATAACATTGAATCTCTCTTTCCCTAAAACATGTACTCTTCTACTGCAGCCTTGTGGAGCAAGACGACTACGAGATGCAATAGTACTTGGATATCAGCTAAGAGGAATTTCTGAACGGCAAGCCAATGTTCCAGATTGGTATGTCCATGCACCATTGCCATCGCAGGAACACGAGCTGTCCAAAGAAGAAATGTAGGTTCTTTATTATTATCCTTAAGATTTTTGTATGTTTATCGTTTTTTTATTTTTTATTATTGTTGTTGTTATGCTTTTTTCTTCAACCCTTTACATTGAGATCTTTCTGCTGGGAGACAACTGCTGTTGCACATTTATTCTTTTGAAGAAAATGACTTCTAGATACTTTTCTACACTATTTTTCCCTTTTCTAACATTTTAGATTTTTTCTTTCTGTTTCTTCCTCTTACAGCCATATACCAGATTTTGAAGTTCTCCATGGGGACCTTCAAGGTCTTTCGGATACTGCTAGTTTTTTGAAGGCATTGGGAGAGCTTAGTGCTATTGACTTTGAAAGGGATAACAAGGACCAGTTGCGGGAGCGTCTAGCGGCCGCAAGGCTTTTCAATTGGGAGGTGACTTTCTGACCTGTTCTTCTTGCTCTGCATACTATTAACTGGATTTATTTTAGAATGAACTGGTTCTTTGAAATTCATACCAAAGTTTAGTAGCCATGTTCCACTTCCTCTCTGTGTAAGTATGTGCAGACAAGTGGGGTTCAAATGGCGGGATATAGGGAGTCATGGTATTATCATATTTCCCGTGGAAGAGGCTGATACTGCACCTTCTGCACCTTAAAGGTCTTAGTAATGATCAGACATGAACTGAGAATGATATATGGCTTAGGAGCTTGACTTCGTCTGTCTGTGCGTGCAAAATGTGGAAACGAGTTTGTTGCTCATATGATTGTGTTGCATAAAGCTGTGTAAACACAGTATCATGTATAAGCCTCACTTCTCCCTGTAAAAAAGTGAAAAATAAGACATTACCCTGCTCATCAGGTCCTAATAGTAGGAATAGCGTTAATTGTCTGGCAACACCATAAATTCCAACCTTGTTTGGTAGTACAGGAGGAAATATTTGTCGCGAGAGCACCTGGCAGATTGGATGTGATGGGAGGAATAGCAGATTATTCAGGAAGTCTTGTTTTGCAGGTTCTATCATTTCTCCTTTATTTTCATTTTTCCAAATTATGTTATGCTCCTTGGCTCATGAAATGACCAGATTTTAGGCACATAATGTTTGGGAAAGTTATTTATTTACCTAACATGAGCAGCATCGCAGATGCCTATCAAAGAAGCATGCCATGCTGCTGTCCAGAAAAACCATCCTAGTAAGCAGAAGTTGTGGAAGCACGCACAAGCTAGACATCATAGTGACCGTGACAAACCAACACCTATTCTAGAAATTGTATGATCAGGCTCTTTGAAGCATTTCACCTTTATGCTCAACTCTTCCATATCTCTCATCATTGTAGTTCATTTGAGATCTTGATGCATAATAAGCAGTTACTAAAGTGTATCACTTGAGCATCAATGTTGAAATGTAATTCAAAATAATCCGAGTCCAGCAGTGCAATTGAGCATAGCTTGAAACACCAGTAGTTTCAGTTCCTACAGTCTTTGGTATATGTTATTTTCTGATTTATAATACTTTTAGCTTTTGACTTCTTCAGGTGTCATTTGGAGCCGATTTGAGTAATCGTGGGCCAACATTTGACATGGACATATCTGACTTTATGGATGGTGAGCAGCCAATTTCTTACGAGGCTGCACGCAAGTACTTCTCTCGTGATACTTCCCAAAGGTTCGCTCCGCAGATTTACTAGAGTGTTTGTCTCCTTGGCAACTTTATAACGATTTTGCGGGTTTGAACATTCTAGGTGGGCAGCCTATGTTGCTGGGGCAATTTCGGTACTGATGACTGAGTTGGGAGTCCGTTTTGAGGACAGCATAAGCATTGTGGTTAGTATCTCTCTCTCTCTCACCTGTCTTTTCTGTATTCTTTACTGATTTTTACCCAGAAGATTTCACTAATGCGCTAAATTATTCAGTAATGGCCTATCCGTTGTATTTCAGAATTGTTTACCTTTATCAGTATAAGGAAAATGTCTACAGTTTTCTTTTGGGTGCTGTGTGCAATGCACCTTCAGTAGATGTACTGTTAGCAAGTTTCTTTTGATTATACCGATTATTTTCTTCTAGTAGATATTGCGTTTGCCTCTGTCATTGAAATTTCTTCCACATTTCAGATATCTTCTGCTGTTCCTGAGGGAAAAGGTGTTTCTTCTTCAGCAGCAGTCGAGGTTGCAAGCATGACTGCTATCATTGCTGCGTATGGTGATTACTGGGATATGAATATTAATGAATTTACTATGCAATTTATTTGATTTATTGTCCGCTATAATTATCATCTAATGCTCTAGTCAATCTGCAGTTCGATATTGTCTGGCTGATAAAATTCATGATTGAACTGTATCAGTATCAAATTTCAGATTTGGGTTTGTGTTTAGCATCCCAATTGTAACTGCCTCACTCTGGTTTGTTTTCTAAATGCAGGTTTGAAGATCGCCCCTCGAGACATCGCTTTGCTCTGTCAGAAGGCACGATCCATTGGCTTTCCATGTTGATAACCTTCTTTCAGTCTCGAGTCTATTTTTCTTTGTGGGGATTATTTGCCCATTCCATTTCTGTACTTTCAGGAACTTCCATTGAGGATTTTTATTGAGCTGTAGTTATCTGCAGGTAGAGAATCACATCGTTGGAGCCCCATGCGGAGTGATGGACCAGATGGCTTCAGCATGTGGTGAAAAGAACAAGCTTCTTGCTATGTTGTGCCAGGTAACAGCTGCCTATACTTAATTCTGCTCATGTTAGTCACTGTCAAACGCTACTGCCTCATAACATTAGTCTGTTTACTTTTCAGCCAGCTGAGGTGTTAGGATTGGTTGATATTCCTTCCCATATAAAATTCTGGGGGATCGACTCGGGTCTTCGACACAGGTATATCATGATATTCTCTTTCTTTTTGTGAGCCTTAGCACGTTGGAATCATTGAAAATACAGTTGGCCCTAAGCCTATTTCTCATGATGTACTTGAATACTGTATTGGTTGAACGTAAAGAGCTAGTTGATTTTTCTTCTCACAGTAAGTAAAACAGGGGCTTCAACTCACCTTCAAGTCATAACTGAAAGTCTTAATTTCTTGTCTCTTCTAGTGTTGGGGGTTCAGACTATGGTTCGGTGAGGATTGGTACTTTCATGGGCAGAAAGATGATGAAATCAATGGCCTCTAGCAAAGTAGATGAATATAACTCTGATGAGACGGGAAGGAATAGCACCGAACTGCTCGAGGCCGAGGCTTCATTAGCCTACTTATGCAACCTGCCACCTCACAGGTATGTGAAGTCATTTCTGGTCAGAAGTTCTGGCTGGCAAACACTTGAACGCTACACAAATAATCAGGCATAGGACAAGTATGGTAAATGGTTTTAGTATCGAAGTTATGTTACTATTTTCATCTCAAAACCACGTCCTTTCCACACAAATCTATGTGCTCCTTAATATTTGACTTGATGTCTTTTCCCCCTACAGGTATGAAGGTGGATATGCAAATAAGCTTCCAGAACGAATCACTGGTGAAGAATTCTTAACCAAATACGGAAGTCATGATGATCCTGTCACTGTAATCAACAGAGATATGAGTTACGCTGTTAAAGCGCCTACTGCACATCCTGTTTACGAGAACTCCCGAGTCAAGGTTGGCATTAACATTCTCCAATTGTATCTCCAAGTTTTCATCAAATTTCCATTCGTATCTATCGAGTTTTCAGCTCTACGGGTGTATGCTGGCTTGATCTGCAGGCTTTTAAATCGTTGTTAACAGCCGCTGCCTCGGATGAACAACTTTCAGCTCTAGGGGAGCTTATGTATCAGGTTTTGTGTATAAATAGTGCCGCCATTGCTTCACAACTAAACTAATAATCCAGTCTTTAGCAGCAAAAGAGAGGATGCAGTGTCACGAATTAGCCCGTTTGTTGTTCATTTCTCCTGCAGTGCCATTACAGCTATAGTGCATGCGGCCTGGGTTCCGTTGGCACCGACAAACTGGTGGAATTGGTACAGATGATGCGTCTCGCTGGGACTCTATACGGAGCCAAAATCACAGGTGGTGGTAGCGGCGGAACAGTTTGCGTTATGGGGGAGAAGAGCGTGAGAAGCAGTGAACAAATTCGCGAGGTATATAAAATTAGCACGATGAGAGAGTACTATCACTACTACCTTGTGAGCTACGTCAATGTGCCTGCTTTTCCTGCCATTGTTTGTTTACAGAGAGTGAAACTTGCCTAACACGGCTTCTCTTCTCTAATCCACAGATTCAACAGAGATACAAGAACGCCACAGGGTTCATGCCGTATGTGTTTGAAGGATCGTCGCCCGGTGCTGGCAAGTTCGGTTATCTGAAAATTCGCCGACGCAGCAGCCCCAAGTCAGACTTTGCTGCTGCTTCATCACTAACCGCATCTGCAGAGCATTGAATGGGGACCATGTTTGAACTCCAAAAGGTCCATTAGAAAAGGGAAGGAAAGGTAATTGATTGCCTAATCGAATACTTATAATACCGTCATTACACTGATCAATAAGATTACGAACACTCCTACCAATCTGCTGAAAGCAGCCATTCTGTTCAATGAAACGGTTGGTCTCTTTGATCAACAAATTTTTACTCCTGTAAATGTACTTAATACTGAATCAAGAAGACATCAAAGAAATCGTGGATGGAACATAAGTCACGACTTGAAAACTGTACCACTTTGCTTCGACCGCAAGGCGGTATCTGTCTTCAGCAACACGAGGATCGACGACGCGCAATTTCTCGTCGCCGCCTACGAACGAAACACCTCCCCTGTTTCCAAAGCGCAGGGACGTCGTAGAACAGCTTCGAGGAACACGCAGGGAAACCGGACACTGCAAGCAGCTTGATCCACGAGCATCGAGACCCGAGCTCGTAGTCCAATGCCGCCCATATCTGGTACGAGCAGTGCATCGATTCGAAGCTCTTTGCCCGGGGACACAATGCTCACCAACGACTCCTTCACGATGGACACCAACAGGAGGCATCGATCAGCATCGTCGTCACCAGGTACGCGCAGCCTGATCACCTTGAACTTCTCGTCGCTCATGTCGAACGAAGCGAGAGTGAGGTACCGATCGTCCTGGTAGTCGTCGTGCAGCTGGTACTGCTTGTTCTGCTACTGGTCACGGCCACAACTTTGTAGTCGTTCGATTATCGGGTCAAATCCGAACCCAACCGTCTCGATGTAGGGTTGGCAATGTCCGGGAAGTCCAAGGATGTTGCTTGGAAGAAGAAGTGGAGGCAGAATCTTGGTATCCGAAGTTGCGGGATTCCACAGCATGATTCTCTGATCATTAATGTCTTTGTTTACCGTAAATGCAGAAGATTCCGTGGGAGCAACCGGCGATTGTGGGAGAGATGAGTAAGTCTGGGAATGGGGCGGCGGGGATGGTGGGCTGGAGGGTGTGGTAGGAGAGCTGGGAGTAGATCGTGGGACTGGGAGCAGAGGCTCTGCCGCTGCCGCGGCGGCCGACGAATTCTGGATGATCTTCCCTCCGGCGGCGGATGATGAGAATCTGAGCGCCGGATTCAATTCGATTGTCGAAGAAGAGGATGTCGCGGATTATATTGGGATCGGAGAGAAGACGGTACCATGATTTGCTGACGCAGCGGGATCGTCCGACGCTTCTCCTACTCCGCAGCCTCTTGAGGATTTCGATTGCTAATTCCTCAGGCAAGTGGCCGTCGCCGTCGCCGCCGCCGCTGCCGCTGCCGCTGCAGGGTTTGGTTCCATGACCGCTTCCGGTTGCTGCCATGATTAGTTAATTGCGACTTCTCGGATTGCGTTTCCTGCCACACCCTCCAATTTTAATAACAACTAATTAGCGGATTACCCTAAGCACTAGACCTCCAATTTTGAGTTATATTCCTAAATCCCAAATTGTAAACCCTAACCCTAAATCTCTAAACTGTAAATCCTTCAAATTAAAGTAAATCTTTAATGATTTTTGTGCAAATTCATGTGCGTTATTGTTCATCACATCACAAGTGATGATTGACATCATTTTGACATAAATCGCATGTTTAAAGTGACGGTTATAAAGTGAATGCACTGAATTCACCCAAAAAAGTGAAAGCACTGAAGACGCCACCACATATATGATATATATACCAAGTCGATGGGATCGATTTAACAAACTTGTGATTACGTGCATGATCGCTTGTATCTATTGCAATTGGGGTTTTACCATTGCTCAATTGTTGATTCGACGGGTGATGGAGGTGGCTCATAATGTGAGTGTACTTCTTTTTTACGGAATCTGGGCGGTTTGTTAGTTTGTCACTTTTTCTCTTGTACGTTTACGTTTATTCAGTTTTATAGGCCTGTTTATATAGGGGGGGGGGCGTATTTTCATCGACAGTTCGATTATTTGTCGACTGTCGTATCTGATTTTGCTGTACTTTTGCACTATTTTACAACACGCTATCTATATAAAAAAAATTACATCGATTGGTTTAGAAAGTAAATGTGTGCATACGCCACTTTCTATTTTAGTATTTTACTATAGCAGTTGTGTTGTTAATGACATTTTGAGATTGTTTAGTGTAGATCAATATTACATATTAAATTGTAGTATGAATTTAATAGTTTGAGTGTCGTAGTTCGAGTAAGTATTTTTTTTGGCGGCAGTTAATTTGTTAAACCTTTAATTTTATGTTTTTGAGTTAGCTAATTAAACTTTGTGAAACCTACCCTTGAAAAAGAAATTGTCTCTTTTACCATATATAAGTGTTAGTTGCTGACAAAAGTTTGTTTAACTCAGCTTTTCATTAACATCGTTAAGTTTATTAGTGAAAAATGCTATATTAATATTTGTCAGGGGTTCAAACGGATTGGTTACCGTGGTAACCATATTAACTGATAGCATTCGATTAATTAGGTTTGGTTAATTTGGCTAATTGGTTTGGTTTGGTTAAATAATTTAGCTTATTTGGTTTGGTTTCAACACTCCTAACTAATGAAATCAATTAACCAATTAATGATACACATAATATACAAAATTATTTATACTTCCATGCAACCAATCACACCAAACTTTCGTGATTCCCTATTTTATTTCTATGTGCACAACAAACCAAAACATTATGGATAAAAAATTCAATGGGCCTGCCTATATTCACTAAACCAAAACATTTTGGACAACTACTAGACTTTAGGATTACGTGCAATACCATGACAACCACCTCAAACTATGTTAGTTTAAGTGTTTTGTAGGAGAGCTTTAACTTCTTGATGAGGGGTATTGGCATGTATTTATGTTTAGGGGTTTGTTGTAAGCTACCTATATTAGGTGCAGAGATGATGAATGATGTATTAACTCGAATGATGGATGATTAGTCTTATTATTATTGCTTATATAAAATGATAATTTATGTTTGTTTTCATGTAAAGTTATGTTATTTGGTTAATCCGTTTATCCGATTAACCAAACCAATTAAATTTTGATTTGGTTAATTTGATTTTCGTTGAACGATTTGATTAAGATATTTTATTCCATGATTAATAAAACTCAGATTTAATTGATTTGATTATTACTACGGTAACCATTTGAACGACCCCTAAATTATTTGTCTAACAAATTGCTAATTTGTTAAAATTTTACTCCCTCGACTAGATGTTGGGCCGGCCACAAAGTCAAATCCTGTCATTAACGAGAAAGCCCGGCCCATGATCTACGAGTGAAGAAACGCAGTGACGGATTCCTTCCTTGTAACCAAACAAGCTATCCTCTCTCAGCCATCGCAACCTGGTGGAGTAGTGCAGCAACCAGCAGATATCATAGTACTACAGACCGCGGCCGGGGCGAATTGAACGGCGACGTTGCAAATCGGAGAGACAGAAAGGAGATCAAAAGAGAGGTGGGTGAAAATGGGCGGAGGAATGGAGGCAAACAAGAACAAGTTCATCGAGGACTGGGGCGCCGCCCGAGAGAATCTGGAGCACAACTTCCGATGGACTCGCCGCAACTTCGCCCTCATCGGCTTGTTCGGCATCGCCCTCCCCTACCTCGTTTACAAGGGAACCGTCAAGGAATTTGTAAGCCTCTCGCATCTGAAAATTTTCGCTCTGGTTTCCGTTGGTCCATGAAATGTTCTTCTTCCCCCCCCCATTTGTTGATCGAATTGTGATTCGTTTTGTAATCCAGTTTTAGGTTATTGGTTGTTGATGGGATGATAGATTTCACAGGGTGTAGTTTCGCTTGCTTCATTTTCGTTTTTTAACGTTTCTTCATCCCACTGAATGCTTGCATCATTTAAGCACCCTGACCTAAATGTCAGGGTAATTTTAGATTTGGATAAAGCCCAGTTCTTTGAAGTGAACTTGAAGATTAATGCTTGTTTCTGATCGTTGGGATGTGTTGGGTTGTATTTCCATGTATAGTTGTTCATTTCGTTCCCATTATCATGTTCTGAGTTTCCGGTAGTTGTAGGCAGAACTTTTTTGGGGAAGTTTGGGATAGTGAAAAAGCGTTTTCTCCTATAACTTACTTGGTAGCAGGCAGTTTGGAAGTGTTGGAGCCTTGGAAGTTTGTTACAAAGTACTGACTTTGGTGATGATCTAGTATTCCACCGCTAGGGAGATACTCCTGCCATTGCTGCTGTGACTCGTATTCGCAATGATATATGTGATCAGGGGGCTCTTTGGGGTATTGGGCTGTCTTCGAATTTGTCTGGTTAAGTCGGCATTAGTGAATGCTAGGGAAGATCTTTGTCTTGGTTAGGAAGTATGGTAGAGAAGGAGAGACAAAGGTTCTACTTTAGAAACAATTGAAAAAGTCTCTGCTGTGCTGATGCTGTTATCTGGGTTCCATTGGTTGCAGCATAGAAGGAATAGATTGGGGGCAGCAAAATTCGTTATGGAAGTGAGGCGAGATAGGTCGTCTCGAAAATTTTCTCCGAGATTTGATGTGCAATATTTGGAGTAACTAATGCATTGGGCTACATTAGTTGGATTACCACTTTTGCTTACTGCATTTGCATTGCCACCTTCCTTGTGTGTTCTTAGCTGCATAAGGATGAAGCTAGATTGCTGCAAAACACGCTGCTTTTTGTTTTTGCTGTTGTTGTGCAGTTAATTCTGAAGTTATGCTTGAAATCCTTATAAAAAGCATGTATCGTATGTTAGTTCATTCTGAGCTGCAAACTTAGTATATATACACATGCATCCCTGAAAATGTCCGAGTGAGAACAATTGCAGCGCCAGCTTGTACATCTTGCTATGCTAAATCCAACTAGCAAATTTTGAAACGGTAGTAAAATGCTGGTTCAGTTAGTTGATTAGAATTGTACAATGGTGTCTGTTTTGGTTATCAAAGCATATTAGCTTTCACTGCTGCGTTTCATTTTACTTTGCTGTGATCAGTCTCCTAACAATTATGGTTACAGCATATGCAAGATGAAGATGCTGGCAGGCCATACAGGAAGTTTCTTTAAGCTCATCTGAAGGATTGTGAATCAAAATAATTGCGGAACAAGTGGATTCTGGTTTTAGTTTCTTGTGTATGTCCATCTTGACAAGCTCCTGACTCTTTCGCCTGCAAGGGGTTACTCTGTATGTTCTCTTCATTTATGTCTTCGTGGCTTCTTTTTACTACGGCTTGCAGTCCACAAACACTTTTTTCCCCCTTCTGCCAGTAATAATCTTGCATTTTATTCAGTGTTGTGATACCATGTCTTACTGACCGGTGATGTTGGTTAAACCACGTACAATGACTAAGCCGGTATGCTTTTATCACGGCTTTTATACTGTCTTGCTATCGTATAAAAACAGGAGATAACCATTCTGATTTCTAAGTGAGCTAACCCTTGCTATGAAAGGAAACAGGAGATAACTTATAGATATCCACATAGACACTGATAAGAAAGAGTGAGGTTTAAAGCATTGAAGCTATCGTAGTCTCGATCTTTTCCCCGATGGGAATAAGATACTTCTTAAGTTCTATTTGAACTTCTGGATCATGAAATTGTAGGAATTGGTTGTTACTTGTTCCTAGGTATCATTAGTGAAAAGATGGTTTAAGTTTATAGTAAAGTGTTTTCAGAAAAAGCAAGGCCAAACCAATAAGACATGAATGAACATACTTCTGCGTTTTGTTCTGCCACAGCAATAATGCATGTCTGCCTAAAATACTAGCGTCTATAATTCATACATCTTGGTTTAAATTAAAGTCCATAATTGGTCGTTGCTGCATAGTTCCTAGAAGCAGCGTGGATGTGAAACTCTGTACTTCATCGGAACTGGTAGATGGTCTACCGCAAAATAGTAGCATCTGGATGCGGCTACTTCAACACAATAGAACCAAGCTCGCCGCCAGTGTGGGTTTACCAACAGAACTGTCACTATTCCCAGCAGCATCACTATATATGATCCAGAAAAACTGACTCTGAAAGCACCCATGTCTATGAAACCATCACCGCCACTTTCCTCGTAGTTCCGAGGAGGGGCTTTCGGCATTCCATCATCCACTCTCGTACCAGGGCAATCTTTCGGCAGGGGCCATCCGCATAGCAGATCATTGCCTTGATAGCTACTCTCACCAAATGTCCCAAACTGTGCCACATTACCCAGCGTCTTGCCTGACAAGTTATTGTGCGCCACGCTGAAAACTCCTAAGAAGTTCAGTTCCACAAGTTCGTTGGGGATTGATCCGTTGAGATTGTTGTACGACAGGTCCAAGCTCTCGATTTGCTTCAAGTTGGAGAACGTGGACGGGATAGGTCCCGAGAGGAAGTTATGAGACAGATTCAATACCTTGATGTTGGTAAAGTTGCCAAATGCAGGAGGGATTTCTCCTGTGAAACTGTTGTTAGAGAGATCTATTCCGGAGATGTAGACCAGAATGGTGCCCTGGTACGAATGGGACAATCCCTTTGTGGTGAATTCCAGAGGCTGCTGAGGCTGCTGTGAGGAAATAGGAGGAACAATCATAGCTTCCTCCCTCCTGCTCCAACCACTGCTCGAGCTAATGCAAGGCAAAATGTGTCCAGAAAGGTTGTTGTGAGAGAGATCGAGCAAGCTCAGAAGTTCCAACTTGCATACCTCCACCGGAATTGGTCCCTGAAAGTTATTGTTGTTCAAAAGAAGATAGCTCAGTTGAGAATACATCTGAATCCATCCTGGTATTGTTCCGGTGAAGTGGTTATGGCTCAGGTCTATTGTCATCAACCAATCTGAGTAGACATCATCAAGTGGTAATAGATGGTTCAGTGGACCTTCCAGTTGGTTTCTCGACAGATATACTTCTTTCATATATGGAGAGAAAATGCCCTTCGGTAGAAACCCAGAAAGGCTGTTCTGCGAAAGGTCCAGAACTCGAAGACTTGATTGATTTCCAATCCAATTTGGTACCGGACCACTCAGATTGTTGTTGCTGAGATCCAACATGGTCAAATACGTGCAATTCAACAAGCTGTTTGGAATCCTTCCACTCAGAAGATTTCCATTCAACTGCAACCAGTCCAAGTTGTTGACCAAAATAAGTGAGCCGTTGTTTGAATGTGCTGTGCCATTAAGTGAACCATTAACAAATGATGTGAAGGACTTTCCGAATTGGCTTGGAATATTGCCGGATAATCGATTGTTAGACAACACCAGAGTTTGCAGATACTTCAACGTGCCAAATGACTTTGGAATTCTACCCATGAACTCATTGTCGGACATGTTGGCGTACGATAACTTGGGAAATGATGCCGCGAGCTTCTGAGGGAGCTTTCCTTCAAGGTTATTGCTGGAGATGTCTAAGGAGGATAGTTTCAAGTGAGGATGGTTGGGTAGCTGCTGGAAAGATCCTGAAAGGGAATTGTCTGCCAGAATGAGTTGGACCAGGTTGGTATTGTTCTCTAGCAACCAAAACGGGAAACCACCTTGAAATGAACCATGGGAAAGATCGAGAAATCGCAAATGTTTCTGATGGTAGAGAAACTTGGGGAACGGCTGGCCAGGAAGACTGTGACTGGACAAGTCGAGCGTCTGCAGTTGGAACTTGGGGACTAGATAAGGAGAGTACTCTTCATTAGCATAGACTGTTAGATTATTGTTTCTGGCTTCTAATTTTTGAAGGTTTGTGTGGTTGAACAATGGGGTTAGGGAGACTGGGATCTGGAAATGATTGCCTGAAAGCAGCATATCTTTGATAGACAGTAGACTTCTGAGTGGTGAGTTGTTCATATCTCCAGTGAAGAGATTGTAAGAAAGGTCTAAGCTCTTGAGTGATGTAAGATTCGCCAGACACGAAGGCAGCATGCCATACAGATTATTAGAGCTGATGTCGAGCTCCTGGAGACTTTTAAGCTGGCATAGTCCTATGAAAAACCATTCATTGGCAGAAATTTAAGCTGCTGGAGTTGAGAAAACTGAAAGAGCCAATTCAGAAACAGTTTCCCTTACCTTCTATGCTGCCACCTAGGCCGCAACCCTGAAATACCAAACTCTTTAGGGATGAAATCTTTCCAACTGTTTCCAGGAAGCCATCATTCACAGTAGAGTATGTCAGGTCTAGTATCTCCAACTTCCTGAAATTCTCCAGCCCTGAATAGGCAATCGAAACTTCATTCATGTCATAGCAGAAACCCACAAGTTCTTAATTACTTGAAATCCAGTTTCATGCTTCTGTCGACCATATATCCTACCGGGCTTATGATGACTGATAGATTTTGCTGCAGTCATTAAACCCTTAAGAGGAATGAACAGGTTATCTAAGCATGTCTTATATGCAGTAGGAGAAACGTGATTCGGCATAAACCTGTTAGGCCAGCTGATCCCTGGAGGTTGCTGAAGGCGAGGTCCAGGATTCTGAGAGATGGGAGGACTGCTAGAGATGATAATATGCTGATGTTCATGTCATAATTGCTTCCCAGATCAAGAGTCTCCAACTTGATGAGTCCTGATAAATTTCCAACAAACCCTGAAGAAGCAAACAAAAGAAAGGATCTTTAGATGTTATTTCCACTTCCAAGCAGTACCAGTGAAATCTGCATTGATTTGCAGGAGCTGACCAGTGATGTTATTCCCAGGTAGGTGAAGGCGTGTTAGACCCCTGAAAGGCAGAAACAGTGACGCATTCGGCTGCCAGTGATCTCCTTCCCTTGAAAAATTGAGAGACAGCTGCATTACTCTGCCGCTAACCGGGTTGCATTCCACTCGTTCCCAAGCGCAGCAGTCGTCATCATCGGATTCCTCGAACAACGAGGATCGGGTGCTGTTCTGGAGCTGGAGAAGAGCAACTCTTTCATCCTCGAAACAGCCATCACACCATCTTCCTTGCAGGACAACTGACAGAGCTACTACTGTTACTGCCACTAGTATAGTCTTCATCTGGCACATTTTTTTTTTTTTTTGTACAGGCAACGAGTAACTAACGCATGGAATGAGAGAGGGTTCTGTCAGAGCAATGGGAAATGTACTGATAAACTGTGTGTCCGTTTACTTCAAGTACTGAAGACTTCTTGACTTGGAAAATGGCCGACGACTTGGAACTTGGAAGGGAGAGAAAAAGAAAGAAAAAAACATTGATGGAGTATTCTCCAAGTCAGCAAGAGAACTTGCCTCCGTCGGAAACCAGGGGAAATCACGACTGGGCTCGTTCTCCTCAACCGCTCCGGCGTGTTCCCGTTTTTGGGCCTGCACCCCCCAGCTCCTGGACTTGGGCTGATGCAGCTCGGTCCTTCCTCCTTTCTCTTTGACTAGGCCCATCTCGTTAGCGGGCCACTTCTCCACCGACTTGCATTATCTCCTGGGTCAAACTTGAATTCTAGATTTTCTCTAGTAGATTTTTGACCAATGCTGACTCATCTAATATAGCTATGTTCTTAATTAATGGTATATAAATCATAATTATAATTATAATGTCATAAATCTGGTCGACCTAGCTCTTTTACGAAGGCACTGACGTCATCGGCAACACGCAGTCAGTCCACAGCTGAAGATCTTTCCCCCACTATCAACACGCTGCCGTTTTGTCAGTTCCAGAAGTAAATACAATAACAACAAAAACAATTTTTTCAGTCTTTTTTTTCCTCTAATAATATTTTTTAATTTTTGGTGGTCAAATAAAAAAATAAATAACGGCAGAAAAAGCAACAGCGTGTAAAAAACGCTGGACCAATAGTGGGATTGTTCGCCAATCCTTTTCCTTCAGATTTTCGTTTTTTTATTTTAATAAATTGCCCCCTAAAAAATGAAATAAAAATTCCCATTGGATACTACTTTATGAATTATTTTGGGGAAAATCAAAAGGACAGAGAAAAGAAGGAAAACGAACAAAAAACAGAACCAGCTAAAGCTTTCTCTTTTCTTTTTCCTTTCGTTGAGAGAGAGATATTTGAGAGGAAACAAATTCTCTCCTCCTCAACCTCAACGTATAGCGGCGTGGGGCTGTCCGAAATCTCGCTGGAAACGAATCCCTCCCTCCCGGCAACGCAACCCCAACCCCAAACCCGCCAGGCTAATACGCCAATTTCGATCTCCCCCACAGAAGAAGAACCTCCCGATCAAAAACAGCGAACCAGTTGCATTTCGATCTCAAAACACTTTCTTCTTCCGGGATTCGCACTCCTCGGCGCTGAAATTTGGTGGGTTTGATTCCCGGTGAAATGGGTTGTGATAATTGTTTCCAGATTTTGATGGGTTTGTTTTTAATTCGAAAATTGTTTCCAAAATGTCGTCTTGCTCATATTGCAGGTGTTCCAGCTGCGAGTCTCCCTCCACCACCTCTTGTTTTCCGGCGAAACAGCAAGAGGGGGGAGAGATGGATTACGAGAGCAGTAGTTGGATCTGGGATGGGGTTTACTGCCACCCGCATCTCTTCGGCGGCCTGATGCTCACCGCCGCCTTGCTGGGTTTATCCACCAGCTACCTCAGCGGAATCGGCTTCTCTTCTTTCCCCTACATGTTCTCCGATCTGGGCATCTTCCCTACCAAGAGGCGCGAGAACAAGAAGCGGGTCCGAGTCTACATGGATGGTTGCTTCGATCTCATGCATTACGGCCATGCCAATGCGTTGAGGCAAGCCAAGGCCTTGGGGGATGAATTGGTGGTTGGAGTTGTGAGCGATGAGGAGATCATTGCCAACAAGGGCCCCCCTGTTTTGTCCATGGAAGAGAGGTTAATTTTTGTCCCCCTCACTCATTTTGCTTTTCAATTATTCTTTGGGTTTAACGCCTATCGTGATCCTGACATGGGGTGGTTTTCTCATCTGGAGCTTGGATCTGATTATGACAGCGAAGTTTGGTTCTTTGTGATGCCTTTTGAATTTCCAGATTGGCCCTTGTGAGCGGATTAAAATGGGTGGATGAAGTGATTGCCGACGCTCCTTATGCTATTACGGAGCAATTCATGAACAGTCTGTTCAACGAGCATAAGATTGACTATATCATACATGGTGATGATCCTTGCCTTCTTCCTGATGGAACCGATGCATATGCCTTGGCCAAAAAAGCCGGCCGTTACAAGCAAATCAAACGGACTGAAGGTGTTTCCAGCACAGATATTGTAGGTACTGCTACTTCTTTCTCAGTAGTCTCTCCCATTTGTTGAAGGAAGGAATCTAGATGGTTAGTTTCATGTCGTCCACTAGATTTACCGTTATAGGTAGCCTATTATTAGTGAGAAAGTGCTGGTCACGAGAATTTTCCATTTGCCATGAGAGTAGATTGACTACAATTTTGACACTGACTTCAGTTAATCTATGTATGTGGTGTTTTGGGAATGTAGGAAGGATACTTTTGACGTCCAAGGATGACGAGGTTCGAGACAACCAGGATGGCTCATCACCTTTACCTGCTGATAAGGGAACTCAATCCCATAGTTCGCACGTTTCACAATTTCTACCAACGTCTAGACGGATAGTGCAGTTTTCTGATGGCAAGGTATTGTTTGTTTGCAAAGCTCATTGCTTAAATTATACACAACTCGGAGCAGAGATCTCAGAAACTTATTGATTTGTGTATTGACATCTTTCATTTGTTCATCTCATGGTGCCTGCTGATCTTACTTTTGTTTTCTTGAAGCAGGCGCCGGGACCAAATGCTCGTGTTGTCTACATTGATGGAGCCTTTGACTTGTTCCATGCTGGGCATGTTGAGGTACGTTTGAGCCTAAGAAATTGGATTGATTGATTTTTTAAGTTCCCAAGTTCTCTGTTAGTAGGCCATCGCAGATTTTCTTCCTACTGTTATTGTGCTGGGTTTCTCCTTTGCCTACCATCTTTCATTATTCTTTCCTAGCATTCTACCTTTATTCAAGAAACTTTCTGTTTCCTTTTCCTTGGTTTCTGGCTACTGCACCACTTATTCACATTATGAATTTGGTTATAGCTACAATTGTTTAAAGCAATTAGTCGGTAGATTTGTTCCATATTCCTAGTGTTTTGGATGTGGATGATGTGCTTCAGTTGACCGGTATGTTCTTATCTTTGTCAGATTCTCAGAAAAGCTAAGCAGCTTGGAGACTTTCTACTAGTTGGGATCCACACAGATCAAATTGTCAGGTATATCCACTTAACTTTCTGTCAAGCTGACGTGGATTTTCTTGATTGATGAAAGTGTAAATGTTCCTTTGCTTAAGAGCGTCCATCTTCTGCTATCTGCTTAGAATTCTATGTAACAATATTGTTGTTCTTTTGCAGTGAACAGAGAGGGAAATATTACCCAATCATGCATTTGCATGAACGTAGCCTTAGTGTTCTAGCATGCCGGTATGTTGATGAAGTCATCATTGGTGCACCATGGGAGGTTTCCAAGGATGTGGTATGTTGACTGTCATTCTATTCGTCACTATATGCACTGGAACTCTTAGCATTGAAATGCTGGGTCTAGGGCCATATAAAACCCATAGGATTTCTCTCCCATTTGTTAGCAGTGAGACATTATAGTGATAGGAAATTGTATATCTCTTTGACTCTTCTTCGTTAAGTCATTTGGTGGTGAAGAGTTATTAAGTGCTGAGTGGAGCCTTGTTTGCTTTGTCCAGATAACAACTTTCAACATCTCACTGGTGGTGCATGGGACTGTTGCAGAGCGAAACTCCTCATCACCTGTAAGCTCTGAAGTCTCCACATTCTCTTCATGTCACACACACAAGATTGGTATTCTGACATGAAAGTGACCGAACTTTTTGTTTGATGCAGGGAGGAAATGATCCTTATGCAGTCCCAAAGGCCATGGGTATTTTCAGGATGCTCGACAGCCCTAAAGACATAACAACCACATCAGTCACCAAGCGTATCATCGCTAACCACGAGGCCTACACGGTAATTCTTCTCTTTTCTTACTCCACTTGGGATCTTCCTAAAAATTGTTTCTTCAGTTGCTATAACTAAAATAAACTCACCAATGTATGATGGGGGTCATGGTCTCCGAGCTTCATTCATCTTACCTATTGGCCAACTCCTATATTTCTTTGGTTGAATGCAGAAACGAAATGCGAAAAAGACTCAGAGCGAGAAGAAATACTACGACGAGAAGGTATACGTTTCAGGAGACTGATCAAAGACGGACTGAGATATTTTGGCCAAGTAAAGAGGCGTTTGTGCTGCAGCATATATAGGCTTATGGTATGGTTTATGTGAAGAAGAGAGAACCCATAAAGACGGAGAGCCATGTTTGCCCCGAAATGGTTCAGAGAAATGGTGGCCAAAAATGTCAATTCAGTTAATGGTAGAATCATCATCAATATCATACACAGGTAGAAAGATGAAGGGCAAGATTCCGCAGCCATCGAACACATCCTTTAACAGCTGCTGCTGCTGCTGCTGCCTTACTGTTATTCTTTTCAGGTTTCGTAGTGGAAGCAGCCAGCAGAAGCCCTCCAGAAAACTTTATCATCAAGTAGAACAGTTAAAAATAGTTTATTCCTGTAGGGGGGAGCCTTTTTTCCTGCTTTTCATTTCTGGGTTTCTATCCCTTATCTTCATTTTATCCTACATTACGTCCTATTCTTTCTGTGCATTGAGATCGTGTACTTTCAAGGTGGGGGTGTGAAAACCAAGTTGATTATTATGAGTGGATTGTTGCCCAGCTAACAAGATGTTAAGCCTGTATTTGGAAGGACTTGATCCAAATTAGAGTATAGTTTATGGCAATTCAAGTTGCTAATAGGAAATTACCGGTTTTGTTTAGTATGAATCTGTTAAATTGGATATAGTTTTTTCTTATGTTACAAAGTAACTTTTTTTTGTGTGTGCGCTTATGTTGCAAAGTTGCATGAGCATAGAATCTTGCCATTTCACTGGTTTTCAAATTGCACACACTCAAAATTAGTTTAGGAGAAGTTACATATTCTTATGCTATTTTCCCCCAAAATTTGTGCGTTTAAGGGGTGTTTCAACCTTTTTTCATTGAACTAAGTACAATCAAGTCAAAGTACAACCCAATCAAGTCAAAGTATAACTAGTAACTCAAATATGGAGTCATTAAAATATGTGTCATATCGACAAAGAATGGCCCAAGGAAGTCAGGTAATCAGCTGCAAAGTTTGGCTCTCGAAAGATATGCTCGATGCGGACTTGCAGGAAGAGGTAATAATTTGTGTATCTCAACCACAATCAGCTGCAAAGTTTGACTCTCGAAAGATATGCTCGATGTGGACTTGCAGGAAGAGGTAATAATTTGAGTATCTCAACCACAAGAGTAAAATGTGGATGATTCCTTTGTGCAGCTACATTAGGTGACAAGCCGTTTGAGAGTCACTTTGTGAAACAACCTTCCTAATCTCCAATTCTTGGATAATCTTGATACCATGTACAGATCCAGCTAGCTCTGCACATGTAATTGACCCCCAAGTTCAAAGAGAAAATTCGAATAAAGCGATCATCGTTTCCTTTCACGATGGCGCATGTCGCCGTGCTCAAAGGAGAGTGAACGAGAGGTTAGGCTCCCCTAATCTTGTTGTGGTAGTTTCCAGCGTATTAGTCGTCGTTCTCACGAGTCACGACCTCCCCTGTCCAAAATTGGTGTTCTTCTTCACAAAGGTAGCTGTAGTGTATTGCCTTAGATGTCAAATCTGGAGCCGCACAATAATCTCAATTTCTCGCGCTTGAATCGGTGATTAATCGGGTTCTTCCACATTGACCAACATGTTCCTGTAAAAAGAGAAGCATCAATGTGAAGGTACCTTGGCCGGTAAAATAGTGGAGGATCCATTGAACCATATATAATTGGAAGAATACTAGATCAGTAATATCACTTCCATTGCAGTCAAAAGTTCGATTTTAAATAAAAAATCGTTTTAATGATCTAGAAGTGTAAAAAGATAAGTTCTTACCTTTTGAATCGAGATTTGTACTAAATTAGTAAGTAAAAGCACTTAAACATGTAAAAACATTTTAATGACCTAGTAAAAAGCATAAACTTGCATCATCACTCCTGATATTTGATCATTTCCTTTAAAAAGTGATTGCACCGCTCTCCAAATTTCGTCAAAATATCAACTTTGCTACTATAAAGAAACAAACAATTCCAACTTTAGGCGGGCACACGAAAGAGAACCTGATAATTTTGGTGGTGATGTGTAAACTTAACCAAACACAGAACGAGGCCACGTCAGACTATAATTATCTTCCTTCTGGAGCTTTCTTGTCGGGCCCATTTGGTGTGGTTTGGACATTGGGCCCATCAGAGGACTTTCTGGAATCGTCCAGACCCAGATAGAATGAGAGAGAGATACGGGCCTCCCGAAATTTCACAAACCCCTCTCCTCTCTTCTCCCGCCACCTGTCCCTTCCTCCCTCCCTTTCATCTCCTCCCAAATTTCCCCCTTTATAATCCCAGCTCAATTCCCTCCACCGCTCCTCCATTGTTCACGATCAATCTGACAGGGAAATTAGACTGTAAACAAGAGGAAGCTTCAGCTCGTCACTTGAATTCATTCTCTGCAACGAATTAGGGTTTTCGCAATGGCTAGACAAGGTGGATACAAGAGGAAAGAGCTCGATCTCGATTTCGCCCGCGAGGATTTCTCCGATTTCTCCCTCTCCTCTCCGGCTCTCAAGATTCGCCGCCTGGTATCGTACTCGTTTCTGTATCTATATCTTTTTTTGTTCTTCCATGGAGTCCCGAAGCTGATTTTGTTGTCTTGATGGTTGATAGGAGGTTGAGTCGATGCCTTCGATTATGGAGGAAGAGGACCACGTGGAAGTAGTTCCGGTGGTGTCCATGGAGGAGCCGATTCCGCCGCTGCCGTCGGGCGAGACGGAGAACCTGGAGAGAGCTCTCGTGGTTTACAATCCGGCGAGCGTACATCCTCCGCATTACTCGCCTTCGACTCTCTCCTTCGCGCTGGATTCCGGAATTCTCTCCGGTTTAACGAGTAAGACTTCTTCTTCCCGTACTGGTTATGCCGGCTAGGTGTTTGATGAATTGACAGCGATCTTCAGCTCTGCAACTGTGGCTAAACTGTGTCGATACCATCGCTGCAGGGGATCAATTTCTTAGGTCAGAGGTGATACCGGACGAGGAAGATGAAGCCGAAGCCGAGAATGGTGACAAAACTGCAGCGAACGGGGATGGATGTATGGCTGTAGTACCATGGATTTCTTCCTCTCAGCATTCATTTGGCAATCGAATGCGAGATTTCCAGGCGGAAGTTCCGGAGTCAATGGAGGCGGATGAAACTGGTGTAGCGTCGATGGAGGTGGAGGAAAGCGACGGCATTTGGAACATTGAGCAAGGGCGGCATGTAGGCAATTTCGGTGGAGACGATGGATTGCGACAATGGCAGCAGCACCAGCAGCATTGCTTCATCCCGGAGCTTCCTCCCAACAATCTGACGCCTGTCACCTGGTTGCGATAAGCGGTCTCTGAGTACCGTTTAAGCCTGGCCTGCCCTCTTTGTTTTTGACTTGTTTGTTTTTTTTAGATGCTGAAACTATGGAGGGTTGGGATATATGCGTAATGTGTTGAAGGTAGCCACCGGCGGCGACATGGCTTCTGTTAGCTGCTGTGCATAGGACCAAGCTGCTTTAGTACGGAAGGGCATGGAATTGCCGGCGACGAATCTTTTTCTTGTCGCATTGTTGATACGGAGGCTGTTAGTTAGTTAGCTAGTAGTTGTTCTCCAGAGCTATCATCTCTACGGGAAGGTTGATTCAGCTTGTGCCTTGTAGGTACTGGGTAGTTGTTCCTCTAGGTTTGCACCCATTTGTATTGAAGCTGGGTATGGCAACCGAATAGAATGCACAACACACATAAATTTTACGTGGAAAAATCAAATCGGGGAAAAAATTACGGGACCTTTGTCCAAGCCACAACTTCACTAAATTTTGGTTGATTACAAGTTCTCTCTAAACTAGTTAGAGGATTACTAACACCTCAAGAATACTCTTCTTGGATCAACAATCAACCAAAATAGCTCTCACCAACATGGTGGATAACAAGAACAAGAGCAAGACCAAGAGAGATTTAGAAATACCCAAAAACGTATTCGTACATCTTCTATCCAGCAGTGATTCCCGATGAACTAGACCTCAAAACGAAGATCCCTCCAGTCAGATTAAAGCACAGACAATTGCGAACTCAGTGTCAAAATTTCAGGACGATCTAACGGTTCAATCTTCCAGAACGCTCACTTGAACATGCTGCCCTGCTGCAAAAATGAAAAACTGCAGCTCTTTGTTTCTCTCCTCTCTTTTCCTTATCTCTTCTCTTTTCTGATTCTCTATCTAGAAAATGGAAGGTTGTCTCCTTTTTTCTCTTTTTCCAGACAATAACTCTCTATTTTTAATAATAGAGGATCTTCTTGAAACCAACCAAAACTCAAACGGGTTAGTCAACCACTGTAGGAGTTGGACCAAACCCAACAGATTCGTGCTCGTACCCATATCGACCTCAAATTAAATTTTTTTTGTCAAACACGTTTCTGGATGGACCCTACTCGGCAACACTCACTGATCTCCTTGGATCACCTTCAGTTACCAATCGAGTCACTACCGGTTATAGGTCACTTCTAGCCACTCTAGGTTACCTACAACTACTCTAGGTCACTTTCAGCCACTCTCAAGGTCATCTTCAGTCATCTAGGGTCACTTCCGTTCATCTTGGCTACTTTTGGTCACCTTTTGGGGTCACCTTCGACCACCTAGGCCACTTTTGATCACCTCTCAGGTCACATTTGGTCACTCTAGGCCACTTTTCACTTTTCAGGTCATCTCTGATCCCTATAGGTTACCTACGGTCACTTAGGCCACTTCCGGTAACCTTTCGTGTCACCTTTGATCATCCCCGAGTCACCTAGGCCACTTGCAGTCACCCCTAGGGTCACCTCCGATCACCCCCTGTATCACCTCCGATCACCCTCAAGTCACCTTCAGTCATCTCCTAGATCACTTTCATGCACGTCGGGTCACCTACGGGTCACCTCCGCTCACCCCATGTGTCACTTCCTGGCTCCTGCCACCTTCAGGTCATCACTGACAACCCCTGGGATCCATAACCTCAGGGCACCCTGGCAACCCCTAAGGTCTATAAACCCAAGTCACTCTGGCCATTCCCAGGGTCCATAACTTCGGCCAACGCTAGGGTCATTCTGGCCACCTCAGGTCGCCCAACACCCTTCGCCACGTATTCCCATGATATGGCTTCTCCTTACCCCCGAGCTCCAGAGGGACACACTTCATGATCTCCCAAATGCCTCTACAAAGGCCACATTGTCTCCTGGTTAAGGTAAGCAAAATCCTTATGTTTAGACTCGTGTACTCCTGCTATGATTAGCGAAGATATTCACTTTCAATTCCCTTCCCTCGTGTTTGTTTTCGAGGTCATATTCCTCTTTCCTAGAAGCACACCCTAACTTGAGCGTCGGAGAGTGTCCTGCGGAGATCGAGCGACATACTCTTTTTGTAGGAGATGACCGAAGTTGACATCACGAGAGTAGTTAGGGGTGAAAGATGGTCGTCATCTGACCTCAGTGTCCAGTATAAAAAAACCCGACATCGCTACAACCCCGACATCTACAATTGACGCCCACTATGGGCCCCGAAGTAAAAAGTTGAAGAAAACCTAACTTTACCACTTCACTCGTGATGAAGTCTCAAACCCCCCCCCCCCCCCCCCCAAAATTCCCAAACTGACAGCAAAGTTTGAGACAATGAGGCAACGACTCTTTCACCCAGTGGGTTGTATGCTAATTCTAGTAACCAACTAGAATCCCAAAGGGTTTGCTCGCCCAATGAGACGTCAACCCCTCATCCACCTCCACGACCAGAAGGCCTCTCAACCTTGAGCCTCACCTTATGCCCATCTTACTTACCAATTTTGAGCATGGCAAGCCATTCGCTTGTTCGATCAATAACCAACTCAACCCCCCAACTTCCACATGGCTCGTCATTTGTGTATTCTAGATTATATTGCCCTTAGTGGGAGCATCCAACTCCACCATGTGCAGTTCCCCCCCCACCCCCCCCCCCCCCCCCCCCCCACCCTACGGGGGTGGCATTATTGGGATGACATGTCTTAGGCTTCACTAGCGGTCAACCTAGGGAATCTCATCAAAGTTCCTTCTAATACTCAATTTGGTCACCATGTGTAGAACCCGCCAGACAACCCAATAATGTCCTAACCGACCAAGTCTTCAAGCGGAAATATATCCGAAGTGATGACACCAATACACATCTAGAAAGAAGAAAAACTCTCGAATGAGATATAAACCATATGAGTCATGGCATAGATCCATGTGCGCAACTGAGCATGCACTTGAAACAAAACTGAGAGCATATAAACCTCAAGAGCAATGAGGAATCACCTCCACCAATGAGCGAGACAACCAAGATCACGCAGAAGTCCTCGAGATCGAGTCAGACATTCCTAACTACACATCTAATTACGCTCCACTCATCTTAGGGAGAAACAATTTTCATCTACTACACCACTCACATGTGAGGTCTCCGTCTAGCTCCCTCTAGGTCACTAAAATGAGATTTTTCGATTTTTCAAGAAACTAAGTGCTACCATTTGTACCCTGCCTCTCCATAGCAATTTGGAGGCAAAATGATTATTTACAAAAATATTTTTTGACTTGAGATTTACAAACCACCCTTCAAGACCAAGCCCTCACCATTGCCACCATTTATGTTGACCATTAGCGTGAAAATCCCTATCATTCGAGTTTCTGATGTCTTCACCTTGATTCCATGGTTTCCATCTCGTGTTTAGCTACCTTTATCGACAATCGCCTTAACATAGTGCCACCACCCAATCATCTTGGCCTCCCTCCACAAAAAACTCTCAATAAGTTATGCCAAAAGTGGTTTGCTTCATTAGTTGTCACCACCCTCTATATACGACCCTACTACCATAATGTTGGTCACTTTTCATATCGAGAAATGTATAGAATATAGCAGACTCGAGTCATTGAATCACTCTTTAATCTCTAACCCAAAGTCTTTCTTGTGTAGGGATTGTGACTATGCATTTTCTCACCTCCAATATGATGTCGTCTCACCGCTCCCCCTAATATTTACACCCAAAGGTAAATAAATATAAAGAATTTTATTTTTATTGTTATTTGCTAGTGTCTATTTCATTTAGTTAGTCTCTTAATATTTTATTACATCCATGTGCTCTCACCCTAACCATTGCACATAAATGTTGGGTGAAAGGTTTGTTTTGCAAGCATATATTTGTTATCCACCCATCTATTGCACTAATGGATGGTCAATCCCTTAACCATTGCACTTCATGATTGAGGGAGACTCGGCACTCAACCATTGCACTTAATAGCTATGTGAAGTGTAATTACCCAACTGTTGCACTAGAGTTGGGTAAAGAGTCATCTCTCAACCATTGTACGAGGGTTGGGAGAAAAGTTCAATACCTTACAACAACTGCAACAAGAAAACACCAAATTGTACAACTTCAGATGAATTAGCCAAACGAATAACTAGTCTCTCTTCGAACTCTATGATGTGCCAACCTCCAATAAATTGTGGCATCAATAATGAGATGCCTCAACCATTATCATTGTCTCAATTTCCTCTTCACTAGAATAACAATAATGAGTGTGTGATTGTAGTTTGTCATCGTCATCTCACCTATCAACATTATATTGTCACGGTTGCCATGGCTAGTGTAGCTCTATCGCCGCCTTGTGCCCCCCCCCCTCCCCACTGTTGTTTTATATGTCATCATCATGATAATAGTATGTTCTTACCCACATCGAAGTGTTGTCGTCTTGATGTTATCATCACGACCGATGCTACCCGGAATGTTATAAATGTCATCATCACTTCCAACATAAATGCATGTGGGGAGAAAAAGTAATCTTAGTAGAATTATCAAAGAACTCTAGAAAAAATGACAACGGGAATGACGAAAAAGCAAATGAAATATTGACTTCAATGTTAGAGATCTAACGAGAATTATATATATTGCTAAAACCATGATTGGTACACCCCCTCAAGACATGAACACATTTCACCATGCTAATCCCGAACCACAACAGCAAACCCATTTCCTTGTCCCGTCACCATAGCAACATTGTCGTTGATTATGTAATAAACACTAGTCAGGGGCATCCATATTCACTCTCTTTTCGGCTCAGAGACTAGATTATGAAGGTGTTAATCAATGTAATATTCTAACCAACTCAACGTTTTTCGCATGATCTCATACTCTTCAAACTGTATATTGCTCATTGACCATTTCTTTCTTTCCAAATTAAACACAACGAAATAAGGAATTGGCCAATATGCTCTTCCGACTCTTTCTCCTAAAGGGCACACAACCAAGTTTCACATGTTAGATTCTCCCCTTTACTGAACATAGGCTGGAGAGGGTTATCACTATACTCATCGAACCCAAGCATGCTCCCTGAAAATATGATAGTGTTTTTCTATCAATCCACAAAACGAGCATGCCTCACTACTCTTCTTAATTTGGTCCACAAGTTTCTTTCCGGTTGTGAGAAACTTATTGTCCCATTGCCATCCATCTCCTTCAACTTGGGATCTTTAGACTCCATAGTTTCCCAATCAATAAGAATGCATCTTTCACCCATAGCTAGGCCAGACTCATCGATTTCATCGAGTTTTATTGCTTTCTTCGCAAATCCAGAGTCTTCCAAGAAGATTTGATGTCGGTATCGATCAGACCTAATAAAACTGGCGGACATGGAACTGGTTTGAAAATCATGCATTTGCCGTTAGATGCCCATTTTTACATTGGTAAGAGGTAGGGATAGGTAATGGCAATGAGGTGTGACGAGGCTGGTACCTCAATAGCCATATCTGTCCCGCACCATCCGCATGTCATGTTGGATAATATATGCATGGGTAGGGATCCAGGCATGTCAACGCATTATTATATGTTATTTGAAGAAAATCTTTATTTTTTAGAGATAAAATAAAATAAAATTAGTTCATAAATGAAAATATAGATAAAAGGTAGACTAACTGAGTCCAATTAGTTTAATGATAAAGTGTTCTGCATATTTAAAGTATTGTTGGGTGAAAATATGAGTTAATATAAGTCAACATAGGAGAAATAAGGAGACAAATTGAGCTAGCAGGGGTCAAGAACAAGATGGGGCAGGTTGGAAGTAGTACCCATGTCTCGCCCCACGTTACTGTAGGTCAGATATTACTCGACCGACGTGAGTTAGGTCGGGTAATACTTGGCGAGACAAGTTCAACTTGCCATCACTAGTAGTAGTAGGAGATGTCAGTTGAACCTGGATCTTTGGGTAGCCAATCCGTATGAACCCAATTAAATTGGGTAAAACCATGCAGTGATGGATTTTGGGTTCAGTGCGTGTTTTACCCGCTTTTGAAAATTGTGAGTTGGGTGGTACAAGTTTTACCAAAATCCTATCTCTTTCTCCCAACTTGCACTCGAAAACCAAAATGAGGTCGGTTTGCATCTAATCCTAATAATATGGATCGTTTTGAGTGTTTAGTCTTGATGACAATATTATCCTAATAATATGGATAAATTATTATTGTAATTAGTGTTTATGACAATATTCCTATAAAAAATTTCGATAATATAAGAATATTAGTGTTTGAAGAAATTATTTACGGGTATGTCTGACTCGCTACGACACAACACCTAACAATGGCCAAGTGTAACCAATGGAAGGGACTGCAGTATAGTGGCTCAAGTGATAAATATCGAATCCACGGGTCTCTAGAGTTACTATTACTCAGCTTCAGTTTATTATTTAGCAACCCAGATTAATAAGGAAGAACTAAAACTACTCTAGCAAACTACAGTTAAAGTTAATCTAATTACAGGTTGGGAACTCACTTAGGTATGATTTCCCCTAGCCACTAGCCAGACTAACGATTGATGATTTCCAACTTGTTTCACTTTCATTCACAATGCGGAGAATCCTTGACTATACCTTGAGTCTCGACTAAAGGAACAAGGCCCTCTTGAGTCAATTGCCTAGAGGGACGTATCCTTCTCTAGAACAACTGATCAAGGCGTTCTGAACTAGACTCCCTCTATCGAAAGAGGTTCTCAATCGATACAAAGCAGTGAATCAATCCTCGACTAAAGCAATCGATCCACTACTATCAATCTATGGTGCCCTATTGACCTAATCAGGTATTCCCTCTCATAGGATCAAAGCAGAATCAATAATCTCGACTAAAGCAGAATTGAATCATGAAAACATGCATAGATTGAATATGAACTCAAGATTATCAAGTCAGAGTACTCATACAATCATCCAATCAAACAAACATAGCTAGGGTTCCTCAAAACCTAAGTGAAGGGAAGTTACTCCATAGAGAAGAGAGAGACTGCAGTAAGAATCTTCAGATGATCAGTCTTCAAGTCCGGGCTTGTTCCTCGAGCTTCCAAGGTGAAGAAATCCTCCAATTCCACTCTTAGAATGCCCTCAGATCGCCATTTCTCTCTTTGGTTCGTCCCTTGGGTGTTTGGGATCCAAAACCCAGCTCTCCCTCTCCTTTGGCTCGAATTTGCGTTAAAAAACTTGATTCTGGGCAAAACACGGTCGAGGGCACGGCCGTGCTTTGCTTTTGACCGCCCGTGTTTTGCCCCGTGTTAAAAACACGCTCGCGCGCGTCGGCCAAAACATGGTCGTGCCTAAATATGGGCACGGCCGTGTTTTGATTTAGGCGCGCCCGTGTTTTTACTGCCGAACCTGTTCCCCTATATTCAATGCTTCGTTTCTCCCTCGTCCGGACTCCGAATCAGTCGCCGTTTGATCCCAGACGCTCGTAGTCTCGTCCTCTTTCTTTTAATGTCAAGCTTGCATGATTCTTTGTCCATAAAGTGAGGTAGAAATCCATTCTTCTTCAGGTCATGCCCGAGTTTCTTCTCCCAAATCGCCAATTGATCTCTGATTGACTTGAAACTTGCGCCTATGCTTCACTTTATGTGCTAGGACCTGAAATGTGACAAAGGAACACAAACTAGCATAAAATAGGCCAAAGACGCGATAATTAAAGCTCAAACGATCAAGAAACAAAGGGGAAAACATGTGCAAATATCGAGTCATCAATGTCCTTGAATCCATGAATATATATGAATTCGTGAATACTCATTGTTATATGCAAGGATGAAAAATCGTACTGTACCGACGGTTCGACCAGAAAAACCTCATCGGATGCTAAATCAATAGGCAATATTTAGCGGTATAAAATAATTGAACCACAATTAAACTACTACTACCATAAAATACTCTATTACTGACTTTTCCGATACCTCGATTATCAAATTGTCCATAACAAATACACATTGAATTGAATTCGGAGAACCCGACACAAACATCCATTCATCTCTAGGAGGTTAAACATCGAAGCATGTAATGTAAGGCTGAGTCCAATGCAGCCTGCATTTATGGGGTTGTCGGCATTAATGCAGATGTTGGAGTTCCAACGCAGAGAAATAAATGCCGAAAATCGGCAATTATGGAGGCGATCGGCAATTGGATCGCTATATATGGGGGAGGGTTTGCCGATTTCGGCATTTATGGAGGATGAGTTGTCTGCCGCGCGACACAACCGCCGGGGCTGGGCGGTGCGCCACATGCTCTCTCCCTTGCGCGTGTGGCGCACCGCCCAGCCCCGGCGGCTGTGCACGCCAACATCTTTTTTTTTTTAAATTGTTGTTGAGTTGTTTAAGGACATTTATTAAGGGAATTGTATGTAATTAATTAGCGAAAGGGAAATTAATGTTTGTATTTAGGCTTTCTAGATTGTATTTAATTTGTATTTAATATTTGTGTATTTAGGCTTTTTTCTAAGATGACTTAAATTGAATTCATTTTATTTAAAATTTATGTTTATCATCTTTAAGTTGTGTGTAAACAAAAATTAGATCAAACTAAGAATGGAAATTATATTATTGAAATGAAAATGCGTTCGTAAATTACAAAATAAATTATCACCATACAACTTTAATTGAATTACAAAGCATCCGAGCATCGATACCAAGCAACAACAATGACTAATTATTTCCATGCAAGTTCCAAATATGTTCGACCAAGTCCCGACGAACAATTTTCATAATTTTTCGCCAAAAAAAATTCGGTCTCGAAATTTAACAAAATTCTATCGAAAAATTTGTATTTAAAAATGATGATGAACTATACAAAAATTAACATGAACAAATTATATTAAAGTTTCGATAGTACATTTTTAAATAAATGGAAAAACTGGAAATATTAAAAATCCCAAATATGGAATTTGTTGCATTGGAGCAAAAGAAAGGAAAATGGGGTTCAATCCCCAAATTTGGGTTCAAGGACCCAAATTTGGGGTTTTGCATTGGAGCCTAACCAACGGGCTTCCCTTTATTTTTTCTTACTTTTACTTTTTCGTTTTCAAATTGTTCGTTGGATCCGGCCGGAACGTTCCCCGTAGGGTTTTCTCTTTGGGTCACTCACTACTCACGAGCCCGAGCCATAAAACCCTGAACCAGCAAACCTATTAACCTTGCTGCTGCTTCTATTGCTCAGCCCTCCGCCGCCACAAACAGTCCACTCTTAATTTTTGGGCATTCTCTTCCGCCGCCGCCGTCGTCTTCCTCTCCTTCCTCTCCCCCCAAATCCTAGCTCACCCTCTCATATTCTCCGGCGAATTCGAATCCCAACTGCCAAAAATTATGACGGAAACCCAACTCCAAGTAGGGCCGGTGCTCATAAAGCAGCTGGCCGCCTCCGACAACAGGACCCGCAGCAGATCCCTCCGCGCCCTTCTCTCCACCTGGCTTCCTTCCCAGTCTAGCCTCTCCGACGAGGACATGAGGAAGCTCTGGAAGGGGCTCTTTTACTGCCTCTGGCACTCCGACAAGCTCCCCGCCCAGGCCCACCTCATCGACCGCCTCGCCTCCTTGATCCCGACCCTCGATTCGACCTTCTCCGCCCACTACTTCTCCGTCTTCCTCCTCACCATGCGCCGCGAGTGGTCCGGCATCGATTTCCTCAGGTTAGACAAGTTCTACCTCTTGATGCGCAGGGTTTTCCGCTCTGTTTTCCTAATGCTGAAGAAGAATTCGTGGGATTTGGAGCTGTCTAATCGATTCATGGGTATTGTTGTGGAGAGAACCTTCTTGGCGGATGATAAGTTCCCCGGGAATGGCGTGAACTATCATATCGCGTCTTGTTTTCTCGACGAGCTCAAGCCTTTTCTGCCTCTCGGGAAGCCGGTCGTTGAAGCTCTTCTAGCGCCTTTCAGTTCCGTGATGGGGAAGGTGGTTGATAAGGTGCTGGTGGGGAAAATTAAGGGAAATGTGTTTGATGAGTTGTTGAATATGGGGAGGGGATTGCTGGAGTTCAAGAAGTCTCATCCTAATGATGATTGTGAAAGCAAAGATGTGGTCTTGCTTGGTACAATTGCCTTGACTATGGGATTCTCTGCTAGGTTTTATGAGTTGGGTTCTTCTGCTGAATGTCGTCAAGGTAATAGGAAAGTGCTCCTTGGTTTGCACGAGGAGTTTATGAAGTTGGAGAAGGCGTTGGCACTTTCCGGGATTGAAATTTCTCTACCTGAAGTTAATGGTGATGGTACAGATGATAATGATGAAGATGATGATGATGAAGTGCCGACTTTGGTACCCATTGACACTCAGATGAAAGAAGTTGAAGGACAAAATGGAGGTGTTGGCAAGAAGGAATCAAAGAAGAGCAAAAAGAGGAGTAAGGATTCATCTGACAATGATGGGAAAGATGAGAAAAAGAAGAAGAAGAAAAAGAAGAACAAGAGCAAGAAGGAGAAAGATGGTGGCAGTGATGCAGAGGAAGTGCCAAATGGTGAGGAATTTTCCAGTGATGAAAAGAGCACTGATGTGGAAAGTGATGCGATTACTTTCGACGATGCTGTCATAGCAAACCTGCAAAAGCAGTTTGAGAAAGTCGCAGCTGAAGTAGGTATGGATGATGGTGTTGGCAGCTCCCTCGAGCTTGTGGAAGTGAAAGGAAATGGTCATTTAACCAAGAAGAGGAAGAGAACAAAGAGTAAAAATGGGAAGCAGCCTGATAATGTGGAGTCCAAAGATCAAGGAGATACTGCCGCCAAGAGCGAAGAGAAAAGTGTGAAGAAGGTGAGGTTTGCCATGAAGAACAACTTGGTGTGGAAACCACACAGTCCTCTGCCTCCAGAGAGTTTGAGAATACCGCCCTCGTCCACCCCTAGAGGGAGTGCCCTCAAGAAAGGTATACCTCCTGGTCCTATTAGGGAAATGCCTTCTGCAGCTAACAAGGCTAAAAAGAGAGCGAAATCCGTGAAGGTTGGTGTGAAAGCAAGAAGAGGTGTCCCTCCTACTGTTAGACGCCTGAAGAAAAGAAGTTAGGAACTCTTCTCTTTCCCCATCATAGATGACAAAGTGTTCTCTAGTTTCAATGTTCATTGTGTTTCTTTCAAATAGTTTGATCTTGTCTGAACTTTTGAGATATGGTGAACTTCGTTGATACCATTGATTTCTTTATGGAGTTGAGTGTAATGATTTAAGGCCAGGAACTTGATATACAAGGTTATCTCAGTTTTCCCATTCTTCTGTAGGGCATTTCTCCTGTTCTTTGTCCAAGTTCCTATCTACAATTTTGCTTTATGTCCCTCTCCTCACTTACAGAGTGTTCTGATCCAAGTGTCAAATATGGTTCTCCTTAGTCCTCACTGCTGATACAAATGTTTGCAGAAGTAAAAGACATTGGGTATAGGTATCTTATCCCTGCTTCGAAACCCACTCTCGATGAGAAGTAGCAGAACCAAGAGTGTGTTGCTTTGCATTGCACAAAAGTATAGAAGTAGTAGAACCAAAGTTGTAAGAAACTGAAGAAGTTTAGTTCAGTGATACTATCATATCTGTACATGGTTGTGGCCTTGTGGGAAGTTGAGTGGAAAAAGAGGAGGAAATGCAGTAGAGGGGAAGCTTATACACAATAGTAACAGCTGTTTTTTTGGAACTCGTAATCTGAATCAAGGCCTGTGCAAGTATCTACCAGCAAGCAAGGCAGCATCCATGACTACAGAGATGACATCGACGACATCGGTGGCCTCGCAGGTGCTGCCTTTGAAGCCGTGTGAGCCTGACTTGATGAAGTTCTTCATGCAGTTGATCAAGTTCTGGCTGCATTCCTCACTCAGGTAGTCATCTGCATTGTGGAAAGCGGTTAGGCAGGTGGTGTTTCACAGTCAAGCTTAGTTGGCCTTTTTTGCCATGTTTGTCTGGGGTTTTAGGTGGGCTAGGTCATGTTTCGCCGTCAGCTTACTTCTTTAAGTTGAAATGACACCATACCACGAAAGCAGCAGCTTGCTAGTTACGTTCTGTGGTGATTACCATAGTAGTAGATGGGATAATACAATACAACCTATTTGCTTTTTGTTGTACGCTTGTAATTAGGGGTGTGCAACGGTTCGGTCCGGACCGGACCAAACTCATGAGAACCGCGGTCCATTAGTGAAAAACATGTTAGGACCAAGGATCAGACCATTTTTGCATTTGGTCCATTTGGTCCGGTTCGGTCCGGTCCAAATTTGAGATCGGTCCACCATTTCTTCAGTAATTATAAAATTCATGAGGACCAAGGACCGGACCGCATTTTACTCGGTCTAGTCCGGTCCGGTCTTAACAACGGTTTGGTCCGGTACGGACCGGACCATTGCATTTTACTCTTATGGGAATGAAATAATGGAACAATTCTAGGAAATGGTCTGGCGATAACGTGAAACGAAATGGTTCATCACACTTAAATTTGAATCTAGAGACTAATAATCATAAACATGACATAATAAGATAATTGGTTTGGTTAATCGTTAAGCAATTTGTCCGTTCATTAACCGTACCGTTTATATTAGTCAGGTAGCCGTAGTTTTATATTCGTTGGGTCAACGTAGTTTTATATTAGTCGGGTAACGGTAGTTGTATAATCAGCTCTTGGTAATTTTGTCGACTAACTGTATAACCGTTAAACAAGTGATTCGACAAGATTATATCAAAATAACAAATCGATAAACTAATCAACAGAAGACCCCCTTCTTTTCCAATTGCGCATTTTCGTATATCTTTTCTTACATAAGTATTTGTTCTTTTGTTAAATTGTTATCATTAAATAAAAAATAATTTAACATATATATCAATCCATAATCAACTCAATCCAACACAATAGCACCATTCTATCGTCAAATTTGATTAAAGAAGCAAACAGTGATAAGACCCAAAATAATTAATCAACTCATAAACCCCACAAAATTACATTGAAGCTTAAATGTTATTGATTATTTGTCAAGCTACTGTGTGCAAGTTCATCTTTCTGTTTTGCTCCTTCTAAAGTCCTTCTTTGAAATTATTATCATTTGAGCCTAAGTTACTATTACAACTACGATAGCAAGGGATCGCGTAGGCCTTTAAACATCGTCTCATCGAGGCCTATTATTTTTGTCCCTAACAATGAGGAGCCTTTATCGGTTAGTCGGTGAATCGTTGGTTACGAAAAATTTGGCTACCAGGAACCGATCATTTACTGTTTAATCGAATATTAGTGTAGCCGTTAACTACCTGTTCAGGTTCAGTTATCGGTTACACCGCTAACAAAATAATCGTTTACCATCCATACTCACTTGGAAGAAAATTTTGGAAATTTGTATTAGAAAGTGAGAAATTTGTTTTATTCAGGACCTTGGACCCCATGATTTTTAGATAAAACATGTTCAAAGTCATTCGTATTTTGATGAATCCATTTGAAAATTTGACAGAAAGACAAATATACGTGGGGTCGTTTGGATGATGGATTTCAGAAATGAAACTATTTGACCCAATTGCTTCGAAATTACTTCATATGACAATTGATGCATCTATTCTAAATACTTCCCGCCCCCTGTCGGTGTCCGTTCAAATTGATGCAAACCAAGCAATTCAAATTGCCTTAGTCTGACTGTTGCATCTCAATTTTGTGTTGTTAAATGATCCAATTCCTTCATTTTCAGGTAGTTGGACCAAATTGTCAAAAAAAAAGGTAGTTGGACCAAATGACCTTATTCAATTCGATCATCCCAACGACCCTTTAATTCTTTTTATGATTTTTAGATGTTGAATGGATGAAATTATAACATATTTCTTTTTTTTTTTGTCATTTAAGTGCAATTAATTAGGTAAGCTCTTGGCTACGTCAATAATTTCTGGCAAGGGAAGAATGAAGTCACCTAGTGAACAAGATCTATATATATTCTTTCCTCTAGAAAAGAATTGTCGTACGTTCGTCGTACAGACGAAGGATCAATTCAAAAACGAGACAATTTTGCCGTAATTTCCGAGAAAGATAGAAGGAAGGAGAATTAAAACGTACTGTTCTTGGATTGGACACAGAGGTCGTGATTCATGCAACAGGAATCCAGCCCGTCGCAGGGCTTTTCCCCTGGGCACCCGCTGTACAGCAGCCCGCAGTACTTCCCGTACCTCAAAAATGGCGGCACTACATCCATCCATTCATTCCAATTTTCCATGCACACCAAATCCCTTAAATTAATTACTAACCTCGATCGAACACCATCAAGTAGTAAACTAATCATGCAAGCAAAACCATTGAATCAAATTATAGTTTACCGGAGCAGAACTCCGACTCGCACTTTCTGCTGCATTCCTTACTCTGTCCAAACATTCACACTAGCTACTTGAGTTAGTCAAACAAGCTCGTTGTTATATAAAAAAAAAAAGTACAGTTGATGAATTGCGGTAATAATATGTACAATTATGTTTACCAAAACGACGCCGCCGGGGCGATCGATGGCCTGGACGCCGACGTTGAGGGCGTCGACGGCGGTGGAAAAGAAGGAGAACAACACTGGTAGCAGTGGTAGAAGAAAGGAACAGGATACGAGATTAGTGGAAGCTGCCATCTCTGAAGTTTCTTTTTGGGGGGAGAAAATGAGATCTCTGCAGCTAGCTAGCTAGCTTGGTTTTCGTTAAAATTTAAGGCTCTGAATTTTATAGCAAAATTTTTTAGCAGACGAGCAAAGGAGATGATGAAATTCAGAGTGCGCTGCAGAGTGAAGCAGCAGCGCCAGCTGGATTTGGGTTGGGAGGCGGAGGACAGGAGAGGAGGATTTCCTTTGTCATATACTGTCTCGTGATCTGGTTTTGTATTCTTCTGCTCTATTCCGTTCACCACGGGTTCGTTTGGAAGTTGGGATTGTTAAATAGATGTATTGTTGAGAATGCATGTATAATATTATATATGTATGTATTGTCGAATTTGATGCATTGTAGAATACAATGTTTGGTATGTGTGATTGTCTCGCATCAGCTAAAAGCTGAGACAAAACAATCTCAACTCAACTATCTCAACAATCACAACTAAAAGTTGAGATATAACAATCACTCAAAATGAGTGATAGTTTCTATCACATCATAGATGCATTGTAAACAATACATGCATAATGACAATCTCAACAAAACAATCGCAACTTCCAAACGACCCCCACATTACAATTTTCTTTCAGTTTACTCTGTTTTGAATTACTCTCTATATATATGCTTTAGATTAGGTTAATAATATTTGGGTATATTCTTTTTTCTTTCAGGTTACAATAGCCAATTTCTTGTACCGTATTTTACTAACTATGCTTAGATGGGAGTAACACTCAACTCAAGTACATTGATAAACAATACCTTTGCTTCACTATCCTAAACCAGCTGCTGTTGCCACTGCGCTTGGACTTCACCTCATCATCATTACCACGACCAACATTGAAAAACTCTGACGATCACAATGATGTGAAATCTGCAGCTATAACTCCATGATATTATTCGTAAAAAAAAAAAAAACTCCATGATATCATTGAACTGCTGCACAATCATAAAGGTTGCTGGAAAAATCTGGCTAATGATTTCTCTTCTCAGCTGATCGAATGGTTAGGGAGAATGGAAGGCAATGGACGGGATACGGGGCGACGCTGGTTAAGAGGAAAGAGCAGAGGAGGCGTCGTCGGGGGAGGGCTAGAGTTACCGAGTGGTTGCGCCAAAGAAATGTTGACCGCCACGTGGGACAAATTAAAAAAAAAAAATCTAGACGACGAGTAACCACAAATGACATAAAGGTGTAATATTGATGGCCAAGTTGAAGGAAGAATCGTTCGAGGACCAAACGTGTAATACGAGTGACCAAACATGCAATTCACCCTACTTTCAAATGTTACTGGGGTCGTTTTGACATTTTACTAAAAACATTGCGAGGAAACATAAGGATGCATGGAAAATAAGGCTAATCCATCATAACAAAGTGGTTAGTAAGGCCAATAGGCAATCATCAACTAGCGCACTTCTCACTCAACGCAAAAGGAAAATCAAAGGAACAGTGAAGGAACAAGTACCAGATCCTAATGGGGTTGCTGTCCTCCATCTCGGGGTCGTTGTTCATGCCAAACAAAAGAAACCATCCTATGCATGAAACTCAATTCTGCACCAACAAATTCGAGCAACCCCATTGCCAGATCAAGCCTCCAATAGAGGTCAAGATGAGCATTAGGAAGTTCATCATGGCTGGTAGACGGTAGTAACCCTTCTTATTACCAAACCCGTGTCTAATCATGAGAAGAAGACAACATACCAGAAACATCCTTCAAGACTACAAAAAGATGGCAATGCTGAAAGGCTCACCAACAATGGGCGACTTCAAATTGAAAAATCTTCGTCCTACACATTACTGTTGTTCTACGGCACACCTGTTTTGACACTGTTCTACAAACAGAGATTGCAACACATCACTCCAGTCGAGTCCTCCGCCATATCAGCTAAAGAAACTACAATACTGGAAGAAGGAAGAAGAGCTCTCAGGAGAGGCATTGTATACCTTTCTTTTCTCGATGGGAGCTAATGACGTGTTCTTCATTCCATGACAACTTTGGCACCAATAGCTTTCATCTTCTCGATTATCTTCTCAGCATCTTCCTTTGACACTCCTGCCTTCAACACTGCTGGTGTCTTCTCCACCAAATCCTTCGCTTCCTTGAGACCCAGATCAGTAAAGCTCCTCACCTCCTTGATTATCTTAATCTTAGAAGCGGCTTCGTAAGATTCCAATTTCAACTCGAAGACAGTCTTCTCTGGTTTCTTTTCTTCCTTGGCAGCTGCTGATGTTGACCCTTTCATTCCCATCCCAGCCAATCCAGCTGCTGCTCCACCCTTTATAACTCCCACTGTTGGTGACTCCTTCATTCCTTTCCTTTTCATTATAATTGAGCCCAGCTCTGCAACTTCTGCCAATGTCAATGAGGCAATTTCGTCAACCAGCCTGAACACGCGCTCGGTGGGAGGGCTACGGTGCTCTGTGGGGTCAAACGTTGCAGGATCATAGTCAGCTGGAAGCCTCCTTTGATCGATTTCTACTTCTTCCTCTTCATCCTCTTCTTTCCTAGCAGCTTGTGCAAAGCTCCGAGACAATACACCGTTGATGATTGCTTGATTCAAAGCAGGAAGGTACGATTTTGCACACAACCCATTTGACAGGTGATACCTTAACCTCACAATCAAACTCATCTCCCCCCGAAATTTATCAATACTGCAACCTACAATTTTCCCAAGAACCTAAAAAGATTCCATCTCTCAAACTACTGCCCAGACGAATAAACCCTGAAAAAGGGAGAAGAGAATATTGAAGAAACACAGTGAATACAGGATGGGCAATCACAGCAACATTGGAAGGAAAAGCAAACCAGGAACCATTAGCATTCGAGAGCATAAGCCTAAAATTTAACTCCCTTAGAATCCCATTTCAGACGCGAAAGCCGAGCATGACAGCGCAAAGCTTATTGCTTCTCACTTGAAGCTAGTACAGTCGCGACAGTTCACGCCTCAAGTATCGACATTTCTAATTCCTTGAAAACATTCAAATGTTCCAACAAAGAGAACACTCGGCTCTACGAACAGATGTGTACGTGCATAAACAGAGAGAGAGAGAGAGAGAGAGAGAGAGAGAGAAGGTGTAGTAACCTTTAGTCCGTGAACGGATTGAGGGCGGTGGATGGAAGACTGAGGCGGCGATCTTTTTCCCGGAAGCGGACGGGCGATGGCGGCGGTGGTGAGAGAGCTGCCAAGGTTCGTCGAAAGGAAGGAAGGGAGAAGGAGATGAACGGTTTCGATATGTCTTCGTAATTTCGATTTTTCGCTTTGAATTTTCATGGTTCAAAAATCAAAACGCAGTGGTTTGATTGGTTTTCCTTTGAAATTTTGGAATTATTCAAAATGGTCATATACTATGAAATTTATATAAAATGATCATAAAAGGTCATATACTTTGAAATTTATACAAAATGATCATTTTTTTTATTTGATCTAAAATGGTAGCATAAATCTACTAATTTTTTACATCTTTGTAGCAAATTAATGATCATTTTGGCAATTCATTAGATTCATAGATAAGTCAAAAGGAAACTCACATCCAATAAGCCATTAGTTGTTATTTTTCTTTTGCAGGTTTATGCTTTCGTATGGTTGCCAATGGCTGTGATTGATTAGCTTGAATGTACGAACATTGGTTGGTCTTAGTTTATCGAATGATATGAAAAGCTTACATTTAGACAAAAAATTTATGAAGAATGACAGAAATAAACATTTTGTTACGAATTCTTAGAATCATGCTGCCAGTTAGGTAAAAGATAAAAAGGTATATTATCATTTGTACAAATGTAAATGTTTCGTAACCATCTAGGATAATTAGCCGAAATTCATTTGTGGTTTCCTGGGCGAACCACGAGATCATGCTTTACCGTACGGTTTTTTGGAGACTTCCCGGTCGAACCGCACTGTAGATTATTTTTTTTGGTAAAACAAGTGTAACATCCCGAACCTTTTCCCGACGAAGATATTGTTCGTTTTGGGTTTCGATCATCACGGTTTTCGACTTGTGGTGCAATTCAAGGTGACTTCCCATAAGGTCACCCATCATTGTTGTACTCACAAGAACTCCTCCGTTTCACCCCAAAACGCGTCTTGTTAGTTAAGACCGGTTTCCTACTTATGAACCATGGATCTCTCCCGTTTTTTGTCTATGTGAGATTTACTTGAGATCATGGTTGTCACGCCGGCCGGCGTGCCACTGGTTGAACCTGGTTCAACTTGTACCGGTCATAAAACTGGTATGACACCACCGGTATGACCGACATGATCGATATACGAATCTCTAAGTAAAATGATCTTATATTAGTGAATTTATTTGATAAAAAGTAATTTATTATTTATTTTATGTGTTAAAAAGTTAAATGTTGATGTTATTTGTTGGATTCAAGTACAAATATTTAGGTATTGACGTTAAATGTCGTGCTTAAATATGAGTATTTGTAAATTATTTGTAATATTAACCGGCACAAACCGGTATGTATCACCAGTCGAATCATTCCACTTGCTAAACCGGCACGCTGACACAAACCGGTTTGACAACCTTGCTTGTGATGTTACAACAAAGAAAGAAAAAAAGACTACTATTCATCTCTGATTCTCTTCCCAACCTACTCTCAGTCACACCATTGATGGCCACAGTTTTTCTAGAACGGAAGTAATCGAGTAAGAGAGGTAGGTCCAGCTCAGGTTTTCCTTTTGGTCGCGGCAGTGGAAACAGCAAGGGTTTAAGCTTTCCCTCGCAGCCACCTTACCTTAGCTCGCCCTTATAATCTCGCGCCCCCGCCCACAGTTGATGGAAGGTCAGGTCCCGAAGAAGCGAGGCCGGAAGCCGAAGCCCAAGGACGAGAAAGACCAGCAGCAGCCACAGCAAGGCAAGATGAAGGAAGCGAAGCGCGGTCAGCACGCTGCTTCTGTCGACGAGAAGTATACTCAGTGGAAGTCTCTGGTCCCCGTGCTCTACGACTGGCTCGCCAACCACAATCTCGTCTGGCCTTCCCTCTCTTGCCGGTATCACTGCTCTTTCTCTTTGGTTCTTCCAGCCGTACCCCTATTTCCCTAGGGTTTTGGGTTGATGAGTGGGGGTGGAGGGAAATGGAAGGAGTGTCCGTCGTTTTTCTCATTTAGGGTTTTTTTTGCCGTGTGGTGCATTGTTGTTTAGGGTTCTCGTTTTATCTGATTATTTAGGTATCAAATGGGATGTTTCTTTATGATCTTGGTTTGCTGTTACTTTGGTTGTGTTATATATGTTTTGAATTTTCTTTCATTGTTGGCTTCATAATTGTTTCAGTGATTGAGTAAATGTTCCTTCTTGTGGGCAGATGGGGTCCTCAGCTTGAGCAAGCTACTTACAAGAATCGTCAGCGCTTGTACCTCTCCGAGCAGGCGAGATCGAGATCCTTTGTATTGGGTTTTTTTCTAGGGTGGAAGTTGATAACATTTTAGGGATCTTTGGCGTCCTTAGACCTGCTGGCTTTTCCTAACATTGTTGTTTGTCCTGTTTCTTTTCATGAACAGACTGATGGTAGTGTTCCAAACACACTTGTCATTGCTAATTGCGAGGTTGTGAAGCCAAGAGTTGCGGCTGCTGAGCACATATCTCAGGTGATTCTCTACCTTCCTGTTTCATGCGTGTATTTAATTTCTGCGTGCAATGTTTCGGTTTTCTGTATAAGATGTACATGAAGGTATCCCTGAAGCTTTATAATTGATCAGCTCGTACTAATTTTGGTCACAGTTTAATGAAGAAGCACGATCTCCGTTTGTCAAGAAATACAAGACCATTATACACCCTGGGGAGGTATGAGTCTAGAAAAAAGGGTTTATGAGGACACCAAGCATATGCTTCTTTCGTCGATCCTTAATTATCCTTAAGGTCGTACAAATCCATCTTTCATTTATAGGTGAACAGAATCAGGGAACTTCCGCAGAATAGCAGGATAGTGGCTACTCATACTGATGGCCCTGATGTGAGTGCACTTATCTTTTGAATTATGTATAAGGCTTGAGAATGTATTATTATAATCATTTTTTTGTTTTTGTTTATGGGACTTATTGCTTGTCTGACAAGCTTGTGGTTGCTTATTTAGTTGCAATGTAAACTGTTGGGCTCAGGTTCTAATATGGGACGTAGAAACACAGCCAAACCGGCATGCAGTCCTTGGAGCTTCGAACTCTCGGCCTGATCTGGTAAGGTGTCATACTTAGCTGTCACTTCAGGCCTTCATTCAGTGTATTTTAGATTTTTTGTTCACCAACCATGGGATCAAACACTTGCATTTCTTCTTCATATGTCTATTTCAAGGGTGTTTTTACCTTGAAATGAGTTAGTAATTTCGGAATTGATCAGAAAACATATTAAGGAGGTGCTGTTTACTTATCTGCCTTCGTTATGGAATGTGGTGTTCCACCATGAGATTCAGTATGTGGTTGCAGGATTAGACAGTTACGTGTCAATGCATCCGGAAATTTTAAGTGGCCTCTGAAAAATGCTAGTTTTTTTGGGCTTTTCAGGATACAAAGGTACTCTAATCGAGATTTTTTTTTTGCAGATTTTAACTGGACACCAAGATAATGCAGAATTTGCTCTGGCAATGTGTCCAACAGAACCCTTTGTGTTATCTGGAGGTTTGAATTTTCTTTTTAGTTATTATAGCTAAAACAAGGACTAATTAGCACTGCTGCACATTTTGGTTTTTAGCGTCTGAACGATTTTGATCTGTTTTTCTTTTATTGACCTAGGTAGTTGGTTTTTGTACTTTCACAGGATTGTTTGGTGTAACTGTATCTATTTATTCAAAAGTTTGAACTGTGAGTTTTTCATGCAGGGAAGGATAAGTCAGTGGTTTTGTGGAGTATCCAGGACCACATAACATCCTCTGCGTCTGACCCAGCTAGCGGAAAGTCTCCAGGATCTGGTGGCGGCTCCATCATTAAAAGGGATGGTAATGACAAAGCTGTTGATGGCCCAACTGTTGGACCGAGAGGGATCTATCAGGGCCACGACGATACAGTCGAAGATGTTGCTTTCTCTCCATCCAGGTACCTTTTGCTGCCTGTGCATAGGACGACATTTTCATTTTATGTTACGAAGGGGATATTCATAATGTTGATAGAATCCCGTCTCTTTTTAGAATTGGTCTTCATAATGTTGTTTATTACTTGATTTCATTGTTAAATTGTTCAATCTGAATTGATGTACATAATGATTGCGATGCTAAAAGCAGATCTTTGAGTCTTGTTTCATAAACTTCTCTTCCTGATAAAAAATTTGCATCTGAAGTGCGCAGGAGTTCTGTAGTGTAGGAGATGATTCTTGTCTCATTCTTTGGGATGCTCGAGTTGGCACTAGCCCCGTTATCAAGGTATCCTTCTTTGCAAACTTATGGATTTTTTTTTTTGAATTGGTATTGTAGATTAGAATGCTGTTTGAATCATGCTTTTGTGGACCTTGTTTCTCAGTTGTGTTTGCATCTTTTTCTATTGCTCTGATTTGCATGGTTCATCCCTTAACAGTCCTTGCCCCCTCCTCCATATTAACTAGTCATGATACCTGTACAACCCCCATTACTCTGATGCACTACTTATCATATCTATCGATTCTGTTAAGTCATCCGCCTCTTGGTGGTTTTGATTTGTCTAGTTTTCTTTGGCCAGTGCAATGGATTCCCCAGGTGTGGCTAGTGAACTAACATAATCTGCTTTTAAGTTGGCCAAATATATGTGGTTTTCAGCCAGTATGTGTTTGATTTACTGTGTTTTAATTTCCAACCTAGAAGTTCAAATGGAACCTTGTGCATTGGCAAGAATCCTTGGAAGATCTGGTATTGTATTTCTTTTTGTTTTTGTTTCTTCTTCTGCTTCATATTGATAATTTTAAATTTTTTGTTGTGCATTCTTATTGCATGTGACAGTAGGTTATATTATCTGGTTGGGGTCTTTTGGATCCAAGTATGGAATGAACCTGCTTTGGGCTATCTGTTGTGATCATAAATCCAGAATGTGATCTCATGTCAGATATACATGTTTAATTGGAGTCTTGGAGGCAACATAATTTGTTGTTCTGACGTTTTGGGGGAAATTTGTTTGCAGGTTGAAAAGGCTCAGAATGCTGATCTTCACTCTGTTGATTGGAGTCCACATGACAGCAACTTTATTCTGACTGGGTATGCTTCGACATTTTTTCTGTGCAACTGCTGCCTATATCTATCTATTTAGTGAACACTCTGCTGCTTTCTTTGATCCTTATGTCTTCCTTTTCCATCTGCAACTACCCAATTCTTATGTGTTATATCTTTTGTGTACTGTTGGTCGAGGTACATGTTGTAAGATGTACCATTGTGGCTATACAGAGACACAAAACAATTTTAAATGCCTTTAATGATTGTGTCACTTCTCTTCAGTTCTGCGGACAATTCTGTTTGCATGTTCGACCGGCGAAGCCTCACCAGTAACGGAGTTGGCTCACATGTTCATAAATTTGAGGGCCATAAAGCTGCTGTTCTTTGTGTCCAGGTTTAGTGTCTTGTCATCTCAGCCGTTTTCTTTACTTTGTCATTTCTAGTCGAGCCAGTTCAACTGAAAGAGCTAAGCTAACTAATATGTCTAAATATCTCCATCTACTTTTGTTTCAGTGGTGTCCCGACAAGTCATCTGTCTTTGGAAGTTCTGCTGAGGATGGGATCCTAAACATCTGGGATTATGAGCAGGTAGGGTTCCAGATTTCTTTCTTTATGTTTGAGCTTGTTGTATTCTGACTTTTGAGCTTGCAGTTCCTGTATGGCCAGTACAATCTTCGTCTCTCTTAAACTTAACTCCATAAGCTGGTAACATAGTGATAGTAATGGTATACTGACTTGGTGCTTACTATCTGATATTCATGTTATACGGGCTATCAAATTATTACATGTTTCGTGTTTGTGTTGTTACATTTAATTCTCTCTCAGCTGTGTTAACAAAAATTCTTTTGATGCGTGTAGATTGGTAAAGAAACAGATGCAAAGGCCGCAGGAGCTCCTGCAGGATTGTTTTTCCAGCATGCTGGGCACAGGTTCGATATTCAGCTTTGTCATTTGAAACTGAATACTGTGGCGTGCCTTTCTTGCTACCAAAAAGTGACTTATGTTTGAAGTTGTGGTAAAAACAAGTGCTTAGTAATGAAAGAGTGTCAGGGTGAATAGAGTGAAAAAAATGTGTTTGAGCTTTTATATAGGAGGTTGAAACCAAACACCAGCCGGTATCACTTTCGTTCTTGTGTTTAGTTTACAAGTTTTATCTTTAACTTGTCTGATATTATCCTTTTGAATGTAATTAGGGACAAAGTGGTAGACTTCCACTGGAATACACATGACCCTTGGACGATTGTTAGCGTATCTGATGATTGTGAGACTAGTGGTGGAGGTGGCACCTTACAGGTATCAATTCTCGAGCCCCCCGCTTAAACTGGCTTAAAGAAATAACAAGTCGTCCGGAGCTTACTAATTCACAACTGGAAAACTGGGTTTGGTACAGATATGGAGGATGAGTGATTTGCTGTATAGGCCGGAGGAGGAAGTGTTGGAGGAGCTTCAGAACTTCAAAACCCATGTGAGTAAATGCACAGCCAAGAACTGAAAGGGATAGACGGCAAATTCGGAAGCAACGAACCACATGGTCTGTCGGTTCAAGCGATGTTTGTCATCATGAGTTCCCTTTCTGTTTCGGTACAGCTTTTGTGCGACTGTAGGAGATTGCAGGAATTGGTTTAAGAAGGTAGTGTAAGAGAGGGATATGATGCTTCTGTTCTGTAGGCTTTTCTTACTATTTTGGTTCGTGAAGAATGGTTAAGTTGGGGAAAGGTGTTTAATATCATAGGCTTTGGAGTAGCCCGTAAATGGCCGCCCAAATGTCTTAAATGATGAAGTTTGGCCACACTACCGTTATTCCTCTGCTAGCTTTGGTCCCTCTTTTTTTTTTTTTTTTTTTACAGGTCTCTTGAAGGCTGATGAGATTTGTTCCCTCCAACAAGTTCTATTGGCTACATGCTTTGATTTGTGTAATGGTAGAACCGGTGGCACAATTAGTTTGTATCTTTGTGTCGTCAATACTGGTTTAACAAAATATGTAAAAATGTTTAAACCCTAAACATTCAATGAATTTAATCATATATGCAACATATTTGAGAACAATTTATTTATAATTTAACTAATAACATCAACTTTTAACCTTTAAATTCACAAACTAAATAATAATTTGATTTTTTATTAATTAAATTTACTAAAGCGTCATCATTTTGCTTAAAGTATGTAAATTGATCATGTTGGTCATACCGGCGGTGGAGTTATGTTGGTTTCATGACCGGTACCAGTTCAACTAGGTTTAATCGGCAGGCATATGCCACTGCCCACCGGCTTGACAACCAAGGTCAATGTTAATGTGTTTTTGTACTAAAATCATGGTTTAATCGTAGTTCATTTGTTTCATATTGCTATAATCACTTTGTAGTTTGGAGTATGATATTCGATATTTCTGGTATGGTATTCAGTCTCCGTTTGGGGTTTTGGGCCTTGGACTTCCACCCTCCTCATTCAGTTTTCCGTTTCTAATCAAAAGTTGAAAACACATATTCTGAAGCAAGAACAAAATCTGTGATTTGAGTGGGAATGTGTAGTATTAATGTAGCAAACTGATCCCTACACCCAATAATAAAAGGAATTAATAATTATTTATGCTGAAAGTCAAAGATAGAGACAGTTCTTAAAAGTTTTGGTTTCCCAAAACAGAGCCATCATAAATCACAATGATAATCAATATCCCCTCCCCTACTCCTAACGTTCATTGGGCCTAATTAATTGTAATTATTTACACAAACCCTCTCTCCTATTGCTTAGTACTAGTATTATAGTTCGTCATTACTACATCATTAAATCCCACCATTTACCAACATAATATCATCACCAAAAAGTTAAAAAAGAATAAGAAGTTACATTACATCTCCAATAATAACCGATGCCCTTATGAGATGGTTGAAATCCCGTTTAGTACCAAATCTTTTGATCTCCTTTTGTTTATCTCGCGCGCGACACCATGAATCGCTGGAATTCGCAATTGACTGTACGTATGGTAAAAATACGCACTAAGGCTCAACCAGACGTTGAAACGCGGATGAATATGATTATCGTTTTCGTTGACTGCCACACGAGGCTCAACCTCGGCCTGAGCATCGCGAGCCAACGCCACGATGATCGATATGAACCGGCCATGAAGCAGCCGATTATTAGGAACCACAACTTTTTCCACGAATCGTCGAGGAAGAAGAAGACATCTTCCGTGCCGCCGCGTTTGGACCTCTCCTTCAAGCTTTTTCCTAACGACGAAACCGCCCTTAATGATAGAGAATTAGTGACGAGATCGTCGTCGTCGTCAATCGATACGGATGATGAGCAAGACAAATCCGGAGGGCGTAAAGTGATGATGGATGGGAGAAAGAAGAAGCTGCGGCTGAGCATGGAGCAAACCAGCTTGCTCGACAACACATTCAAACTCCAAACCACCCTCAACACGGTATTCATTCCTTGATTTCTCCTCGATCTGCATCCATTCTCTTCCTCTTCTTTTTTTATATAGTAATTTTGAACCAAATATCCAGAATTCCAGATGAATAATAGTGTCCTTCCTGCACTGATTTATAGCTTGTCATTGTTGAAATAATATTCAGTAAGATTATTAGCTTAATTTGGTTTTTCCCCCCTTCGTATTATACCTATAACTCAGTATCATGCTGGTGTAATACACAAAATTCTGGTCAACTGATTAACCTTGTAATCGGAGACTCTTCCATATCAGTCATGAAAACGTGCATGGGCATTGACGAATAATGCATGGTTTTTAATTTTTATTATCATACGATTCATACTACTACTATTATTATTTGTTAATGGCAGTAATTTGGTTCTTTTAATTTGATTAATTACGATGATCAGATTAAACAAGTTGATTATGGGTGATGGCAGGCACAAAAGCAGGCACTTGCAGAGCAGCTGAAACTGACGCCAAGACAAGTTGAAGTCTGGTTTCAGAACAGAAGGGCCAGGTAATTAATTTCGTTTATATTTAATTTGCACTAAATAATTTTTAAGGTTCATTTACTACACGTAAGTAAGGTTAAGAAGGGCACTAGGCGTATGGCGAATTTTGGAGTCTCGTTAAATACCTAATGTATTCAGGCGATGTAAGCAAAACTAGTCGTTGTATTAAATTATGTTTTATAATATTTTTTTCTTTTAGTTTAAATGATTAATAACTTACTTAACACTTACAAACAAGAAGCAAAAACTCACAAGTTCGTAGAATCACAGCTTTCAGCTTAAATAGTTGGCCAAATTCACTTGCATAGCCAAAACTTTGACGGTTGTGACAAATATAGCCACTTTTGGCGAAATACCAGAAATAGCCAGGATTTTGAAAGTCAGATGACAAATATAGCCATTTCCGTTAAATAGTTTGACGGCGTCAATGACACCGTTAGTCTATTTAACGGACAGATGATGTGGCTGCCACCTCACCTTGTGTTTCCTTCCCACCTCAGCATCTATTGACATGTGGGATGCCACGTCATCCTTAATGGGTAAAAAAAAAATGTGTTATTTGTTTCATTTCCCCAATTCAAACCCATTTAGGGTTTCTGCTCTTCTCGACGAACCTCCTTTCCGCCGATTGAAGCAGCACTCGTGGACGACTTTCCCCGCTCCGCCGCACTCGTGGACGACTTCCCCCGCTCCGCCGCACTCGAGTCGACGACTTCCCCCTTTCCGCCGCACTCGCACTCGAACGTCGACCCAGCATCGAACGAAGACCACCCCGCCGCCTCCCTTTCCTTTTGCGTCGACCCAGCCTCGAACGAAGACCACCCCGCCGCCTCCCTTTCCTTTCGCTAACGACGGCCCCCGCGACGACCCCTTCCTCGTCTTCACTGTTTCTCGCCATCCACGACCGCCGCAGATCGGCGAAGACCCCTTCTCCTACGTCATGTCTCACCGGGGTGGATCATCTTCCAGAAGCGAGAACAGCATTGGGGTAGTCTGTTGCTACCACAATCTTCCTGCTGTGACTAATAGAGCTGGTACTGAGTCCAACTCAGGAAGGAGATTCTACGTATGCAAGTTTTGGATGGTAAAGGAGGTTGGCAGAATCTTCATTTTCCAGTTGTGTATGTTTGAGAGTTGTGACCATACACTCTGTTGATGCAGGTACCAAAAAAGAACTGCAATTTTTTTAGGTGGGTGGATGGGGCGGTGGATGAAGGCGATGCCTCGAACTCTGGCATAGACAGTACAATTCTTAATCTACAAGAGAATTTACGGTTGGCTGAGGCTAAGGCAGAGAGAAGGAAGAAGGAGAGAAAAATTGTCGTCCAAGAGCTGAGGAAGGTTAACAATGATGTTCGTGTCATTCGACATATGTTCGCCGTTGTTATTTTTTTGAATGTAGCGTTACTTGCCGTAGTGTTGGCCAATCGCAGCAGTATGATTTAGGAAGATTTGTTCTAAGTTAGTGTTATGTATTGTTATGACAAGTAATGTGTTTCTCGCAAGCTATGCAGTGTTTATGAATTGAATTGGCAAGATAGTGTTCTGAATTTGGCATGACTGTTTAGTGTTAGTGTTATGTATTGAATTGGCAAACCTTAACATTCATAACCTGATGCATCTGTTTAACAAGGCAGGACTTAACAACCAAAGGAGATACCATAAATTACATCCATTGTTTTCCATCCTAACATCCATCTACTAACATTCAGAAATTCCATTACATCCACAGTTTGTCATCCTAACATCCAGCTACTAAAACTAATCCGAAAGGTGGACAAGGTGGACATAGACCATGAGTCACATAACAAAAAAAGTTCCACCGAGTGCATCCATAACACGCATTGTTTCCAAAAATGTGACTCATGGTGACTTTGGCATCTAAGGTTGTGTCGGAGGCGGCTGGCTTCCTTGAGCATCCATCTCAGTTGGCTGAGTACCTCCAGCAGGACGACCCCGTGATCCATTCAACTGAAACAGATTATGAAGTTAGCAAAATCTCACAACAATGGGGTACCAACCATCATTCCAACGAAAGAGCATAACTCAATCTTACCCTCACGTATTGGTTCCCAGTTGCCTCACTTACATACACCCCTATCCCTCTTGTGGCAATTCGCATCTCACGCTCAATCGTCCTTCGATCTCCCACATTCAACACAACATCCTAGAATTAAAATGACCACACATTATTCCACACAACATTCAAATTATCCTAACATTCGTTATTTTTTTCTTACCTGTATTCCATTTCCTCGATTGAGGGGGCAGGTTCTCGCATTATGGGTCGCTGATTGACACTTAGAGCAATGAAGAACTCGCTTCCTCCTTGTGTCGGGGACAGTTGGGGCAGCAGCACTGTTTTCAGCTGGAACAGTAGGGCCAGCAGTATTGTTTCCTCCACGAGTAGCCCTTCTTGGTGCTGTTCGAGCACTTCTTGCTTCATTCCGAGTGTTAGCCTGAAAAGTAGAATGGCCCAATGTTAGTAAGAAATAAATTAATTGTAAAATATTACATGTTCCAATGAAACTGATGCATACCTGAATCTCAGCTGCTGTAGCTTTACAGCCCCTCGAGTTATGCCCCTCAGCACCACATTTCTTGCAATGTATGATACTCCCCCTTCTAGTTACCTCCTCGCCAACCCCATTACGCTGAGGTCTCGTTTCCAACTCGTGAGCAGCCCTTCGTCGCTTCTTCTTAGGCCTTCCCGGCATGGGTCTTTGCTTCGGAGGATGAACTGGAAGACCAATAGCATCTGGCCAAGCCTGCCTACCATCTAAGCAAGGGATGCCAATCTTGTAGCCTAACTCGACATGGTAGGCCTTGTAACAAGGATGTACATAATCGTCCACCTCCTTCCTCATATGTGAAATTGCCGAGACAGCATGGCAACAAGGCAGCCCACTCAATTGCCAGTATCCACATGTACAGCTCCTATCATTTAGGTCCACTATGTAGCCATTCTCACCCATCTTCACTTCACACTTATCCGCCAATGTCTGCCTAGCAATGCACAACCTAGCCAATTCCTTTACTTTCTCAACCCTCTTCCTAATTCTAGGGCACAGCATATCCGGGCTGTCCATCAACATGTTATACTTAATTACGAACCTATCCATCATGTAACACCTAATACCCTCTAGCATGTCGATTATTCTCAAGCCCCTATACTTCACAATTGTCCCATTAAACGTCTCACAGATATTGCTTTCAACACTATCACACTGTGACATTGTCGACATGAATGCTCGGCAAAAGGAACGGGGTTCGGCAGCCATGAAATCAGTAAAGGGTGTGGATCCAAGTTCGGTACCTTCAATTGTCTCCATTTCCTTGGTGGCCTTCTTCCAATCATTCTCATTGCAAGCATAAACTGCCTTCCAGAACAGCTCACGAACCCGGTCAGTTTTGTTCTTTGCCTTCCAATTCGCATAAACATGGCGGGCACACTTGCGATGTTCTGCATCGGGTAACAACTCATGGGTAGCTTCAATCAGACCCTACAAGTACAAAGAAAACAGTTATGGAGCTGTAGCAAGTTAAACAAATTATGAAGTAAGTAAACAAAAAAGGGAGCAAGTTGTTATGAGTCTAACCTTTTGTTGGTCCGATATGATTGTCCAGCCCCTACCATCTGTTAAAGCCAGCTCTTGAGAGAGAATGTTGACAAACCACCTCCAAGAGTTTGCATTCTCTCCCTCCACGACTGCCCATGCGATTGGGAACATCTGATTATTTCCATCCTTCCCAACCGCTGCAAGAATCATGCCCTTTACCTCCCCCTTCAAGAAACAACCGTCTAAACCGATAATTGGCCGGCAAGCGAGAAGAAAACCGTCTCGGATGTTTGAGAACATTACAAACATCCTTTGAAAGTAGACCTTTTCTTGTGTGGGATGCGGTTCAACCTCTAGCTCGAACCGGCCTAACCTGTCTCGTTTCTTCAGCTCACCCAAGTATGACCGTAGCCTCGTGTACTCATCTTTCAAAGAGCCACTAAGGAGTCGAATGGCTACCACTTTTGCCCTGTAACATGTCCTTCTTTTAACTTCGATATTGTGCTTCAGTTTCACTTCAGCCATGATCTGCTCTGGGGCCCATTCAGGATTGATCCTGAACCTCTCTAGCATGTCCATCGCAATCCACTTCGCCGTAACTTGATTCACCCGAAGCTGTCTTGAACATGAATGTGGCAGCCCTACCTTTCTTACCATAAAAGTCTGGTTCTTCCTAAACCAGCTTGCATACACCTTCCATTTACAGCTCTCGTTCTTACACTTCACTTCCCTCCTCGTAGGGTTAACCCTTGTCCACCTCAAACCTGCCCCATTTGCTACAGAATGCTTCACCACCGCAGTCTTAAACTGGTCAGGATCCTTGAATCTCATGCGAGCCACAAACTCGAACTTACCCTCACAATGAGGATCGTAGTGTGGTGCGTTGTCGAACACATCAGCACTAGCCTCATCAGATATGTTACCTCGCACGTGGTCAGACTCCTCGGAAAGTCTGTAGCTCGAATGATTACTTGTCTGCTTACGTGCTTGCTCAGTTGGTGACATTTCCTCAGTTTCAGAATCTTCTATTTCCTCTTCATTCACATCAAGGTTGTCAACCCCAGCTTCTTCAACCTCTTCCTCATCAGATTCCACCTCTTCAAACTTGTCCAACTGCTCCACCTCCTCCCCATGACCATCAGCCCTCATTCTCACCTTTCTCTTCCGCATTTCTCCATATGCCCGAAGGTTGTTCCTTGCCTCATGGTACTCATCGTCGGATGTGTCAGCATCATCGGAGTCGTAAACATGGATCATTGGTCGAGCCACAGAAGCAGCAACTGTTCCTTCGTCTGCTGATAGGTAATCAGCAGAATTCACTACCTCATTTGGGTCATTCTCTTCCATTGAACTCACCATCTGTTACAAGGAAAACACATTCAAATACTATTTTAATCACAATTACTATTATAATCACAATGTTAATGCATTTTAAATCAGTAAAGCACAAAGGAATCATCACCAACAAACATTATTCTATCCTAGGGTTTTCCAAAGGCAATGACGATTCTGCCCAGTAGCTTTCCAGTTGCTTACCTTCGAATTCAAGGGCAAACTCGAGAAGTGTAGAATTCCAGTGGTCCCGAGGAAACCCCTTTGTGTCGCTTTCTGTCTTTAATACCAGGTACGCACTATAAAAGGAAGAAGCAAACCAAAATTTACAACACTGCAGTTGAAATTCATCTCATCTGAGCTCAGTGAAGTTGTCTCGACACTTACCAGTCGACTGAAAGAAAGAAGCCCAGAAATCGCCCTTGTTCGAAAATCAACAATCTTCAAGATTAGGGTTTTTAGGGTTCGGGAAATTTTTGCCTGTCTTCTCGATTCCCCCTCACCAACAGCGAATCGCGATGCCAGAACGTGGAGAGGATCTATGAAAAACCGCGCGGCATGGCCGATTCCATGGAAGGAGGCTCGGGAAGATTTTAGGGTTCGGGAAGGAAGCTCGGGAAGATTTTAGGGTTCGTGAAAGGAGGAAGGGGGTTTTGCTTCTCGTGGTGGGTTCGTGGTTCGGAAAGGCTCTCGTCGTCGTCGACGACTACCGCCGCCGATCTGGAGAAGGGGGAGCGTCGTGCTTCGTTCGTCGGAGAAGAGGGATTTTCTCTGGAATATCGACTCGGGGAAAGGGAAGGGAAAAATGGTGACGATAGAAAGTGACTGAGGAGTAAAACTTCTCATTTACCGTTGCGACTTTTTTTTTTCCACGTGGAATTCACTTGTTCGGCGATAAAAGCCACGTCGGTTGGTCCGTTTGTCCAGTCAGCCCGTTAACTTACACTGTCAAACAATTGGACGGAAGTGGCTATTTCTGGTATTTCGCCAAAAGTGGCTATATTTGGCAAAACCGTCAAAGTTTTGGCTATACAGGTGCATTTGGCCTAAATAGTTTACAAAGTTCTAGAGCTATTGGAAAAAATTGAATTAATTACTTAGTTCGTAGATGATGTTAATTTCTCCATTTTGACAAAGAACGGTCTAGCTTCACCTAATTACACCTAGATGTAGGCGCGTCGATATACTCCGTCCCCGCACTATGAATTTCTAACAGATTCCTATACTGAGACATTTTTTTGTTATTGCCTAGCGCCTAAACACGACTTTTTGAACCATTGATATAAGTAAATTCAATTTGTGGTCACTAATGCATTGCAGAACGAAACTGAAGCAGACAGAAGTGGATTGCGAGTTCCTGAAGATACGCTGCGAGAGCTTAAGCAACGAGAACAGAAGATTGAAGACCGAGCTGCGCTATGGAAGAAATGTCGATTCATGCCCTCGAGCCTTGATGACGACGACGTGCCAGTCCTGCCAGAAACGAAACGTTTCGTCGAGTGGAACCAGCAGCAGCGGCGGTCAACCGTATGATAAACAACAACAACAACAATAATAGATTATAGAAAAATTAGTAGTAGCAATAATAATGATAATATTAATTAGGCAGAGTTAATAAGTAATTAACTTTATAAAAACAAAAGTAATCAACGATGGGGAGGGTTAATTAGGCGGTCCGAAAGAAAAAAAGAATACATGGATTATCTGATGGGATGAAGAAATAGATGCAAGGAAATTAATGATAAGTTTTAAGTGTACTTAGTCTTAGTGGTAAAGTATAGTATTAGTAGGGTGGGGGTTATGGAAGGCTGGTTTTGGCAAAAGGTGATTTATTATAACTTCATGATTAATTAATTAATTAATTAATCTCTTAATTACGGAGCGACCGTTGATGGCTAGCTAGGCTACCCTTTTCATAGTCGTGGGTATAATTCCTCGCTTCATAATAGTTGTGGCCAATGCAGTCAAAATCGAGCATTAAAACTTAAAAACTTACGATTTTACGCTTTTAGATCACCAAAACGCTTTCGTTTCCATATAAAAACTTAAGTGTATAAAATCGGACTAAATTGCGCTTTAAAGCTTAAAAGCTAACGGTTTTACGCTTCTAGTTCACCAAATGCTTTACGTTTTTAAGCTTTTAGTTCACTAAATGAGTATTCTTTTCATGAAATTAATTATAAAAAGTATATTTAAAAGTAAATCACCAACAATATGATACATTTGAGATTATAAGATACATATCAGGTACTTGGATGCATTCTCAACTTCAATAGAGTAATAAATTCACTAGCTAGGCTTTTCCCAAATTCATTAGCATAGAGAGAAAAGTGGCTTATTGTTAAAATTTATGTTTACGAACTTATTATTAAGATGCTATAAGTTGTTCTACTTTAGGCATGAATCGCATGTATTTATTAACTTATCTGTGCGTTCATATTTTGCATAGCATATATCCTACTTAATAGATTTTTAGTTATTTTTCAGTATGCGTCAAAAACTTACGCGTTTACGCTTTGATTCTACGCTTTACGATTTTATCCCTTATCCGCTTCTAGGTAGAATCGCGCTTTTGACTGCATTGGCTGTGGCTAATATATTGTATTTACCATTTATAGAATGTTTATATGTGCAACACTTTGTTTGTAACATACATATTACTATTAGGTGCATTCCTTTATTAGTCATTTTGACTTTCTCATGTTTTTAATACGTTCTAAGCATATTCGAAGAAATTTGAGTATTTGACTAGAAAGTTTCATGGTTAAATATCAAACAAAACACACATCATTAGTGTAAATATACAAAGATATAACCATCAAACTCTACCAACCAACAGGTAGCTAGTTAAACTTAAGATGTGCATGGGTACATGATTTCATAATAACTGAAGATATAATTATAATAAAACTAATTATTATAAGTTTATAGATGTTCCTAACACCAACCTAAAAGACACTAAATAAATGCACTCGGTAGTCGACTTTGACTAACGAATAAAATACTACATTGCAATCAATTACCACTAATGCCACAAAAAATAAGTATACTTCTAAACCGAACATAAAAGATTCCAAACGTTACAAATATTATAAATAAACTAATAATTATAAATGGCTCATTCAACCAACCAAGTAAGTATAGAGTTACATCAAACTTTAAATGGTTTTATTTATCTAAAAATTAAAATGCATGATCAAGTAATTTTTACTCAGTCACTTATCCTGGCCCTACAAATTTACTAACACATCAAAAAATAGTGAAATGAACTAATACATTAAACTCAATCTTGTCTCATGATTGTTGAGTATAATCATGCCAGATTAGGAAGATATTTGAGATTTAGCGATTAACCAAACTTACAAAAACAAATTTCATAAAACCGGTAACTTATTGTTTGCACCAAATATCGTTGCTTTATGATAATTTCTAAAAATTGATACTAAGTTAAAATTTCACATCCCTTCTAAATATTTAGTAGTATGCAATATTCAAATGAATGATATTTGGGTTGTTGTTTTAAGATTATGCTCCATTTATAAGATATACAATAATTATTATTGGACTAAAAATAAATAATAAAAAATGAAAATCAAAGTATCAAATATTAGAAAATACTTAACGGAGACTTAGTGGGCTAGCTAACCATGATGAAAAAGTCATATGATTTCCAAAAAAATTATTCTTGTATATTTTTTATTTAAAAAGATACGACAAATTTGTTTAGTCTAATTAGTTATGATATTTATCTTTGTTAGAAAAGACCAAGGTTCAAATCTTGACATTGATATATTTTTCAAATAAGAAATAAACAATTGCAATGATGAATGTTCCCTTCCTATTTTCACTCTTTGCAAGGAATTTGAAATGGAAGAAAAGTAACAACAACTTATCGAAAAACTCTCTCGTTTAGCGAGAGCTGGTAGAACGGCGGAAATCCTAGGTTTTTCGGGTGGCGCCTTTTAGGCGGCGACTGATCTTAGTGTGGATGACGTATTACTTGAGTGAAAGGAATCCTTTCCTGCTAAGGACGAGATCTCGATTGCTACTGCGAAGTCTATAAAGTCTTAAACACTAAGGTATTTCTAGACCATTGGCGAGGACGCGCTTAGGTTTTTAGCTCAACATGACTCTTCTTCCTGCTGCTAACCTAAGTGTTTGACTGGATTGAACAACAAGTTTCACAAGCAACAAATAACAGAGAACGCAGACAACGATAATCATGGACATAGGGGTGCCTTCAAGGGAGCTAGCGGAAATTCAAAGCACTGCGGAAAGCCTGGAAGTTCAACTTGATCATATAACATTGGAAGATGAGGACGATGCCCCTCTGGAGGTGGATGATGGGGACGTTGATGTGTTTCGTATGGAGGCAGGTCGCAGGCTGGGCTTGATAGGACGTCTAGTAGCTGAAAAACAACCAAATATCAAGTAACTCAAATGCAGGTAACTGATCTGAGAGCCATGCTCTTTGCGTTTCAGTTTTTGGATGTGGATGATCAAGATAGGGTTTGTTTTGGAGGCCCTTAGCATTATAAAAACAATGCTATGGTGTTCACGACAAGCTTGTTGATTAAAAAACCAGTTCCTGAAGCCCTACACATGTTAGATATGTGGATTCAGATTAAAGAATTCCCGGCTGAGCTCAGAACAAAGACAATGGCGAAGAAAATTGCTAATAGATTCGAATCTCTAGTCTAGTTTGATGACGGTCCTAGGTCAATGTGGGACTCCTATATGCGTATAAGGGTGAGCTTATCTATTCATAACCCTCTAAAGAAAAAGATTAAGCTCGATATAAAGGGGAAGTTGGTGGAATACATGGTAAAGTACGAGAAATCACCTATTTGTTGTTACTCCTGTTGTCGAATTGGCCATCCAAAGCTGCGCTGCCCTAACCCTTCTGGACTGGAACCGATCCATTTGGAATGGAACTGAGGACTGGAACGCCAGAACCTAGGAACTGGCTGTCTCACTCACTGGAAAAAGAGGATGCAGAAATATGGGCGTCACTGAGAAAGAAATTTGATTGAGAAAGCACATAATCAAATTCTGATAATGAAGTACCTCATGCGGAGGAAATTGCAGAAAAAGAACATATACCAGGCAAAGTAGATAGTGAGAAGGAGGATGAAATGAGAAATAATATAGAGCCTAACCTGGTTGAAGAACAGATTGAAGAAGGAGATAAGCCACAAGTGCAAGACAGAAGCAGCAAACTGCCTTTTCCAAATCCACATTTGGGACATTTGGGAATGGGAGGAGCACTAAATCAGTTCGTTATGAGAGCAATTTTTAATGAAATGGAAAGCAAACAAAAGAACAATGTCTGGCGAAGGATGGATAAGACCAAACAACATATACCTGTGTTTGTTCCTCCCCAAGTGACGCCACAAAAAAGAACTGCACAGAACGGCGGGAGTGAAGGAATTCAAGACAATGGCAAGGACCTGCAAGCAAATTAAGCCAAAGTTTTGAGTTTCTCAATACTAGAAGAGAATGCACAAGCAGACATTACCAAAAACAAAAAGGATGGCGAGGTGGCAACTCTGCCAGGGAGTAGAGCCACCCAGCTCAATGATTTTGTTGAGCTACAACTGTCGAGGTCTCGGGAATACCCAGAAAGTTGAAAAAGTTAAGATGTTATTATGTCAAACAAATCCCGACGTTGTATTTTTGATGGAGACAAATCAATATGAGGATGAATTGAAAAGAAAAATTAAAGAGTTTGGGTATTTTGATGGAAAAGGAGTGGCGGCCGGGGAGAACAGAGCTGGAGGGCTTCTGTTGATGTGAAAAGAAGATGTATCCATAGAGGTCAAGGGATGTGACCTCTATTTTATTGATGCAAAGATGTATCCATAGAGGTCAAGATGAACTGGCCACACTTTCATAGGCCAACAAGAGGTAACTAACTGCTTGGTCAGCTATATGAAAGGGTTATTCGCAAAGGGAAAAAGAAGGGAGGTGAGCAAGATCTTACACATGGTTACTCCCAGAGTAACCTCAGAAATGAATCAATCCCTGCTGGAACCCTTTACGGAGGAAGAAGTACGAAGGGATTTGAAACAAATTGGACCCAAAAAGGCTCTAGGGCCAGAGGGGATGTTGGCTTGGTTCTTTCAGAAACACTGGAATATTGTTGGGACTACTGTCCTGAGTGATTACGTGGGTATCTAGAGCTCAGGGAGTTTCCTATGTAGCTGAACAAGACCCTAATAGCGCTTATACCAAAGAAAAATAACCATGCCACTCCCTTGTATTTCAGACCCATAAGTGTTTGCAATGTTCTTTATAAGATCCTCTCTAAAGTACTAGCAAATAGACTCAAAAGGGTTATCAACTCAGTCATTGGGGAACAACAAAGCGCATTTGTCCCAGGGAGGTATATAACATATAATGTTTTAGTGGCTTTCGAGTGTTTTCACACTATAAAGCAAAAGACACGAGCAAAAAAAGGTTTTATGGCAGCCAAGTTGGATATCTCCAAGGCTTATGACAGGGTGGAGTGGGATTTTCTAGAAGCTATGATTGCACAATTAGGTTTTGGTGAAAGATGGGTGAATATGATCATGCACTGTATCTCTACAGTCTCCTATCAAATCCTAGTTAATGGTCATCGATCGGAGGAATTCAAACCGGAAAGGGGTCTGAGGCAGGGTGACCCTTTTGTCGCCTTACTTATTCTTATTTTGTGTGGAGGGTTTATCGACACTAATAATGTGAGCATTGGAGGGAGGGAAGTTGCATGGTCTGAAAGCCTCGGTTAGGGGACCATATATCTCTCATATACTATTTGCATATGATAGCGTGCTATTCACAAGAGCAACGACTCGGGAGAGTAAACAGTTGCAGGAAATCCTATGAGACTATGAAGAAGAATTGGGCCAGGTGGTCAATTTACATAAATCAGAGCTTAGCTTTAGCCCTAGTGTTCCAATTCCAAATGAGAGGAGGGATGAGTTATTCGAGATATTGGGTATGAAGTAGTTGGATATTCATCAGAAGTATTTGGGGCTACCCTCAGTTATTGGAAGAGAGAAAAAAGAAGGATTCCTTGGAGGGAATGGCATAGGCTATGTCGACCAAAAGAGGAAGGGGGCATGGGCTTTAGAGAATTACACACTTTCAACATTTCCTTGATAAGGAATCAAGTCTGGAACCTATGAACAGTCTGGAATCCTTGGCAGTTAGGGTGTTGAAAGCTAAGTATTTTCCTGACATTGTTGTCCTACAAGCTAAGCTAGGGAACAATCCTAGTTACACGTGGAGAAGTATAATGGCTGCACAACAAATGGTTAAGGATGGGATACGATGGAGGGTATTAAATGGCTCTGAGATAAATATATGGTCCGACAGATGGGTGGCAGGGGCTCTAGATGATGATTACCGAGTTAATTCTCCAAGGCCTCAAGCAGGGGGGGGGGACTAACTAGGGTAATGGATTAATTGATCATGAGCAGAGAGTTTGGAGGTGGAATATGTTCCAACAAAATTTCAACCAGGAGGATAGAGTGCGGATTGCAGCTATTCCAATCCCCAGGCAGCCAGCAAAGGATGACCTGGTATGGATTGCTGAAAAGAATGGTAGCTATACTGTGAAATCAACTTGTAACCTACTAGCAAAGAAAAGATTCAAGGCAAGTGATCTCACATCGAGTAGCGAGGAGATGGAAGGATACAACATAGATGAATGTGTGGAAATTTATGATCCTATGAACTAGGCTAGTTTATGGAAATTAACAATCCCACCGAAAGTGAAGATTTTCCTTTGGCGTGTTGCCCATGAAATTCTCCCAATTGGGAAGAATATTGAGAAGAAAAAGAAAGAGGCGGCAACGGAATGTCCATTTTGAAACCTCGAAGAAACCCATAATCATATCTTCAAAGAGTACCAATGGGCAACTCGAATTTGGAGGCCTACAGTTTTCAGAGATCTATTTGAGATGGAGCCTAATTTGTCATCAGGAAGCTGCCTATGCGAGGTAGTGGAGAAGGTTGACAATGAAAGGCTGGAAAGACTAGGTTTGATTCAATGGTCGATCTGGAATGAAAGAAACAATCAGATGGTCAACAATCAAAAGGCGGAAGAGTGGGAGATCATTGGGAAGGCTTTGGATTACTGGGCGGAATACAAATCATACCACACGAAGGAACAAGAAGCTAAATCAGTGGCGAATTGTAACTAGGAGAAGCTATCGGAAGGATGTGTGAATTTGAATGTCGATGCCGCGGTGCTGGCGGGGGAAGGCACGGGGCTGGGCTTGTAGTTCTCGACGAGACTGGGAAATTCTTGCTGGCGACGGTACGTCGGGAACGAACCCAGTGGCCATCAGAGATTGCTGAAATCCGGGCAACCGAATTTGTGTTGCAGATGGTGAAAATGTATGGCTTCTCACCTGCGATAGTGGAGAGCAACTGTCTAACAGACATTCAGAAGCTATCGAGGGAGGACGACTCGAGATTGGAAGTGGGTTTGGTTGCTCGAGAACTGAAGGATCGGGTCAGTGCTCCTTGGGCCAGGTTTGTTGGAATTTCACGAAAAGGACGGGTAATGAATCGGCCAACATAATGGCCCATTCCATTTGTAATTGAGAAACTACTGAAACATGGGCTCTTAGGCCTACTGTTTATGTCCTGTCTCTATTAGAGAAGGATGGTTTGATTACTGAATAAAAAGCAGGTTTATTGTTAAAAAAAATGGAAGAAAAGTGAGTGATGAATCTCCATTATATATTTTAATTGATTTTCGAGCATGGTATTGGGACGACTGCTAATGGTAGTGCCAGTGATATGCTATACTTTGGAACCGATGGCTTATCAGTATCACGCGAGTCACGCCTAGCTATTACAATCCTTTTATCATATTGTTTACCCATAAAAATTAACTTATACCACATTGATTAATTGCGAGGGATTTAATATATTTATAAGGTCATCTCAATAGTACAATAATCATTAAATAAGTTAGTTGGCGTTATTTGGTTGGGTTTTATTGGCTTAAGTGGCCAAACTCGCTCTCCTAGCCTAGACGACCGCCCGCCCTCATGGCCTTGATAACCAATGTCGCATCTTCCTTGTAACAAGCTAAGACATGAAAATTGGCTAAATCTAGAGGCATGCTTGGTACAAATATTTGAAATTTGGTTAAGTATTGAGCCAATAGGGTATTAAGCTGACACGGCAGGCTTGATACCAACATATGAAATTTGGCTAAGTATGAAGCCAATGGGGTATTAAGTCGACAATGCAAGCTTTATACCAATATAAGAAATTTGGCAAAGTCTGGAGTTCCGATGGCTTGGAGGCCACGCAACAGGGTGCCAAGTCGGGTACGAGTTGGAGAGCCATATAGAAACTAAGTTTAGATACCAAGAGTGCAAGACGTGCTTGGTGGTCAAGCAAGAGTATACCGAGGGGCCGACCCTGGGTTGTGCCAGGAGGCCCTCCAACACAGGGCCTTCAAATCACGGGGCCTCCGATCTAGTGGTGGATCCTGAGATATCCTTAAAATTTGGAAAATGATTATTTAACCAACGGTACTATGGAAATATTTGCGTATGGCCAAATAAAAACATTTAAGTGGTATCCTATGTGATTTGAACTTGGGTCATTGCTAGGTGTGACTACACGGTCTGGTTCGGTTAAATTGGCTTGAATTAATCCGATCCCAGTCCGGTCTTTTTGGGAATATAAGGATCAAAGATTGGATTGTATACAGTCTGGTTTTGACCCGGTCCGGTCCCAATTCGCTCTTGATTTTATATTGAACTTTTGGGGATTTGAGTGGCCTGAGGCCTCAAAGGGTGAGGAGTTGGTTAACTTTTAGGTGTTGGGCTTTCTTGTTCGGCCTTTATCCGGTTTTCAATCCGGTCCCAAACGGTTTTCTACCTCAAATCTAAACTCGAATATGAGATTACATTGTTTGTTATCCGATTTTGGTCTGGTCCCGGTCCGATTTCGGGTAAAACCAAATAGCCCGGACCAAATAGCCAGGCCTAGTCATTGCTACTATTAGTAAATATAATTTTCATTAGACTACAAACTCATTTGTTCTTTCATTTTAAATTCAAATATAATAGTAAAAAACTATTTCTTATTCCAATTATTTTCGAAAGCTGACGTTTATACCCAATTACGGGCTCCCCTTGTCTTGTAAGATATATCGAGAGATTTGTAGAGCAGTGTATTAGACCGAATGTATTTTACAATTTTCAATAATATAAAACACGTACTGTGTTTTTTTATAATTTATACAAGCCGTATATTTTTATTAAGTAGTTACTTTATTATTAATTTATTTTATTATATTTAAAAAAAATTGAGCCTCATTTTATTGATAGAACATGGCTTCTACATTCTTAGGGCCGACACTGAGTGTACCAAGCCGGCAAAACAAGCTTGATATCAAGTCATGAACCTCCAAAAAACTAAGTATGAAGATCTCCTGTCAAGGTGGGTACCAAGTGCCACCAGGTCAACATGGAGGACTTCATGTTAAGGTAAGAAGACTCAACATCAACCTGACCCAACCTCGAGGCCACAAAATACCTACCAACACCAAGATGGGATAAGAGGCCCCTAAGGCGATGAAAGTGAACAGCAAGACGACGATTACAATTTGGTCATCGAGACGAGATAAGGTGCCCCTAAGGCGATTGGAGTAGACGACTCGTTTGCATTTATCAAGGTGGGATAAGTAGTCCTTAAGGCAATTGGAGAAACATAGCAGCTAGCGATTACCAAATTAGGAGAACGGATCCAGTGACTAAGGGGGTGCGGGTAGTTTGGGTATTATGGAAAATTACGAAGTATACAAACCGGACTTACAATCAGTACAAACCATACAAACATACGAACAGTACAAACTAGAGCGACAAAACATACAAACAGATTTACAAACATTACAAACATATGAACTGTACAAAAAATACAAACTAGACCGACAAACAATACAAACCATACAAAAAGAAAAAACAACCAGGTTGACTTTGGAGGCTTCATCCCTATATAGAGGGGCTCCTTCCCAAAGTCAACCTGGGTATTTTTTAGACATACAAACATGGTGGACAAAAATGACAAACTAGACCAAAAATTCATACAAACTGGAAAAACACCTGGGTTGACTTTGGAGGCTTCATCCCTATATAGAGGGGCTCCTTCCCAAAGTCAACCGGGGTGTTTTTTAGACATACAAACATTACGAACATGGTGGACAAAAATGACAAACTAGACCGACAATCTATACGAACTGGAAAAAACACCCGGGTTGACTTTGGAGGCTCCATCCAAAAGTCAACCAGGTTGTTTTTAGACATAAAAAACATTACAAACATGGTTGACAAAAATGATAAACATGGTGAACAAATATAACAAAGTTTACAAAATTACAAAATAAACCAACAAACATTACAAAATAACAAAGCGTACAAACATTACAAAATAAACCGACAAACAGTACAAAGCATACTAATCGTACAAAATGTCACTAAAAATGACAAACAAGAATTATAAACAATACAAACCGAATCTATACAAACATTACAAAATAGGTCACCAAACATCACAAATCCAGCACTATCGCAGTAAAGACTCCTCCGATTGCCTTGCCGGAAAAATTTCCTTCGGTGAGTAGAAAAATCTCTCTCTCTCTCTCCGCAAAACAAAAGGGAATGGGGGATGATAATCCCACCCCATCCAGGACGCCGGCAAAAAAAATTCATCGCCATGCTGAATAAACATCGACATCCTCTCTCTCTCCCTCGCTCTCTCTCTCGTATATGAAAATGGAACTAAAGAGGAATTGAAAAGTGGGAACAGGGAACCAAGGGATTGCCTTCGCTGGCGACGAAAGTTCCTTGTCGGCGGAAAGGGAAGAGACTAGATAGAATTGCAGGTTTCCTTGCCGGCGACGGGAAAGGGAAGAGACGAGAATGAATTGCAGGTTTCCTAGCCGGCGACGGAGATCGATTGCGGCGGAAATTTGACTTGCAGGCTCAAGGGACGGACAGAGGCAGAATGCTGTAAATCTTTTATTTTATTTTATAATTAAAAAATAAAATAATTTTGCAATTACTACATTGTCCTTCATTAAATTGGATTAATAGGAGCCCTTGGATTTTAACAAAGTTGAGTGGCTGAGATTCACTTAGCCATGTGACTAAAGGGACCCCTTAGTCACCTGATCTTGGCCTCCAAATTAGTATTTTTTTTAGGGGAGTTACCAAATTAGTTACATCCGATGACTACATGTTTGAGTGCCAGCATGCGTTATCTTCGTGGAACAACATTTTCCCATCTCTTCCACTTCCACCTCAATCCACCACCTTCTTTGATTGGTTCTGCTCATTGAAGGACAGTATACCGCTCAATAGTCTCATCTTGATTGTCTACCTCTGCTGGAACATCTGGAAAGCAAGGAATGAGCGTGCCTTCAAGAATCGTATCCCGTGGCCCCCAAATACCTGTAGGCAGACCGTCAGGGAATTCACCGAATGGACATCGTGCCCGTATCCCAGCCTCATGTTCAACCATCTTCTGTTCAGCTCAGGGATAACCTACCTCATTCTTCTCCACCGCCAAGCAATCACCACATGGTGATTCACTGTGATGGGTCGTTCATAAGCGACTCCCAGCCGGCGACTTATGGTGTTGTTGTTGTTGTTAACCACCATGGACAAGTATGCGATGGGCGAGCTGACATTTTACTTTGTTCCACCCCGTTTGAAGTTGAAGCGAAGGCGCTTTTGGAAGGTCTCAAATTAGCCCAAGAATATGGAGGAGAATGTATTGTCCAATCAAACTGTCTTAATCTTGTTCAAGCTCTCAGACAGGACAAAGCGAGATGGCCATGGAGGGGAGCAGCATGGATGGGATCCATGAAATCGATCCTTCAGGCCTCAAATCGCATTGAGGTCAGGTTTGTTCATAGAAAGTTTAATGCTAAAGCTGATTGGGTGGCCAGGTCATTGGCAAGAAATTCACTCCCAGATGACTGGATTAGTATTCTTGATCTAATTTCCGATTTCCTTTAGCCTTGTAACCGCCGTTTTGGTTTCATCAGAGTGGAATAAAGTTCATCTTTGATAAAAAAAAAAGACTAAACCCAAGAAATAAAGACTGAAAAATATTCCACAACCAAATATTTGACGTTAATCCCATCGACCATCGTTGGTAGTAGGAAGTATTAAAACCCCTCGAACCAAAACCCAGGCGACCCATCATTGCACATCGCCCGCAGCTATATCACTTCTCAGCGCATCTACCCGAGAGCCAAACAGCGTCATTGGTGGCCATCATTTCTGGCTATAGTTTCAGTTCATCAATGGCGGCAACGGTGAGAGCGTCGTCGATTTTTGCAGCTACAGCAGCTCTGGCAATGATAGCTGCCGCATCCTTCAGCTGGCCATTAGCCTCTGCCGCTTCTCCGAAATCTTTCGTCAAGAAGACCATCAAATCCCACCAGATCGTCATCTTCTCCAAATCCTATTGCCCGTAAGTTCAACTTCAAAAACGCTGCCTTTCCCCCAATTTTCTATCTCATTTGCTCTTGCTTTTAAGATTCGGTTTCGTTTCCGACTGAATGTGGGGATCGATCGCTGTGTGGTAGATATGCAATACCCAGAAACTGGTTTTGACGATTACGATATCGCGGATCTGATTTCTGCTCGGAAAAAAAGTCTCACTCGTTTTCTCCGTCAGTCTTTTCTGGGTCTTTTACGTGGTGTAGTTTGTGTGATGCCAGGAATGCCTTTCGATTGAGATCTTGTTTCTTTCAATGGCTTAGTTGCTAAAGGTGGTATTGCTTTTTGATGTTTGTGGTATGTTGCTTGTTGCTCGGCAGATATTGTAGGAGGGCTAAAGCTGTTTTCACAGAGTTGAACCAGAAGCCATATGTGGTTGAGCTTGATGAGAGAGGTGCGTTAACAAATCTCTCTCAATTGTGTTCTGAGTGTAATGATTAGTAGACAGACATGCTTGTGAAAAACATGGGTAGAAAAGCTATAGCTGATAGATTGATTCAGTTGATCTGAAACACAAGTAGGCAAGATGTGTTGCTAAATTAGACGGGGTAAAGAAAGTCGGTAACCCTGCCACAGTTCTTGAATAGCAGACAACCCGCAGGCTCTGCAAGTGCAGGATCTCTGGCCAATGTTTGGCTTCCCGTATTGGAAATCTGTGTCTACACTGAGCAGTGGAATTGTATATGAGTTTGCTTTTATCTTGTGGAAATCTTCAAGTTGTAGAATCTTACGATCTTGGCTGTAGAAATCAAGCCAAGTAGAATTAGGGTAAAAAATCAGTAACTATATACAAATCTACCAAGTCCTTGTGATTAGGTCCAGTAAGCTTTAACGAATTATGTTCATTAGGCATTTAAAATGGTTATGATTCTGATCTATTCATTGCAAAAGCTACATTGTGCAGAGCTCCATAGATATATGTCTCATGATATACAATTGACCTAGCATATGTAACATTAAAATCTCTTGTTCGTATACAATTAATGCTGTTATAGAATAGTAAGAATGCTTATACTTGACAAAGTCGATTGGTCAATTTCGATAAATGGTGGCTTTTTATGTGATCAATAACATCTTATGATTCTACGATTCGAGTTTATGATCCCCATCCTCTGTAAGCCTACGAATTTACATTAAATCTCTAGTCTGACTACCAACTAGGAACAAGACCTCGAGATTGGTCCATCATATTTTGTTCGAGAAAGACTACCTTTACTAATCTGCCTTGGTATTCATAATGATTCTGACCACCTTGCCATGTCTCCCCATTCCTGGACCCAAATGTATATCATAAAACCTATGCCTGGATTCTTCTGGTGGTCCATTACTCTATAATCATTGTTAGGAGATGGCTTCGTTAGTTTTCTGTCGATAGGAATAGTTGAAAAAATAACATGACAAGTGTTGTCAGCCCAATGACAATACTGAACTTTTCTTGTGGGCAGATGATGGGCAAGACATTCAGGCTGCATTGGGTCAGCTCGTAGGGAAACGAACAGTACCTCAGGTTTTTATCAACGGCAAGCACATTGGTGGCTCTGATGGTAAGTATCTGAAGTTCTTCAACTTCAGTTCCCCAGTAAAAGCTCATGCACTAGAGACCTGACTATTTTTCTCTCTTACATTCAACAGATACTGTTGAAGCATATGAAAGTGGTGAACTGGCTAAGCTTCTGGGCATTGACGTGGATGAAAAGGAGGATTTGTAAACTAATACTCCATCGAGATGGTTTATCGGTATTTGAATCGTGCAAGCAAGGGCGTTCTTATCTATAAATAGAGGCTGTTTCTTGCTCGACGTCCTGACCAAATAGTTGCAACCAGCAGTGAGTTCTAGTGAGTGCTATTTGGTATAATCAACCAGAAGCTAGTCATTCACCTGTGAGCTAATAATAGTTGGTGCTATCTTACAATGTTAGTTATGAGAATTGACAGTAGACTTTGTAATGAAAAATGACTCAGATTGTACGGTTTGAACGTTCGATACAGGATCCTGAATGACATTCCATGTGGATGAACCTTATGCATGATTTGATTCACTTCCATTAGTCATCAAAAGTTAACCGCAGAAACTCGGACGATGTTCATCTTTGATGGATTGGTTATGCTGCTGATATCCTGGACAGGTTAGGGGTTGGAGACTTGTGAGTACTGGCTTACTTTCTATGTTGAAAGGTCTGTGTAGAATTAGATCCTTGGTGAAAGTCGATGGAAGTTCAGGTTTGCTAATATTGTCTTTGCTTGGTTTGTTTTGTTGTCTGACCGATGCCTGGTCCGTTTCGGACCAATGGATGAATCGCTGCAGCCAGCCCGTTCTTCTTTCTTGAGGAAAACACCTGTAATTGCTATGCTATTCATATATCCATAATGCATAGATTTGAAACAAATGGATGTCAAAAATGAGCTGTTTTGAAAAGGACTATAGTCTATAAGGGCAACAAGTTCAGTTTAAACGCGAAACAGAGAAGGTGAAGGCAAAATGGCATCCCATTCCCACGTTTTGCTATCGTCGGCAGCTGGAAATATCAGAAGCTACCGGCGCGAAACCCAGGCAACTCATCGCTTTTCGCTTCTTAATCATCTACCCATTCGAGCATCCACCACTAAGGAGCCACGCAACCTTCGCTGTGGTCGATCTTTTCTGGGTATAGAAGAAGTTCTTCCTACTTTCTGTTCATCAATGGCGGCAAGCGTTCGAGCTACGTCGATATTCGCAGCTACAACAACTCTAGCAGTTTATATAGCTGCTGCCGCATCCTTCAGCGGACCATCAGCCTCTGCCGCTTCTCCGGAGGCTGCGTTTGTCAAGACCACCATCTCCTCCCACCAGATCGTTATCTTCTCCAAGTCATATTGCCCGTAAGTCAAACTCCCCCCTTTTGCCCAAAATTTCCATTACCCATTTGCTCGTGCTGTTAAGATTCTGTTTCCATTAAAGTGAATTGGGGATTGATTACTCTTGTGGTAGAGATACGTTCTACCCAGGAACTCATTTTGTCGAACCAATTCGTTTTCAGCTCTGAGATATGCTTTGGATTAGATCTCTATTTTGTTTAACCGAAGTCTTTAATTGGACCAATTCAGTTGACCCATATCTTATCGGAGTCCAATGTCGGTATTATCCTGCATATCTATGTTGCCATTTCTGCTATTTGGAAAGGTCTGTGCAGTGGGGGGAAATTTATACTAGTCTTGGCATCCATCCTCTTCATGTTGGTGTTCTTGTGGTGCAGAGGAATGAATCAATGCTTTCGATGGAGATCTTGTTGCTTGTAGGGGTGACTTTCTTTCGAAGTTCGTTGTGGGTTGTAGTATTTTTATGTCTACTTACCTTGTTGCTTGGCAGATACTGCGGGACGGCTAAAGCTGTATTCAAAGAGTTGAACAAGGAACCATTTGTAGTTGAGCTTGATGAGAGAGGTTTGTTTAACAGAAATTTCCCTCTCAAAGTTATCTTCTCTCTTTGATGTGATGAATCATTTCATCAAGACAGAGACATGTTTGTGAATGGCATGGGAAGAAAACGTATAGCTCATTGATCTACAACGCACATTACTCTACTTATTGAATCCGAAGTTGATGGTTTATGCGCAAGTGGATTGTCGTCGAAGCTCTCTGAACTTATGCTGTGTGTTCATTGTGGCGCGAGCAGAGGATGGGTACGACATACAAGAAGCATTGGGTGAACTCGTGGGGAGACGCACTGTGCCTCAAGTTTTCGTCGATGGCAAGCACATTGGTGGCTCTGATGGTAAGTTCGCATAGTTCCTCCCAACCGAATTTTGGTTACAGTACACCTTCTTCTTGACATTCAGTAGAGACCTTATGACACTATATTTTTCTCTCTGCTTTAACAGACGCTGTTGAAGCTTATCACAATGGTGAACTAACTAAGCTTCTGGGTGTTGATGGAAAGGAGGATATGTGAAGTAATGCTGCATCAATCAGAATCCCAGTTTGCGCTCAACCAACAGTGAACTTTCTTCTGTATATCCACCAGAAGCTGTGTGACTTCTGAGTGAATTTAAGTTGGTGTGTTCTCACCAATTATAATAGATCAGAGATCAATGTTACTAGTTTTATAACTCTGTGTTGAGTGTGAGAAAACTAATAAATATGATGATCATTCGACAATATGAAGAAGAAGAAAAAAATACATGGTTTGAATGATTAATATTTTTTTTTCTTTCTCTCCGGTTATAGTAAAATAAATATTATAAATGTAAGTCATAATTAATATATTCTGTTCAAACAAATTCGAACGTAGACTACCAATTCCCGTATTTTGCTTATACACACAACACTACTGAACATTAAGGAAGAGCAAAAAAGTAAAAAGATGGCGACAACAATCCATCCAGTGGCTGTCCTAATCAAATAATGCTCTCCTCTCCGGAGCAATCGCCTTCGCCGCCGCCGACGAATACATGGCCGACTCTCCTCCCATTTCCTCCGACAAGAACCGCTACACTCTAACTCTTTTCCTCTCCGTTTCTCTCTTCCTCTCCGTCGTCTTCCTCTCCAACCGCCGCTACCTCCAGCAATCCCTCGACGATTTCTTCCCCCCAGTCCATCCCCAAACCCTCACTCCCCCGCCGCCTCCGCCTTCACTCCTCCTCCGGAAACCTAATCCCGCCGCGGACGATGAAGAATCCGAGGCCCGGTCGGTCGCCGCCGATGTCAAAAAGAACATTACAGCCGCGGCGATAGTAGCTGTAGAAGCTGCGGTACTCAAGGATGTGGATAGCGGAGCTGCGAATCGTAGCGATTCTGCTGCTGCTGCTGCTGCTTCCGAGATCGCATCCTCCTCCCCCGATGCCGGATTTGGGAGCGGCGGCCGCGAGGAGGAGAGGGAGAGAGTGATGCGAGATGGGCTGAATGACTGCGATCTGTACATGGGCAGTTGGGTGAGAGACGATGATTACCCGATTTACAAACCAGGATCCTGCGAGTATGTCGATGAAGCTTTTGATTGCCAGGGGAATGGGCGGCCTGATGCCGACTATCTACGGTGGCGGTGGAAGCCCCATGGATGCGATCTTCCAAGGTAAAATCGATCCTGTTATCTTCCTTTGAATTGAGCTCTGGATTTCTTATTTTTAGCTGGGCGAGTGAAGAAATTTGTAGAAGTAGAACTAAACGACAACTTGGAACTGAAATGTGGGATTTGAGAGCTTCCTTTGTCAGCATCTATATCCTCGTTTATCAGAAAGGACATAAAGATGGGACGAAATCCAACGATGGTGCTTACAGAATATGCCATAGTCATTGATCACTCTCAAGTCTCAATTCTAATCGACCATTTTGCTTGTTCTTGTTTGGAAATTCACTGCATGAACGGCTGGTTAACCAACATATGTTATGCGGATGATTAGGAGAAAAGTGTGTCTTTATGATGATTATAATAACTATACCTCTTCATATTCAATTCATAGGTTCAATGCAACAGATTTCTTGGAAAGGCTACGAGGTAAGAAGTTGCTGCTGGTTGGGGACTCCATGAACCGAAACCAATTCGAATCGATCTTATGTCTACTCCGAGAAGGCCTGCCTGACAAGACTAGAATGCTTGAGATCAGTGGCCATAAAATTACCAAAGGAAGGGGTTCCTACATCTTCAAGTTTCTGGTTAGTTATTCACCCCACCTCCCTGTTCTCTGTGTTTGATCAAGCATATGCATATATGATAGATTTTATACTGTTGAATTAGGCGACTAAGTAGGAACATGGAGCAGTTTAGACTTAGCTACTGATTCATACATGATGTGTTTGCTTATTCCGTATGCATAACTGAGACACTCTCTTAACTAGTTATTTGTGGACAGGATTTTAACTGTTCTGTGGAATATGCACTGTCCCACTACCTTGTTAAAGAAGGGAGTCGAGTTAATGGACAAGGCAACTCCAATCCAACTCTGTCCATAGATCAAGTTGACAAGACATCAAAGAAATGGAAACGAGCCGACATTATTGTGTTTAATACCGGCCACTGGTGGAGACATAGGAAAACTTCCCGTGGGTAAATACATTTATTATACCTACATGGTCTAATCTTCTTGTCTGCATTGCTTTGCGATCTTGTATGTAATTGAACTGACTGTCTTGATTTAATGCACAGGGTAAATTACTACAAAGAGGGCGACTACCTCTATCCCCACCTTGATGTGACCGAGGCATATCGACGAGCTTTGCAGACCTGGGGAAGGTGGATCGATCAAAATTTGAATACCTCAAAACAATTGGTCTTCTATCGCGGATATTCGTCAGCCCATTTCAGGTAAATCTCCTCGCTACGGTTCATCATTCTGTTAACTCTTTCTCACTCGGTTCCCCCTTTTATTTCTTCCCTTCGTATGGAAGGCTTTATTTCTGGTGCCTAACATCCTTTCTATGTATCTTGCTGCTATTGAAACAGAGGTGGAGACTGGGACTCGGGAGGGTCGTGCTACAATGAGAAGGAACCAGTACTGAACGACGATGGAGCAATAGTGAACAGCTACCCTGCGAAGATGAAGGTAGTGGAAGAAGTGATAGCAGGGATGAAGTTTCCTGTTCGACTACTGAATGTGACGAGGCTTACCAATTTTAGAAAGGATGGCCACCCATCAGTTTATAGAAAGAGTAGTTCCACGAATAGTAGCATTAAAGTGGTACAGGATTGCAGCCACTGGTGTCTCCCCGGGGTGCCCGATGCCTGGAACGAGCTCATATACGCCAACCTCATCTTGAAGCTACCGTCGTCCAACGACACTTAGAAATGAGAACTGTAGGAGTGCAGCAAAAAAAATTCTGTTTTCTGGGTTGGATTAGGAACTATTGGTTTAATTCAATTCACACGTTTTCTCGTTCCTTGCCTGAGTTAGCAATTTTTTTTAACTATAATGCAATGCTTGTTCTTACTATCTACTTGCTTACTTGTCCACAAAGCTACCAAGTACCATACACACTCGTTTAGGGAAAGATTTACCTACAGCAATCCTCGTTACTCGTATGCTTTTCGAATTTTTCGATTCATTCACAAAGCATCATTTATCATCTTTTCGAACATACAACTATGATCTTCCCCTACACTGTTGATAAAAAAGAATGACAGAATTCAAGAAACGGCGAATTACAGAGTGGAAAAAAACTTGGGTAGTTAATCCAACCGCAACTGCGAACCACAACACTGAGGTTGTCTGGAAAAATAGACCACTCCAAACTATTATCAAGGACAAGAAAACGTTCTGCGTCTCATTACCAAAATACTCTATTCAGCTGAAAACCGTCAAACATTTCTTCTATAAAGCAAGTCTCATCGACAAAATTTTAAGCAGTTCTACGGGGAGTAAATATCATAAGAGTCTAGCCTAAACATAAACGCCCGATGCGAGGAGCAGGAACAAGGACCCAAAACCCTGCAAAAAGAAAGTAAACAGGACAATCAGCATTTTGAAGAAAATGTGACATAATTGCGATTGCAATCCAAGTCTGAGATATCCAAGCAAGAGAGATCTTACCAGGAAGAAAGATGCCAGCGCTCCTGTGGTCAGTTCTTTCCCAAGACTGCGGGTTTTCCTCGAGGATGTGGCTTCATAGCTAGGAAAAAGAAGAGATTGCCAAGAAACATAAGAAACAATGTCAAAATGAGCTTGAAAGAAGACCATTGAATGAATGCTATTGTCAAGGCACGATGGATGGAGTTATAAAAGATGGCAAATGCACCTCAGGTTTCAGTGAGGACACCACTAACTATTGTGAGCAAATTCAAAGAGGAAACTTAAACAAGACAAAGCATCAAAGCAAAAACACACTGACATGTATAGCAATAACTCAAGCGTACATATACATGCCTTCCCAAGTACTAAGCTTTATATCTGAGAAGTGGAATTTGAGGACAATCAAGGCAACCCATATCCATCCTAATTCCTAAAGCGTAAAAGAAATCGCAAAGCAGAAAGGAAACTTGTTTTGGTCACTGATGAAGCTTCCTGGTAACACATTCAAAATCAATTCCCGAGTACACAAAGAGTGAGAAGTAGAAGATGATTCTACCAGAATGCTTCAATTGAGAGCATTTCTAGAGCTACACAAGGTTGCATTGACGGTCTCTCGACTAACTGGGTGCAACGAAATGTGCAAGCTTGCTTTCCAGTTGAATGCCATTACCCAATCAAGCAGATGGTAGTAACTCTAAAACCCTAAATCCGAGGATCCAAAGTGGCAGTTGTCATAACATCGAATTGCAAAATTAATATTATACAACCTAATTTCTCTGTCCAAACACAAGGAAACTGGAAATCGGGATCATCGAACTCACATGAAGAAGGAGGCGGTGATGAGAAGGCCGATGGAGAGCATGAGAACTGATAGGGTTGGGTACCAAGTGATCGGGACTGGGGCGGTGACCGGCTTCGATGCCTGCAAACAAACAAGACACCGATATTTATCAGAGCGCGAAATGAAATGCTTGAGCTCGGATCGGTCGATTCAGCGAATCGGGAGCTCGGAATTGGAATTGGAAGAGTAGATCGGATCGAGGGAGACTCGCCATTGCTGGAGCTGATGGTGGCGGAGGACGGCAGTGAGGGGGAGCTGTGAAGTCACGCGCTGGTTTAACAGAGTTGTGAGGTTTCGTCTCGTGGTTTCGATTGTGTTACGTCAACTAGAGACAAACTCTCCCTCTCTCCCGTAGATTTTGACCAAGGTTGTCAAACCGGGTTTATGCTAGGCTCACAAGTGAATGGTTCGACAAATGGTACAACTAGTTTACGACAAATCATATTGCTTTTAGTAAAATACGTAGGAAAGTGCAAATCACTCACGTCAAGGGATCTTTTGGATCAGGAATTTTGGCATGAGTGATTTGTAAAAAATTTGGATACAAATCTCTTGATTAAAACACCAAGGATTTTAAATGAGTTACTTGGGCAAATTTTCTTGAGTGTTTAATTAAGAAATTACCTTAAAGATACAATCATACAAGTTAATCTCTCATTAACATATTTTTAATGCCCAAAATCTATAATTGGGTAACACAAAATATCGCAAATATCTTCCAAAACATGTATACAAAAATAGTTTAAGTATAAAAAGTTATTTATATAAATATCATGTATTGATTAGGAGAGTAGTACGTCATTTCAGATGGATTAACAAAATCTTTATTTTCAAAAAACTAAGTAAATAATTGAGTTAATATCATGTTTTGTCTCTCAACTATAATACTTTTTCTATCATGTCCCTGAACTATTTATTTTCATATCATAACCTTTGAAGTACATATTTTTTCTAATCTGGTGCTTATCTTTCACAGACAGTAAGTTAGTTAATCTATGTTAAATGAGATCTATCAAAAGACAGTCAGTTAGTTAATCTATGTTAAATGAGATCTATCTAAACATTGATACAAGGCTCGTGTGCATAAAAAGGCCTCATAATTACAACAACAAAAAAATCCTTGTTATTTTAACCACTCCCCAACTAATCGCTTCCATGAGTTTCATCCTATGATTTTTAATCAAAATCAACAAATCGACTTATCTTTTGTCAAAACTAAAAAATTATTAATAGCAAAAGTAACATTGTAATTATACAATTTTCTTACTGAGTCTGCACATAATTAGTGTGTCCAGTAGGTAGTTGGTTTCCCGTTTAACAAGTGACTAACAATCTCTTAATGTTAAAGGTCACAACAACAAAATCTTTATATTTGAAGGACTATGTTAGAAAAAATTCATACAGGAGTGATGATAGAAAAACCTTCATAGTTCAGGAGCCAAATACTATTAACTAAATGGCTCCAAAACGATTATCTCGAGCACCAGTCAAATTTACCTTATCAATGACCACTTTTGTGTCTCTTTCAAACCAAACTTGCGAGAAACCACAATCCAGACACCATTGGATGGCCTCGAGGAGCACTAAAAGTTCAACTTTAAGCGGGTCATCAATATCGACAAAATGAATACCTCGAGCCAAGACAATCGAACCACTCTAATCCTTGATTACTAATCCCCCTGCCGAATGTGAACCTCTCCTTGTGGCATCTATCTACTTGTAACGGGGTTTAGAGGGGAAAACGAGGATAATCTTATATTTTAGTGATAGTGAGTTGGAAGTAGTGATGGTAATGGGTGGGACGGGTATCTCAATATTCATACTTGTATGCACTAAGTGCGAGTTAGGTCGGGTAATATCCGCGTGAGTATGGGGGAGCGGGTTGATCCATTCTTGTATGTTATTTGCAAAAATAACGTCGATGTTCAACTCTTTTACAAGAAGACATAAAAAAAAAATTCTTCCTGAGTGAATGAGAAATATACTAGGAGTAATTCCTCTAAAGAGTTGTAAGATTGAGTCTTAAAATTTCATTGGAATTAAAATATGATTTTAAAAAAGGTCAAAAGACAATAAATACATGTGAATATTGATGCAAATCATGATAGAATGGGTCAAGAATAGGGCGGGACAGGGCAAGACAAGTCGGAAGCAATACCCATACATCACCCTACGCTCGACTCTACTGCAGATCGGATAATACCTGCCCTATACAGGTCGGGTCACACGAGTCAGGTCAGAAAAGTATAATTTGAGTTTAACGTTAATGGGACGGGTCAAAATGCCAAATTTTTTTAGATAGATGACCTCTGAACCAACATGTCATTATAGCATGTCTTCTATTTGTTATTATCACATGCCATCTATCAATTAAGCATTTCTTCTGTTTTTTTCTTGAATATGTTAATAATTAGCTAGGTTGATCCACAATTGTTAAACATTATCTAAATAACAGGGAGGAACAAAAATCTGTACACTTGTAGTTGCAGCATTTTGCTCCACTTTACATTTTACATTGATTCTTACATTACATGTGTACCCCTCAAACCGACCAAAGGGGTTAAATTACAATTTTGTATCTGGACAATGATAAAGCATTCAAGTTAAATTGCCCTCCTCTTTGTCTGTTATTACTCAAAAGGGTCAAAACTCACTTGCTGTCATACTTCCTTCATCCTTCTTTACTGTCAATTCATGCTGGGATGCAACTTCTTTTCTAGTCTCCTTGTAAATGGTTTTCCCCAAAACTTATTTCACCATTCATTCCTCTAGCCTCCTCCTAAGAACTGTGCAATAAATCAATATTCACACATAAACAAGAGTTTTGGCCAAGCTTTCAATATGAACCTGCCCATTGTCTGAACATGATCCCATGTTCACTCACACTCTCCCCTCTCAATCTTCTCATTCTCTGCCACCACTCCCTTCCCTTCCCACTACTCAATGGCCCAGAACTCGAATACCTCCTGAACGATGCTGATGCCGGTGCCTGCCTCCCAAATCTTCCCGACGTGCCAAACATATCCGACAACATTAGCCCTCTCTCGATATCCGGATCAGAGTCATAGTTGCTCGGCCCTAGCCCCAATCTTTGGTCATGGAACATCTCTGGCAGCAGCTTCCCCGAGGTGGTACTGGCCTCGCCACCATCCACTGATAAATCTCGGCTGGAACTTATCGACCCTACTTCCTTCGCCTCATCGCACTCATTGCACACCAGTTTCAATGCTTGAACAACTTCGCCCATGAAAGGGCGATGAGACACCTCCGGCTGCACACACATGGACGCAATGGCTGCAACTTTGGCCACACTATCGAAGGGGACATCGAGGCCTAGAGATGGATCAATTATCATTTCCAGCCCTTCTCTACTTGTCAGAAGTGGGCGCGCCCAAGCTACTAGGTTCTCTTGACCTGGTGGTTGTGACATATCCACTGGCTTTCTCCCGCTCAAAAGCTCGAGAAGGACTACACCGTAGCTGTATACATCGCTCTTCACTAGAAGATGGCCGGTCATTGCATACTCAGGGGCCACATACCTGTTTTTTGACATATTACCAATTATGTTTGTTATCATTATTATGCATCTTTCAACTAGCGTTACCAAGGTTCTAGTAGTGTTGCTATAGTAGCAGCAATCTGAAAGTAATGAAAGAGGACTCTCACCCAAAGGTTCCCATGACACGAGTGGATATATGGCTGGTTTCCTCATCCAGGGCAGATCGTGCCAATCCAAAGTCAGAGACTTTTGGAGTGAAATCACTCTCCAACAAGATGTTGCTGGCTTTGAAATCCCTGTGGATGACACGCGGACTTGAATCCTCGTGAAGATAAGCAAGACCTCGAGCTGCACCAAGCGCTATCTTAATCCGGACATCCCAATCCAGTGGAGTTGATTCCTTATCGTCCCCTAAACAAAAAATACAAAGGATATGTGGAGATCAATGCTCAGTAAATAACTTTTTAGCTACTGGCTACAAACCCTATTAATTTTAGCCAGCTGTACCATGCAAATGAGATTCCACACTGCCATTAGGTACTAGCTCATAGACCAAACATCGAGCATGCTCTTCTGTGCATATCCCAATCAACTTGACAAGGTTTCTATGGTGAAGGCGGCTAAGCATCTCAACTTCTGCAAGGAATTCTCGACCACTTTGTTGGTCGTCCCTTTTCAAAACTTTCACTGCTACTTCCGTCCCATCTTCAAGAACACCACTATAAACACGTCCAAAACCACCTTCCCCGAGTATTCTTGAATCGTTGAAGTTATCTGTCGCTTTCTCGATGTCACTTGCACTGAAGGTTTTGGCAGATCCCGTGTATGGTGCAATACTAGAGCCAAATGACAATGAATTAGAACTGAGAGCACTCCCAAGAGCCGAGACAGTAGTCCCTGCGATAATATCACAACATCTCAATGTCAGTTTCCTGCTTTTATTAACAATAAGTGTAATATAGTTAGTTTTCATGCATGCAAGGCAGCACCTGAGGGTTTTGCAACAGAAGCAGGCAAAGGTGGGAGAGCTGGTGATGGCTCTCTGCCATGATGACCTCTCTTCCTGGAAAGAAAAATCCAAACTACTGCCGAGCACAAAATGGCAACAATAGAAGCTGACAGAGCAATAATAGCAATGACAGCACCATTAAGTCCATCCTTTTGGCGCCTTTTGGATACATCAACTCCTAGGGGCTTTATCATTCTTGCATTGTTTCCACTGCCAGAGTATGGCCCATCATCAATAATAGTAATCCCAGAAGCTGCTGAAGGAGGAGATTCCGGTAAACCTACATAGTGCACATCATCATTAGATAATCTAGCTAGAACAATGCTAGAAATTTAGTAGATCAAATTCTACAGCTTCTACCTGGATAGCGCACAAAGAGGACTTGGTAGTCACCGAATAAGGAAGTTTGTATTGCCACTTGTTTCAGCCAAAACCTTTGGTAAGTCAAGAAAGCAGTTGTATTGTCAAACTTTTGTCCAAGTGGAACCAAGTCAATGAGGACAATGGTCTTATCAGATTCCTGGCTAGCAGCATTGGCTCCCATAATCCTGACTTGACTTTGTTTCATGAAAACCCCAGTCGCCAGTTCTTGAGCAAATTCAGAAACCAAAGGGAAAAATGTATATAGCGCAACACTAAGGCGCAGTCCTACTTTCATGGGCAACACACAACCACATGGAGAACCGGGAGGAGTGTTTGCATAAGGATCCAAGCAAACAGTCGTTGAACAATCTACAAGATACCATCAACTATCATGTGTTACTACAAGCAAGTAGGATTGAAATATTATCATATAAAAACAGCAAAATGATCATATTGCATACCTTGATTAGGTGGTGGAGGGGGCAATGCATGGATTGGCGGAAACAAGGGCATAGGGTTCTTCGATGAAGATCTCGGAGAAACTTTTGGTGAAAGAATTGGTACTATAAAACGTAACAAGAAGAAAAGGTAGGGTATCACATTGTTGACACGGCTTTTAGAGCTTGAAGAGTTTGGATTGACACCAATAGGAAAAGAGGAAAAACAGTATTTTTACTTGTGGTCCAGTTAGATGCTGCTGTCTCTGATGGCGAGGGGGCAAGTGGAAAACCTATAACCGGTTTAGTACCTGCAGTAAATGAACCAGATTAACAACTCAACCTGTTCTGGAGATCAAACAGATAAACTCTTCAGCATTATAAAAAAAACAGATAAACTCTTCAGTATTTAGTACCTGGATGGTGAGGTGGAGAAGCAAAGTTTGTGGGCCTGCTAGTTGGAAGAGATGATGGAGGGAGTGCTACACCAGGAATAGAACGGGAAGAAAGAGAAAGCAGTTGGTAAGTTGGATATATAAATTTCAAGTATGGACGTATGGTAAACCATAAAACTACCATTTCACATTCTTTGCAAATGTCATAGGTAAAGAAGTGTACAAAAATGTCATAGTTGGAGATCTAGACCTGGCTCTTCTGAAGACTGAGGAGGTATGACATATGATGATTTGGGAGGAGTGCTGCTAATTCCATTTCTTGCTTTGTGGTGATTATGAGAAGATGGAGAAGATGGAGAAGATGCTTCATTCGAATGCTGCAAAGCTTTGTGCACAGAAGGAGCCACAGCAGGAGAAGAAGCTGAAAATTCATACATTTAAGTTACTCTCCCATCTAGAAGTAATATTAAGGACAGAATAGTTTTTTTTCTTCGTCCCTTGTGTGCTGGGGTTTGCAGAACACATACCCTTAGTGGGTGAGTTGTTTGTAGGTGGCAACACGGGCAAGGGCTTTTGTATTTCAGCTGACGGTGCAGTAGTTGGAGGTTCATCTTTCCTCCAATTAGTCCTTGGAGGAGTAGATGATGGAGATGAGACCTCAGGATCTGTAACAGGACACAAATATGAAATCTAAATTTAAAATGCTTCTTCTCTACCAAAAATCTAATAGATCTATCTACAGCTATTTATAAAGAATATTTCCAGAATGGAAAAATCTGAGCATCTTGCATAAGGGAACCTTTCAATCTTGGAGGGGATTTCAAAGGTGCAACTGGGAGATTTCTTGATGAATTTTGTTGCAAGTCTCCTTCGGGCGACTGAACTGGAATCGGAGAAAATAACCTGCAACTGGTCAATGTGGGCAATTTGAAAAGAGAAGAAAAACTAGTCAAACAGTACTTGAAACGAATAAGGCCTACCTGGGGAGACAGAGGGGATAATGACTGCTGGTGCAATTGGATGTCGCATTGGTTTCTCCCTCACCACGATCCTTGGAGGTAATGCAGATGCTGGACATATGTAAGGCAAACAAATTAAAGAGATCAAATTCTGCGTTCCCAGATTAAACTCCAGTCTTAAGTATAGTGATACATCAATACACTGCTTTTTATACCTGGAGAAACTGGTTTTTGGAGAGGAGAACCATTGAATGGTGTGCTGTTCTGATGAGTACTACCCGGAGAAGTTTCTGGGACACCTGGGCGGGTGGATGGTAGGCTTGGTGAAGAATTAGCTGGAGGTGTTGCAACTGGAACCAGATATAGTAGAATTTTCAGAATTCACATTCAAACTTTGAAATTACTGGGATTCCACAAGGATAAAAGAGCATTAATTTACCAACCTGGCACGGAGGCAGGAGCCTTTGCACCCGGCTGCCCACTTTCAGAATCGTTTGATGGCATAGGTGCTACATGTCCATCAAACTTCTGAGGCGGAGGAGCTATAGTATTATGTGGTGGAGGTACCAATGATACACCTCCTCCAGAAGTGCTCGATGGCGAAGGTGCAGGCTGTCCTTGAGATATCTGGGGAGGAGAAACCATGCTCTTTGGTGGAGGTGCTAAGGAAACATTTCCTCCATTGGAGTTCGATGGCATAGGTGCTACTTGTCCTTGAGATATTTGAGGAGGAGGCACTATACTATGTGCTGGGGGTCTAACTAAAACACCTCCGGAAGAGTTGGATGGCATAGGTGCAACGTTCCCTCCAGAAATCTGAGGGGGAGGAGCGATACTTGGTAAGGGAGGGTCAAGAGAAACACTTCCTTCATCAGCTTTTGATGGCAAAGGTGCTACACTTCCTTGGAAAATTCCGGGTGACGGAGCTACTATCCCGTGTGATGTAGGTGTAAATGAAACAGTTGGAGATTCAGGAGGCACACTTCCAGAAATTACTACAGGTGGAGGAGCAGAGCTATAAGGTGGTGGTGATCCAACTGGACTAGGCTGGTAGAATGGTGCCTGCCCCGAAATCGATTCAGGCGGAGTGTCAAACGTTGTAGGACCTGCATATTTCACACCAGCATTCTCAACGTTGGTTATCCCAATATCATCAAGTGCAAACTGTTGTTCACAAGTTTAAGATAGCTACCATCTAGGAGGGACTCTGAGCTTGGTGGATTGCTAATCTGATGGACTGGACTCTGAACTCCCTCTGCCAAATGAATTTCATTTCCCTGAGTTGGTGATATGCTAAAACCTGAAAGAAAAAAACAAGCCAATAGTCTCCAGTTACCCTATTCAAACAAGAATTGCACTAAGGCACTTGATTTTCATGCTATATTCAGATGAACAATGACCCAAACTTCCGCTGTTAAATGCTATCCAGCAACGATTCTAGGAAACAGTGACTTTCCAATCTCCACTGTACTCGTTTTCAATAATGAAGAAACAAACAATACAGCCAAACTACTGGATCTCAAGTCTCTAGGCCCTCTAATATAATCCACAGAGAATTCGAAGTTATACCCAAAAATATTCAATTGCTTCCCAATTGGGCGCCCAAAAAGCTTCTTCAAATAGCAGCGGCATCACAAACTTTTTTAACCAACTCATCAGATCATTACAAACAGAATATCCCATAAAGAACCAAAAAGGTAGAAGGAGAAAAGAAAAAATGGCAATAACCAACCACCACCCAGACTCCCAGAGGCAAGAAAGAAAGAACAAAACTTTCATCCCCAAATTTAGACAAATCAGGCGGAAACAAATAAGAGTGAAGTGACGAGTACGGAATTCTACCTGAAGATCCTTGGATGATGAAAATCAAGCCAATGGCACAGAGCTTCACCAGCAACACCAACCGACTGTCGACAACAAACCCCATCCCGTAAACAGCCACACACCAAATCCCCAAATCTCTATTGGCAGCAGGAGGAGATTAATCAGCTAAAATGCTGTTGGCAGAAGAGAAAAGGAGAGAGAGGGACAGAAAGAAGTTGTCTTTCTGCAAGACTACCAAAATGAATAGTGTTTGCTTCAAGATTACTCGAAGCAAGAAATAGGGGAAGCCCAGAAACCATTTCTTGAAAAACAATGGGGTGTTTAGAGAAGGACCCAGAATCGGTTTGGTGGAAAAATGAGGCAGGAAAGTGCTTGTGGCTTGTCTTTGAGCTTAAAAGCTCTCAAATTTGCACAGCTTTTTGAGATTGGCGGGTAGGAGAACAAGAGATTGTGGTTTTCCTGACATGGGATTGTGAGATTAAGAGCAGGAATTAGTACTGGAACTGGGAGCCGGCCCTTGAACTAGCAGAATGAGTCCGTGATTGAGTTTGAGGGATGATAATTAAGGGAGGAGCCAAGTTCATGGTGGTGGGGTGGCCAAAGGAAAATGACAGAGAGGAGGGAAGATTAACTGACGGGGAGAGGGAAAAGAAAAAGGTGAGAGTGTGGTAGTTTGTGGTTTTGGACTGTGGAACTTGGGCCACAGTGACATGATAGCCAGATTTCAACCATATTTCTTTTCTTTTATTTTGTTTCTGTTTATGGTGGCTTAGTGCGATTTGCGAAGGAGGAATTTTATTCTACGGACTAATTAATGCTTTTGTAGTCAAATATGCATTATGTAAAAAATTAACAATTTGAGCTTCCTTTTGGCGGGTCAAAGGTTAGAATTTCTTATTAGTAGGTGTAATTTTCTTCTAAGATAAAGATATTTTCATTAGTAAGTGGCATTCTTTTTTTTTTTTTAAAAAATAAGGGTTATGTCTATTTTTTTATTTAATTTTTTCAGATTTTTTTATATTATCTAAACATATCGAAATATTAAGAATTAGCCAAATGTTGATTTTTCGGTTAGCAATTTTGTTAGTAATATTAACTTAACAACATGATACTGATTTGAAAGAGACACATGAAAGTCAACATTGCAACATTTTAGAATTTTAACAAAGAAAAGAGTTACAAAATTAGTGTGAGGTTTTAGGAAAGGAGTAATAAGACCAAGGAAGGAAAAGTTCCCTTCAAAAAGATTTGGGAATTAGTGAGATGGGAAGTTTATGTGGCCAAAGTCAAACTTAAATAACAAAAATGGGGATTGATGAGTTGAGCCTTTCAGCTACGGGTGGGAGGCAAGATTGTCAAATCGGTTTATACTAAGTTAGTTTATAAGTGTATGATCCGATTGGTGTAAAATTAATTTATATATTGAATTTGACAAAATACTAAGGAAGTGTAAATCATTAACATTAAATAGATTGTGCATTTATATAATTTATTTTAGGACAATATCTTCATCCTTTGTATTTAAATAAAATATTACATTACGAACAAAATAAAATTATCGTACTTATAACCAGTTATTACTACTGCTTTATACCAATGATCTTCCAATCGTTATTTTTTCAACCAGATCATACCAGTAATTTGACGACATCATCCTTTCTCCACTAAAAAAAACTTCGGGGTCGTTTGCTTCATGGATTTAAAAATGAGGGTTTTGTAATTTAAAAACCCAAGGATTGATCAAGAATTTGAGGCATCATGGATTTGTAACAATCCTTTGTTTGTTGAGATGTTTTTATCATGGATTTAAAGGTGTGGGATTTACTACTTGAAGTCCAAAATTACATTACTATCCTTGTCTATATGTTTGACATGTTTATGATATGTACACAAAACAAGGACAATACATACTAATAAGCATAATGTTGCCACATGGACAATAATAATAAACGAGAAAATTTCGTTTAACTTTTAACGTAACATAATCAATTACCAATTCTTTGTCCTCCTTTTCAAAAGTAACATATAACAACATATATTAGAATCGGGAGAACAAAGAATTACACGTTCCATGAAAAGGTCAAAGAAAACTAGAACACAAGAAATGATATAAAAAATCTAACTCATGTTTGCACATTAATTGAACGTTTATATTATTCATTTATTGTTAATTATAATGTATAATAGTTAAATTCGAGGGCAACCTTGGAATATTAAAAGTGCATGAGGGTATATGGGTAAAATCTTATCAAGGATTTATGTCATATTCCAAATCCCACATCAACATGTGGGATTTATAAGTCCGTGGGGTCCATGGATTTGGACCCTTAAAATCCGTGGGCCCCACGGATTTGGTCTCCAAAAAAGATGCAAGCAAACAACGAATTGTACCTAAATCCTTGATAGTTAATTTTTTTATACCAAATCCATGTACCAAATCCTTGAAACAAACGGCCCCTTCATCATCCTTCCACTCATACAACTAATTCTCAATTAATCTTTTATAGCTAGCAGGGTACACATCCCACTCTCCCAGCCTCCACTTACCATACCATGCTTGCCTTTTCAATATTCTAATCCACAGGCGGCACTTTCTTGCACTCTTTTTTCTTTTTTTTCAAAGTCGGAATATTAATGAAAAGTCACAAACGGGTAGAAAAAAAAAGCGTGGGAGTCGACCAGTAGTCGAACTCTATATGAGAGAGCCTTTTGTGCCACATGAGGGCCTTTCTTGAACTCTTTTTTCCTTAGGAATTGATAAACATGAAAAATACTTTAATTTAATTATCAATGAAATATCACATAAATAATTAGTGAGTTATTTGACTCTACAAATACTATATTGACAATTAATCTATCCAAACGACTCCGAAAAACATTAAACCCTAATTCTCTTTCTTCCCAAGGAAACTGCCACTCCAGTCTCAACATAATTATAGGAATGGCAATGGGACAGGTTCGGGGCGAATATCTCGATACCCATACCCGTCCCATGGCAGGTCGGGTAATTTATCATGGGGCACGGGTCGGGCAGGTCGACCCAATGGATATGTAATTTATATGGAAAGTATTAGAAATATTCGTTATTTTCATTATAAGACCCAAAAACAAATCATAATATGATAAAATGTAGTTAATTTATTGAAGTTTTCACTAATTCACAACTTTATAATAGCTCAAATATGATGTAATATGGAGAAAAAAATCTAAGTAATTTGACTAAGATTACATGTAATTTAGACACGAACGGGTCGAAAATGAGGCGGGTCAAGGCAGGTCAAGTCGATGAGAATACCCATACCCATCTCACCGCCCAAAACAGGTCAAACAAGTAGGGTAAATCGGATCAGGTCGAAATTGTCGATCGTTATATTCCTATCCATAATTACTAATTAAATCGCAACCTACATGTATCTTATCAGAAAGAACAAACTGGGATTCGAAAATCATATGCATGATTTTTGGCCCATTACTTTGGTATTTCACGTGCTGATCAGAAGAACACTGCACTAAAGTTTGAAAGAGCGCCAGAAAAGGAGATTTGTTTAGCAGAAAACTAGCCGACAAATGAGAGGTACAATTTCTTATCGCTTTCATGGAATCATCACAACCATAATAGCCAAAAGCCCAAAACTGTACCCAGTTAAAATTGTGTTTTAAATTTAAAGATGTGTTCTTTTACATTTTTAGGCCATCATAACACTTTTACGTAGAATTATGCTTTTTTATTTACAACTGTAGTAAAAATTTACACTTTAAAGCTTAAACTTTAAGTTTTTACATTTCTAAATCACCAAAACGTTTCTACATAGCATCATGATTAGAGGTGGCAAATGGATTGGATTCATGGATTTGTGGATTGTTTTGGTGTATCCATGGATCAAGTGGATTAGATCAAATAGAATGGTGGATTCATGGATTGGATCAAGTGGATTGGTGGATTGATCCATGAATCCAAATGTCATTCAAGGCTTGGACCATTATGTAAATTTTGAAAAGTAGAAGTATCCAAAATATCTTAATGATAAATTTTATGTACCAAAACATAAATTTTCAATGATATTGTTCGTATAAAAAAATAAATTTTATGTACCAAATTGTAAAGTATAAAAAGTATAGTTACAAAAGTATAATATACCAACGATACATGAATCCAATTCATGAATCCACCAATTCAATTGAATTTGGAAAAAAAATAAATTAGATTAGTTGGATATTTAAGTGGATAGATTGGATTGGATTAGTGAATTAGATTACAAATTGCCACCTCTAATCGCGATTTTTATTGCAATTTGCACCCAACCCTATTTTATGAGCGCTATAACAGATACTGCATGCAGTTGGATTATACGGTCTCGACCCAGGTTATACGATCCGGTTTCGGGCAAAACCAAAATGCCCGGACCAAATAGCCCTCCCTAGTTTTTTTTTTACCCTTGAGTGACATTGTCCCATTGATCATTAATTCATTACTAGTTTTATATATAGTTTTTAAGCCCGTCCAATTTTTAATAGTAACATTTTTAGTGCAAGTGGTATAATATTTATGTTTATAAAGTATAAAGTTTGAGTTTATTGACACTTTTTAATGATTTTATATTGGTTGAATCAATAAACGCAAACCACTTGCTATACCAATTTATATTCCGATTCGATCTCAACAACATTATTTTTAACCATGAGATAAAAGACCCAAGAAATTGGGATATCCCCATTTTTGAAAAGGTTTGAAATTGGCCTAGGTAAATCTTTCTTTTGCTACCGCATACATTCTTATTTTTCCCCACGTCACAGGCATTAGGTATATGATCACAATGAGAGTAGTCAAAATTCCGATTTAAATACTAAAATTCTACGATTTTACGATTTTACTTACCTAAACCAATTCTGATTTCACTATAAAATCCACGGACCTTAAAATCCTACACTATTCACGATTTGAATACTTAAAATCTTTAAAATCTTACGATTTTACGATTCAAATCTTTGAGTCAATTTTACTTATTTTCCCCAGAATTTTCAAAATTACGCCTCTTGTTCTTCTCCTCCACCAACATCATCTAGTTCTCTCACACTAACCACCATCGAGTATAATCAATTCACATCAACGTATTAATCATCATCTATTCACCACCTCTTAACATTAACCTTGATGAATTGGAACAATAACCTTGAAAAATTATCATTGTAAGTGTTATGTGCTTTTGTGTTATTCATGATTTTCCTTACTAATATTATTCCGTCTTCATTTTTATATGGACCATAAAATTTTACGATTTTACGATTCCGATTTTACCCTCATTTTCGATTTTACGTAAAAAACCGATTTTTACTGCTTTGATCACAGTATATATATAGTACAAGAAATTAACCGCGCTTTTGCAGCAGGTCCACGTGATTAGAAAAACTGCAGGATCATTATCGTACAATGAGTAGGAAGTGAATACAAAATAATAATATAAGCATCATATATTTCTTCTATATTGCTCTGCCCATCACCCTTTCACTCGCTTTTTATCTTCTCATTTTGTTTTTCTCACACAACTATTGTAAAGCACAACATAATAATGCATGAAAAAGCAACTCAAAATTGTCTTTCATCAAAATGAAGATAGGGGCACCAAGAAACGCTCTAGCAATGGCATCACAAAGCTTATGGCTCTTCGATTCTGATAATTGTTCTTAAATAAGAGATGTGTTGAGAAAGTATATGAAACAACTGGCGAAAAACAAAGTTGTTCATCAAAGAAAATGGTTGGATAAGTGATGTGAGTTAAAAAGACAATTTATTATGATTGGGATCCAATGTCATGCTCTACCGAGAAGCACATTAGGAGAAAGCATAAAACAACAGGCTATAGATGAGAGATGAGCTATCTCTTATAGACTTTTTTGCTAACTTGTGTGACATACATTTAGATTATATATTGCTTTGTGTGATTGAGTTAACTGATGGGTTGAAATATTTTACTAGTTTGGAAAATCATATAAATATTTAAATAGGGTTTGTTTGAGCCGCGACGCCTCGCCATCAAGTCCACGTTCTCAAGACCTGACGCCTACCTACACGCACGAACACAGAGGGGGCGCCTGGGCCCGTTAGCCCTCCGACGATCAAGTCAGTCTCTACCTGGAGAGAGAAGTGCTTAGAGGATGAGTTTTAGTGAGAGAGTCCAACCTGTGTAAATGCTACCAACTGCCCCTATTTATACTCACCGAGCTCGAGGTGGATCTCCTCCACGTCACCATCACATTAAATGCTTTGTACCTACATTCCTGTCAGAAGCCTCAACCGCCTTGTCAGGCTTCTGACGACTAGCAGGCGCCTACAGGCGGGGGACCACTTGTCAGCTTTGCCTTCTTTGGCCTTAGTGTTTTGTCTTCATGCCTACCCCACCTGACATGGAGTGGGCTTCGCGGGGTCATTTGCAGGCTCCTTCTGTTGGACAATTGCCTAGGGCTGCTCTTAGCAAGATGGGCTCTTTCTTGGGCTCTCCTTTGGGCCCCTCTAGTGGTACCCCCAACAGGGTTCATAGTTGTTTGCAGATTGAGTAATATGTCACGAGAACACCCAAAATAATGAACAAAGATAATAATAAAAAATCTCTTGGAGGACTTTACTGCGACACTTTGAAGATAACTCTCAAGTCTCAGGTCAAGATCCATCATCGTTCTTAAGTGGAAAATTCCATTTATAAACATAAATGAAACAATGAGTTGAAGACATATTTCGTCACAGGAAAAGAGAATAGCCGAATGATGCAAGAGCACACAAAGTAAATTTATTAAATTTGAAATCTAGAGTTTTTCTCAAATCAAGTAGGAAACACACAAGAAAACTGTACTTTTTTTTTCTTTAAAAAGGAATAGGAAGAAGTGCATTGAAAAAAGACTAGTTTTTCATCATTCTTGATAGCTAATGAAGATGATGTAATCACCACATAATGACCTCTCTAATAAAAAAATCTAGTGTTACACTTTGTCAACCCATTGATTTTTAAAACTGATAATTTTGTTAGTATGTGGTATATGATCCATAATTGAACATCTACCAATAACTTGAGTGATTGGGATCAACTGATTCTTGACATGGTATCAGAGCATTCTGTAACCGAAAGGTCTTGTGTTCGAATCCCCGTAACCCCATTTATTAGCACATGGATGTTTGATGTCTGATGCGTGTGCAACAACATGCATCAATAACCCTCAGAGCAATTCCCGGCCGCCGGCCTCCTCCGCCACCGCGTCGGACAACAAGCCACAAAACAAATCCTGTTGCAATACGACGTTCAGATTCCCAACGGACTCCACCAACGAACCCACCGAGACCCTCAGAGCATCGTTCTGTTTCTTCCGTGCAAACAATTCACCTTCAACCTTCTTCAACTTCTCCGCCTTCTCGTTCGCCAGCTTCTTCCACGATTCCGCCTCCGCTTCTTTCTCCGCCAGCTTCACCTTCATGGTCGTCATCACCTCGTCGTCCTGAGAAGAACCATTATTATTAATAATGGCGTTAGTACTGTGATGGTTCTTGTTCTCCGCCGCCGCCTCGAACATGGCCTCGTGATCCACGACAGTTTCGTGGCTGGCGAGGTCGATCCGGTTCCATATTGTGACGGCCGCCGGCTGGACGCCGTATTTGGACCAAGGGAAGAGGTCGTTGAGGCGGTGGTAAGTTCCCCTTTCCCTCCTCAGCATGTAGCAGAACCCATCTCGGTTCACCCGACATTGGTACCTATCATTTAATAAATTAATGAAGGTAGGAGGGTGGTATAAGATTCGTAATGAATTTTTTTTAATACTTTGAATTATTGAGACTAACTGGATTATGACATAGTAAGAGTTGATTCGATCAAGTGATCGGTTGCGGATGCAATGCATAATAACTGGTTTATCACTATGATATAATGATAATATCATGGTATGACAGTTGTATGATTTCATCGTCAAACATAACATATCATATCAACATTTTATCATTATCATATCAACATACCACTATAATATCATACTATTGTTAGTGGTAATATCATAATATGATGACCTGAAATTTTTTTTGTTCCAAAAGATATGTAAATGGATATCAACTTGTGATAGAGCACAAAAAAAATCTGATTTTTTTTTAACTTTTTTTAAATTCGATTTAAAAATACATTGTGATGAATAGTTTTGCGCTGCAAAAAGCCACAAAGTTTTGTGCTGGAGCCTATAAAAAAAAAATTCAAATTCAATTGAATTCATGAATTTATGGATTGTTGACAAATTACAGTTTAGAAACTCTATTTTTATAATTCACAATGCGACACCTAAATTTCATTTTTAATGAAAATATCATTGAAAAATTACGTTTTGGTATCTAAATTTTTCAAAATGTACATATTAGTTTAATATTCAGATGTCACTTAGATCTATGATCCAATCCACCTGTCTATAGATTCACCAATTAAATCCATCAATCTATAAATCCACTCTATTTGTCACCTCTACTTGAAATTCCGTTCGAATTCGGGTCAAGTGAAATCGTCCTACTTAATACTTAATATAAGGGGTGCATGGTTTGCTCCTTGGATCAATTTGGATGATGAAAAAATGGGTTTACCTGTGGAGGTCTTTAGCGAGCTCCAGCAGCTTGGCGCCACGGATGGAGACGCCATAGACGATGAGCTCGTGGACCTCGCCGGACGGAGGAGGCCGCGGCGCCGGAGTGAGGATGTAGGAGACGATGGAGTGGAACCAGTCGCTCATGGTGAAGTAGTCTTCCCACTCGCGTTTCATCTCGCACACGGAGATGGCATCGCTGACGTCCAAAGCGTCGATGAAGTGCCTCTCCGAGGTCAGGCTAAACGACGGCATGGGACAAAGACTCGACACGATTACAAGACCGACTACGATAGTCCGTATGCAACCAGACTACGATGAAAGAGCTTGTTAAACCACTACTTGGGCAGCTCTGAAGAAGCTCCGAGGAGCAAAGACACGACACTGACAGGGAAAAACAAAAATAAAACCCCAACGTCTCCAAGATAGTCCCGCCAGCGAGTGTAGTTTCCTTCGACGAAGTATAGCTATGATCGTTAAAAATGGAGGGGGGTTGCCTGGTTTTAATACAATGGATACTGAAGGTGGATACTTGAATTCATCGCTTAAATTAATTACCAAAGAAATTGTGGATGATTTATGATTGATTGAGACTAGTTGTTGTTGCTAAGCATGCAATTTGGTGGGAAAAAACAAAGTTTTATGTCGTTGTGGGTACGGCTAGATAGGGTTGCATTGTGAATTGGTGATTACCGTTATGAAAGTAACTTTTACTTTGGACACTTGTTTTTGGTTTGGTTCACATCTTCTACCATTGGTATTTACTTTGCAATGTAGAGGGCAATTGCTTGTTTGTTTTTTTTTTATCAAATCGAATTTCTTTTTCTCTCTCACATAGAGTTCAATTTTATGGTACGACTCCAATAAAAAGGATGAAAGAAACAAACTGAGAATTTGTAAATTCTTTTAGAAAAAACTAAAATGAGGAGATGGAACGATAAGGAGAGCGGATCTCATGACTAGTGGGTTCTTAGTCACTTGATTATGGAGATGGCAATGAAACTCATGGCCGTGGGTACCCAACCGCCTCCGACCCAGTCAACGTGGGAATTGACTGGCAATGAGGCGGCCGAGTATGGGTAAAACCCGTAAAGAGCTTGACGAAGATGGAGTGAGTATGGTTTTAGACTCCCCGCCCCATATCATATCCAAACCCGCCCTATCAAACTATTTTATCATATACATAAAAAAAAAAGAAGGGTTAGTTTGTAAATCATTATTCGCAAAAAGCGTAATTTAAAAAAGAAATATGGTTAAAATGTACTTATGCCAATCAAAAACCTAAAATTCTCAATCCTCAATCCTTAATTTAGTTCTCATGCTTGCTTGCTCGATCGGTTGGAATGACAAAAGGATTAACATACCGTTTGGTATAAATGAATTCCATAAGTTTTGAGGAATTCATTTTGAAATGAATTTTTTTTGTGTTTGGTATATAAAAGAATTCATTTTCAATTCTAAAATTTGAATTCTACGGAATTGGAGCTAGTTATAGCAATTCCGTGGAATTGAGATGGAATTTCCAAATGAATTCCACAAGAATTTACTAATTATAATAAAATTACATAATTATTGATAATTGTTAATTAATTTACTCACTTGTATATTAATTTATATTAGTTTGACGCGTAAACAATTTTGCGCGCGTACTTATTCTTCAGCCGGGTATATTAAACCCTATATACATCTCTGTGGTTATAACTAAACCCTATCGGAGACTCCCAATTTACCAAGCTGCCGGCGCAACTCCCTTCTTCTTCAATTCTGTATCAATCACGCCACAAAGAAGGTTAGTTTTATTTATGTGTTTTTCTTTTGCGGTTCTTTGATGGGTATTGTTTCTGTTACATGGTTCAAAGCTCTTATATATCTACCCGTAAAGCTGCTGCTAATGAGCTTATAATGAGATTAGGTTTATATATAATATATGTGTTTCCTTTGTCTGTTATTGAGATCACTTTATGTTTTTTTATGTTACTGTCTATTCTTTTGTTATGCTCATACTGTCGACATTCGTGTTTAGATGTGTATGTTATAGTTTATATGTTATTATTTTGCATGCAGTATGAGGAACAACGACAAAAATTTGATTGGAACGTTAGTAGCATATGCTAGTTATTTGATATTTCTTCTTCGGTTATATCAGTATGTTGAAAAGCCACAACTGGAGTGTAGGGTTCATCGACGAAGTATTAGAAAAGAGCTAATGAATAGAATAGAAACACACAAGAACACTTTTGATATTCTACGCATGGGACCAGAGGCGTTCAAAACATTAGTTCATATACTAAGGGAGAGAAACTTGTTGAATGATAATAAAAATAGTTCAGTTGAAGAGCAAGTTGCACTATTTCTATATACATTAGCACATAATGTAAGAAATCGCGTAGTTAATTTCTTCTTTCGCTGGAGCGGAGAGACAATCAGTCGTCATTTTCATGGAGTCCTCAAGGCCATATTGTCATTAGAAGCAGAATTTTTGGTTCAACCGAATGGATCTATAGTCCCTCCAGAGATATTGGATAGTGAAGGCCGGTTTTATCCATACTTTAAGGTAAATATATATTAGTAATATTCAATTGATATATGTTAAAAAGTGTAGAATTTTGGTGTACTAACATAATTAGATAGTATAGGATTGTGTTGGTGCTATTGATGGAACCCACGTTAGTGCTAAAGTTTCACAAGAAGAAGCACCAAGATATAGGGGTAGGAAAGGAATCCCCACAATGAACATATTAGCAGCCTGCACATTTGACCTAAAGTTCACCTATGTTTTGGCGGGATGGGAAGGATCAGCTTCTGATTCAAGAATATTGGAGAATGCCTTAACAAGAGATGACAAACTAAAAGTTCCTCCAGGTAGGTGGTAGTGAGAGATAAAAAAAAAGTGCTTGTTCATTTTGTTAATGAGCTAGTACTCTATAAAAAAACACTATTCTTTTGTTTGAATATAGGTAAATTTTACTTGGTTGATGCTGGCTATGCTTTGAGGCCTGGATTTATCACGTCGTACCGAAACACAAGATATCATTTAAAAGAGTATTCTCATTGTCCTCCGGTGAACTCAAAGGAGTTATTCAATCTACGACATGCATCATTGCGTAATGCAATTGAGAGGGCTTTTGGTGTCCTGAAAAAGAGATTTCCCATTATCGCTAGTGGTTCAGAAGCTCATCATGATGTCAACACACGTTCTGAAATTGTGCTTGCTTGTTGTATTTTGCATAACTTTCTTTTGATGTATGATCCCGATGAAGATATTCTTCGTGAGGTTGATAAAGAATTGATGGAAAATAATGTTGAAGAAGAAGATAGTGGATCTGAAAATAGAGAAGCAGATGCTAGGATCGCAGAAAAAATTAGAGACAATATAGCATTCCAGATGTGGAGTCACTATGTTTGAGATGCTAGTCACAAGCTCCTAAATGTGTTTTTCATAGTTCTTGAAGCACTTTTTGTCTTTTACATTGGATATTATTGTCTTTAATAGAAGTTGTTGCATCTACTTAGTTTGTATTTTGTATTTGTTTAATGGTTCAAATAGATGATGGCAGCGGGTGAAGATGAAGTCCAAATTTTGAACACCAATCCTCAAAAGACTGACAAACACCTTAGGTGGCCAAAGGAGATGGATAAACTTCTTTTAGACCTTCTGAAGGAGGAAAAGGCCAAAGGAAATAAGGATGAGAAACAATTTAACAAAGCTGCTTGGACTACTGTCATTGCTAGGCTAAATTTGGGGTTTAAAAAGCATGGTAAAACTATCGATAAGACAAAGGCAGTTAACAGGCTAAAGACTATCCAAAAGCAAATGGGGCTTGCCATTGAGGTCTTAGATAAAAAGAGTGGCTTCGGATAGAATGATACGACCAAAAAAATTGAAGCTGCTCCAAGTGTTTGGGATACTATAATAAAGGTAATGTTTACTTGATTGATGTTTGTACTTAAGAATAATGATGTTTTTTCATTTTTTTCACTTCTTTTGTCAACTGTTTTCTCAGATGAAGCCTGATTACAATTTGATTCGAGATAAGGAACTTCATTTTTTGGAGAATGCTCGAGAATTATTCGAGAAAGATCGAGCAAATGGAGATGGTGCCATGAGTGCTAAGGAAAATTTTACTAAGTACCACAATGTTGAATCAGAGTTGGGAATTGATGATATTGATAGGATGCTGGCCAACGACGAGATTCACCTTGATCCATTAGTTCCAGAAGCTAGCCAAGTTCCAGGAGTAGCGGTGCCACCAATTAATGTTGAAGTAAAAGCGCGGCCCGGGAAAGAGTCTACTAGAGGAAGCAAAAGAAAGAGATCTATGTCCAGTACCATTGCTGAAGAGATTATGCAGGTAACATCTTCGATGAAAGAAATTGCTAGTGCCATAAAAAATAGCAATCAACGGATATATGCTGCTACTGAGCTTTCAGCCGAGTTAAAAAAATTGGGGTTAGACAAATGGGAAGTTATGGAGGCACTCGATTTTTTGAAGGACAATGAGCATCTAGTTGAAAGGTTCTTTGCTTGTGACGAGGAGATCAAGCTCGCTTGGCTCAAGAGAAAAATGGGTTACAATGAAGATATTTAGAAGATGGAGCTTCAAACTATTTGCTACTTTTTTCGAACTTTTTGTTTTGTCATATTGGTTTGATAATAACTTTATCACTTGCATTTTTTAGAATATGGATTTTCAATGTTTCACATAGATGTGATTCTCCCAGTTTTGATTTGGTTGTATGGGGTTGATCGATCACTATAACCTCATAATTGGAATCAAGCAATCAATCATCCAAGTTTTGAAGTTATTAGGGAGATGCCGAGCTTATTTAAAATTTTGTTTGGCTCTTTAAAATTGGATTTTTGCAATGGAAACTCCACACATCCATTCACGTATTGCAATAAAGGAACCATGGAATAGTTTTTATTCGTTTACTATCTCATTTGGATTACTGATCCTTCATACCGTGAGCTATTAATTATTTCGATTTAATGGAAATTAATAAGGGCGTAGTTGAAAACTTTTTAATTTAATTCAATTCCGAATGTAACCAAACATGATTGAGAATTCAATTCATTTCATTTCTAAATATTTGAACATGACATACCAAACACAAGAATTCATTTGAAAATGAATTCTACACAGTAATTCATTTTAAAATGAAATGAATTTCCGGTTCATTTGGTACCAAACGGTCTGTAAGAGAATATATCCTCATCGTCAGTTGTGTAGCAGGAATTAAACGATTGCTTTTTTTTTTGTGAAAAGGCTAATCTATCTGGTTGTGGTAAAATACCTCGGGTACTACTTAATTTTGAGAATTGAAGCAGATATACCATTTAAATTTGAATTGACCTATTTGTAAATTTATAATTTTAGGTATTAAAAGGTAAGACAATAAATCTTAGATACTAAAAATTAATTTTTCATCAATACTTTTGGGACTTATATGCAACAAATATAATTTTATATACTAAATTTTAAAATCTATTAAATTTAGATTTCAAATTGTAATTACATGTGAAAACCAAATCTAAGGACAGACTGAGGAAGGAGGCTTCAGTTTGTTGGCCCATCTTCTAAATTTATCTAACTCTCGCGAGTCCACATATGATTCAACGTGAGAGAAGGAATTTTCTCGGTTCTAGGAAGGATGCGGGAAAAACATTATTGTTATAAATATGATAATTACAACCCTACAAACATTATTCTTATAAATATTACAATTACAACCCGAATCTTCTCGGTTCTATGAAGGATGCGGGAAAAACATTATTGTTATAAATATTATAATTACAGCCCTACAAGCATTATTCTTATAAATATTACAATTACAACCCTACAAACGTTGTGTTTTCCTAGATTATTTTCTCCTTTAGGTGGCCAACGCGTTATAAATAGATAATATGAGTGACCAAACTTGCAATTCACCCAATCATTAATGGTTAGAATAAAGAATTTGGTTGGGTTTTTGTAAGGACCATGGTTCCAATATTGTTTGTCCTACTTTTTTTTTTTTTTTTTGCTGATAACAATAATATTTAGAAACAATTATCGTTTTATTCTCATGGCTCTTTTTAAGTTTTTTAAGATAATAAGATCCAATTCAATATATTTATAATGTTTTTAATTTCAGAAAACAATGTGTGTATTAAATATACAAAATGTTCAACACATGTTGTTATAAACGCGCTGCTACGGATCGGGAAATCGCAGGAATCGACAAAGCAAGAATACGAAAGCGAGAATAGAAAACACGACACACGATTTACGTGGTTCACTAACACGATGCGTGTTAGCTACGTCCACGGGCGAGAGAGAGCCAGTTTCACTATATCAAGGAGATTACAGAGGAGTACGAGAAGTATTTATAGTACTTCTCCATGTGGGTCTAAACCTAATCCAATCTGGCAAAGGAAACGGTTACAGACCAGGCCCAGAACCCGAACCCAAATAACATTGAGCCCCCGATTACCAGTCGTAGCGGCTGATAATCCGATTCAAGTCATATCAACACATGTAATTTGAATATCATGTCTTCAAAAACATTGCAGATTGAAAATTGATAAATGTACTTAGAAGATAAGAATTATTGGTCAAGACAAATTTTAAAAATTATTTGACAAATGTTGTTTGGAAAATGGTGGCAGTAATGGATCTTATGGTGGAGGTAACCATATTGTTAAGAATTAGGAATAGAGTATTCATGGTAGAGATAGTGGTTTCAATGGTTGAGATAAAAGAACAAATATCGGACAATGCTCATGATTTGGGTGAGTAAACTCTATTTGCATGGAAATGATGTTTCGAATTCACAATAATTTTTCAATTAAACTTTTACCTTCAATGATATACAGGAGAAGATGAAAGATTGTGGTAATGGTGGAGGTAGTTTATCTCGACTGTTGATGGTGAAGATCTTGGTTTCATGGATGGAAATGAAGGCATTGTTATTGGTGGAGATGATGTTGATATGGCCGAGCAATCACAAAATAACTTTTACAAAAATTGATATATTTTTTACAATGAGAAATAAATGGAATCGTAATTTGATAAACCAATTAGAGGGTCTAAAAACTTTAAATTACATGTTTATAATTAACTATACTAATATTAGTACTGTTGATGAAATGCATCCGCCAACACATGTAATTTGATTACTGCTTAGAGAGATGGAATGAAAAGAACACGTAAGAAGGGACGAGATACGGTGACAACCTCTAAGGGGGTTGTCAGATTCACAACCCACTTCATAGTCCTTGGATACGCTCTCTCTCCTGTCTCTCTTTTTTTTTTTAAATTAACGGTTAAGATTAAAGGAAAGATATTTTTGGAAGGGTAAAAATTTACCACACCCAATCATTCACCCTACCATATAAAAAGAACAAAAACCCTAACTCCTCCATCCTCCCTCTCTCTCTCTCCTCCCTCTTTCCCGCAGACATCACCATCTCTCCTCCCCCTCTCTCCGCCGCCACAGCCCTCCCACCACCGCAGCTCCCTTTTCCTCTCCCATGCCCACCGCCACCCCACGGCAGAAAAATAAAGGCGAAGAAGCCCACATCCTTCGAAACCTCAAATTTCAAGACCATTGATTTTTCCTTCCTCTTCGTCTTCCGTATAGAGTTAATGGGTAGATGGCGAGCTGCTGCTTCGCTACTCCTAAATCACACTTCCAGAAGAAGACCCACAAAGACCCTTTTTGATAACCATCCATGTCTTTGGCTGAACCTCCATTGTTCTGCTTCTTATTCGTCTTGTTGTCGGCCACGTCAATACCACTAGTAGCGCTATTGGTACCAATACCACTACTCACTGGTACCAATACCAGTGGCTCTCCTATCATCTGGTACCACTATCATTTGTTTTTTTTTTTTTGTTATTCTCTACTGGTACCGCTACCAATGCTAGTGGTAGTGCTACCAGTGCTAGTATCGTTGTGTTATTCTCTACTGGTACCGCTACCAATATGGTAGTGGTAGCGTTGTACTGGTATCGTACCACTAGTACTAGTACATTTTTTACTGGTACCGCTAGTACTGGTACATTTTTTAACGTACTGGTAGCGTACCACTAGCACTGGTATATTAATTACCAGTAGACTAATAGATTGGTACACTTTTTAACGCACTGATACATTTTTTCAGGTTGCTGGAGGGAGTCTGCCGGAGAGAATTCGTCGGAGAAAAAGTTTGTCAGTCGATGCGGAGTGACCGCTGGAGAAAGGAAGAGAGAGAGATAGATAGAGATTTTTTTTTTTGATGAAGCGGTTGGGATTTCATTTCATCAAATAGCCAAGTACAATGCTGGCAACATCTCTACCAGCTGAGCAAAAGGAACAAAAAGTCCCTGTACACTATCAAAACCAGAAAAAGTACTAACTCATCTAATCAAAAGAAAGAACCCACTGCTGCAGAGTCTGCAGCCACCCTTATATCACCTTGAACCCTTTGAATCAAAGCATGGAAGTCAGTTCTCTTCCCTGCAAACTTTATCAAGCATCTCTCTCTCCAAATTGTTGCAATTAGAGCCTGCCAAATCAACTTACCAGTTTGTGCTAGGACAGTGGAACCTTTGAAAACATTTAAAGCCCACTGGAGTTCACCCTCCCACTGATCACCAGGAATTCGATCTGCAAATTTACAAAACAGAGCTATATACATTTGCTTCAACATAGGGCAGGCAGCAAAAAGATGTGACCTAGTTTCCAAGTTACATGAGCAGAACACACAACCAAAATCACCAGGACCCCCCCCCCCCCCACTTTTGAGCCTTCTCGCCAGTAGTTATACAGTCAGATATAACTAGCCAAACCAGAAACTGATTCTTTGGGATGCAAATTCCTTTCCATACCAGTTTCCCCCAATCAACTCTATCCTTCTTTGGTCGAATCTCCTCCCAGATCCTTCTTATGCAAAAAATTTTCATCAGATCACCCTTCCAGTAAACCCCATCATCAGCAACAGATAACCACCCTCTGACTTTATCCCTTATTTTCAACACTTTCTGCCATAGCCATGACCCAGCTTTAGAAGTAAGAGTCCAGAAATTGCCTCCTTTAATTCGATATTCCCATAACCAGGCAACCCATAATGACCCTTGTCTAAGAAGAACAGCCCAGATATGTCTAACCACACAAGCAATATTCCATGTATACATATCTTTAAGTCCAAGTCCCCCTTCATATTTAGGGTATGTAATACGAGCCCAAGCCACCACAGCTTTCCTCCTGGCCCCCTCTCCTACTCCCCATAGGAAATCACTACACATTTTCTCAATAGCCTTAATGACAGCCTTAGGCAGTATAAAAACTGACATCCAGAAATGAGCAAGGCTATACAGTACAGAAATCACCAGTTGAAGTTTACCAGCATAAGAAAGTGTTTTTGACTTCCAGCTACTGATTCTGCTCATAACTTTGTCAATTAGAGGCTTACAAGCCTTGATGGAAAGTTTACCAGAGAGCAAAGGGAGTCCTAAATATCTAACTGGGAGTGACCCCAGCTTATACCCTGAGTGTTGTGACATCAACTCCTGCCATTGATCTTCTATACCACCACAGTACAGTTCACATTTGGATGGATTTGATTTCAATCCAGACATGTATCTAAACTCAGTCAAAACCTTTTGGATACACTGAATTCCAAAATTTGTTCCATCAGAGAATAATAAGAGATCATCCGCAAACATTAAATGGGTGATCTGCAATCTTTTGCACATAGGGTGGAAGGGCATAACATTTTGAGCAGCAGCCCTATGCATCAAGCATGAAAAGACCTCCATGGCCACAGCAAAGAGGTAAGGGGAAAGAGGATCCCCCTGCCTCAAACCTTTCTTAGCTGGGAAGAAACCTATTGACCCACCATTAAACCCAATACTGAACTTTGGTGTAGTAACACACATTCTCAGCCAATTAAGAAATTTATTAGGGAACCCCATGGCTGTAAGCACTCTAAACAGAAAAGCCCAATTGACAGAGTCAAAAGCTTTCATTAAATCAACTTTAACTAAGGACCTTGAGGAGATGTTTTTCCTACCATACTTCTGGACTAGTTCATGAGCCAACAAAATATTTTCCCCAATTAGACGACCTTTAACAAAAGCAGTTTGGGATTCACTAATGACACAAGGCATAACAGCACTTAGTCTAGTTGCAAGGATTTTTGCAATGCACTTATAAAGAATGTTGCAACAAGCTATTGGTCTAAAGAATTTCATTTCTTCTGGGCTATGAACTTTTGGTATAAGGGCTAAAAGAGTAGAGTTCACACTTACTGGGATTTGTGACACTTGAAAACAGTATAAAATTGCACTTGTTACCTCTGCTCCAACAATGTGCCAAGCTGTCTGGAAAAAGCAAGCTGGGTACCCATCAGGGCCTGGGGCTTTGTCCCCATTAAAACCAAACATTGTAACCCTGACCTCCTCTGCAGTGACTGGCTTGCATAAGGCAACTCCCTGATCAGGAATGAGTTTCTTTAACAACAAGCTTCCAATCTGATCTACCTCAGGAACAACCACCTCTTTATTCTCCTCTCCCAATAGTTTGACATAGAAATCTTCAGCTATCTTAGTCATACCCTCCAAATCAGTAACCCTATGACCAGCCTCATCAATAAGAGACCTAATCATATTCCTCTTCTGTCTGATCTTGACTGACCTGGAAAAATAAGGGGTGTTTGAATCTCCCTCCTTCAGCCAAATTTCTCTAGATTTTTGTCTAAAGAAAGACTCCTCAGCTTCTCTCAATTCCCTAGCTTCCTTAGAAAGCCTATTCTCAGCCTCAAATGTAATAGTTGATGGATTGCTAAGAGCTTCTGCCTGGGCCAGAAGTAACTCATCAGCTTTCAGCTTCACCCTTGCAGATAAGTCAGAAAACACCTCTCTATTAAGCCGCTTTAGTAATCCCTTTAAGATCTTCAGTTTCTGACACACTCGAACCAGAAGAGACCCAGCTACCTGTGAACCCCAAGCCTATTTTACCAAGTCCATAAACTGAGGGTGCTGAATCCAAAATTTAAAAAACTTGAACATTTTTGGCAATGATTTCACTGAACAATCAGAATCAAGCAGAATGGGGCAATGATCTGAGACTGAGGGATCCAGAAGATCCACTGTACTCAAAGGCATATCAGTCAGCCATTTAGTATTTATAAAGACTCTATCCAGTCTCCTAGCAATTGGATTACTCTGCTGCTTATTAATCCATGTAATCCATGGCCCTGAGGCCTTATGCTCTTCTACCTCACAATCATACTGCCACTTCTTGAATTCAGTCATACTGCTAGAAACTTGAGGATGATTTGAAGCTTCACTTGGATCACCAATTGCATTGAAATCCCCTAAAACTGCCCATGGAAGAGAGTCCACCTGATACTTAGCCAAATCAGAATATAGACATCTTCTATCAGCCTCCTCATTAGATGCATAAATGACAGAAAAAGAAAGGAACCCCAGACCCAACCATAACATGGATAAGTTGATCTGTTGTATGTAAAACCTGTAGTTTAATGTCTTCTTTCCACAAGAGCCACAACTTTCCCAGCCCAGCAGCATTATTAGAAACCTTAGACTTCCAACCAAAAAACCTTCTATTAATCAGCTCATCAGCTTTATTACTTCTAACTCTAGGCTCTAGTATAACTATAATATCTATATTATGTGTATTTATCAGCTGCTGTACAACCTTATTCTTATCCGGGTCATTAAATCCCCGGATATTCCATGTGAGTATCTTCATTTCTTCTTTCCAATTCTTCCCCCTTTCCGAGGAAGAACAGGCTCAATCACTTTAGGAGGAGTAGCTTTCTTCTTAGAACCAACAATTATCCAAGGATTAGTCTCTTTGACAAACACTGGAGTCTGAGTAGCTAGCTTCCCTGAAACAGGTGACCTAGCTACAACAGGCTGTTGCAGTAGGGCACTAGGACTCCCAGTATCAACTGATGATCCCATTACCACATCCACAAACCGAGCATTTGCATTCCCAGTTGGAGAAGGAATAGAGACATCTTTAACACCCCCACTGGTACCCACAGGTTCTGTTGTCTGTGTTGTGGCACTCAGCACAGCATCAACCACAGATTGAACTAGATTCCCTGCAGCTTCAACCCCAGCTTTCAGCTCAGACCCAACCACAGACAGCACCCCAGAATCAGCAGTAGCCTCCCCTGATCCTACCCCAAAAATAGATAGAGATATTAATGTATAGGATTTAAATTAAAAAAAAAATTGTATTTAATATGGGTTTTTAATTCCCAATATAATTAATACAAAAGAGGTAATTAATATATTACTTTTTCATACCCAAAATACCCTTGGTTGTGAATCTGATTGTCACCGTATCCTGTCCATGGGCCGGCCCAAGAGTTTGGATCCAAGATTGGGCCTCAAACAACCGCGAAACTGCGTCCCGTTCCCCGATATGGCGATATCCCTCTCAGCCTCAGAAGAACAAAACCTAACAAGTCGCCGCCGCCCGTCAGTTCTCCCGCCACCGATCAGCATCTCCTCCTCCTCTGCCAAACTCTCTTCCTCTCGGCCTCACCATTCCCCCATCGCTCAGCCGCCCGCCGGAACTTGGTATTTCGCGCCCCCGCAACTTAACTCCTGTCACTGCACGAAATACGCTTTCTTGCGGTCGCAAACTGAGGTAGGTAGTAAGCCCTTCTCCTCCTCCCATTCAGTTTTTCCCCCCCGGCGTCCAGACGATTGGCTGAATTGTAACGGACACCAGAATGCCTGATGGATTCCTGAGAATTGTAATCAATTGACAGCGAAAGCTTGTACGGCCGAGCAAAACCCTAAACCCTAGCTCATGTAGGTACTCTTAGGATCGAGAATTGTCAGTGCGCTATAGTCTTTGATCTCATTGGTATGAATTTTCAATACGCAGAGACGAGTAAGAGGGAAGAAGTGAGACAAAAAAATAAATAAAAAATGGTGGTCAGGCTCCGGTTGTCCAGGTTTGGCTGCAAGAACAAGCCATTCTATCGAGTGATGGCTGCTGATAGCAGATCCCCTCGAGACGGCAAACATCTTGAAGTACTCGGCTACTACAATCCCTTGCCAGGTAACACCTTTTCCTCCCAAGTCCCCTGAGTATCAGAACGATGTATAAAATTGTTTCTCATTTTGGTGGCAGCTTGGCATTAGTGCCATACTGATTGCTGATTATGTCGACTTCTGGTTTATAGGTCAAGATGGTGGCAAAAGAATGGGTCTTAATTTCGAGCGAGTAAAGTAAGTAACTTGGTCCTTCCTTGTTTTCTTCCTATGCTCTGGTTGCATCTCAATACTGAAGGTCAGGGCGTCTTGAGTCGTTTCATTTGCGATCTTTGGCACGTAAGATGTGTATTCGGTGACCACGCTCATTAGTACGATTGTGATTATTTTATCCGTGAGATTCTTGGAAGAGTGCATCAGAGAATTAGGTGCTGCTGTGAATTTTACAGTTCATGTTGCTAACATTCACTGTTCGAGATAAAGGCTACAAAGTATCAAATTGTAAATTTTTATTAGAGGGTATAAGTATCAGGTACCATGCCAAGAAAGGAAACCAATACCAATACATATTTTCTTTGCCATAGAAGAACCAATACAGCTAAAAGTAGATATGGGTTGAAAGACAACTATCTTGTCGAAGGACACTGCTAGTTGTGGCCTTGGGGGCGTATAAGCACAAGTCTGCTAGCAGACGGAAGAAGTGATAAGTTGAAGGTAGGAGAAGGAAAAAATTATACTTTTGTCTTGAATAAGCGTGCAAATGGGGATTTCTTTGTTTAGGAAGTAATCATCGAAATGGGGCCATAAATGATAATTCACTTGTTGAACTTTTAATTCTAGTATTCCTTGGTGTTTGTCGGACAGCCATCTGGTTTTTCTTCACATTTTCTGGTGCAAGAATGAATGAAGTGACATTTTAGCTGCAACCATTGCTGCTTCCTTTCAGCAGTAAAACCTTATTTGTGAACGTTCTTGTTAAAATTACCTCCAGTAATCTGTAGTTGTACATGTACTGCCTCCTTTTGCAAATATCCGTTAATGTTGAGAGTGGTATTGCTGAGTCTGATTCCATTTCTCTCATACATCTTTATATAGCATTCAGAACTCCGAGTTGAGTAACCGACCTCAACTCTTCCATTTGCCCACTGTACTTCCGATCTGTTTCCACCTTCTAGTATCTGGTTTAGCCGTGCATCAACATGCATTATCTTTTACATGTACTTGTGTGTGTGTGATGCTGTAATATAAGATCTATCAATGATATCCCTCCTTATTCACCACCATGCAACCCGTGTGGTTTTTCTTTTCCAGGTATTGGTTGTCAGTTGGTGCGCAAGCTTCTGACCCCGTCCAGCGGATCCTGTTCAGAGCAGGGGTCCTCCCTCCGCCACCAATGCTGGCCATGGGCCGCAAAGGTGGGCCACGTGACACCCGTCCAGTCGATCCCCTTACCGGACGAGTACTGACCACTGAGAAGCCGCCAACAGCAACCCAATCAACATCCGACAATGCAGCTGGATCTTCAACTTCATGATCTCTCCTTTCACGGAGAATGGAAGCCACCATTTTCTAAGTCTGTGTTTCTCGGATCATCCACTGTGAGAAAGCTGACTTCCTAGAAGCATGCAGTAGCGGGCAATGGCTCTTCCAGAGCGATGTGAGATTTGGATTATCAGCCCTTCGATGCCTATTACCATCGACACTTCACAAAAATCACATTGTTTTTCGGGAAGTCGACATTAGTTCGGTTGATGATGCTTTTGTCGATGTCTCAAAGGGACTGATAACTAGTTGATGCTTTATGAAATAATAGAAGGATGCTATTATTGCTACTACTTGCCCAGATGGCCATACATTTTCACGGTACTTTGTTCTTGCGACAACCAAGTAAACCATAGTTTGCTACTAATAATTTCACCTACTGAGAACCAAGCTTTTCACCTGGATTGTAGTTGCATCTAGGGGTGGAAATCGGTACGGTATCGGTATCCCAATACCAAATAGCGAAATTCCGAATATCGAATTACCTCCTAAAGTCAATCACAATCCCAATCCCTAAATAATTTGGGTATCCCAATCTCAATCCCTAAATATTCCGGTATCCCAATCGGTATTATCGAATACAAAATTAATTACCTTTGCAATTAATAATTAAGTATATAAATGAGATTTTATTGTTTAATTTAGGGAGAAAAGACTAAGCAAAAAGTCTTGAATTAGGATATTATTAAGGAGAATGGAGGAGAGGAGACATCTCAAGTTCTTGTCATTGGTGATCATTAATTTTACGAGTTGGAGGTAGAGAGACGACTATTAATAGTGATGAAATGATCTATGTATAATTAAATGACACTATTGGTGGTTGAGGGTCGTGTAGTAGTGAATGAGAGAGTCCAGTTGAGAGGATAAAATACGCACTAGCTTATATTTTGGTATTGATCGGTATTTCGGTATATACCGATCCCAATCCCGTAATCCCTAATACCGAATAACAATTGAAATTCAATCCCAATCCCAATTCCAGGAAATAATACGTGTATTCGGTTATACCAAATATAGACAAATTCGGTACGGTATACGGTATATCCCAAATACCGGTACCAAACTTCCAGCCCTAGTTGCATCCCATCTGTGTTTTTTTATTTATATATATTACTTATTAAAGTGTATATATATATGTGTGATTTTGTTACAATATAATATTTTAGATGGTTAGTCACTTAACATTTGTATACTCTTTATAATACACATTAAATATCTGAACATTTATCTTATCTCTCAAATAAATTACAAAAAAAAGTTCAGAATCCAATAGCCCCATGTAACCTTAGCTTGGAGTTTCGTTTGTGGCCGACCACATATAATCGACTAGTTCTACTATGCTGCCAATCAGGTAGATTGCATTTTCAATTAGGTAAACCACGTTTCCTATTATAAAATATTAATGAACACATTGACAAATCCATAACTAGGATGGAATAAAAAAAAAATTGACAACATTGAAGAAGTACAAATATAAAGTTAGGACTTGAAAATTTGAGTTATGGAAACTTAACAATGTGCAAAATGGTTGCTCCTTCATATGCTTCGGAAGTTATGCAGCTTTGTCTTCCATTTGTTTCTTTGTAATTGTCTTTACTGTGTTCATGCTTTTAGCTTTCGAGGTTTAATTTCTCCTCTTGAGTTGTCAATAAAAAAACTTTTATTAAGATATATCAATAAATAAAATTTGATGTAACTTATAGACCTATCTATCAATATATTTACCAAAGGATGAGTGGTCGACCTAGATAAGCCTGTGGTTGACCCGATTATCAATGTGATCGACTTATTTTGTAAGTGTGATCGACTTGATCAACCGTGTATCCGATCTAATCTGTCAATATGATCAACTTCACCAGTTTATGACCTACCGAACACACGTAACAAACTTCAAGTAAAATTTACTTTCATGTATTGTAACTTGTAAGTTGTGGGAAACAAACTCTTATAATGTTTTAAGTAGCTAATTAATTTTCTAGAACTTGTTCTAAAGACAATATAAAATACAGTAGAAACATAAAACGAGGAAAATCATTTCAAATTTTTTAAAATGAAATATTAAGATAAAAGGCAACTAAAGAAACATGTCCAAATACATTTTTACCGCCATGACCAAATACAGTTAGTGGTTGTTACCGAACTCTTTTGGTGGAAAAGTAAGATCAAGAATCAAAACTAATCTCGTTTGGTGGAAAGAATATGCAATTAGTGGTTGTTACCGAACTCTTTTGCTCGATCTCTTTTGGCAGCTAGGGTTTTGTAACCCCATGTCGGCGGAACCCCCGCCGCCGGCGGGTGGAGGATCGGGGACGTCGCACCAAACCGATACCAGTGCGGGCCAAAGACGCCCTCCCACAGAGTCGTCATCCCCGAACCCTAAAGGTGACCGGGAGGCGCAACATGCTAAGAAGAAAGCGAAACAAACTTACTCGTCGCCTATTGTTGAAGAGATCAGGGACGAAGTGCTCTCTGACGCGGAGGCTGAACTCAGCCCTACCCCCCAGCTCGACCAGCAGCATGGACTCAGTCCATGGGAGCGGCTAGGAAGCTGTTCGGCGAGACAAAATGCCTGGACGAATGGTACATAGCCGATTCGGACTCGGAAGATGTAGCGGCTGCTATTAGGGAAGACGGGCAGGAGGCTCCGTTTGAAGCGGATGAGGATCCCAAGTGTCCTCCAATCCTTTTTTCTGCTGCCGAGGAAAGGACCTTCTGCCGGGATCTCAGATCGGCTTTGGTGGTGAAGGCTTTGGGGCGAGCAGTCTCCTACACTGCCATGTCGATCAGACTGAACACAATATGGGCAAAAGCGGGAGGCATCCAGGTTACCTCAATGAAGAATGGATATTTTCTAATCCGATTCATGAACGGAATGGATTATGAACGTGCGATCACGGGAGGACCATGGATGATCGGCTCGAATTACCTCACAGTGCATATGTGGGACAGGTACTTTTACCCCTACGGCCATGAAATATCATCTACGGTGGTCTGGGCACGCCTACTGGATCTTCCTATCCACTTCTTCCACCATGATGCGGTGATGAAGATAGGGCGCAGAATGGGGAAACCTATTCGCATCGATGGTGCAACCCGGACCAAGGCACGCAGCGACTATGCCCGTGTTTGTGTCCAGGTCGATCTTACTCAACCTCTCCTTTCACAGTTCACAATTCATGGGAAGAAGTATTTCATTCAATATGAAGGCTTGGAAAGAATCTGTCTAAACTGTGGCACATATTCCGAACATGGCTACTGCCCATGCACGAAGACACATGCGCCGATGGAGGAGGAGAAAACAGCTGATGAAACGGTGAAAGAAACAAGGCCAACAGATTCTCTTTATGGGGAATGGATGATTGCAAAACGCAAGCCAAGACCACCTCGCAAAGATCCATCAACGCAGACTGAGAAGGGGGATACCAACGTCCATCATGGGCACAAAACCCGAGCATCCCATGCAAGCGGTTCCCGGTTCGACGTACTACATGAGGAAGGGGACAGGGAGATGAGTCCTCGACCAAGTCAGGTAACGGAGGCAGCCGCCAATGTGAACATATATAAAGACAAGGTCCACAGCGGAAATTCTGGGAGCTCCAAGGGGAAAAAAGGTACGGGGTCAAGCCCGACTTTGCCTACAGCAGAAAGGGGGACGCCAACTCACACTTCCTCGCAGGCCCCGGATGAAATCCAGAACTCTAGACCAATGCAGACCCAAAATTTGTCGAGTGCTACGATATCTGAGACTGGGGTTGAGTCCCACGTTGCGGGTGGGCCTGCGAATGAAGTAAGGCAGATGCAATCGAGCAAGGCTGATATTCAAGCTCCCAATGTTGCACATGTAGTGAAGAAAGAAATTAAGGACAAACCTCCAGACTCGACGCAAAAAAATCCAATAGCCAAGATGCAGCATGCGAAACGTGATGAGACGAATGCCAAGGTGGCGATGAATATCGATGGGAACAACCTATCGGCGACTTGATCAAAGGGAGTCTCTTTCCACCTCTTATTTATGGATTGTAAAATCTTTTCTTGGAATTGTAGAGGGGCAGGGAGTAGAGGTTTCTTACGTGCTTTCCATGAATACCGTAGGAAATTTCGTCCGAATATTGTGATTATAGTCGAGCCTCGTATTAGTGGGACTCGAGTTAATGAGATTATTCGTAACATGGGTTATGATAGCAAGATTGTAGTTGATGCGATAGGTTTTTCGGGAGGTATTTGGATTGCGTGGAATGCGAGTGAGCACACCATTTCTGAAATCCATGCTCACCCCCAGTGCCTTCATGTGCAGGTGCAATCTATGACGTCTCAGAGAATCGAATGGCAGCTTTCGGCAGTGTATGGGAACCCGGCCCCAGTCCAACGGCGGGAACTCTGGAGTTTCCTAAGGAATGTAGCGGAAGACCAGGACGTTCCTTGGTTGCTAGCGGGAGATTTTAATTCGATCCTCAGCCCCTCGGAGAAACTAGGAGGTGCAAATTTTGAATCCTCCAGGATCAGGGAGTTCCAAGATGTTGTGAATGACATAGGTCTGCACGATTTGGGGTACACTGGGCCGCACTTCACCTGGTTTCGGACAGGGCTCAGAGAACGACTTGATAGGGCTATGGCCAACTCCCAGTGGCTGTCGACGTTCCCCGAGACTACGGTTAGGCACCTCCCCCGCCTGAAGAAGTCGAACCACCGCCCCATCCTTACTACGCCAACGACCCAGGTTCAGCCAGGGGGGGAGAAACCGTTCCGTGTCCTCGCAGCCTGGCTCACCCATGAGGGCTTCATGGCCATGATGGAGAATGCTTGGGCAAAGGGATCTTGCTTCACAGAATCGGCGGCTGCCTTTGCTAGGGATGCGGCCGAATGGAATCGCACTGTGTTTGGCCACATTCTGAGGAAGAAGGACAAGCTTCTTCGGCGTCTAGAACAGTTGGAACTTGCTCCTAGTGACTCCAAAAATGCGAACCAGATCAACCAAATTCAAGAGGAGCTCGAGCTCATCCTTTTCCAAGAGGAATTATTATGGTACCAGAAGTCGCGGATGGAGTGGATCAAGTCGGGGGACATGAACACTGCCTACTTCCACGCTAGGACCATCAAACGGAGGAAGCGAAACCGAGTTAGCATGCTCAAAAATAGTGCAGGAGAATGGGTGGATGACCCTGTCACCCTACTAGAGATGGCCAGAAGCTACTTCCATGAGCTTTACACAGATGAAGGCGGGGAGCTTCCTCCCCTGGAGTCCCAGTTCCCATACATTATCGATACTCGGTGGGTGGCCTTGGCCTCCGTCCTCGACCCGGATGAAATTCGACGGGCTGTTCAAGCGATGGGGGCCTTGAAGTCACCGGGAAAGGATGGGCTCAACCCACTATTCTTCCAAAGATGCTGGGATACTGACACGCCAAAACACAACACCAATCTGCGACCAAGTGTAATCGCAGACCGGGAATGCAGTAACAGGCAAGTTATATTATCAACCCGGGGTCTAGATCTACTGCTTACTCAGTGATTCTCTGTTATCTAGCCAACTAGAGTAAGTGATTGTTGTTTAAACTAAAAGCAGAAATAAAGCAGGAAATTATTCGGTTTTCTTAAGCAGGAAAGAGTCACTCGGGAATGAATCCCCCTAGCTCCTTAGTTAGGTCTCAATTGCAATTTACCCTGGGTTGATTTACTGTTGATTAGACTGCGGAAGATCCGGCAGTAGCTTGGAATCTCTTAAGCTGACCAAGCCCTCTCAGTCTAACTACCCGGCAGACGACTAGTCTTCACCGAGATAGAAAGCTGAAGCAGTAAGAACAAAAATTCACTACTGGAATTAGATTCCAGTACAAAGCAGTAAACTGGCTAACTCTCGTATAACCAGTCTCCTACTATCGAATGATGAGACTCTAGCAACCTAATCAGATTCTATCTATCTCAGATTGCAGCAGGAATCAGGAAAAGTTGATCAGACTTCAATTGACTCAATAAACATGCATCATTCGATTATAATCAAACAATATAGCATCCCAAGTCATTACAATCAATCCCCTAACATATAGAACTAGGGTTCTTCATCCCCAAGTGAGAGAGAGGTTCTACTCCATAGAGAGAGAAAAGAAAACAGTAATCGGAGTAGTCATACTCATAATGATGAGGAAAATCTGCTCCGGGATGATGATTTCCACTCCTAGGACGATCTCCAAGCTTGATTTGATGAAACCCAGTTCCAAGATGGCTTCTAGGGTGAGTTCTTCGCACTTTCTCTCTCTAGGGCTCTGTTTTTGCTCAAGAAATTCGATCTCCCCTTCCTTGGCTCGATTCTGGCCTCAAAAACCCGACTCTGGGCGAATTACGGGCTGAATTACGGCCGTAATCACGTCCTGCCCGTAATTCGCCCCAAAACGCACGTTTCAATTAAGCTGAAGGAGGAGAAGATACGCCCGTAATTTCACAATTACCGCCAGTAATTTGGGAATTACGGTCGTAATTCTTGGGAGTCTTGCCCGTAATTTTATCACCGAGAGGAAATTCTGGGGAAAAGGCTCGGCAATTGTTTTACGGGCATGCCCTGACCAATTACGGTCGTAATTTGGCAGGGGCTGCCCGTAATTCGTTCTGTGATTCGCCATCTGACCTCCGAATGACCTGAAACTTGCGCCTATGCACCTCTGTACTTGCTAGGACCTGAAATATGGCAAAATAACACAACCTAGCGTAAAATAGGCCAAGCAACAATCAATTCGAGCCAAAATGGACAAGAAATCCAAGTGAAAACACGTGCAAATACGATGCTATCAGATACGGTGGGAGAGTCACTGGTTCAGCTAGTTCAGAATTGTTGGGCCAATCCAGAGAAGGTCAAAGAAATTAATGCTACTGTGCTAGTTCTTATCCCTAAGACTCAACAGCCGGTTACTATTGACCAGCTTCGGCCGATCAGCCTCTGTAACGTGGCTTATAAAGCACTGACGAAGTGCCTGGCGGATAGGTTGAAACCGCTGATGCCGGACTTGGTTCACGAGACGCAAACTAGCTTCGTTCCAGGCAGGCATATCACTGATAACATCTGCATTTTGCAAGAAGTGGTTCACTCCATGAGGGCTCGTAAGGGGCGACGCGGATGGATGGTTCTAAAAGTTGATTTGGCCAAAGCCTATGACAGAATAAGATGGGGGTTCGTCCGGGACACGCTGGTGGCTGCTGGGGCCCCTGCTGACTTCGTGAACCTGACTATGGCGTGCATTTCCTCATCGCAGATGCATATTCAGTGGAATGGGGGACTGACCGAGGCGTTCCAACCGTCTAGAGGGTTGCGACAGGGATGCCCTCTATCTCCGTACCTCTTCACGCTTTGTATGGAACGTCTTGGTCACCTTATTGATGATTCTGTGCAAGCGGGGCGGTGGCAGCCTATAAAACTGACCAGTATTGGGCCTCGCTTGTCACACCTCTTTTTTGCAGATGACCTTATCTTGTTCAGCGAAGCCAATGGCGACCAGGTCCAGGAGATCAAAAGGTGCTTTGACATATTCGGGGCTTCCTCAGGCCAGCAAGTCAGCAGACCCAAATCCAGAGTTTTCTTTTCGGCCAATGTTACTGCTAGCATTCGTCGTAGCCTGAGTGAAGACCTGGGGATCCCGGAAACGCCAAATCTAGGCCGTTACCTGGGCGTTCCAGTGATTCACGATCGAGTTTCTAAATCAACATTCAAAGAGCTGATCGACCGAATCGATGCTCGCTTGGCGGGGTGGTCAGCTGCGTCTCTGTCGATGGCAGCGCGGATCACGCTGGCTCAATCGGTCCTCATGGCGCTTCCTTCTTACACAATGCAAACGACATTTCTGCCGGCAAGTGTCAGGGACTATATCGATAAGAAAATTCATGCTTTCGTCTGGGGGAGCTCGGATCAGGGTCGAAAAGTCCACTTGGTAGACTGGGATACAATCTGCAGGACCAAGGAGGAGGGTGGCCTGGGTCTTAGAGGAGCGACGCGGACTAACGAGGCTTTCATGCTTAAAATCCTCTGGAGACTCTTGACTAAACCGAATGACTTGTGGGCTCGGGTCATCATGGCGAAGTACTGCCGCCAGACTGAGAGCGGGCTGCACCTGAAAACAACTGGCCGGTTGTCGAATCTCTGGTGAGGCGTTTTGCGAGTCCGACACCTGACTGAGGAAGCCTCGGCGTGGAACATAAGAAATGGACAGGTGGCTAGCTTTTGGAGTGACAAGTGGCTTGATGACACAACAGTGCTCAGAGACTGCGCCCCCAACCTCCCCAACGGGATGGCGGAGATGAAAGTTGCAGAGTTTGTGTTAAATGGTGAGTGGAACGCTGACTTTTTACGTGCTTACTTACCTGAAGAAGTTGTTTTGCAGGTACTCCTACACCTGGTGCCGCAGGAGGAGGAGCCCGATGTTCGAGTCTGGAGACTGTCTCAGAATGGAGTTTTCTCTTTTCGGACAGCCTACGAGCTCACGGACAGAAGGGAGAGCCCGATTCAGAACCAACCAATCTGGCGAACCATTTGGAAGACCCCGACGTTGCAGCGGATCCGAACCTTCCTCTGGCTGCTTAACCATGATCGTTTATTGACGAATGCGGAAAGAGGGCGAAGACACCTGACGACGGACACGAGTTGCAAGATTTGCGGCGGGGGTCCCGAGACCACCATCCACGTCGTTCGCGACTGTCCATACGCGAGGGCCACCTGGGCGGGCCTTCTTGAGGACGAACCAAGCACCACCTTCCTTGAACCGGACATTCATCGATGTTCCATGCACTATTTATCAGGGCGTAGTAACAATGTGGATAATTCTCTGTTTGCAGGCACCTGTTGGCTTCTGTGGAAGAACAGGAATGACCACCTCTTCCAAGGCCAGTTGAAAACTCATGAGGAAGTCCAGTTTAGGTCCAAACAGCTTAGACAGCAGATCAGTCTAGCACTCGCACAGGAGAACACCATATTTGGAGTCGGGGGACTCCGAGAATGGCGGGATATTCAGTGGCACCCACCGCCGAGCGGCTGGGCCTGCATCAATACTGATGGCTCAGTCACTCATTCTCCTGCGAGCACGACATGTGGCGGCATCGTGAGAGGGGACGATGGACGATTCATCCGAGCATTCACAGCGAACTTGGGAGGAGGTTCGATTACTCGTGCGGAGCTGACTGGGCTTGCTTATGGGTTGAGGCTGGCTTGGGAGGAGGGGATCAGGAAAGTTGTTCTACAGACCGACTCGTGCACTGCTATTAGCCTAATCGAGAAGGCTACTCCACAGCATCCACACTTCACCTTGGTGGCTGAGATCCGCCAATGGCTTCATCAGGGGTGGCAGGTTAGGATCGAACACGTCTACAGGGAAGCAAACTATGTGGCTGATCACCTTGCTTCCGTTGGTCATTCGTTACCCATTGGGGTCCACGGGATCCAAGTCCCGAACAGCACTTTGAGATACTGGTTGTTTTTTGACATTTCGGGGATTCGTACACCCCGTCTTATTAATACGCAATAAAGGTTAGGACGCCCTTAGCGTCCTGAATTCACCAAAAAAAAAATACAGTTATATTTTCACAATGGTTAATAAGGATATATATTTACTTTACATATCTAATTATCTATATTACACAAGTTTTTGTTTTCATTTTCCATCCACATGATATGAATTCCTTTTTATAATTTTAGAAAATTAATAAATATGTAATTTTTATTGTTTTAGCAATCTCTATATTTGTTTGCCTTATCTTAAGACAAATAAAAGGAATAACTTTGAAAATTTGGTTCCTGAAAGAAATGATAAAATTTGCTTGCCTAATGGAAATTATGACTTGATATGATACCATATTATAGAGAGAAAAAGAGATAAACACACCAAGTTCAATGGAAAAATCTTAATAAGATAATATACCATAAATATTGATTTGAAAATCGAATAAAAAATAAGGACAGGTAAGTCAATTCACATTTTGTGCTGAAAATTTATTGCAATATTGGACACAATAATTTTGATTTATTAACAAACGTCAATGAGCTTGGTAAATGCCCCTTCATTGGACCAAATTTTCATTGAGATCATAGAAGAATCTAGGTTGAGACGCTAGCATAGTTAGTAAAATATGGTACGGGAAAGTTACGTATAAAATACATACGGGTATTATACTTCATATCTTAGCTAATATTACGTTTAATAGTACGTTAGTACTATTAAAATACGGATATTAAACGTGTTATACGGATTTTATACGTGTTTAGTACGGGAGCCGTCAAATGAACGGAAACTAATGAAACGGCTTGACAATAATACAGATACAGAAGTTTTAAACGGATAAAGTACGTATGAGTACATATACGTGTATTAGACGGAGTAAGGATAATGTATGTATGCTATGGGTATATATACATTAGAATAACCTAAAATGAAAATGGAGTATTGTCAATTGGCAAGTATGATCTAACTTCACCAATCGCATAAACAACTATGTCTTATTTTTAGTTTTAAAGCTTGAATACTATTTGAATTTACTATATGTTATTCTATAAAATTGATTACGATGATTGCATGTGTATTAATTTATGTCTGAACAAGTAGCTGATAAATGAATTGCCTACAATAAACGAAACTATAGTTTTGACCAATTTATCATATATGTTTGATCATACGAGCCTTGATTAAATTAATATTTAAAATTAGAATTTATGACATGTTACATACGTAATTTAAAACACGGTAGATCGATAATGTAATATTTTCAAGTAGTATTTACACCGACAAACAACAATCATGTTAGTAATTCTATATATCGTAAGTATGTAAGTACAATCGCTCTCATGCGCTTTTGGGAATTAGGTTTAAATGATTTAATTTCACTTTTAACTTCACTAATCATGATAATAACTTCTATCTTTCTTCCTAATTTTATGAGTATGTTTAATTAAAACGTTGGACGGGCGCCGACCTTTCGTGCCCTAATTAACCCTAAATGTCACCATTCTACCTATTGTGCCCCTAATAAGCCCTACATTTATAGTTTCACTTCAATTTCTTGAAAACCAACATTTCTCTTGGGATTTTTTTTTATTCTCTAAAGTCTAAATACACAAGACTCGATAAAAATAAGAAAACCAAGCAAGCCAAAGGCATACAAAAAGTCCATTATGTCCTTCAATAAGTCGTCATTATTCTAAGGAATTATCAACAACCCAGATTGAAAATTAGAAGAGGAGATTACTACGATAATTAGAAGAGGAGGGAAATAATTTCGAATTTATGGAATCAAAATTAAAAAAAATATCATTCTATTCCCAAAGAGAAAAGGAAAACAAAATCAAAATTATTAGTAGGAATGTAATGGGAAAAGAAAAACGTAAATCGAAATTAAAAAGGAAATTTTCTTTTTTGATGCCAGCCAGCCCAGGAGCGCAGGGCTTTAAATAGCCGAAACCCAACCGAAAGGATTCCATTCCATTCAACCATTCAGCCGAGAGCGAGCTGGTAGACGCTTTTTCTCCTTCCCAGTTCCCCTTTTCTGCGGCCTCGTCTCTTTTTCCTTGCGCGCTCTCTCTCTCTCTCTGCCACCCTAATCTAGGGTTTTAGTGAGACGGCTACTTCGCCTCCTCCAAGCTTTCATACTACCGCTGCTTTTTGAACTTCCGTCTGAAACCATGGGCAGCGACAAGGCTAACTTCAATATGGCCGATCTTAGCGCAGGTAGGAAAACCCTAATAACTCCTTTTTTTTTTCTCTGCTCCGTTCAGTAGTTTTGCTCTCGCTCTGCCTACTGACTGTGGATGGTGTTTTTGGGTAGCAGCTTTGAATGAAGGGGATCGTGCTGGGCTTGTTAACGCACTCAAGGTCAGTTTTTTTTTTTGCCGCCTTATCTTCAGTTGCTCAATAGGGCGCTTTTTTCATTCTGGGTTTGTTCTTGTTGGTCTCGAGAATTCGTGTATTGTTTTGGGTTCGTGCTTGATGTGAAATATGTGGAGTCTAGGACTCTAGGTTCGATGATTGGTAAATTGGGCAAAAAATAAGCTTGTGATTGTCGGGTATGGTAAGTTGCTTATGTGAGGAGAAGGTTATTCGTTTGCTGTTGGTGCTGAGATTGTGTTGTTGGGATTGCAGAATAAGCTGCAAAATTTGGCTGGGCAGCACACGGATATGATCGAGGCCTTGCCTCCTCCAGTGCGTGAGCGTGTTGAGCGTCTCAGAGAAATTCAGGCACGTGTTATAACAAAGATGTGCCCTTGTTCTAAATTTGATTTCGCCCTTTTAGTGGTGCTTGGTTTATCATGTATAAAACGATTTCTCTCGTTGAACAGAGCCAACATGATGAGCTGGAAGCAAAATTTTTTGAGGAGAGGGCGGCCCTTGAAGCCAAGTACCAAAAGTTGTACCAACCGCTTTACACCCAGGTAATGTACCCCTCATGATGTTATATGGTTGCTGTCTCATTTGTCTTTTGGGATTCGTCAACTTGATTGATTGAACCCTCCCTATAAAATATTGGTTTATTGTCATGCAGCGTTATGGAATTGTGAACGGTGTTGCCGAAGGCGAGGAAGTACCGAAGAAGGAAAGTGCAGTCCCGGAAGAGGGGGATAAGACTGAGGCAGTTGAAGGTATTAATTAAAAATTTTACTTAGTTGGAGGGATTTGCCTCATTGTTGGTATGGAGCTTGAAGTTTTGATTTGTTTTCTCTTATTGCCAGAGAAAGGTGTCCCAGAGTTTTGGCTCCTTGCCATGAAGAATAATGAAGTCTTAACTGAGGAGGTTCGGAGCTCCTATCGTAAATGCCTTGGTGTATTGAGCAAGATAAATGCTGTGTAACTATATGGTTTTGATTCTTTCGTGTTTACTTGGATTAGATTACTGAGAGGGATGAAGGAGCTTTGAAGTATTTGAAAGATATCAAATGGTGCAGAGTGGAAGAGCCCAAAGGGTTCAAGCTTGAGTTTTTCTTTGATACCAATCCTTACTTCAAGAACTCTGTCCTAACCAAGACATATCACATGATTGACGAGGATGAGCCCATTCTTGAGAAAGCTATTGGGTAAAACCATTTTGACATTTAACTGTTTGTATTGTTTTATTTGCTTTATTCCAAGGCTGTCTGTCCATCCTGGATTTTCTCTTACGCAAGTCGTGGTGGTCGTTGTGTAATTTGTAGGACTGAAATCGAATGGTATCCAGGGAAGTGCTTGACCCAAAAGATCCTTAAGAAGAAGCCAAAGAAGGGGTCCAAGAATGCTAAGCCCATAACCAAAACCGAGGAATGTGAAAGCTTTTTCAACTTCTTCAATCCTCCACAAGTTCCTGAGGATGATGAGGAGATCGATGAAGATACTGTATGACTATCTAACCTTAATGTAACCTTTATTCTTCAAGACTTCAATTTTTTAGGTCTATTAACCTTCAATTTTATATCCTTGTCCTTGAAAACAGGCTGAAGAGCTTCAGAATCAAATGGAACAAGACTATGACATTGGGTGAGTAGTGGTTTTTGCCCCATCCTTGATCTGCATCCTTAATGCTGTTTCATGTCCCTGACCCTTGAGTTTATTCAATTATTGTGATGGTGATTCAGTTCTACCATTCGGGACAAGATCATCCCCCATGCTGTGTCATGGTATACCGGGGAGGCTATACCAGCTGATGATGATGGGCTTGATCTGGATGATGATGAGGACGATGATGTCGATGAAGATGACGATGAAGATGAAGAGGATGATGAGGAAGAGGACGATGATGAGGATGACGACGATGAAGAAGAGGTGAAGACTAAGAAGGTGGTTGTATTATAATATCTGCACTCAGCACATACGTGGTTCTTTATTTCCCACTTTTCATGCAAGTTCGGTTTCCTATTTTGTTCTCAAGTGCATTAACTTTGTTTACTTTTGTTGTTAAATCCCTCTGCAGGGTGCCGCTGGGAGCAAGGTATTAACTCTCATCATCTTTCTATATCTGTTGCCAATGCTGTTTTGCAATGTTCGGTAGTATCATATCCCAACAACTGATTGTTATCATCGTTTTGCAGAAGAGTGGTGGCAGCAAGACACAAGCATTGGATGGCCAGCAGCAGGGAGAGCGGCCTCCAGAGTGCAAGCAGCAGTAAAAGATGTCAAAGCCTCTTAGAGTTTTGGATGGTGGAAGGAAGATGATGATGTTTTCGCCTTAGTTTTTATTTGGGCAGTGTGGGAGAGAGGGGAGATAGAACACAGACGGTCGTGGATGTTTTGGAGGGTGGTTCCTTTTTATCCATTTTTGTTTCTCATTATCTCTTGTTTCTTAACTTGCATGCAATTCAAGTCAGTTTGTTTGTTGAGGAAGGGAGAGATTGATTAGGGTTATATTAGTTGTAGTCCAGACTCCAGAGTCGAGACACAGATTGGTTTCTCCTTAATTTTGCCCCTTTGCTCTTTGTTGTTATTTTCGTGTAATCCATGGCCGGCAGGGTTTTATCTTAATGTGAATGTGTTGCGTTGGGTTTCTCTATGCTCTTATTTCCTTTCTTCAACCAATCAATCTTACTGGAATTTTGTCGAGGTTTTGTTGCTTTGCTCTCCTTGTTCAATAACAGCTGAATCTTGTTGATTATACTTCGCCGTAAGCTTGAATACCATGATTTTCATACTGAAAACTCAATGCGACAGGCTTGAATATCATGATTCATACCGAAAACACAATACGATATGAAGCGCACATTCTAAAATCAGTATTCGTGGAGACATCCGATAAAATTGATACCGACACATTCTAAAACCAGTGTAACAATATACATGCTCATCAAATCACCTCCAGCACTCAATTTCAAAGTCATCACTTTTTATTTTTTTTGCCATTCAAAACCCCAGAAGCGGGGAATGAAAAAGATACAGCATCTGAAAAAGATCCAAAAGGATCCTTACATACATCGTAACCAAGAAACGAAGTCGAACCCCTTAAACATACGGGGCGACATGAACAGGGCATGACGAGCCACAGAATGAGCTTCCCTGTTGTTAGAACGACCAATGAACCTAAGCGAGTAATCCGGTAAATCATCCAGCAAGCAACATATTTCCTTCGGAAGAATACCGACTTTGGAATGGTGAAAATCTCTGGCACAACACTTGTCAATTATGATCTTCGCATCCCCAGCCACACTAACTGAATGAAGATTCCTCCTCTGACATTCAAGCAAAATGTCCCGCAACGCAAGCGCCTCCAACACCAACGCATCATTCACACCATCCCATTGCCGAGCTTGCGCTGAGAGTAGACATCCAGAGCTATCTTTGATCACAAAAGCTGATGTTCCCAGCAAACCCAAACGAGTAGCCCCATCGAAGGTAACTACATATTGGAACCCATTTGCCACATGCACAACCCCATTCGGACTAGAACCCAGAGTAGCGCTAGCAGAATGATTCGATTGAAGAATTGCTAAATCAGCTTCAGATACTTGATGTCTCCATTGCGCTGCTAACGTTTCAATTCGTACCTGTTTACGATCAAAGAAAACAGAGCACCGGTTTTTCCACAAACGCCAAAGAAGACACACTACCTGTAAGCAGAAGTAATCGGCATTAGGTTCATTGTAATCAGTGTTCAAGAACACTCGCCTAGGCGCGTTTAGTAGCTAGGCGAGGAGGAAACGTGGAGAGGAAGCCTGGGCGAAGTGGCTGGGCGCAATAAACGCGTAATCGCGTTGAAGAACGCCTAGGCGGCGAATAATAGCTTGGATCGGCGATTCCAAGCTCTAGGCGACGCCCAGAAAAAATAAAAAAAAGAAGAAGACCATGTTGTGCGTTTTGGATGGGCCGAATAGGGGAAAACCCTAATGGGTTCTTCGATCAGCTGAGTAGCACCCACAGTCGACCTCCTCTCTCCTTCGTCACCTCTCTCCCTTCTCTCCAACAGTCGACCGCTCCAGCCGTCTCCAACGGTCGACCGCCTCCAGCAGGGGGCTTCGTCGCCGGCTGCAGCGTCCTCTCCGCCAGTCTCCATAATCGCGCGCCGTCGGTCTCCATCATAGCCAATCGCGCCTCGTCCTCGCCGTCGGTCTCCACCATCGCCAGTGCCCAGTCGTGACTCATCCTCGCCGTCGGTCTCCAGCATCGCCAGTGCCCAGCCATGACTCGTCCTCGCCGTCGGTCTGTAGCATTGGAGGTACTAACTCTTCTTTCTCTTTCGATTGAAGACGAACCCAGAAGAGGAATCGACTCCAACAATAATGGGTTCTCGTCTTCGGATTGTGAAGAGAGCATCGTTTCCTCCCCTGTCCTCGGATTGCGAAGAGAGCATCGCCAGTGATCAGAGAGCTTCTTTTCATCTTTAGGCTTTAGATGATATAGAGAATAAGAATTGGCATTTGACAGGGGCTGCAAATTAGTGAACTTATGTATGTTATGTTTGATCTTGCACTCTAAACTTACATATTTATCATATATTTTTTTCGACGTTTAATCTCGCCTAGGCAACGACTAATCGGCCTGGGCGCTGGGCGGTGCCTCCTCGCCTAGATGGCGCCCAGCGTCTTCTTGAACATTGATTGTAATTGTAGAGGGCGTGGCGGATGAAGCCTGCAAATGATCCTAACTTCCAAGTCTGTAACCGAGAATGGAATCCAGTGATCCTCCACAACCTACGAGCCACAGGACAAGAGAAAAAGAGATGTTCTAAAGTTTCTTCTCGTCGTCCACAAGCTGTACACACGGGGAGAAGATCCATTCCACGCGTCGCCAAAGCTTCTCGAGTAGGAAGAACCCGCTGTAGGCACTGCCAAAGGAAGAATAGAAGTTTTGGAGGAATTTTTCGTGTCCAAACCCATTTCCATAACGCCGAATCAATGACTGATACCCCAGCTTTCCGTGGAACAAGTCGAAGATGAGAGAAAGCTAAATGATAAGCAGATTTCACTGAAAACAGACCATTAGCCTCATAATGCCAAATAATATCATCCATAAGACGTCGTTGAGGAAGAGGTAGCTGACGGATTATAGCCACTGAAGCATTATCAAAGAAACAGTTCAAAGCAGCCAAGTTCAATTGCTTGGATCCTGGATCAATAAAAGCTGAAACAAAAGGATGACTTGACAGCGCACCTGGCTTTGGAGATGGTCGTGAAGCGGGATTAGTAGGAAGCCAAGTATCCTCGAAGGCTCTAATTGACTCACCATTCCCTACCTGCCACCGGATGCCTTGTTGAAGCAGATCTCTTCCAAATAAAATACTCCTCCACCCATAAGAAGGATTACTCCCAGGAGCAACAGAAATGAACCTGTTAGAATCAAAGTTGTAACGCCCCTGGTAAATTCGAGCAAGAAGAGTAGTTGGCTCCTTAAGAATCCGCCATGCTACTTTAGCTAACAAAGCTTGATTGAAACAGCCAAATTCCTGGAAGCCCAAACCACCATCAAATTTACTCATACACAGATATTTCCAAGAACGCCAATGAATGCGACGATGTCCCTCTGTCGCCCCCACCAAAATCTAGCCAAATGAGCATTCAACCGTCGAATCAACTCAAGAGGAAGGCGAAAACAGGACATAACGTAAACAGGCAAGGCCATAGCAACCGATTTCAATAAAACCTCCTTTCCAGCTGAAGATAGACACCTGTACTTCCAACCCGCTAAAACAGATAATAACTTTTCCTCCACATACCTGAAGGTGTCTATCTTTGAACACCCCATTAAAGAAGGCAGTCCCAAATAATGATCCTGTAAACCTATCGAACCGATGCCCAAGAACTCCCCCAAATCTTCTTGGTCAGATTGAACCATATTAGGACTGAAAAAGGCTGCAGACTTCATCAAGTTAACACGCTGCCCACTAATGCTTTCATACTCACGAAGTAAAGAGAGAAGGTTGACGCCATCCCTTTGGGAAGCCCTTAGGAAAAGAAAAGAATCATCACTTTTTTTCACCAAATGATCCACAATTATGGATTTGAAGCCCTCTCTGAGTCCGGCCCGGCTCGGCCCGACCCGTTAAGTACTACGCGGCAAGCGCCCTGTCTCAAGTCTCCCTCGTAAACTCAACTCGTGGAAAATGGAGAGCACATGAAAACGGGAAGGAGGGAAATCAAAAACCTAAAACCCTAGCAAAAATATTTGCCACACAGAAGAGTTCCTAAACCCTCTTCTCAGTTTTGCCAGCATGGAGCATTAGACTACTCCGACATCCCCTTTTCCTCCTGCCCACTAAGCTGCACTGTGAGCCGTTTCCATGGCGAGGCTTCTTCTCCGGAACACTTTGTCCCTCAAGACGTTTCTCGTACCAGAGGTAAGTTTCTTCAGCAACCTCTCCCCCACGCTTCAGCTGTGCTTCTGCTTTCGGTAGCCTGACTGGTTACACTCTGTAGTCGATTTCGAAGTTCTTTTCGCTGCTGTTGCTCCGATCAGTTTCTGTGTTTGTATCCATCCTTGGGTGAACGGTTTGGGCGGGGTATTTTGGTTCCACTTGCGTCGTTTCAGCTTCACCATTCATATATTTCGTTTTGTCTTTGCAGGGGTTGAGGAGAGGGATATTGGGAACTTCGTCTCAAGTTTGCAACTTTGCAACCAAAGGTGCTCCAAAATTTCATTTTTCGTTTGGTCTGGCTGATTTGATAGGAAGATTTTCATGTTCCACTAACTGGACTATGAGAACCGTTGGGGGGTTTGAGCATTTGAAAGGCTTACGACTTTCTGCCCTAAAGCGTCAGTTGGTAAAGTAAAAGTTTGTGAAATGGAGAATCATCTTCTTGTGTCGCATCGTTTTGTTCTGGCTAGCTCCAGCGGGAATTAAGCTGAGTTGTAGCGTGTATCGTTTTGGGTTCTGTTTTAGCTCTCTATAACTTGAATTAGGCTAGCCATGCTTTATGTTTAGGTATATGTGTTATTCATTCTCGTTGTGATAGAGTGAGACTTACTCTACTTTTGAAGGTAGAAGAAAATCAAAGTCTGATGGAAGTGAGTCCGGCGAGGATGACATGTCAAAGAGAGAGGTAGCACTACAGCAAGCTCTTGATCAGATAACCAGCACATTTGGGAAAGGATCTATTATGTGGTTTGGACGGGCGGTTGCTCCAAGAGATGTGCCTGTTGTTTCCACAGGTTCCCTTCTTCTTGATGCAGCTCTCGGCACTGGGGGATTCCCAAAGGTACGCTAATATTTTCAGCGAAGACATTCGCAACTTAGTGCATTCAAATGCTTTGCACAATTCTCAATGGTTTTCAATTGGGTGTTTTTGTATTTGGACATATGTGAGTACGTCTGGCAAGGTGAGCATATATAGGGGTAGTGTGGACTGGTGATGTGCTTATTTTGCACAGTGGGAGCTCTGCATATTGTCAATATTTATGTTTGTTTCTGCAGTCCATTTCGCTTCTTGCCAATCACCAATTCTGGTGAAGTTGGGATTGGTGTTTATCTCCAATTTCAAAGTGACTATTGAGTCTTAACAATTGCATCATAACTTGTGGTTTCGTATCTAATAGCTTAACTTGGTTTCCTTTTTAGCTAAATTGAACCATCAATGGTTCTGTATGTGACTTCTTTGATTGAATTTTCACAGGGACGTGTGGTGGAGATTTATGGCCCTGAGGCATCTGGGAAAACCACACTTGCTCTGCATGTAATCGCTGAAGCACAGAAGCTAGGAGGTTGACCTATATGACACACTTTATTTTTTGGTTCTGCAAATAGGAATTTAGCAGATGTTTTCAGTGCTAGGATGGTGTGATACTTGCTAGCAGAAATCATTACCCACCTTGTCTCCCCATAACAATTACTAAATATAGACACGGAAAAGAGTTTGGACGTGTCTCTCTGCTCAACCTTATGCTCTTGCAACCTTAGGAGTACACATGTTTTTTTTTTTTACAGATAGTATGCAAGACTTGATGGCTATTGGCTAGTAACTATTTTCGGCGATTTAACATGTGCTTTCATTTGCAGAATACTGTGTTTTCGTTGATGCGGAGCATGCTCTTGATTCATCATTGGCCGAGGCTATTGGTGTGAATACGGAGACCTTGTTACTTTCCCAACCTGATTGTGGTGAACAAGCTCTCAGCCTTGTGGATACCATAATTCGGAGTGGTTCCGTTGGGGTGGTCGTTGTTGACAGTGTAAGTAAGGTGCCATGCATTCTCATACTTTTGTGGATATTCAGCGTCATAGTTCTTCTATGCTTGTTAATGGTGATTGGATTGGTGTGATTTTGAGAATGAGAACTATTGTTTTTCTGCCTAAGCCTATCTCATCTTGCATGCCTTGAGATATTTTCTAGTTAATGATTAGTTCTTTTGCTGGATCTATTTTTGCCCTTCTTCAGTAGTTCCTTTGTATGTTTTGATAAATTCCACTGCACTTTGCACTGAAGAATGCAACGTGGAATCTTCACTTGCAAAGTCTGATAGCAATAGATATGAATTTTTATTTAGGACTAACCCCTCTTCTCTGTATTGGATTGTTGGCAGGTGGCAGCTCTTGTCCCTAAAAGTGAACTTGATGGCGAGATGGGTGATGCTCATATGGCAGTGCAGGCTAGGTTGATGAGCCAGGCACTTCGGAAACTAAGCCATTCATTATCTCAGTCGCAAACAGTTCTGATATTTATAAACCAAGTAAAGATGTTTGATTTTTATAATCTTGATTGTTTGATCTTACTCGGGATTGTTTAAGTATGGACCATTTCCATCTCTGCAATGAACCAGTGTCTGTTCTCTGATTGTTTGGTTTGGGCACTTGATGTTATTTCTCTGAGGACTCTTTTCACAGTAATCATACTTTGATTGCTCCCATGTGTATGCAGGTGAGGTCAAAGATTTCTACCTTTGGAGGGTTTGGTGGGCCTCAAGAAGTTACTTGTGGAGGCAATGCCCTTAAGTTCTATGCTTCAGTGCGACTGAACATAAAAAGGATAGGGCTTGTGAAGAAGGCAGAGGAGGTAGGAATTTTATTTTTACTAAATGCATCATATTAAACTGTTATTTGATTGTGATGGTAGTATGCTCTAAGGTTTCCACATTTCATTTCTACTGCTCTGGATGCTGAAGCTTTTGTCACTATGAGCTTTATTCTTCTTCCTGATTCTGAAATATCAATCCTGTGAATGCTTGAGCAACAGCAAGCTTCTGCGAGTGGTGGCTGGGAAAAAACTTGAGTTGTGGGTTCCGGTTTCAGCTCAAAGTTTTAGAAGGGTGTTGGGCAGTTGTGGCTCCTAGACCTTTGAAAAACAACCATATCCTCATCAGATTCTCATTTCTTTTGCAGACTATCGGGAGTAGGGTTCAGATAAAGGTGGTGAAGAATAAGCTTTCTCCTCCATTTAAAACCATAGAATTTGATCTCGAGTTCGGCAAGGGAATATGCCAAGCATCAGAGATAATTGAGTTAGGGTTGAAATACAAGATATTGACGAAGGCGGCCGCTTTTTATACGTACGAGGATCAGCGTTTCCATGGTAAGGATGCTGTGAAGGCATTTATAAACAACAACAAAGATGCACGAGAGGAAATGAAAATGAAGATCAAAGAGAAGTTAACAGCAGGCTATACAGAGAAGGAAAAGGTAGCTGGTGCCACCTCTACGGATAGTGAACCGACTGAATTCATTGCATCAGATTCTACCGATGAAGAGGTTGCCGCCGTTGAAGCTTAAGTGGATGCCTCAAAATTTCCATCTCTGGCAGTCCCCTGATCTGGTGATTCGATCCACATTATTGATTTTGGAAGAGCTGCAGACTCGGAATGGAAAGTTCATTGCTTTGACGGATGGAACATGACCGCTTGCCCTGGAATCAGAGATATGGTTTCTGAGTATGTTAACCGTTACTGTAAAGCGTATGGTTTCTCATCACTTGACTAATGTTCGGTGGAACTTGGCAAACTATTACAGCGTAGAGGACTCAAGGAAAAGGTGTCATGGGGTCCTTGCCCTAGTTTTCCTTGGTTTTTGCATATCATGTCCATATGTGAATGTGATTGTCGAACCAACTGATTTTGTAAATGTGAGTTTAGTCATCTCTTAACATTCTGCAGTCCGGCAGCATGCAATATAAATGATGGAATGCTTCCATGTAAAACTTCTATTACCTGAAAAACATGAAGAAGACTGGCGATGTTGATAGTAATTGAGCAGAAATGTGGGTAAACTGAGCGCTAAGAAATACCGGGGGCTTGTTTCTTTGTTTATCGTTCAACCGAGAGCGGACTACTTCCAGCAGAATGGCCCTTACACATCATGAACAATGTTTGTAGAAGATCCTTCGGACCCCATACATTTTTGGCTTGGATGCTAGCCATACATTTTTGGCTTGGATGCTAGCCATACATTTTTGGCTCGAACGCTTGCCATACACTTTCGTACAACGCGCAAGTGATTCAACAGGTCGGGTTGTATCAAATCATGCCGATTGAATTAACCGAAAGATGTTTAAAATGACACAGAAACCTTGAAAACAATTTATCAGCCAAAAGATAGCCGCCATATCTAATTATACTCCGCGAGGTAGGCTAAACTTCACAAGTACAGCAAAAATGGACGTCTAAAGCTTTTGGCACGGGTTGATAAATCAAAAAGATCAACCACTTCTAGCTTACCTCACAACGAGTTTCACTTGTAGAAAATCATACGACATTTCCTGAACCATATCGAAACACACAACGGTCACACAATCGTAACTCCCTAACTTCTTCTACTAATCTCCCTTCCAACACCAAACTAAAGAGAACCCTTGCATAATAAAAAAAACCTTCGCCATTCCTAGGGCCAAAACAGTGCAACAATAAACATATAAGAATACTATTCTTCGTCGTTCTGGCCGTCATCCTTGACAAGTTTGATCATATCATCTATCCGAAGGATTGTTATGGCTGCTTCTGTAGCAAACTGGCAAAACAAAAGACGACAAATCACAAAGGCTAAGTGTCCTTTAACATTGATGAACAAGAACCTCTGGAGTCCAGAGGAAGATATTCTCATGTGCAGGAAAACAGTTTTACCTGAATAATCTTCACTTTGCTCATTGCAGGTTCAATTACTCCAGCTTCTAAGTTGTTACGGACAATACCTTTCGAAAGATCTAGTCCCATGCTGCAATAGTGTGAAGGTAAATGTTTAGGGAGAAATGACTTGTGAGTTTAATCGGAACTACAGCAAACCATATTCCACAGTCTATGTCCCAGGCATAACAAGACAGGTATTCAGTAAGACGTGGACAATAGAAAAGTAACGTTAGTCAAGAATGCAACTTACACATATTCCAAATAAGAGGGTAGTAAAAGTAAAATGTTAATCAGAACCAGCAAGGATACCTGGAGAGATGCTTCTGGTCAGCTTTTGTTTGTGCATTGTGGTGGCAGGCTCGTAGCTTTGCAACTAGCTCAGTTGCATCCTTGGCAGCATTGACAGCAAGCACCTGCACCACATATTCAACTCATTTACTTGCAAGTAGATGTAAGGCGGCAGTAAACCTGGGCCATAATTAATGAAGAGGGAAACCCCATTTTCTACTGAACCTTTGGTATGATTAGCAACGATTCAGCAAATTCAGCAATTGCCAATTGCTCTCGTGATCCTAGAGTAGTGGCCAGGTACTCCAGGTACACAGATAAGGCAGACTCAACAGCACCTCCACCAGCTACCACCTGTAAGCATAAATCATGAACAAGAAAATAACACACCAGTCATTATACTATTATGGCATCTTTCCTATTTCAAGTGCTCTTAAGTTTACCGTGTTGGACTCCAAGGTCCTCTTCACAATGGATAAAGAATCATGCAGAGCTCTCTCCATCTCATCGAGCATATAGTCATTTGCTCCTCTAAGAATCAAGGAAACCTGGCACAACAGGTAGTATTCGATCAGAAACACTTTCTAAAAAATGGCAGTGCAGCATTCCAAGTAACAACAGCCAACACTTCTTCTAACTTCCAGAAAACATAGTAAGGTCTATCAGCAACTGAGAAAAGAATATCAAAGCTTATCATTATTCAGATATGCATGATTCAGAATTCAAAATCTGATTTTCCTCACCGCACCAGTGGTCTTTGTCCCTTTTATCATAACAACATCATCATCTGCAATACGCTCTTCAACAACTTCAGCAGCATACCCAATATGTGAAGAATCAAAGGTCTCATCCCCTTCCATATCAGCAAAGGTTCCCACCTGCAGGTAAATCAATCAGAAAGGGAGCATAAATGAACTCTAGACAAAATTCGGACAAGAGAACACAAGACTACATAGATTATCAGAAACTCTACTTCAATAATCAATTACAAGCTATGTGTGCCCATCCAGAATATAAATATACAGTAACCTGATGTATGGTATTACAAAGTCAATCCATCAAGGACATAAAATTGTACCATGGTTGCACCAGTGGCCTTGGCAACATGGCGCATATCTTCTTTGCGGACACGCCTCACAGCAATAGCTCCAGCCTCGACAAAGTACTGGGCAGAAGTATAACGAATAAGATATTCAGATTCACTGAAACTATTATATCAATCAAATAAGAATGGACTATGGATATCTTGTTTTTTCTGAAATTTGAGGAAATTCCTTAAGTTAAAGTTCTAGGAGCAGAGAAGGAATTTTGTTTGATAAAGTTTACAAAAAGGGAAAATTGATTGGATATATATTTGCAATTTGCTCAATAACAAAGATATATATTGGTCAATTCTGCAAATGACTATTAATTCTAAACATATATTTAAATACATTACAGAGGGTCAAAGTTTGAAATGAAATTATCCAATAATTCAAAGACATAAAGCTAAAAGATCACGTGGAATCTCAACAAACACATTGTAAAACATATAACTACCTTTAGAGCCATGTCATCAATTCCTTTGGTAGTTAAAATCACGTTGGCTCCAGCTTTCAAGAGCTTCTCAATCCGCTCCTTCGTCGTATCAGCTTCCCTGCAGATAGTAGCACACATATTCTGCTTCAGTGACAAACGATGACGGAATCAGACAGCAATCATCTAGTCATGATACATGGTAACATAGCCAATTGCATGACAAAGGATTATTATAATATATCATTCACGATTTTGACTAGCAACTCACTGAAATAGCCGTTTAACTTTGAAATGAAAAGGAGACTAGAATGTGTATATGGTACCTTTGACGAATTTTCTCAAGCTCCCTGGGATCAGTCACAACCACTTGTACACCCAATTGCATCTTTGTCTTCTGAAGATTGAAATCAAGGCATGCAATTCTAGCAGGTGCAACTCTTGTAGGCATTCCTTGAGCGGCACGACCAGTATTTAGAGCGTACCCCTTCAGCAAGTAACTATCTCTTGCACTTTTACCATGAGCTTTTAAAATATTAATACCCTGGAAGATTTGACCATGCATGTCAGCACTAGAACCTCACTGGTGCAGCTACTTACATATATAAACCATAAGCCACACAAGAGGAACATGAACCTGACTATAAAAATTACAAACCATTGAAAACTAAGAAGTGCAGACCTTGATTGGATATCTGATTTCACCTCGTACATTTGTCATCTTTACTGATTGTACAGCATCAACAACCTATATAGGCATCAGTGTGTAAGTACTAGTCATTGCGTTTCGGGTTCATTGTTAACAGACACAGTAATAACTAACTCAAAAGGAAGGAAAGATACTCAAACTTCAAAGAGAAACACATACCAAATTAGCGAAGAAGTCACTGTCATCAGCAACCAATTTTGAGGACAAGCTCGTTTTTGCACAATTCACTAAAGAATCCTTTCCAAGCTTTTCAACCTAGTCAAATAAGGAAAGGGTACAAACCAATCAATTCAAACAGCTCTTCGTTGAAGACAGATAACACAAACAATTGGAAGTAGCATCTAAATAAGTTCTAAAATGATCACAACACAGTAAACATGTCCCTAAGCAGACACCGTTTTTTACTCTATTGCAGGAACCAGATTGCAGCTCAACTTAGCAGACCTTGATCAGTTCAACAACCATGGGTCAAGCACACTATATACCAACAACAGCCTAGTTACAGTATTATCTCACCTTCACAGCCAATTTTTCATCAACATATTTGCATGCCTCCCTCATTGCAAGCTGTCCACAATTAGCAAACCGTTAAACAGGAGTGTCAAGACATATGAAAGATTTGGTAAAAGGAAAAAAGGAAGCAAATAAAAGATGGTGGAACAACTCACTCGGAATCCACTAATAATAGATGTTGGATGGATCTTATTCCTCACTAAATCATTAGCTCTCTGGAAATAAAAAACAATTGTCAAAATTCATCCGTACCAACCCGTTGCTGGTGTTCCAATGCAAAATAATAATCAAAGTGATGCAAGTTTACAGGGGAAAAAACAACACATTTCTAGAAAGACAGTAGATGCAATCAATCACCTTTAGCAACTCTGCAGCGACTATTACCACTGACGTTGTTCCATCTCCTACTTCTTTGTCTTGGAGTTCAGCCAATTCCACTAGCACCTGCAGACGGAGAGGGATACACATTATTCTTCGAAGAAATTAACTTTACCTAGCTCGTTCGAACTAGTAAATACTAGATGAAAGCAAATAATAGAAGAGCCAAAAACTCCCAAGATATATCTATCTACCTTAGCAGCCGGGTGGTCCACCTCTAACATCTTAAGAATGGTTGCCCCATCATTAGTAATCGTCACGTCACCAATATCATCCACCAACATCTGCAATGAGCAGCGAAAAAAACAAAGCATTTTGCCCTAAGAATTCACACATGAAAATTAACATGACATGCAACAATGAAGAAGTTAACAGGAAACTAGCATCAAATCTCGTTTCTGGTAATGATCCCGGAAACACAATGCTTTGTTACGTCCGGTAAGTAGTAATCGAGTTGCTAACTGCGGATTGAAAGCATTTTGAGAGGCAGAATACAGGAGTAAGAAAATATGCATTTGCATTCATGATATGTAAACTCGTTCAAAAATGGGAGAGGCAGAAAAAAGAGGTACCTTGTCAAGCCCGACGGGACCAAGGGACGATTTAACAATGTTGGCAACTGCCTGGCATGCGACGACTGCCACCATTCAACACGATCCACAAAGAACACAAATCAACTGAGTATCAGTGAAACGAAGCTGAAGGAAATTTTCCCAAATCCAGCTATCGACGAAATGCAGAAAGCGAGGCAGCGAGATTTACCGTTCTGAGTGCGAACATCCTGGCCGGATTGCCGTTCGCCATGAATATCGAGAGTTTGGGATGCGAGCGCCATATTACTGAAAGACGGCGAGGTGACTGTAATGGAAGGAGAGAAACCCTAGGAGAAGTTGGGGTTTAACGTAGAGGAGCTTCAGGACCTCTTTCCTTTTGGTGTTAGAACAAGACTAGTGAGAGAGAGAGAGGCCGTGTGGACTGAGGTTCACAGAGTGAGGAGAGCAGATCCGCCGCCGCGAGGGAGGGAGAGAAAGGGAGTCGCCGGCAACCTGAACGATAAAACGAGAAAGAGTGAAGGGGTGCCGCCGGAGAATCTGTTTAGAGAAAAGGAGGGAACTTTTTTCTCTTAAGAACTGGAAGGCTTAAGGCCCAATAGGCCAATCAGCCTCAAGTAAAGGGAATAGTGAGCCCAGACAGGAAACACCATTAAAATTCAAGGCCCAATGCATAAGGAAATGGGCTACAACGATGAGGATCAACCAGCGAGCAGCAGCCTCCGATACAAAATCCAAAAGTGGCCAAAATTTGAGACAAGATTTTGGGTTAATTGCATGGTTGGTCACTGAAATTACAAAAAACGTTCAAATTTGGTCACTCGAAATATTTAAAACTAATAGTGGTACTTTAGTTTACTGAAACCGTTCACGTTTGATCATTCCTCGTCCAACTCTGTTAACTTTAGCTGATGTGGCAGTCAAATCTCAAAGTTGATCATTAATTTAGTGACGTGACAACTAAAAAATTATTAAAAATACTTACACCACATGCATCCCATGAAACATAGCAACTGAATATTAAGAAGTTATTGACAATGATGGCAACATCTCAACAATATCAAAATCTGCAATTTGTTCCAAGCCCAATCGTCAAACAACGTAAACATGTTCTAATAAAATCATTATGTTCTACATTAAGCCACGGATCACATTCGATATGGATGAAGCATTTAAACATTTAGGCTCTGACTCTTTCCGCTCCAAGTAGCCGTGCTTAACGTTGTTTTCTTTGGCTGCCGTACTTGGAGCACAGATGGAATGAGGAAACTCCGGCATCTAGCTGCTGATCGTATCGATGTTAATCCGGTTCTTGTACCACGCAGATACGCTATCTGCTGCTTCTTTCAAAACACTTGGCCACTGTCCACACATAATAAGGATAGTCCTCTCCTCCATCTTCCTGGAAGGCAAGACAGCAGTAAACATGTCATTTGGAAATATAGATGAATTACCTAAACATGAGTGAGATAACCATGTCTGCCATTAGAGAAGTCCATACTAAGATATACAAGAACTTCACAAAACAAGCTGGAGTTTGCATGACAGTTCAAACAACAAGCATCGGTCAGGTGATACATGAAAATATTATAATCAGCCAAGGTCAGCTCCACTCCGCACTTGTCCACACAGCCTAACAAATATGTATGACAGAGTGGCTTAAGTGGCTGACATTGGTAAAACATCACATAACATATTAGTCAACAACACAATAGTTCCTTCGAAATTGTATCCTACATTTCACCATCCTGTCTGCTGTGCACCCGACCTACTCATGCTCAATGGATTTCCTACTAATTACTAAAGAGAGTTAAATTATCTATAATGAAAATCTCGCATGAAAAAATATATAAGAAACATTCTCATAATCATACCATTTAAATAGCTTCATGCAACAGGAGACGGTCAGTCCCGGTAGCGGCGTCGACTGTCACTGCGTCTGTCATTTTCATAACGTGACTCATCATCATGTCGGGCTCTCTTGGAGGAAACCAACCCATCATCTCTACTTTGTTGCTGCCCTTCTTCCTCCCTTTCATGCCTCAGAATTCCACGCTTTTGAACATCATCATTGTCGGTAAAGCCTTTCCGTTGCTCACCCTCTTGTTCAACTTTATCATACCTTCTAATTCTATGACCATCTTCTTCCTCCCTAGCATGGCTCCTGTTCCTTCCACTTTCTTCCCTAATGTCTCTGCTGTCACGATCTTCCCTAGTGTCTCTTCCACGTTCTTCCCTAACGTCCCTTTTATCACTTCGACGATCTTCTCTCACATCTCTTTTGTCACCTGCGTGCTCTTTCCTGGTGTCCCTTTTTTCTCTTCCATGTTCCTCTCGGATGTCCCTTCTATCATCTCGTTTCTCTCTTCCATGTTCTTCCCTAGCATCCAAACTGTCCCTTCCACGCTCTTCTCTAACATCTTTGTCTCTTCCCTGCTCTTCTCTGGTGTAGCTTTTGTCCCTCCCCCTTTCTTCCTTGGAGTTTTTGTTATACTTTTGCCGCTCTTCCCTACGGTCCTTATTCTCCCTGTCATTTCCTTCATGATATCGTTGGCGGATTTGACTTCCATATGGAGATTCATCAGCCTTATACTCCGTTCTCTCTGCATCCCCAACCTTCTCAGAGACACCATCCCTGGAATTCAGCGACCTAGAGTAACGACCATGACCATCATCCCGATACAATTTACTCTCCAATTCTTCTCCAACAGTTTGATCTTTCTTAGGACGACCAGCTTCTCTCTGAAAAATCTGCTTCCCAACATCCAGATCTTGCTTCTCTTCTCCCACTCCATAATTATGTTTCTCCTTATTCCTCATCCTCTCTTTTGTTTCATAAGACCCATCACTGCCAGAGTCATAATCAACATTAGCAACATTCTTAGTTGATTCCCATCTGCGTTCTCTATTTTTCTTTGGACTTGATTCGTTGTCCATGTCAGAGTCTCGGTTCTTCGAATGGGCTCCTGCACCAGAATTTCTCTTTTCTCTTCTTTGGTTCACATCACTATGACCTTTGAGCATTTTAAGGGTGTCTTTCCTCTTAGCCGAAACATCAACATCAGAGTCATCATCAGAGTCATGTCGCCTTCTTGTTTTGGCATGCTGTCTTGCCTCCTCAAGTCTATGCCTGGATGACTCAGACTCCGATCCAGAATCATCATCAGGGTCAAAGTCACGCCTCCTCTGAGATTTGATCCTTTTCTCTGATTGGACTTTTGGATTATTCTTGGCAGCACCACCCTCACTGTCATCGGCAGAAGAATCATCAGTTTCACTACCACTTCTAATTTTCTTAGGCTTCCTTGAAGTATCCTTCTTCTTCGGCTTCTTCTTCTTGCCACTGTCTGAATCAGTATCATCATCATAAGATGAGTCATCCTTCTTGCGCCCATGCTTGCTGTTTTTGTGCTTGTCTGAAATTTTATTCTTCCCATCATCAGAGTGCCTTTTCTCTGATTGAACTTTTGGATTATTCTTGACAGCATCACCCTCACTGTCATCGGCAGAAGAATCATCAGTTTCACTACCACTTCTAATTTTCTTAGGCTTCCTTGAGATATCCTTCTTCTTCTGCTTCTTCTTCTTGCCACTGTCTGAATCAGTATCATCATCATAAGATGAGTCATCTCTCTTGCGGCCATGCTTGCTGTTATTGTGCTTGCCTGAAATTTTATTCTTCCCATCATCAGAGTCGGTATCATGGCCAGAATCAGAATCATTGCTATATTTTTTATGTTTTCTGCTCTTGTTATGCTTCTTTGAAGCTCTGTTCTTCTTGCCATAATCTGAATCACTGTCGGCCTCATCACTACGACTAACATGTATGGCTTTGCCATGCTTCCCTCGAACCACTTCACCCTCCTCTGCACTGCTACTAGTGTCAGATTCTGAACTGTGATGATGCTTCTTTCTCTTGGATTTCGCCCTTCTATCTTGTCCTGCCTCATCAGCTTCCTCTCCTTTCTTCCTACTTTTCACAGCACCAGCTGCCCTGTTCTTATCATCCCTTTCAATGTCCAGATCTTCTGCAGCATCTTTCTTCCATTTGAAATCCCTATCCAGGAAAGAATGCTCTGGTTTCTTAAGACCACTCTTTCCACCAGTAAATGGTCCATCATCGCTCAACTCAGCAATATCTTTGTTTGGATCAGTTGACTGAATTCCCAGAGCAGCCCTCAATGTCTCCATCTGCCTCTCCTTTCTCGCAGCAACTTGGTGAGACTGTGTGTTGGAAATCCTAACCAAACAAATAAATAATTTCAAATATCAATTACATGTAGGATGAGGCCAATTTTACAATATCCACAAGCAGCACGACCCCTATAGAAAAAGGACTCCCAATCAAATTGTCATAAAGAGGACTTCTGAGGAATGGACAAACGGGAAGTAACAGACGACAGCTTTGAAACACTACCTCGGATGGGCCTAATCCACAGAGCACTCAAAAGGGGAAGCAAAACAAGGATACATGATAACACCGGTTATGGATAATTGAGTAAATAAGAAAACCAAGCACTGTAAATCATATGAATCCCACGTAAGAAGCATAATCACCATTCTAAATAACACTTCCATATCCAGCCAAAACACAAAAACCAAGGCCCAACAAAAATATGAGCATACAGCAAAAAGATGAAGAAAAATTAGAGTACATACAGGTAAATGCAAGGTACAGCGGGCCTATGAACTCCATGAAGACAGACAGACGTTTCAAAGTCAGCACATTACCAAGAGAGTCCCCTATTACGGCCACTTCTACCCAATCAGAACGCAGATAAATCCTGCTGCTTAGCAAACCTATAACAGAACCTCAATGAACACAAAATGGAGATTGGTAGCTTACTTAGCATCCCCTGAGATCAAAGAAGTAGGTCCACCACTTTCCTCGGAGGCCGATGCTGCTTCCAAAGTCTTCCTTGCTTCCTCCATCTTCTCAGCAATCTCCGCATCAGTATAACCTTGCTCAATCAACTTGTCTTCAAGCACCACGAGCTTGAGATGGATCTGCCGCTTGCGGTCGTGCTCAAGGATGTCCTTGTTGGGCTTTTTGGATATCCCCGCAGTGCCTTGGTCTTCATCGAATCCCCTGGAAGCATGAGCAACCTTGTCGGTCCTTGGCCTCACGAAGAACTTATTGGTCTGGATGTGACCATTAGTTCCCGACCCCCTTGGCGTCTGCAATCCTATCCCGTTGTACATCCTGAAGGTTCAAAGCTGCTTATACTAGCTGTTCAATAACGAAACAAAAAACAAAATCAATCAAAGCTGTAGCGCTGGAAGCGAGAAGAGATCAGAATCCTAGAATATCAGTGAAGCCTAACCAAAAAAAGAGCGGAGCTTGGGAGGTTGGAGGGAAGCCGAAGACTGCAGTCTACGCCGCGGGCAAGAATCAGAGAACGGATGACGAAGGCGAGGCGGCGGGCGGCGGATTACGACTCGAATCTGCAAATTTTAGGGTTTAGTCTTTGTTTCAACAGAGCAGACAGAAGACTAAGGAGGCTGAGATTGATGACTGAACGAGCACCACGATAGGCGGCGAAGCGAGGGAGGTGAGGAGGCGGCCGGCGAGGAAGAGGGAATTGGGGTTTCGTCAGGTGTTGACTGATGAAATAGAGATCGAGATTGCAGAATGCAGAGCAGACAGCAGAGGAAGGAGGAAGGACGACCCTTTTGGGATTTGGGAAGGAGAGGGGCACAAGGCGACGCCGTTTTGCTGCTGCTCGTTGCTGACCGGTTAGTAACCGGTTTTCTCAGTCTCTAATCGGTTTAAACAAGTAATGAAATTAGCTCCTATTTTAGAGTTTTTTTTGTCACTCCCGTTACTTCCTTCCTACTGTACACATCGCCGGCGCCGGAAATCCGCTTCCCGTTTCAAGTATGCCTCGGTCAACTCACAGCCCAGGTAAAAATCAGCCAACCCACCACCCACGACCAGAAAGATGCGATCTTTAGACGGATTAGAGAAATGGTGGTGTGCCGCTCTGTGTTCTTTTGCTTGTTTGTTATGCACTGATTAAAGTCTTAGTGCTCAGCGTTGCACGACAAAAGGGTTCCATCCTATCGACCTGAAAACTCTGCGTGAATGCACGCCGGAAGAAGTGTCGACTGCCTGAGTTACGATCATGTCCCTAGTTGTTGAGGAGAAGAGGGTCACGATTCCAAACAAGCAATACGAGAAGCTGGTTAGGAGTGCTGCATGATTCTGGGTCCAAGGAAATCGTTGTCTTGTGCCATGGTCTTCTATCTACAAAGGTTTTTGACTTGTAATCGATATCACAGTCATTCTTAATGAATTTGTTTTGTTTGCTTTCTATGTATTTTAATGATCTACAGAACAACCCAAACGTGAAAAAATCTTGCTAAAGCATTGGTAAACGAAGGAATCTCAGCCTTTCGATTCGACTTTGCTGGTAATGGGTAAGCCACAGAAGTCTGTCTCTTCTTCCACTCAAAGCTCTCTTTTCGGGATTTCTTTCTCATGTATCATCAATTGTGCATTGATGATCAAAGGTCATTTGATACAGCTTCAGACAACGTTGTTGAGAAAGGGGCTCTTTGTCTTACCATTACTTGCAGATAGGGTTGCTGCTTGATCATTGGCTTATCTCAACGTTTGATTTGCAGGCCAGGCAAAGTGCAGGCACATTTGGAGGGAAGCTGATGACTTGCGCTCTGTGATTGAACACTTTGCTGGAGAAAATCGAGTTGTTAGTGTGATTCTTGGCCATAGTAAAGGTAATTGGGGCTAGTTTTCCCAGTACACTATCCAGAGAAATTTAGTAGAGAGCTTGCTGTTTGATTCAACTACTGTTCTGCAATCTTTGTGGGGCTGAAGGGAACGTGGTGCTCCTATATGCTTCAAAATTTCATGATATAAAGACCGTTGTCAATATTTCTGGCCGCTATACCCCGAAAAATGGCATTAAGGAGCGCCTTGGAGAAGACTTTCTGGAAAGAATCAAGGAAGAAGGTTTCATTGATGTGAAGAATCAAGCGGGTAACTGTTTTAACTCTTTCACGTTGAATTCCCATTTTAGGGAACCGAGTTAGCAAATGGCATCAGCTACACGCCAAGTTACCTGAATCTCTCTCTGTCTCCCTTGTCTACCTTTTGAGTTCTGTAGGGAAAGTGTTACTGAATAGGCTTTGATGGATAGAATCAACACAGATATGCAAAAAGCATGCTAGCAAATTGATCAAGATTGCAGGTGGGTGCAAACTGAAACTAAATGTTCTTAAAATGTAAACGCAGTGTCAAAGTTCGTTTCATCTGTAGTTGATGATTTTTTTTAGTGCATCCATGACTAGGTGTTGTCTACTTCTTCGCTGCCGTGCTAGTTCTATGTTTTGTATTGACAGTGTGTTGACGATCCATGGATCTGCTGACGCAATTGTCCCTGCTGGAGATGCATCAGAATTCGCAAAGGTCATACCGAACCACAAGCTACACATCATCCAAGGTGCCGATCATGGATGGATACCGTTCTCATCAAACTGAGCTCGCATCTGTGGTTTTGGAGTTCGTGAAATCGAGACTACAGCAGCAGGACAGGAGCTCTACTACTGCCTAGACACCATTCTGGATTTGCAGGCAGCAGTTGTAGTTTGCTGTTGTTCTTATTAACAGCGTAACAGTAGTCAGTAGCTATACCTGATATCAGATTGATCTCTTTTGGAGGAATGCTTGCAGTTCCGTTGATGTATTAGTCACTGCCGAGACTTTCCAGTGTATAGCGATTAACAATAGAGCTTGCTTGGCCTACATCTGTAAGGGAAAATAAGTTTTTATTTATGTACCCGAATGACCAAACTACAAAAATTTAAGATTGAAATTGAACTATGTACCACGTAATTGAAGCAAATAGCATCGCCCAACTAACAGTTTCTCCTTGTTCTAAATTCTAATAGCAGTGGAGGAAAGTAAAAAACCCAATTCTCAATGGCCACTAACGTGTTTGTTTGTAATTCGTTCGAGTCACTCATTCCCAAAAGCTTTACTTTCTCACTCCCTTTACTCCCTATTGCACAGAAGGTACCCGTCTCCACCTCACCACCCCGCCGCCGGCGCCGGAAATCCGCCATTGTTTCTAGTATGGCTCAGTCCACTCAGAACCCAGGTAAAATCAGTCAACTTTAGACGAGAAAGAGACGATCTTTAAACGGTTTAGGATAAGGGCCGCGCTAATTCAGCCTATTGCTTAGCGTTAGCGACAACTGTTTTGATTAGGAGAACTTCATACTTCTGTTGGTTTAGTGGAAGATTGCTGAAAAACTGGTGTGGGGTTTGAGTTATAGGATTGATTCTGTAGCTTGTTTTGTAATTTGTTTGCCTGTCATTTTCCCACAGTGGTTCTGCAGAAGAGAGTCGTAATTCCAAACAAGCATGGTGAGAAGCTGGTGGGAGTGTTGCATGATTCTGGGTCCAAGGAAATTGTTGTCCTGTGCCATGGTTTTAAATCTTCCAAGGTTTGGCTTGGAACCTGAGTCCCTTCTGCTAAATAGTTAATACTGGCGCCTGGCGGTCATTCTTCTGGATTTGAAGTCATTAGAGGAACACGAGGGGATTAGTGACTGGATATTTTGCTTTTTGTATCCTGATTTCCAGGACAACACAACCATGCCAAACCTTGCTAATGCATTGGAAAAAGAAGGAATCACATCGTTCCGATTTGACTTTTCTGGCAATGGGTAAGCTAAAAGTTCCTTCCATTCATAGTTCTTGTATGGATTGTGCATTGATGATCAAAGGTCATTTGACTCAGCCATAGGAAATGCTTGAAGGCTATTTTGTCAGTGCATTTCTTGTAGATAGAATTGTTGTTTGATCATTGTTTTATCTCAACACGTCTCGTTAACAGGGAAAGTGAAGGCACATTTGCTTATGGTAACTATGGGAGAGAAGCTGATGATCTGCGCTCTGTAGTCGAACACTTTGCAGGAGAGAACCAAGTTGTTAGTGTGATTCTTGGCCATAGTAAAGGTGCACAAGGGCTGTTCCTAGTACATAATCAGGCACTAGTTTGAAGAACTGTAGTAAAATCTCTGACTACTGTTCAATCTGTGTGTGGGCTGCAGGAGGGAATGTAGTGCTCCTATATGCTTCAAAATTCCACGATATCAGGAACGTTGTAAATGTTTCTGGCCGCTATGACCTGAGGAGAGGCATTGAGGAGCGTCTTGGGGAGGACTTTCTGGAAAGAATTAAGAAAGAAGGGTTCATTGATGTCAAGAATGAAGCAGGTGACTTTTATTCTTCTACGTTGAATTCCCATTCCCATTGGGGAATTAAGTTGCGTGTATCTGCAGCTGAATGTTTGTCTGCCACCATTTGAGTTCTGTAGGAGAAGTCAAGTATCGTGTTACCGAAGAGGATTTGATGGATAGACTGAATACTGATATGCACAAGGCGTGCCAGCAAATTGATGAAGATTGCAGGTGGGCGGATCTAAAATTGAATTCTTTCAGTTTCCGTTATGTTGATGATTAGTTAATGTCGCACTCGCACTGCCTGAAGTTGATGCTCCGATTGCATCCAAGATTAGGGATTGTATGCTTTTGCTGATTTGCCAATGCTCTCTGTATTGAGTGACAGTGTGTTCACCATCCATGGATCTGCCGACGAGGTTATCCCAGTTGAAGATGCATGGGAATTTGCAAAGATCATACCAAACCACAGTCTACACATCATCGGAGGAGCTGATCATCGATACAGTTCTCATCAGACTGAGCTAGCATCCGTCTTGTTGGAGTTCATAAAATCAAGACTGCAGCAGCAGGACAAGAGCTCCACTTCCTAGCCCCTTCATCAATTTGTAGCTACTGATATTTTGCTATTATCTCATCAAACATTATAACATTACCTCTATTCTCTATGCATCAAATTGGGCAATTGGCAGAGAAATGCATTATGCAGTTCTGCTGAGGAATTCGCTGGCAACTGCCATCTGCCGAGACTTCCCAGTGTGACCTTGTAGAGCTTAATGAATGGTACAAGTTTTTCTTCTTTCAGTAGAGCAAAACAAGGTTTCCAGGGTTTGAGAGTGGTAACCTAGTAGCAATTGTATCTTATCTTTGCCTCTCGTTCTAGTACGGGAATATTACCATGAATATAGTATGTTAATCTCTTGTATGGTCTATCTAGGAAATGAATTTCAAGAATGTAGATGGTTTGAACCTGATAAATTGTGTTATTGCTAAAGTTAATGCTGCGACAGCGGCACGTCGTCTGCAATTTGGTCTAAGCCAACAGCACAACCTTCCCAACATTTGCACTTTGTTCTACAGCCTAGTTGTTAAACAAGCTAAAATTAATGCTCTAGTAAAATTGTTCTGTTCTATTTACAGCCACGAATCACTTTCGATGTGGAGGAGGCATTCAAAAATATTGGGCGCCACTCTTTTCACTCCAAGTAGCCGTGATTTGTGTTGTTTTTTCTTTCGATGTGATACTTGGAGCACAGATGGAATGAGGAAAATCAGACATCCAGCACCTCCTAGTATCGGGATTAATCCTAATCTTGTTCTGGTACCAAAATGCTCTGCTATCTGCTCCTTCAAACATTTAGTCACTGTCCACGCACGATTCTTCTCCACCATCCTGGAAGACGAGACAGTAGTTAACATGCCATTTCGAAAAATTAAGACGAAATACTTGAACATGGGTTTTCTTCATACGAGTAAGATGACCGTGCCAGGCATTAGATTACATGTCATTTCTATTTACAACGATAAACAAGTCTTGAAAACAACATCACAAATAAGCAAACAGGTTGGGAACTTTGGTTGCTAACTAGGATAGTGACTGTACAGGAAAGCTTAAACAAAGGGTTGTTTCTTTTTGAAACCTGGACATCCTAAATACTCGGTAGATAGAGCAACATTCAGAACTAACGATGGCTATTTACAGGAAACTGTCAATATGCGTTAGTAAGAAATACAGACGACGAAATTTAAAACTTTAATAGGTTTGGTTGTCACTTGTCACTACTGCAGCTTCAAAGGGAGTGCAGCATATCATGGAACAGGGTTGTCTCACAAGGGAACTGGATTGCAGTCAAGTGAGACGAATGATATTTGTTGTCTACCAAATGCTTGAAATAGGTGAGACTGTGAGGAGTGCTATGCTGAAGCCAGAATCTCTCAGTAGGAGAGGGAGAGGCAGAGGGAGAGAAAGATCCTTTAACAGATGATCAGAAAGATTTCTATCATAACAAAATCGAAGCAGGTACAAAGTTCAAGATATTGTTCGTAAGCCCGGGCTCAAGCTAAAACCGCAAGATGGGATGAATTCAACTTACAGCTAAGAAGCTATTTCCACTGCTTTAGTTTTGATTTTTTAGTAGATCGTTAAGGGAATACTAGTTATCTGGTGAGAGGGAAGGTACCCTGCCAGCTATTTCCCATTAACCAAACATGCTAAGTCTCCACCTTGTATTAACTCATGAGCCTCATATGAACCAAATGAAACTAGCTACCGAAACTGAAAATCTACCTGTTCATCATCCTCGGAGAACAAAGAAGCATTGTCCAACATCGTAGTCAGGGTCTTCTCAGTGTGCAACGTCTTGCCAGCTTCAACATCTTGCTGCATTGACATAAGAGCAAGTTAATTGAACAAATACTGTACTCAATTTGTATATATATCAGCATATCTCCAAACCATTGCGGGAGAAATGCCATACCAATTCAGACTTGATCAGTTCGATTCTCTCTTGCAAATCTAAAACATGGTGCTTCAGTGCCTGTAGAAAGGAATAGAGTTACACCGACTTCAGAAAAGCAAATGATAGATTAGATAGAGAAACATAACAAACAAAGAGCAATATCTGCCAGTACCTCCCGTCTCTGAAGTTCAATGGACCTAGCCAGTGCCTGTCTCCTGGATAGCAAATTTTTAGGCCTCATTACCTGGGGGCGTTTATAATTCTTCCCACGATAAACTATAATCGCATAGCCTTCGGGAATTCTCTCCACAGCTACTAGGACTCCACCACTTTCAGCTTCCAAATTAATTGCAATATGTTTGACTTGTGCAGGGTTTTTGCCAGCCACAATTATCTTCACTAGCTCATGGTATTTCCAATGCAAGTGCATGTTCTCTATGGTACCATCATAGACCTCTCGCCTTCCTGCAACAGCAATCCCCATCAACATTTGAATCTTTTCACTTTAGGCTACAAAAGCAGGTGATTGTTTACCTAGAGGGAGATATGGTTTCATGCTTAAACCAATCCTTCGAAACAAGAATCTCTCTTCGTTCGTTATGGTTTCCAGATCAGTTGGAAGTTCTTTTGGTTCCAGACGCTCCTGTACTTTATACAAAGCCTTCTCAGCCTTCTTCAGTTTTCCATTTGCCTAAAAAAATACACTCACAATTATATCAGAAACCACAAAATTACAGAACGTTCATAATACAATCCATGTTTTCTTACAGTGGCAAACTTGTTTTGAAGATGCTTTAGCAATGAAGAGATCCTAGCCACAGCTGAATCTCTCATCATTTCCTTCACATCTTCATTGCTTGGCTGTTTCCCCCAGCGGGAAGTTGCTGCCACAGTTTCAGCAAGTGTCCCAGCAACTGCTGGGACTTTAGTAGTTATGATGTTTAATGGGGCCATTTGCCTAACTAGCTCTTCTTCAACATTCTGGAGGTAACTTAGTTTCTGTCTCTCCTTCAATGTCTCCATAACTGCAGGTGGCAAGAAGTCATTACCCCTGTAAAACACAATAAAGTCCTTGTTTCTAGAGAGTAGTGTTCCCCCAGTTAATCTCTGCAGGAAAAAAATGCAACTATCAAAATGAGGGGGGGGGGGGGGGGGGGGGGGGGGGGGGGGAACAATGGTGAAAGGAAGACCGTGCTCTTGTCTATTTAATCTCACCTTAAGTTCCTCAGTCATCCTATCATTTCGAGTATTTTCCACACCACGCTTGATAGCTATCTTTGCAATGGCACTTTGTTCCCATAGCTTCACAATAGCCTTAGCCAGACCTTGCAGGTCTCTGTTCCTGCCTGTCAAACAAATCAAACTCGGGCAACAAAAAGCATCCAAAGCTAATATGACTGCAAATGGCAGAACAAAACACAGACAGCAAAAGTTATAAAATTACCTAGAGCAAAATGTGGAGGCGTCATTCTTGCAAGCCTGCGGAATTTTGTTGTTTCCTTGTCTCTTAAACAATGTTTTACCCCATAAGGAAGAAGCCGGAATGGGGGTTTGTATCCCGGGACAACAGCAGGAAGCCGGTCAGCATCAACAGGAAATGGTTCAATGCCAGACCAGTCTTTGAACCTTGGTCCTAATCCATCTAACAAATGGTTGAGCTCAGTTAGGTCCAAGAGTTCATTCTTTGACAAATCCTTGAAACCCTTCACCGAATTCTGTACTATAGGTTCTGGGGCTCTCGCAAGACCTTTTGCTCCTTTGTTAGCTATATCATCATCATTCGTCACTGATTGATCAGATGGAGAAGCTTCCGTGACAGCCTCTTTTTGTTTCACATAAGATCTTACACATCGGAATTGATAGCTCATTCCTCTATACAATACCACTGAAGTTCCTGACCTCCATATCACCAGCCCTCCAGTTCTACTCTGTGTCGGTCAACAGCTCCATCATCACATAACATACTAAAATTACATTGTGTTCTGCATATGCTTATAGCAGCCATACCAAATAACATAATGACAAGCAAGTTCATTGCAGAGTCTGAAACAGAAGCAAGAAATTCAGCAAACTGACCTCCAAGATCTCATGTGTTCTCTTCATGTTGCGAGAAGGAGGCCCTTCAAACTTCAACTTGACCACTTCATCAAGCCTCCATTTCTCATGAACGGCGTCCACCAAATCCTGAGTAACACCAGCTACTCCAACGTTGATCCTCTCCAGCATCCTCAGCGCAACATTCCTCAGCCTCTTAAGCTCATGCTCAGGAACCATCCTCTCTGCCAGCTCGGTGTTGCTCTCTCTCTTCTTCTCCTTCTTCTCCGAGCTAAAATTCCACGGCGATTCAACTGAGTTGCTGCTTCTTCTAGTCTCTTCAACAAACAATCCATCGTCTGTTTCCTTCACCTCCTGAATCGCTAGTTTATATGGCACTGAATCGTCTTCCGATTTGGCTACTTCTTCCTCACGTTCAGTACTGATGGAATCAACTTCATTCGTCTCTGCGCTCTCTGCTTCATCAACAGCACCATTTCCGGCTTTCTCCACCCAAAATTCGACCAACCCATTAGAGCCCAAATCCCTCAAATAGCCGTTTCGGTTTCGATTTCCCTGTACCCAGGGAGCCGAACTCGGCCGATTCGGTAGCGGAAAACTCGCCGCGGCAATCATTGAAGCGTCGCCGGGGATTTCGGTCTGGGACTCGTCCACCCCAGAAAGAGTTGCCCGTATTTCTACCTCTTCGACTTCCTCCGCCGCCGCGTCGCCCTCTTTTTTCTGCTGCTGCTGCCAGGGAAGTTGGTCTCTGGTCGAAGACGGTTTCCGAGACCATTTCCCTTGAACCTGCTCGAAGAAGCTCGGCCTGGGATTTTTCCTTGTCGTCGCGGCATTAACTCGAATCACGCGATGCGAGCGGCAAGGGCAAGTTGTGAATTGAAGAGCTCGACTTCGTGGCTGTAGGTGAAGAGGATGATGATGAGGATGACGAAGCGGGGAAGAGCAGTGAAGAGAGAGCGCCATTGTAGCTACTCCGAGCTGCAGGCAGTTGTCGGACTTTCAGGATTCAGGAATTATCCATTCAGATGAGCATTGGGCCCAATTACAGCCCATGGGTCGTGGTTGAAAAGAGATTATGGATCAGAGAGTGCAATGCTAAAGTCGTTTGCACAAATCAGTTTGCCTCGTGAGTTTAATTTTACCCGTTTAAAATTTGAAATATTTGGTAAATTTTGGACTTGAGAAATTATAGATGTATGATGATTTTTGGTTTATTATTGACTTGAAAAAATAGAATTATTTGTTTTGTCAATTTCATGATGAGTTTTGTTTATTAGATTTGTATATATTAAGTGAAATTGACCTTATTACTCTCGTTAGTATGAGAAGAGAAATGAAATAGGAAGAATAGGTTGGTCATAAATGATGGACTTCAAATCCATGACTAATTCTCACATATAAGAAATGTGATTTTCAAGTTTGTGAAGCCCACGAATTTGGATCCTTAATTAAAGTCCATGGATTTCACGAATTTGTTGTCCCTAAATACATGAAGCAAATAATAGAGTATGGAGAAAGCCCATGATGGATCCAAATCCATCACAAAAAACTGGCAAACAGGTGAGACAGGATAAGAATCTCAATACCCATACTCGTCCCGCTCAACGAACGGATCATGTCGGGTAATACTCCCACAGGTTTGTTCGTTATTCAATAGCTCAATGTAAGTTTGTTCATCACAAAATTGGAAGAGTTCTTGTCATGTCAACTTGTTTAGTTGTTTTCAATACCTTGCTCAGTCAATTCACCACTTTTGTGATTAATCCCATAATGTAAGTTCGTCATTCGATAACTCAACCATATAGGTAGCTTGAATTTCCCGAATTTTCCTCTCATATCTTCAATTTAACATAACTAATAATCACATAAAGATAATTTACTACATAGATAAAAAAAATCCTACGTTGAATGAGAACATCCACCACACCAAGGGCTCGAACCTTGAGACCAACAATCAACAAAAAGAATCCTAGCCTCGTATATCACACATTCTCAATTCTAGAATTTAATATAACATACAATCCCATTCTAAACCCTAACTCCATCCTACAATATACATTCACAACACTAGTATATAAGCTACCATCTAAATTATAAACCCTAATATAGCCTACAATCCGCATTCAAAATCCTAATATATCTTACAAATCTAATTTTAATACCTCTAACCTTGTTGTTGAAAGCATTGCTTGCTCAAAACCTAATGTTACTCCAACAATCAAATTTTACCTATAGTGACTACTTGGTGATAAATGGGACAAAACTATGTAGAATGGAGAAAGAAAACAAGTTGGGAGATTGAGAATATGGAGAAGGCAACCAGCTGCAACTGCTATATTTTTCCCCGTAGGAAAAGTAAGAAAGAATAATTATTAGGGCTAATACCACTACAACACTCGAACTATCCGGAAAATGCCACTTGTGTCCTATTGTTTCCAATATTCCATCTGTGTCCTGAACTATTATTCTGTTAGTGTTGACCGGCGTTGACCGTTAGTATTTAACAGAAAATCCAGTCAGCGTTGACGTGGCGTCTGACTTGGAATTTTCATTATCAATTTTCATTTATTTTTCCATCTAAAATAATTAAAATAAGGAAAACAAAATAAAAAATTATGGAAAATTACAAAAATAAAACAATAACTCAAATCAATTCACTTTCTTTCTCTCCAACTTCTGAAGAAAAATCCGCACCTTCTCACCAAAACTTCAATCAATTGCATCCGATCCGTCGTTCGTCGCCTCATCTCCGACCGTCCTTTTCCTTTGATCTCCGATGAACCCCCATCGGCGACCGTGCTTCTCTAGCCCTTTCTCTCTCCACAGGTCTGTCTCTCCTCTCCTGCACGATTCTCCTGTTTCAATGGAATGGAGGTGGAGGAAGACATAGAGAAGCTGGCGGAGTGAGGAACGCAGGGGGAAGAGGAGTAGCCCACCAACTCGCCTCCGCCGATGCAACTACACCAAACAACCCGCCGCTCCAACAAACCCTAGAAGGTTCCCATTCCTCTTCTCCTCTCTTGTCACAAATCTTACTGGCAGCGGCCTGGCAGGACATCCACATCAAACCGGAATCTCATCAATTCCCGACCCCATCACCCCTCTACCACCACCCTCATCCACCGTCGCACCACCTCTCCGCCACCGGGCTTCTCCAGAAGGCCGCCACCCTGGACGCAACCCAGGCCGCCGCGGCACAGACCCAGATGTCGCTTTACAAGGGACTTCCTCGGTTTGACCGGCCACGAAGACCGCCAAGGAGGCGAGTTGGTGAGCGACGACTTGAAACATCGAGCTTTGAAATCCGGATCTGGAAAGATAAAAAACCATTTCCACTTCTGGACGACTGCAAGAGGCGATCGAAGCCAAGCGGTGACAAAGAGATGGAGATGAACTTGAGGGCAGAGGAAAGATAGATCTAGAGATGAATCGACGACTTGTGGAGATGTGGCAGAGCTGGAGAGGTGAAAACTTGCCGCTTGATTTCTCGGCGTCTTTCCACACACCCGCCGCTGACAGCTGTAGTCGAACGGGAGAAGGCAGGCATCGCCGAATCCAATCGAGGAGAGCTTCACTGTCAGTTGGGTTGCCATTGTAGAATGGGAGAAGAGGAAGAAGCAGAGATGGGGAGATTGGGAAGATGGGAGCAATTTATTTTTTAATTTCTAAGAATTTTGTATTTTTTGTATTATAGTTATTATAATTTTATTAAAATAATTTTATTTTTAATTAAGTAATGACATGTCAATGAGGTGGCATCTATGTGGATGCCACTTTTCTGCCACATCTGTGAAAGTCAACACTAGTTTGACTTCCGTCAAGTCAACAGTTATCTTTAACGGTCAACGTAAGACGCCATGACACAAATGTCACAAACTCATATAGTTCAGGACACAGATGGAATATTGGAAACAATAGGACACAAGTGGCATTTTTTGGATAGTTCGGGTGTTGTAGTGGTATTAGCCCTAATTATTAATGTAGGTGATGTAGAATTCTTGTATTTGAAGAACTCATGTACATTGTGTTAGTGTTGTGGTATATGATCCACGATTGAACTTCTCCCAACAACTCGAGTTATTGGGATCAACTGGTTCTTGACATGGTAGGGTTGGGCCTGTGCAAACTTCAAGCCCATAAGTCGGCTTTCGTTTGAGGGGGCGTGTAAGGAAGTGGTTAAGCACCACACACGGGCCTGTATAAGATCCAGCATAACCTTCTCCCAACGACTCGAGTTATTGGGAGCAACTGGTTCTTGACATGGTATCAGAGCCTTCTGTGACCGAAAGGCATTGTGTTCGATTCCCGGTGACCCCCATTTGTTAAGCACATGGTATTCTTGTCTTCAGACCTGTGCAAACTTCAAGCCCTTGTGAGTGGCTTTCGTTTGAGGGAGCGTGTTAGTGTTGTGGTATATGATCCACGATTGAACTTCTCCCAACAACTCGAGTTATTGGGAGCAACTGGTTCTTGACATGGTATCAGAGCCTTCTGTGACCGAAAGGTCTTGTGTTCGATTCCCGGTGACCCCCATTTGTTAAGCACATTGTATTCTTGTCTTCAGACCTGTGCAAACTTCAAGCCCTTGTGAGTGGCTTTCGTTTGAGGGGGGGCGTGTTAGTGTTGTGGTATATGATCCACGATTGAACTTCTCCCAACAACTCGAGTTATTGGGATCAACTGGTTCTTGACATATTGTAGGTTGAGTTGTGAGAACTTGTATAATAGTTTGGCTTGCATGAGTTCATGGTAGAACTCACATAATTTGGCATGAAATGTCAAATACTTTGGGTAAACCCAAAACATTTGAGATATCATGGTCACATGAATTCTAGAATTGCATGGTGCACCAATATCATGATAACTGCACGAAGATGGAACAAGAAAACAGTGAAATCTCATATATCATGTAATCTTGAAATCTGTGGATAGATTACATGCTTTACCAAACGAGCCATTCATATACTTATGTGAGCAAAAATAGTTGTCCTAATTAACAATCAATTTATGTTACTAAATACCGTAGAGGACAACAAAACTCATAGTTTCTTGTCTCGTAGTGTTCAATCCTTGTATATAAGAGGCACAATGATGATCAATGAATATTTAAGTTAGGGTTTCAATTCTACACTTGGTGTTAGCAGCATTACTTTCAAACGCTTTTTCGATTAGCGATATGGTAGAATGTTTTTCTCTAACACTCTTGTTTGGGAAAGAGGTGTAAATAATGGGAGGGGTAAACACAGTTTCCAACGCATTTGCACCTTACTTCAATTGATCCCTCAACTTGTACCCCACTCGAATTTGCACTCTTTTGTTGCCAAACATAGTGTAAAGCGTTTTGGTAACAATTAACCAAGGTTGTCAAACCGGTTTATATCGTTGTGCCGGTTTAGTAAGTGGAATGGTACGACCGGTGGTATAACCAGTTTGTGCCGGTTCATGCCGGTTTAAAAAAATGTGATAACAATTAATATCCAATGTATTTAATCATTTCCAACAAATATCATCAACTTTCAACTATTACAATCATAAAATAAATAATAAATTTTTTTTATTCATTAAATTCATTAAAATGATGTCATTTTACTTAAAATACGTAAGTCGATCATACCGGTAGTGTCATGCCGGTTTCATGACCAGCACAGGTTGAACCAGGTTCAACCGCGTGGTATGACAACCATGCAATTAACAAAAACGGCCGTTTGGTCAGCATTTTCACCCGAAAATAGGCATATTGGGAACAATTAACAATAACAGCTTTTTGAATCTTATAGTGTGATTCTTGTAACGAATTAATCTGCAGCGTGTAGGGATGGCAAATTACCCACCCATGGGTAATTATACCCAAACCCAAGTAGACCTATTGATAATGGGTTGGGTATGGGTGAAGTGCATATGGATTTGGGGGTTTATAGATGGGTTTGGGTTTGGGGCTTCCATAATCTAAATGGGTATGGGTTGGATATGGATATCCATTTACTTGAGGGTGATTTAACTACACATGCCAAAATTGGACCTATTTGCAAAACTTGAAAAGTTTAGGTACCAAAATGTAAGACCAAAAAAAATTTAGGTACCAAAACGTAATTTTCCATCGATATTTTGAGGACTTATATGCAAAAAAAATTAAATTTAGGTACTAAATATGCATATCTATTAAGTTTGGGTACCAAATTGTAATTTGTATTTGGGCATGGGTACAAACCCTAATCCATTTGATATAAACCCAACTCAACCCAAAGTAAATGGGTATGGGTACAAACTCATCAAACTCTACCCATATCCATCTATTTGGATTTCATACCCAACCCAATTGGGTTGGATAGTAAGAAATCCATGAGTATGGGCAAAGTTGTCATCCCTAGCAGCGTGATTTCATAACATAGTAGTGGAATGTTTGATCTCAACGAAAAAAACAAAACATTTGGAACAGTGGTTTGGATTACGAATATGCATGGATCTCATACAGAATCTTGACCCCAGAAAATTAAATGAAAGGAAGGAATCGGAAAACTAATTAATGATAAAATCTTTGAGAGATCTCTTCTGTGTGATTGCATAATCTTGACTCCTATAGCAGTCGTGTTTCATTTGTCATGCATGGCCAGCTTAAATTAATATGGCAACCATAAAACCGTGGGACGTTTTAAATTATTATTTATAAGGGCCAAACTCGATTGACTCAAGCTGACAGCAAGATTTTCACTCCGATCGAAGATTTTCACTTTATCATAGAAAGTTCTAATACTGTGATGAGAACCGATCGCGTGTCAAGAATTTGATAGGAAAGAATCAGATGGAAGGTGTGAATTAATCACAGCCCCTTACAGTATTTATTTGTCTCCACTGCAAATGCTGATATGTTTACGCAAACCACCACCCCAAGGAGTCTCTTCAACCAAAATATGAAGCAGCGACTTATAGAATTCTGGGTGTAGGAAACAGGAAGGAGAAGATGAACTCTCGCGTATGGAAAAAAAAGTGATGCCAGCAAACTATTTATACTTTTGAAAAAACGGAAGGTTATCCTTTTCATAGCAAAAAAGAAGTTACCTTTCTCTAAAATGACATCTTTTCAAATAGAAAAGGAAATTACTTTTCCTGGGAAGAAAACAAGAAATAAATTATTTTTCTAAAAGTAAACTTCTTTTCACAATATTCAAACACTAATAAATTAATTAATCTGTAAAAAAAAATTCAATTTCGAATCGTGCCGTGCAAAGTGATTCCAATATTTCGAGTTCTTGGAACAATTTCAATTTTGCATCATATATCATTGATTAACAAAAAAGTAAAAAACACTTTATTGCGTAAATAATGCTAACTAGTGTATAAATTGTAGTGATACTAGTACTGATTTTGTTTTTGTAGTAGTACTGATAATTTGTATAGCGATATCATCAATTTTATTTGGTGGCCGGCCGGAGGAAAGTGACCGGAGGCCGGCCGGTGAGAGCTATAGGTTAATTACTACGCGCATTGCATGAGCCTCCACCGTCCACGTGCATCTTCTCGCCGCCGGCCCCTTTCTTTGTGTTTCGTGTGTGTCTGTGTTTAATACGTATGCAGAGAGAACATTAGTTTGCAGTCGCTCTTCAAAGGCAAGGAAATACTGGAAAACGTGAGTTTTTAATGGTGTAGGGATTCATTTCTCTTCGGATTCTACGAAAACACGTTTTGGTCTTTCTTTCTTGAGAATGGTATTTAGAATCAAATAGCAAAAAAGGGATAGATAAAGGAAAAAAAAGAATCAAAACAGCTAGCAGAGAATATAGGTCCCCAGCCACCACATTAATTGTGTAGGTTGGAATATTGAGACCAATACAATCAACCGCAAAAAAAAAAAAAACCTAGAGAGAACTCTCTACGTCAATTTGACAAATTAAACCGCCTGCCATTTAGAGTCAGATAAATATACGATATTTTCGGTCCAGGGGAATTCTGCAGTGCAGTGACTGCACCTGTGCCGTCGGTTTATTCTAGCCGATTTGGAATGGTTGGGTTGATTGGGTTTAGCTAATAAATTAATAAAAAGTAAATTAAAAAGTTAAAAGTAAAGAACGGCACTAAGGGTTCCGTGTGCCTCCTGCCTCCTTCCTTCTTCGCTCCAATCCAATGTTTTCTTGGTTCCGTGAAAAGGAAGGCTACTCCGTCGATTCTCACCGGAAATCCACCACGTTAAGCGTCTTTGCACCAGCCGGCGCACAATCATCACCAACATCGTCTCTCTTGTCGCAATCCACCACCATCATCGTTGTCGCGTCGATCGACCATGACCACCAAAATCCCGAACCCTTCGTCAGTCAAACACCAACACCATCATCTGCCCCATAGACGCCTATCAACATTGAGATTGTCGTCGATCGGCCATCACCACCAGATCCCGAATCTCCGGCAGTCAATTTCGCCACCGTCATGAACCCCATTGTCCTTGCCGGTCATCCCATCATCGTCTCTATTGTGCCAATCAACCACCGTTGTTGCCGCTGGTCGGCCAATTCTATCGATGGTTATGATATACACATTCCCGTCGGCGATCAAGAGAGCACACAGGCAACTCTCCGTTCATAGAAAAACAGTAATAGACATATAATAATTATATAAAGGATTTAAATAGGAATAGATTCAACCAAACCTAATAGGTTCAACCTAGTCTGGTTAAATGATGGTTATTAATCAATGGTCCTCATTTATTACATTAAATCCAACGGCTGAAAAAGTGGCGGCACTAATGCCGTGCCTGCACCACAGAAAGCGCCTTTCGGTCCAACCAATCATGTTTCTAAAACCTTGCAAAATTACCTTAAACTTTTTGCGCGCACATATATATATATCCTTCTCCTCTTTCCCCTTCTCATCATCATCCCCAAAAATAATTTATCTCTTTGAATTTCTTGTCTGAACCAAAAAAAAAAACCATGGCAGCCGGGAATTTCACCATGGCAACATACTTCATTCTACTCCTCTTCATCATCACCACTCTCCCAATCTCCACCCTCAATGGAACCAAAACCTCGAAGCCGCAACTACTCGACATTAACTACTTCCCCACCGGAGCCCTCCGCACCGACCCAGCCGCCACAACCGCCGCCGCCACCGACTACGGCCACATCGTCCACCGCCGCCCCGCCGCCGTCCTCCACCCTTCCTCGGTCGACGACATCGTCAAGCTACTAAACCTCGCACACGACCACAACAACATGAACAACAACAACACCACCACCTTCACGGTGGCGGCGAGGGGCCGGAGCCACTCGGTCCGGGGGCAGGCCATGGCGGCGGAGAACGGCGTGGTGGTGGACATGATGCGGCTGAGGACCGCCCGCTACAATAGCAACGTGAGGGTGGTCGTGTCGCCACGTGGGCACCGCCGCCGTCCGTATGCTGACGTGGGAGGGGAAGCTTTGTGGATCGACGTGCTGGATGCCACGTTGCGACACGGCGTCGCGCCGGCCTCGTGGACGGACTACTTGCACCTGACCGTCGGCGGGACGCTGTCCAACGCCGGGATCGGCGGCCAGAGTTTCCGTCACGGCCCCCAGATCAGCAACGTCCATGAGATGGACGTCGTCACCGGTAAAATTATTAATTAATTATTAATTTGCGATGTCGCATGAAAGCTACGTAACGTTAGACTAAAAGTCGTGTCTCGTTACGAGGTGGGAAAAATTCGAGAGCTAATTTAAGCAAATGGGAAGAGAGGAGAAAAAAAAAATTAATGGTAGAAGGAAAAACCCAAATGTTTGGTAGTTGGTTGTTAGACAGAAAGCAACGTATGAGAGGGAGCTATATACGTTAATTGCCTGCATTTGTCTCGATCGGTTCCATAGTTTGCGCACTAAGTCAATTAGGTCCACCGTCGACATTATTATTGCTGGAAAACGTGGGTGTATGTGTGTTTATGGTACAGATTCATTTCCTCCATGAAAACACGTTGTGGTTGTTTTCTAACCTCACATATAAATTTTTTTGGTGCTTCTGTTAGTCTCTCTCTCCTCAAACGAAAACATGCTCATAGTTTTCGAAGTTTACACAAACTCACTACTTGCACATTGTATTAAATCATATGTTAATATTGGGCGCGGTAACGGAGATTCAAAAACATATATACTATATCACTTGGCAAACCAATAATGTTGATATATACCATGTAATAAACCAGTTGGCGCGTTAATTATGAATCGCGTATACCAATATCTTACGTACGTACCTTGTTCGTGACGACATTCACTGCAGGGACAGGAAAGCTCGTGACATGTTCCCCTTCCAACAACACCGACTTATTCTACGCCGTTCTGGGAGGGCTTGGCCAGTTCGGCATCATTACCAGGGCTCGGATCGCTTTACACCCAGCTCCTAAAAGGGTTAGTACTGTTAACGTATCATAACCAGTTCATTTCTTAAAGCTGCTGAGATATAACTACTATGACTTGAAGATAGATTATTTGTCGTTGTCTCTGAAAGTCATGCTATATATATACTTTCTAACAGCGCACAAACACAGCTAGCTAGCTAGCTAATTACTATATCTATGTACGCAAATGCAGGTGAAATGGGTACGCTTGCTATACAGCGACTTCGCCGCCTTCACAAAGGACCAGGAACGTCTAATCTCGGATCGCAATCACGGAGGAGGAGTGTTACCGGAAGTGGATTATTTGGAAGGTTCGCTGATGTTGCATCGTGGTGGGAGCCCTCCATCCTCGTTCTTCCCGGCCGCCGACGTCCCCAGAATCACGTCCCTCGTCGCCCGGCACCGCCTCGTCTACTGTCTCGAGCTGGCCATCAACTCTTACGTCGACGGCGATCGTCGTCAAGATGAGCTGCTGGAGCGGTTGGTGGTGGAAGGGCGGCTGAACTACCTGCCGGGTTTCGCGTACAGCAAGGACGCGTCTTACTTGGAGTTCCTGGACAGAGTGCGAAGCGGGGAGGTGGCGCTTCACTCCAGAGGGCTGTGGGAAGTTCCCCATCCCTGGCTCAACCTCTTCGTGCCGAAGTCTCGTATCGCGGATTTCGGATCGGGCGTTTTCAGGGACATTGTTCTGCGCAGGAACATCACCACGGGACCCGTCCTCGTCTACCCCATGAACCGAAACAAGTACGTGTGTGCGCCGGCGCGCGATATTTCTCAACGATTCGAGTTATTTGGCTTTTAATTTAGGGGTTGATATCTTATTTTGGACCGAACTGATGGTCATATAATCAATTTTTTGGCCACAGTGGTTTCGGAAATTAACATCTTGGCCTCAACTATGCAGCATATAGACTCAATTGGCCCGACACATGGTTTGACCGTTAATTTGGACGGTCAACACGCCATGTCATTGCGTCGTCAGCCTAAAAATTATTAAAAAAATTCAAATTCAAATTATTTTTCTAATTTCTATTATCTATAATTTTCAAATTACCCAAGAAATAAAATATTAAATTTATTTTATATTTTTATAAATTTAATTTTTTTTTAGTTTGATAATGATAAATAATATAAATTCCGAAAATGATTTGAATTCGAATATTTTTAATGATTTGTATGCTGACGAGACAATGACATGGCGTGTTGACTAACGCGACGGTTTGACCATCCAAATTGACGATCAATCCATGTGTCGGGGTCAATTGAGTCAATATGTTGTACGTATAGTTGAGGTCAGGATGTTAATTTCTGAAACCACATGCCAAAAGTTTATTATATGGTCATAATTCAGGCCAATAATTCATGTCAAAATAAGGTAGTAATTACGTTTTAATTTATTCCCGTACAGGGTACTGATGAGTCCTGTGTGGCTGTTTGGTGTTGTGTAGGTGGGATGATAGAACGTCGGCGGTGCTACCGGAGGCGGCGGAGGATGTGTTTTACACGGTAGGGTTCCTGCACTCGAGCGGGTTCGACGACGGTGGCTGGGAGGAGTTGGAGGAGCAGAACAAAGAGATAATGGAGTTCTGTGAGAGAAGTGGGATGGGAGTGAAGCAGTACCTTGCTCATTACGCCACCACAGAAGAGTGGGCCAAGCATTTTGGTGCCAAGTGGGAAAGGTTCCGACACAGGAAATCCGCGTTCGATCCCATGAAGATGCTCTCCCCGGGACAGAGAATCTTCAATTCATAGTGGAATTTTTGTATCCCCCGATTTTTTTTTTTAAATCTATTTTTAGTCTTGGTATAGTGGAATTGCTGAGTTTAGTAAGTTATGATTAGGTTTAAATATCTGCATGGGTCCGAAGTAATATGAATATTAATGACATATATAGTTATGTTGGTAACACTTTCTTTTGTATTACAGTTATCACTTCGAAGCACTTATAGTAAAACCAGCGGCGGATCAAGAACATAGAAGTGCACTGGGCCGCATTTTATTAGAAAATTAGAATAGTAAAAAAAATATAATGATTATAATTTTTTTACAATGTAAATTGTACACGACGATATTTTAATTTAGCGAATGCATTAATAATGGAGTCCACATACATACCAATAGTATACACTGTTTCAAATAAAATACTTGAGCAATCGACTAGAAATCAATCGCTCATTTTGTTGCGCAAATCAATTTTCACATGTTTCGTTGTTGAAAAGGTTCTATTCGTATTAGCTGTTGAAACGAGCAGCATCAACACTAGACAAATCAATCTACTAATCAATTTGCATTGTGTTTTCATCCCTATATCCACCAGCTGCTCTAGTAAATTTTCCAAGGTAACAAACCTCATATATGTTTTAGTCTCTTACGTTTTAAACTTTTTGAATTTCTAGGTTTCATTGTTTTGTTAGACGAATAACCTTTGGGGTTAGAATTTATAAGCTAAATTTAGAGTAGTGATTTTGAATATGTTCATCTGAATTATTTTTCTAATTATACCCAATCTTATTTTAAAATAAAAACGACCCGAATATCTAAAATTGAAAAATTCATAAGGCCTATACTAACTATGGATCCAGAGGAGGGCTGGGCCGGGGCCCGGGGTGGCCACCCGCTGGATCCGCCACTGAGTAAAACAATCGAACCTTGTTCTAATCAATTTACATCATAATTTTTTCAGATTTTGTATCAAATGTGGGACTTTTTTTTTTTTTTTGTCACCAAAGGCCTCATAAAACTCACTTTCGAACCTCTTAGTTGGAAACTCTTCATCCTCGTTAATGAATTCTCCTTCCGCCTTGTTGCCAGCATCTACGTATCTTGCTCTGTCGTTGATGTTGGCCGATCTTGGGCTTCGTTGTTTGGGATCTCTCAGGATAATTTATTGGACTATTATGAGCCTCAGTACACGAATGGATTGCTCAGGATTTCGTGGGAGGTTGTATAGCGTGGGGGCAAAGAGATGGGAACATAGCTTAGTTTGGCAGTTCATGGGCAACACTTCCTTAATATCGACGATTAGGTACCGGGTAAGTTGGATGTGAGGCAGGGCGGGTTGCCGTGGGGCAATATCCCATCCACCCTCTGTGGGTTGCTATGGGGCCAATTCGTGACTCGTCCACTAACCTAGCCACATACTACAGTTTGGGTAATTTTTCGGGTGGATCTGGCCAAATCCGCAGATGCCCCACCCACATGCCCTACCTTATAAATAGCACTTTGATCTTGCCCTTATACCAATATGTCCAATACTCACATATAGGTAGTACATTGTACTTTCATAAACATCCGATAAAATTGAACGACACATGTACATTATCTGATTCATGCTTGATGCGCGTCGGACATGAGTATTTACCTGCCTTCCAGCTAGGGGTGGGCAACGGGACGGGACAGGATATCCGTCCCGTTTGAAACGGGTACCCAATCCCGTTTGGAGACCAAAGTCCATCCCATGTCCCAAACCCATATGGGTAACGGGTACCCATTACCCGTACAGGACAGATAACGGGTACCCATATTACCCATAAATACCCGTACGACAATCATCACCTGAAGGCTACAACGTTCAAAAATCAAAATTGGAGAGTTGAGCTTGAGCAGAATTGTCGGGTGACTGCTGCTGGTGGGTGACGGCTACGACGACGGTGAGTCGTATTTCCAAGAAACTCCGCCTGCCGATACGATGGTGTGGTTGCCGGAAAGTGCACGGGTTGGAGTGATTTGATCCCGCTAGAGGGGATACTTGACTTCGATGACTCCTTGGGGAGCAACAACGGGAGTTGCAGTTACGACGGAGGCGATCGATGATGGGATGAGAGGAGGCGGTGCGGCGGCGCCGGCGAGGTCTCAGGCGGTGGACCAGTGGTTAGGGTGAGTGGTGAGGAGATGATAGGAGTTGTGGTTGCGCGGTGACTGCGCCTCTATCGCGAGGCCGAGGAGAGGGTCGAGGGAGAGCTAGCTAGGTCCCTCGTCTGTTGGGAAGGGTCAAAGGACAAAAGGGTTTTTCCATTCTGGATGGGTTGGGCCTATGTGATTGAAGACAGACTTTCTATCTTTGTTTTTTGAATGAGTATAACGGGTACCCATATTATCCAAATAGGTATTTGCGGGTAACCCGCGGGTACCCAAATTAGGAGTATACAATCCCAAGTCCCGTCCGTTAATAATATTACGGGTAATATGAGTACCCATAACCCGCAAAAAACGAAACGGATACAGGTATACCCAAATACCTATTTCCCATTGCCCACCCTTACTTCCAGCCTCCAAGCCTCATTGCCATCATTATCTATCCCTCTAGGGTCCAAGCTGCAATCTACAATATGAATTGACGTTATTAGAGCCTGCTGCAATATGATGGGCTCATGAGTGGCAGCCCATATTCAATCACCAAAACCACGAAGGAAATGAACTGTCAGGAGAAAAAGGTCCATGGACCGAGGAGGGCCCGTTCCTCTTTTCAGAACGACGACGAGCCCTCAAAGTTTCTAATCCTCTGCTGGTGGCGCCCGCAATTTCTGAATACTGCCCGTCCAAACCGCCGGCAATTGCCGGAACTGAAGAAGAGAAGCTGAGAACTGCACGGTGAACTACTCCAGTCCAGACCGAAGCTATGGTCTCGAATTGAAAAGAGGAAAGCCATTGCAGCTCACACTAGACTAGACTCTCCAAGCCATAGAAAAATGTGTGGAGACGCGACGAATTGGGACGAGGAAGCCTACCGAGAGAGCATATTGAGAGAACGGGAAGCCCAAACCCTAACCGTCTTCAGGACTGCGTGGGCACCTTCTCCTGACCCCATTCCAGACGCCATTGTCGTAGCTTCCAGTGATGGATCGATCGCTTCGTACTCGATCTCCTCTTGCGTCTCCAAGCTCGTAAGTTCTTTGTTGCTGTGTATTTCACCGTAGAAACATTTTTTTTTACTGATTCGTTACCTTTTTTCCCCGTTTGTTTCCTTTTCGTTTGGCAATAGCCAGTGGCTTTCGGCTACGGAATGGCTCAGAGGTAAGTACTTGGACGGTGGTGATGTTTCCAATTCTTTACCTTTTCCCCTCATAAGTACTCTGAAGGAGCTCTTTGTTTGGTCATTTTTGTCAGGGTTGAGCCTACTGGCTTTGTTCAAGCCCATGATGGACCAGCATATGATGTCAAATTCTTTGGCAGTGGTGAAGATGCTTTGTTGCTGAGGTTTAGTGCTAACATTCCTTATGTCTTATTTTCTAAGGTTTAGTACCAACACTGCGTCTGCTATCTTCCTTTTCTTACTAAGTATTTGCTTTGCAGTTGTGGTGATGATGGCAGGATTCGAGGATGGAAGTGGAAGGAGTTTATGGAATCGGAGACTCCAGTTTCCTTGCAAGGTAAGAGATGTAAAAGAAGCTGGTTCAGGCTGTTGCTGCAGAAGGATATAGAACATTGCTCATTCCATTTGATGCATAAGACAGCCATACCGTCCAGTCAATATGATTGCTTCAGATCATCAAAGTAGCTGTCAGCTCTGAATGTTACTTCTTGTTTTTTGTTTGTTTGCGGAGTCGGGTTTAGTAGATTGTTCTTGTGATTTACTTCCACTATCTTATATCTGATCCTCTTTCGGCCAAACTATTCTGCCCTCTGGTTCTTGGCACAGGAGACCATATGAAGCCAGTGGTTGACTTGATGAATCCCCAACACAGGTGAGTCATGGCTCTTCGCAGATCCTAAAGGATATTACCTAATGTTTGTTATCACAACTCACATTAGGCTATGAACTATTGTTCCCACTATGTTGCACTTGATTACTTTCCATACGCAAGGAATGACTCAATTTGCATAATGGCTTGTATCACAACTCACATTAGGCTATGAACTATTGTTCCCACTATGTTGTCTGATGAATCACTAACTTTTGAGTAGCGAGATATTTTGATCATTATGACTTCTGTTTATGGGGTAACGGAGTGAGTTAGTTTCTTTTGCCATACTATTAACGTCTTCTCGTAAGCCTTTTATTTTCTCTTTTTTATTGATATCTTCAGGGGCCCATGGGGTGCGCTTTCGCCAATCCCTGAAAACAATGCTATTGCTTTAGACACTCAGGTTAGAAAGTGCAATGTATGCATTGATTTGTTCAATACCCTAGTAACTTGAACAAAAAGTCCATTGTTAACATTTACTTGTTTAATAGGGTGCATCCATCTTTTCTGCTGCTGGTGATTCTTGTGCATATTGCTGGGATGTGGTATGTACTCACAGTCGCGTGCATTTTTTAAGCCATTCTGCATTGAGATCAATGACATCCTGCTTACTTTGGAACTTTCCAGGAGACATGCAAGATTAAAATGGTTTTTAAGGGGCACTTGGATTACTTGCATTGTATAGTTTCCCGCAACTCTTCCAACCAGGTAATGTTGTTGCCTCTTCCACATTATATCTTTTGATTTCTAAAACTCCATGCTCTTTTAGAGAGTGAAACCATTGAGAAAGGAAATAGTGTTTTGAGTGGATCATTAATTTGCCTGGTTTGGAAACTATCCTGGGTATTGCTCACTAGACGGGCAACTGTTTGCTGTTTTTTTTCTTCCACTAAAAAGAAGCTACATCTATAGCCGTATATTCTTATTGAGATTGTTGCATTGTAGGAAATCGATGGGAATGGCTACTCGATCTGAACTTCTAGGGTCTAAGAATGAGGACTCTGACTGTCTAAGAGCAAAAATTATAAATTGGCTACTTTTTTGTGTGTTCTTCGATTACTCATTGTGGGTAAAACTTGACAGTATTGCTTTTGGTTAGATTGCAAGAGTATAATGCTTATTGATGCTCCAAGAGTCCTTTTGGCATCCAACTATCTGTAGATCAATTGCATTTCGAAATGAATGTTTGAGACTATGTCTATCAATATACTGCAGGGATAACAAGTCCTTAGATTCGACCAATGCAGGCCAAACTTGTACCTTTTTGGTGTTTTTTTTTCATTTTACTCCTGACAGGCATAATAGTCGAGCGAATTGGTGATTGTATGCTGTAGATACTGAGCCTGATTACCCACCATTTTCCTTTGCTTTCAGGTTATAACTGGTTCTGAAGATGGAACAGCAAGAATTTGGGGTAAAATGCTATTTTGAATATTGAGGATCACAGTTACCTAGTCCAATAGAGATTAAGTGACTGGTTGTTTCACATATCATTTTTGTATTGATAGAATGCCAGTTTGATGACTTTAGTTTGGAGATTCTCCACTTCTATGTTACCTCCTTGAGATCTGGTCCAAGACCCCAACTATATCCATGCCAGTAGGGGATAAGTTTAGAATGGTCATTAGAGTGGAAGAGATGGTTGGCTGACTTGGTAATTTGTTGTTATTTTGATAGTATTTCCCCCCCCTAGTTCCAGTGATCTGACCAGAAGATAGGAATCAGGAAGAAAAACTAATTTTGGATTTGCCTTGCGAGGTAGAAGTGGTACTTTGTGTGACATTTTCGGCTTTCTGTTACCCTTTCGGAAAGCATTGTGGTTATCCACCTGCAAATTTCTTCCCGAATCTGGTTTCAAGTTTGTCATAGCACATTAGCGATAATATGAGTGCCGCAAATATACTTTTATGTTCAGTTTATGCGATTGCCTGAATTTTTCTGTTTTGCGAATTTGCATGATGAAATGGAGTAGCTTTTTTCAGATTGCAATAGTGGGAAGTGCATCAGAGTAATTGATCAGGGAAAGGATAAGAAGTTGAAAAGGTTGTCTACCTCTGTTAGATGCATTGCACTTGATTCAAGTGAGAGCTGGTTGGTATGTTTTTGACTTGATAATATGGCGTTCTAGTTAGATGCATATTTTGACATGATTGATGAAAGGTATTTGTTGTTGTACAGTGGATGAGAGTGAGATGCGCATCCAATCATGTTTCCAATGTTTCGTCTAGACTCTAGTATTGCTGACACTGAACAAATCTAATAGCTGAACAGGTGGTCTTACCAATATATATTCCATGTTCACAGGCTTGTAGCAGTGGTCAAAGCTTATTGGTTTGGAATCTGCATGCTTCGGAGTGTGTTTCGAGGACTTCTACTGCTGCATCCATGCAAGACATGATATTCGACAAAAACCAAGTAAAGCCAACTCTATTCCAAATGACCTCGTACTGCATCAAACTGAGATTGGCAACCATTTAGGTGGAATTAGCTAGTTTTTATGGATATGACGAACAATCAATTTTGTGTCTACTAGGTCGTGAATATCATTTCGGTGCTAGAGTTGAATGCTGCCTTTTCTTTTGGCTTGTTTTTGCCCTCCCTCCTCCTTTTTCTTTTCTCCGTTATTTGAGCAACATCTGTTTCTTCGGCACTGATTCCTTGCATTACATAATCTCAGGTATTAGCTGTTGGATCAGAACCTTTCCTCAATCGCTTCGACCTAAATGGGAAGATTCTTTCACGGATACCATGCGCTCCTCAGTCAGCATTCTCTGTCTCTTTACATCCATCAGGGGTAATCTCCTACTTCTCTCCGAGTGCATTTTTCTCGGAGTTTACTATTTATCTGTGCGACCAGCCCTAAGAATGGATGAACAAGTGGATGTAAATGTAATCGACACCCCTAGGTTTAGTCGTGCTTCTTCTGATGCATTCAGATCCTTTTGTTCATTCTGAATTCAGGTGACAGCAATTGGAGGTTATGGCGGTCTTGTGGACGTGATCTCACAGGTTCGAAGCCACTACTGCACTTTCCGCTGCAGCCGAGCATAAGGAGAGAAGGAGAATTGTTTGTTTATGTCTTTGTGGAGCGAAACCACATCACTGCTAGTAATCCGGTGATCTCGAATGAACAGTTGTCAGCATTATCTGGTGATCATCCCCATTTGACTTCCAAAGTTTTCTTTCTAAGCAGTTAGAAGGTGATATAGGGATTGATATCTGCCAAGAAGTTTGTGAGGGGCAACAAGAGGGGAACTGTAGATTCCCTGTTTCGATTGTAGCGATGAATTCGGTATTGGTGTTAAACAAGATTCTCTTATCTTGACCCAATTTGATCTTAGTTAACCTCCTATCACATTTCAGGAGTGATCATCTCCCTCGTCACGAAGTCGTAGACCATACAGTGAAATCTTTTTCCTTATGATCTGGGATCACCCTCTTGACTTCATGGGTTGACCAATTACCACTTACCACTTACCACATGCACTTTCGTCGTTGGACCACAAAAGCCCAAACTACGAGGGGGAGAAAGTGGGCCTGTGGGCCAATCCGAATGGGCTTAGGTATCCAGCGCCCTACGATTACGAATCCGAGAAGGAAAAAGAGAAGGGGAACGAAAGGACGGCAGAAACACGTAAAGAAGCGACGGTATAAATAGCAGAGTCGGAGCTAACCCTTTGGCCCTCTAACCCTTTGGCTTCCGCGAAAAAGTAAAGATACAAAGAGAGACTATCCCCAGCAGCGCAGCGGCAGCCAACCAGCAGTTCCCGACTTAGCTTTGCTTCTGTTTAACTCCGCTGCTTTGTGGGAAGAACCGCTGAAAACCCTAGTTCTTCTTCTTCTTCCTGAGACGAGACTGCTCCTCGTCAAACCGCCTTTTGTCAAATCTCGCAATCGCAAACAAACACAGGTTCTTCTTTCTTCCCTCCTCTCGCATCTCGTCCTTGGTGATTTCTTCTGTTTTCCTCCCTCGATTTCTTTTTTTCCTGAGTCGTCATCTATCGCGTTCGCGTACTGTGAGTTTGTCTAGCTAGCCCTGTCGATTTACACCTGCAACCTTACTGGGTTTCTTGATCTCTCTTTGATCTGGAGTGTCATGGTTTATTGTGTTTTTATTGTTGAACTCGCGCGTATGTACGCCCTGTTGGGTAAATCTGCTTGAATTTTGGTTGATTTGGGGGGTGTGGGTTATGTCAGATTTGTGGGTCTGTTGTTGTGTTATCGGCTTCTTACGGGGTCGATTTGTATGGCTTTTTGCAGTTTTCAACTATGGCAGGACAAGCACCAGACGGCGCGAACAATTTTGATGCCAAGAGCTATGATCTAAAGATGAACGAATTGTGAGTGTCCATTCAATTGGGTTTTGTTGTTTATATCTTTTGGTTGGTAAAGGTTCTACCTTTTCCCCTTGCTGTTTGTGGTTAGGTCTACCCACTGTGAGACGCATCCTAAACCTTTTTTTTTGTCCCACAACTTGTGTCCTGTAGACTTTCGGCTGATGGGCAGGACTTCTTTGCTTCCTATGATGAAGTTCATGAAACCTTCGACTCCATGGGCTTGCAGGAGAATCTTCTTAGGGGCATTTATGCATACGGTAGATTTGATTGTTCTTACCTGTTATTTATCTAGTGTTCCCCTTGTTTTGCTATCTTCACCCATTTAAGTTTGTAATAATAAATGGTTGTCCGGTTCAACTTCTACTATCTTGTGTGTTATGGAATGCCCATTGTATTCTGAGTGCTGATGTTATGCTTCTGTAGGTTTTGAAAAGCCATCTGCTATCCAGCAGAGAGGAATTGTCCCTTTTTGCAAGGGGCTTGATGTGATTCAGCAAGCCCAGTCTGGAACTGGAAAGACTGCTACTTTCTGTTCTGGTATCCTGCAACAGCTTGATTATGCCTTGGTGGAATGCCAGGCTCTGGTCCTGGCTCCAACTAGAGAGCTTGCCCAGCAGATTGAGAAGGTTATGCGTGCACTTGGTGATTATCTTGGCGTCAAGGTTCATGCTTGTGTTGGTGGAACCAGTGTCCGTGAGGATCAGCGCATCCTTTCCAGTGGAGTACATGTCGTTGTTGGTACCCCTGGTCGTGTCTTTGATATGCTCCGTCGACAATCCCTCCGTGCTGATTCCATTAAGATGTTTGTCTTGGATGAAGCTGATGAGATGCTTTCCCGTGGATTCAAGGACCAGGTAACATTTTTTGCTTACAAGTTGTAGTTTTTGAAATTTGACAGTGTGTTTCTTTAAGATTAAGAATTGGTTCTTTTCCCCCCAAAACTTTGTTAATCAATGGGTCTTAGACAATTTTATGGATATTGGATGAATTGTTTGGAAACATGTGTTTGTTTTAGCGTGTAAGCAACACCTATTGACTTATTTTGTTTTGGGTGTTTCAACATCTACTTGGTTGGCCTATCGATGTCTGTATACCAAATGTGTAACCCTAATCTAGTCTCTTGTTGCTGGCCCAGATATATGATATCTTCCAGCTTCTGCCACCAAAGATTCAAGTGGGCGTCTTCTCTGCAACAATGCCCCCTGAGGCTCTGGACATCACCAGGAAGTTTATGAACAAACCAGTTAGGATCCTTGTGAAGCGTGAGGAGCTCACTTTGGAAGGTATCAAGCAGTTCCATGTCAATGTGGACAAAGAAGAGTGGAAGCTGGAGACACTCTGTGATCTCTACGAGACTCTAGCCATCACCCAGAGTGTCATCTTTGTGAATACCAGGCGCAAGGTGGACTGGCTGACCGACAAGATGAGGAGCAGGGACCACACTGTCTCTGCCACTCACGGTGACATGGACCAGAACACTAGGGACATTATCATGAGGGAGTTCAGGTCTGGCTCATCCAGGGTCCTGATCACCACCGATCTCCTGGCTCGTGGTATAGATGTCCAGCAAGTGTCGCTGGTCATCAACTATGACCTGCCCACTCAGCCCGAGAACTACCTGCACAGGATTGGTCGTGGTGGTAGGTTTGGAAGGAAGGGTGTGGCCATCAACTTCGTGACCAAGGATGACGAGAGGATGCTTTTCGACATCCAGAAGTTCTACAACGTGGTGATTGAGGAGCTCCCAGCCAATGTTGCGGATCTTCTGTGAGAGAGGCGTTTTGCTGTGTTGCCTTTCCTTTTGCTGCCTTGAATGAATTGAGTGAGAGAGATTATGATGCATGGAGACACTGACCTGTCGTTATTAGTCTTGTACTCTCTTCAATCTTTGTTTTTATGTTTTTGTTGCTCTTCTTTTTTTTATGGTTGGGACTTGATTAGTATTCACTATGGAGAAGTAGAAGGCTTTGTTATGTTGTGAAATTGTTCCAATTTTGGATTTTAGCAGGTAGTAGTTGGGTTGCATTGTGGAATACTTCTATTTAATACAGATGTCTGTATTTATCATCCATTGCTTTCTTCTTGGTGGGCTTTCGATGATTTGTTGGTTGTAGTTCCCTGCAATGCCGGGAACTCTGCTAAGCTTATATCTAACCTTAGTGATGAATGATAATGTCCAACTTTAGTCCTAGTCAGTTTTCACAATGTAGCTAATGGTTGTCAAAATCACAGTTCACTTTCTTGACATTCATCATTTTCCACTTGACCTACTTGTTCCTTATGCGGCCCTTCCTCTGATTTGAGAAATATTGATGATGTCCTTCGTAGAAAGAAGTAAAATATAACACTCTCGAGGACCCAAGTCGGAATTCCAAGCAAATTTAAGAGCAAGGCCAATTGTGTTACCTGTGTTCGTAGGGCGTTTGCGAGCCTGGTTGGTGTTAGGTTTGCTTCTTTTGGTGCTGGTCGCATGTGTGGCTTGAAGGAAGGGAATGTGGGAGTTGGTGGACATTGGACCACTGTATGGGAGGACGACCACTTTAGGTAAAAGGAAGCTCTAGTGGTGCACAAAGAGTTGCTTGGCGTTTGAAGTCTCTGGTGATGAGGGTTTGGTTCAAGTGCCTAGGTGTGATTGGAAATTTCGAAAGCGAAGTTGGCATCAACGAGCGTACACTCTCCTTGCCATCGTGAACAAGTGGGAAGTTTTGACATTGACCCGGGCCGAGTATGGATTGAGTTAGTTCGCTACTTAACTCGAACCTTTGGAGACAAGGTTCTTTCGGTGGGGGTGGTGGGATATTGCGTATATGTTTCACACCATTATTATTATTCTTTTTATTAGGATTAGTTAATATAATTAGTATTATAATTATCATTGGTTTCTTAGTCCCCAAGTAGCAATTAGTAGAGTCCTAGTAGGAAAACGTTAGTTGGCAACATTCCTACTTGGCAGAATGGGTTAGGGTTGGTTATTAGATTTAGGGTTTGTCTTTATGATAAATATGTACTTTATGGTTCAGTTATTATCGTAGCTTTTATTCGTTCGTATCTTATGAGTAGAAGTAATTTAGCTATATTCTCTATGTTTGAGAAAATTTATACGCAACACTTAAGAGAGTGTCATGTGTATTGAAAATGGATCGTTATACCAGGGTGTAATATATTTGATCTCGTGTATTAGGTGAGGGAAAGAGATCGAGTTTGCAAACAATTTGTTGGCTCTTTTGTCCCGTTTATTTCTTTTCTTATTCAAACGCTTAGTTGGTATTTCTGTCATAAACCAGTTGGTTCCAATAACTCGAGTTATTGGGAGACGGTTATGCTGGATCTTATACCACACTCTTACACGCCTCATCAAACGAAAGCCAACTCACGGGCTTGAAGTTTTCCCAGGCGATCATCATATCTTGTGCTTTAATTAACTGTTAATATTGGGGGTCGTGGAGATTCGAACACACGACCACTTGGCCAAACATGCTCTGATAGTTGGTCCCAACTGGTTTATGACAATTTCTAGCTAGTCAAAATTCTATGTGGAATGAGTTAACGTATGCATCGAGATTAGTATATGACCGACACACATACGTTAAGTGAAATCAATATGACGGATCAACACGCATATGAGATGGAAAAGATTTAACTTGACCCACCACCTATATTTGTTTACTAATAAATCCACCAAAATTTTCCCACTTGGCGAGCTACCTGTAAGGTATTTGGGAGTGCCACTACTTTCAGGTAAGCTGACTTCTGTTAATTGCCAATGTTTAGTTGACAAGATCACAAACCAGATCACAAGCTGGCAAGCTAGGACCTTGAGTTATGCGGGGAAGCTCCAGTTGATTGAATTTGTTAGCATTAGTGTTTTCAGTATTGGATGTCAGTTTTTCTGCTTCCAATGAAGGTATTAAAGATGATTGAGGATGCTTGCAATAAGTTTTTGTGGGATGTTGATGGTGACAAGAGGAAGAAAGCATGGTCGGAGATTGTTCTCCCGAGACAAGAAGGAGGTTTAGGCATCAAAGACTTTAAAAATTGGAACAAGGCTTGTGTAATTCGCCATTTGTGGAATCTGTTGGCCGAGGCTAGGGGTCTTTTGTGGGTGGCGTGGATGAATCGATATAGAATTAAAGGAAGGAATTTATGGCTCCTTTCGACTAGCTCTGTGAGTTCATGGGTTTGGAGGAAAATTCTGAAGTGCAGAAGTAAAGCTCAGTCTCTTGTCATTGGTTCAGGGGCTCCCCTATTTGGAGACGGTTCGTTTGGGCGAGCAGTGCTCAAGTTAATTTTGCAGGATGTTTGTGCATTCGCTGAGTTTGCAGATTGGAGTCCCCAGTTGCAGTGGGCTGAACAACAGTGGGTGATGTCGAGTGATAAGGCTGTTGTTGGCTGTTCGAGGGAAAGGAACTCCAGGTTGCATGGAAGTTCACGAGTAGGGATGGCAATTTCGACCTGACCCGTTTTACCCGACCTGTTTGACCTGTTTTGGGGCGGGTCCGACCCGCCTCGTAGGCGGGGCGGGGCGGGCATGGGTAGTCTCATCGACCCGACCTGCCCTGACCCGCCCCATTCTCGACCCATTCTTGTCTAAATCACATGTAATCTTAGTCAAATTACTGAGAATTTTCCTTTTATTGTATCATATTTTAGCTATAATAAAGTTGTAAATTAGTAAAAATCTCAATTTCTCCAATAATTTAACTACAATTGTCATAATATTGTTTGTTTTCTTAGTCTTATAATAAAAATAACGAATATTTCTAATGTTTTTCATATAAATTGCATACCCATTGGGTCGACCTGCCCCGACCCGCGACCCGTGATCAATTACCCGACCTGGACCCGACCTGTCACGGGGCAGGTCTGGGTACCAAGAAACCCGCCCCGGACCTGCCCCATTGCCATTCCTATTCACGAGCTACCTCCCCTGCTCAAGTCTCGGAGATGATATTGTCTCAGTTTGTCTTTTTGTTTTTTGCTATTGGATTGATGATTGTATAAGCAGAGACAGTTGTTACTTTTGAGAGGGAGTCTGCGAGTTGCAACTCCCCGCTTCAATGCAATTTTTAATTAACCATAAAAAAAATATCAACACAATTAATAATACGTTACTTAACAACAACATGATATCATTATGTGACATCTTTTCATGAAGATATCACACGTGACATCATTTTAATGACACAACAAACCTCCTGATCCGACCTATAAACTCCAGAAGCTGCCTCTTCCTTTCTTTCTTTCTATTTATTTCTACCCCCCAAAAAAAGTAGAAGAGGTTAATAATAATAATCTAATATACTTTAAAGATTCGTAGCTAAGGTTGTCAAACCTGTTTGTGCAGTGTGCCGGTTTAACAAGTGGAATAGTTCGACCGGTGGTATATACCGGTTTGTGCCGGTTCATGCCGGTTAATATTACAAATAGTTTACAAATACTCATATTTAAGCACGACATTTAACGTCAATACCTAAATATTTGTACTTGAATCTAACAAATGACATCAACATTTAACTTTTTAACACATAAAATAAATAATAAATTACATTTTATCAAATAAATTCACTAATATAAGATCATTTTACTTAGAGATTCGTATATCGATCATGTCGGTCATACCGATAGTGTCATACCTATTTTTATGACCTGTACAGGTTGAACTAGGGAAGAGGGTGATGGCGCGTGAGAAGAAAATTTAACAAAATTTAACGCTACGAACATGGTTGTCAAGCCGACCAGTGTGCCACTAAAATTTTGTTAAATTTTCTTCTCACGCGCCATCACCCTCTTCCGTCTTCCCCTTCCCTCTTGTAGCGAAATCGTCTTCTTCTCCCACTCTCTCTCTCGCCTCTGATTCAAAACTCTGAATTCTCCTCTTCTCTGAGCCAAACGAACAATTCCCGATAAACCTCCCGCGGCCATATCCGGCGCCAGCCACCGCCTCTGCATGAACGCCACCTCAGCTCCATCAAAGCCTTGACGCCTCCGTTCTCTTTTTCAGTTTTTCTACTCTCCTTTGCTGCTTCTGCTTCTGCTTCGTCGCTTCTCCCCGCTGCTTCCTCTTCTTCTTTCTCTTCCAATGGCGGTGCTCGACAACCCCGACAACAATCACATAAACCCCACCGCCTCATCCTCCTCCTCCTCCTCCGATCTCAACGGCCTTCGACACCGCCCGCCCGCCGACGAACCTGCCTCGTCATCCGCCGCCGTGAATCCCCCTGGGCCACCGACCGATTCCGGAGCTGAGAAGGTGATTGACGGTCGGGACGGTCAAGTTGCTAGATCGGATATCAAATTCACGTACCGCCCTTCCAGGCCGGCTCACGTTGTGGTTAAGGAGAGCCCACTTAGTTCCGGCGCCATTTTTAAGCAGGTCAGAAAACGTTTTCTAGTCACATTCCTTATCGAGCGAGCAGGGTTTTATGAACTAGAATTGCTACATTGGTTGGTAATAGTGGAGAACAATTTGTTCTATATGCTTTGGTTTCTTGTCACCTGCTGCAAGGCGTGTGGTCTGGCAGAGATTCGTTTGCATTTGACCAGCTTTCCATTAATATTGTTCGCAGTAAGCAATAATGAATGCCACAAGTGGGTTAGTGTGGAACTATAGGGGCAGAGCTTAGGGTTAGCTTCCTACTGGCAAGCACAGTGTTGGAATCAAACTATTGACTGATTTCTCCTTTACTTTTCTGGATTCTTAGCTCTTCATTTGCTCGTTCTTGCTCTTAGTTGTTTTCTTTGTTTCTTTTGTTCCTTCCCCCCCTTCAATTTGTCAGAGCCATGCAGGCCTATTCAACCTCTGTATTGTAGTGCTGGTTGCAGTCAACAGCAGGCTCATTATCGAGAATCTCATGAAGGTTTGTCCATTTCACTCTTCGTCATTTCTTTGTTTGTTAAGTCATGTTGAACTTCACATTACCACTCTTCGTCACTCTTCTTATAGTTCTCGGTTTATGCTTTGGCAGTATGGTTGGTTGATTAGGACAGGATTCTGGTTTAGTTCGAAATCCTTGAGAGATTGGCCCCTTTTCATGTGCTGGTAATGTTTCATATTGATCCCATTTGCTCTAACCAACATGTTGTTTAGGTTGTCAGACGTGTTGCTCTTTTCTTTTGGGATGGAAGGTTAAACGTGTTGCTTGATGTGGGTTTCTTTTGTTGCAGTCTGTCCCTTCCTCTTTTCGCTTTTGCTGCATATCTAGTTGAAAAGTTTGCGTATCGGAAGTATCTTTCTGAACCAGTAAGTATCACCCCTTTTGTGAATGATAGAGCTAATTTTTCGCAAATCCCTTCTCAAGAAAAGCTTGTTGAACCCACTGACTAGTACTTGTCTCTTGCTATTACAGATAGTTGTTTCCCTTCATATACTCATCTCCGTGGCAGCAGTTGTGTACCCTATTTCAGTGATTCTCAGGTTTGTCTTCATCCCTTTGCCTTATATAAACCATTGCTTCTTTCATTTTTGTGGGCTTGTGGCAGGTCCGTCACCTGTCTGTTAATGTTGTTGAGATATTCCACGAAGAGATGTGTTAAGAGAGTTGGATATGTCATAGAGTGTGCAACTAGAAAACTGTAACACAAATGTACCATGATTGTTATGTTTGTTGTCGATTTATGCAAGATAGAATTGAAGGGTTTATTTGCAGTCCCACAATAACAGATACAGAAGAGGTTGTTATGAGTTTGATAATTTCAAGTTTGACGAAATTAGGTAGTGTTTATGTTCCCAAAATCAAACCTAACTGTCTCTCAATTATGTCGAATCACCTGATCTTCACATGTTTAGCATTGCTGCACTTCTTAGGGAACCATGATCGTGCATCAGCCATTAAACTGGTGCTAGCATTTTTGCTTATTGTTGGAACTGTGGATGCTTTGTTTTTTGCAGCTGTGACTCTGCATTTTTATCTGGTGTGACATTGATGCTTTTTGCTTGCATTGTATGGTTGAAATTGGTCTCATATGCTCATACGAACTATGATATGAGGGCAGTTGCCAAGTCATTTGAAAAGGTAACAATTTCATTGTCTTCTCCTTCTTTGGTTTACATTCTGTATCGGTTACTCTAGTGTGATGTTTTGTTAATTGCGACAGTTAATCTGATCATCTGACATTAGCTTGGTGTACTCTGATTATGGCCCTAGTGCTCATCACATATCATCAGATATCTCATGTTGTTGCCCTTTCAATGTTAATTTAAATGCAATCTATGTTATTTTGTTTGACTAATTCGTATCCTCTGGTATTCCTTAGATTATATTGTATAATCAATTTGCCAATCTTCCCTGTTCCACTTTGTCAGGTGAACAGATGGAAGGAAAAGAACAATAGCAGTTCAAATACATGTTCTTGTCCTGCCCCAATCTTGTTACACAAATATTCATTCCGAATTGGCCGCTTTGATTGCAGGGAGAAGCTCCTTCTGCTGCTCTGAATGTGGACTATTCTTATGATGTTAACTTCAACAGCTTGGTATATTTCATGATTGCTCCTACATTATGTTATCAGGTAAGAAGTCCTTGACCTGCTAACAGAGTCTGGATTCTTCAGCCTTTTTGATTGCTTAGAACTTAGGTTATCTTCCCCCTGTTAAAAACATCAGAGAAGATAAAGTATAGGGGGAACACAGCTGAAAATGAAAAACAATTGGTGTATAGAAAAGAGACGCTGTTGCCATATCTAGTACTATGGTTAACCTCCATTGCAATACTGCTCAACTTGCTTGGAAGAAGATTATTAAGCATTTCAAATTCTTTCTTTCTAATACATTTTTTTTTTCTGCCAATGCACATTTGTAGTATACTTGTGTTTTTGGTGAGAACATTTTTATTATCTGCGCTGTTCATTAGGTGGCGTATAAACTGCCAAGCTCAGGAGTGTTGGTTTTAGTTCTAGTTATGCTTCTCCCTATCCTTGATGTTAATACAAGTTCTTACGTTATGATTTGTAATTTTCAGCCAAGCTATCCTCGCACACCATCCATCCGAAAAGGTTGGGTGGTTCGCCAGTTCATCAAGTTGGTGATATTTACTGGTTTAATGGGATTTATAATTGAACAGGCGAGTAGAAGCTCAGTGTTGAAGTTAGCTTTCATTTCCCTTTTCTTTTCCACTAATTTCATACCATATGGTTGGTTCTGCAGTACATTAATCCTATTATCCAGAACTCACAGCATCCTTTTAAAGGGAATCTCTTGTATGGAATTGAGAGGGTTTTGAAGCTTTCAGTCCCAAACTTGTATGTGTGGCTATGCATGTTCTACTGCTTCTTTCATTTGTGGTGAGTTTACTTTTATGTGTTCCGTGGTACTGCAGGTTCTCCTTCTTATCAAGTTTCTGATGATTTATGTTCCGCCAGTATCGTGCCCGCTGTGCATTGCACGTTGTCATGTTCTTGCCTGCATCCAAACTAGCTAGTTTGCTGTAATGCATTATCATAAACGTAGGATCTATTTTGGCAACCTCCATATGAAAATTTATCTTTCTTTTCTATCAGCTTGTCAGATCAAAATCAATCAATCCTTAAGTGGAAATATGCTAGTGTCGTTTTACTTTTTTATCCTACGGGTGTCTTCCTTTCTTAGAGTTAATGTTGTATATTTCTCCACCCTTGCATTTTTAAAACCCAGACATTATTATTAACCTATCAGTGTATCTCCTTTTAAACATTTGTTTAATAGCTTGAGACCAAGAACAATGATTTTCCCCTTTTTCTCTTTCCTAGTTTCCAACTTGTTTCATGTGGTAGTAACATAGAGAAGAGTTCCTATTTTCAGCTTGGTGGTGATTTTACCATGCAGCTTTCTCTGTTTATGTGTCTCTCCCTTCTCCCTGAATAACATCTTGCTACTATGTGAATGCTCTTTTTTACCCTTCCCCGTGTAAAAATCCATGCCTGAGCTTAGTTATCCTTACCTCCATTGCTGCAAAAATAGGTTAAACATACTTGCAGAGCTCTTGCGTTTTGGTGACCGGGAATTCTATAAAGATTGGTGGAATGCGAAAACTGTTGAAGAGGTAGGGGTTTGCAGTCATTGAATTAGTTCTTTGTTTCTCTTAAAATGCTTCTGGTTCTGATTCTGTAAGGTTGGCAATTATCCCGGATTTGCTGCTTTCCTCAGTACTGGAGAATGTGGAATATGGTACAACTCTTTTCTCAATATTCTAGTCTTCCTCTCCTTTTTCCAGACTCCATCTGAGCTTGCATCCCTTCTGATAATCGGCAGTTGTTGAAATAAGTATTGACTGATTGCTAACTGATCACAGCCAGTTCACAAGTGGATGGTTCGCCATATCTATTTCCCTTGCCTGCGGCACAAAATCCCCAAGGTAAGTGTCGACGCTCATATTGGAGTTGTATTTCAATCCACTAGATAAATATGAAGTTTATTCATGCAAATTCTTGGGAAAAGCTATGTTCTAACTGTGTATTTCCTTTGCGCAGGGAGTAGCAATATTTATTGCGTTCTTTGTTTCCGCTGCATTTCATGAGGTATAATTGAGCCTCCTGCAATTTATTTTTTCTGCCCCCGTCTCCCTGGTACAGTGGTTTTCTTGTATAGCAATAGGTCATATACTTTTTATTTAAGTTACAAGCAAAACAGGAGTGACTATTGGTCGTTGTCATTACTCAGTACTATAGATACAAAATGTAACACTGGATCCTTCATCATGTAAGACACAGCATGTAGAATAAGCTTGGTTGGTTTGATCATGGGTTGTAGGCATCCTCATGTACTTTATGAGGATAGATTACCAATTTTGCACTGGCTTTCTCTCATGGTGTCCTGTTGACTGTGTAATTCCCTGCTTGCCCATCTAGTAGATGGCCCTTCATGTTCGATTGCCTTTCATCTATATGCCGTTTTTGAACTTCTATGTTCAGTTGGATAATATGTTGTGTGTGTCCATCCTAAGATAAGATATTTGTCATCCACAGCTGTGCATTGCTGTTCCTTGCCACATCTTCAAGCTCTGGGCGTTTCTTGGAATTATGTTCCAGGTACGGTTGAGCCATATCACATCAACTAACTTCACTCTTGTACCCATTTATGTTTGGAGAAATATTTAATGAAATTTAGAATTCTTGAATTATCACGCACGGGGTATCATAGAGATGCAGCACCTGACCACGTAACGATGCTTGAACCTTTTTCTTGACAGATCCCACTTGTCTGGCTTACAAATGTTCTGCAGGAGAAGTTCAAGAGCTCAATGGTAATGTCTTACCCAGATAACTGAAAAATTGCACCACTCTTGATTCAGGTTGTTAATATCTGTTCACCTTTGACAGGTGGGGAACATAATATTTTGGTCAATGTTCTGCATATTTGGCCAACCAATGTGTGTGCTTCTCTACTATCACGACCTGATGAACAGGAACGGGAAAGATGGAATCTGAAGGGGAAACACTTGGAGCACATGGTGTGCTCTGTTTCACAATCTACAGAGATCAGTTCCACTCCATTGACTGTTGTTGCTGCCTCGCACCGGGAAATTATATATACACGCCCTTTCAAGATGAAGATGTGATCATCAGAGAAGTAAAATCGTCATTCGTCGGGCACTCCCTCAAACACTATCACCACGGGGATCCCTTTCGAGACGCTGGGGGACGCAAAGGCAGTTTTGAAACCCAGCAGAGAGCAGAGGCACATATAAAGCTAACAACAAGGTGTCTGGCCGTCATGATTAGGATGAAAAGCCAAAGTAGAGCAGGAGATGGATGTGGATTAGTGGTTTAGCAAAAGCTGGGGAATTTGTAAATCGAAAGGCTATCAAAATGTGTGTTGATGCTCTGATCCTCTCATAGAATGTTGCTGCAATGTTGTGATTCCTTGGCTAAATACAAAGAAGAAAATCAATGGAAGCATGATGTGATCATGGTCTAGATAAAATTGGAGCACAGGTCAAAGCACGGGCATTACCTGTTTTAGGCAAATGATTGTAAAATCTTATCGGAGTTTTTTTTTTTTTTTCCTTCCAAAAGATCACTCGTATTATCGAGAAAACAGTCAGATACAAAAGAGTTACATAGCTGAAAACAGCCAAGAAACAAAATCGAACCCCACCAAAGAAGGGGACACCGAGAAAACAGTCAGATACAAAAGAGTTACATAGCTGAAAACAGCCAAGAAACAAAATCGAACCCCAGCAAAGAAGGGGACAACGAACGGGCTTTTCTTACCACCAAATGGGCAACCCTATTAAACTCCCGACCCACAAAAATAACCCGAAACTCCTAGAACAAGCCTCGCATACTTCGGAGTTTGGTATCGGATAAGTTGGTGCTGGGTTATTTTGTTGTTAGAATTATGGTTGATTTAATCGTAGAATTATGGTTGATTTAATCGTTTTATATCAATAAAAATTTATTACGATTTGAGGTTGAAAAAACAGTTTTTCAACTGGATATTTGTAGGTGGTAAGCAGATTTCTGCCCTTCAAGTCTTATTCTCTTTCTAAAATTGCTGATGATTATCTCATGAGTATCCTAACCACATTCCAAGTCTCCCGAATCAAATGAGTGGGTAATGACCAATCAATCATATGACATTTCCATAATACATGAAGGGTTAACGCTTTAAAAATTGCCACTCGACCATTATTTAATAACTAAGAGGAAAAGGTTATGGATGGCCTTACCTAATCTAATGATTGAAAATAGATCAAGACATTTCGAACAACCTGTTTGGATAGACAAAAAACTCAGAAATTGGAGTTCTATTTTCAATTCGAGTTTCATATTTTATGTTTGGAAGGATAAGAAGGTTGAGAAATGAATTCCATTTGGGCTAAATTTTGGGAATTATAATTCCTATAGGAATTGGGTTTATGATGATGGAATTAGTGGGTTCCATCACTATTTATTATTATCTTATTAACCAACTATCACCCTACTCTCTTTCTTTATCATTCATATTCCATTTTCCAAGATAAAACAAATATAATACATTATTAATTATTGTTAAAAGTGCAATTCATTCCTATAGTTAAAGGAATTATACCAAACACTAAAATTGGAAATGGAGTTATATAAAAATAGGAAATGGAAATAGAATTTCATTTCCATTTCTTCCTGAATTGTATCCAAACAGGCTGGAAAAATTGGTGAGCCGTTTGGTCCGGACCGTAAACCGTTAAGAATTGTATTGTCTAGTCTATAACATATTTTATAGAATATATTGATTATCTAGCTCGATCTAGACCACGGTTTACCGTAGTAAACAATGGTCTCAACCCACTTCCCATTTCGCTTGGCAACTCACTCAGCCACTCTCCTGACTCATTAACGAGATACAGTTCTCAACCCTAATTTTGCAAAACTTGTCTCCTCATTTATTCATAAACCATTCTCCGTCACAATGGTGTATCCACATATGACATTATGTCAACATTTATAACAGTTCAGGTACAAGTTGGGTTGTTCTAACTTTGTATTTTTGTTATTTACTTGGATTTATGGTATCAAAATTATGCATATTGTGTTATGATTTATATCGTAAAGAAAAAAACATATTTTTTCTCTTTATTATTGGTTATTTTTTTCATGTGAATGACAAAACAAACTGCTCATTTTTTTGTTCAGTGTGATTTGTACGGTCCACACTATAACAAACCAAACCACACTAACGTAATCTGATATAAACCTTGTAATGTTGTGGAATGTTCCCGATTCATTTTACAACTTTTCGATCTGAACCACAAACCATATGTATGATCCGATCTAAACCAAAATGCATCCAGGCCAATCCCTCCTCTCCCTACTTCATTTCCTTCTAAAGTCAGCGCCAACTGCCCTCAGTCAAAATTTGAAAATTAAGGCAACAGGACAAAAATGGGGGAAAAACAATAATTACCAAAAGAAAAAAAATCATGTTAAGTTCAACTGTAAAGAGTAGACAGGCAGGTGATGAAACCAAAGGGGGAAGGCCAACACTCCCCCATTTCTCAAGGATTCTTCTTCCCTTTTCCCTCAATTCCAATGGCCGCTCCCTCCTCTCCCAGATAAAAATCTTCATCCTTTACAGCTACCCAGATCAGATCCTCTCTTATTCTTCGAAATGGAAGATTACAGATCCAAATCCTACGCCGACGGACGCTCCTCCCAGCTAGACCTCTACCACTACGGCCCACCGCCCCTCGCCGCCGGAAGCGGCGGCGGCGGTGGTGGAGTGCAAGATCTCAGGTGCTACAGCGCCTCCTACGCGGCGTCCTCCGTCTACCCGGCCCAGACCGGCGGAATCGGCGGCCAGTTGGAGATGAACAACAACAACAACAAGGACCTGAGGTTGAAGAAAGGCAAGTCGGCAAATGGGTCGGTTTCCAAGACCTGGAGCTTCAACGACCCGGAGTTGCAGCGGAAGAAGCGGGTGGCTAGCTACAAGGTGTACACTGTGGAAGGCAAAGTGAAAGGCTCGTTCAAGAAGAGCTTCCGCTGGCTCAAGGATCGATACACCAGAGTCGTCCATGGCTGGTGGTAGTAGCAGCAGCTAGATTCGGGTTTCCTTCTTCTTGATTGTATCTCTGTGCAACTGTTGTAGCCGTCCGTTCCTCTGGTCTATTGTGTTGTCTGGGTGTTTGTAAGCTGTTTTTGCACCATAAAGTATATGATTAGTGTCATCAAAATACACTACAGTTGGAAATTGAAATCCATCAATGGTGTCTGATTTGATCCAGCCGATCGAATTGCCCTCTTTGTGCTTGTGGGTTTGTTTCACAATCAAAGTATCTCTGCCTATCGATTATGGGTTTTGTCTCAGAATCTTGGATGAAGCTGGGAAGACTGACAGAGTCATCGTTGTGGTTTAGAAGGAAGTGGTTCATATTTGGCGAATTGTATGGTTCTGCAAGTGGAATGGAAGGATTCCTTACTTCCTTTCCTTGCTGGTATGATTCCCAAGTAAAGCAGAGAGGATAAAGGAAGGATCTTTAGCAGAAAGTGGAATAAAGGAAATGGCACCTGAGGGGAGAAAAGCAAGGGTTTTTGAATTGGAAAGTTGGCTGTTGCGGAGCACGACACCTTGTGGAACGGGAAAGTAGGCGGCGGCAGAGGCAGATTGCCGGAATTGACCATTTGCCATTCCATGTTATCGGAACTGCAAGTAGTAATAAAATTATCTTTCGACGTCTGATTTGTTGGGATGGTAGCAGCTTTCTTGGGGCAATTGTTTATACCAACTTGCACCAACATCATAAATATTAACATCAAAATGTCTATTCTGCGACAAAGTGTGGTTTATGAATGAAGAAGTGAACAAGATTCACAAAATTATAGTTGAGACTCGTTGAGAAGTTGGAAGAAAGGTCGAGTGAGCTACGAACACAAATTAGTGACGGAGCTGCGTCCCCCTTTTGGTTTTGTGAATTACAGTTTGGACTATACATACCATTCTTAACAATTCATATTCCCCAAATTTCTCATTTGCCGCCACAGTGGAAAAAAGTGCAGAAGAGAGCTTAGAAGATCTTAGAATCTGATTATGAGAAGTGAGCAGTAGCAAATACCAAAGAACAAGCAAATTCACTACATTGATGAATTGGTGATGCCGAAAACCTGTCAATGTGCAACCTGGCTCACGCCAATAATCGAGATACCAAGGATATGGTCGTGTGAACTGAAAAGCAAATGCAGGATAAACGAAATCTTACGCGGTGGAATTACAACGATATGAGAAGATTTAAAGCTTAAGATGACCATGGCAAATTATATGATCAACCTGGGATGGTTTAAACGGGCGCAAATTCATAGTTGGAACTAAAATGGCTTACACACAGCATCTGTTGCAGAGAGCAACAATTCAATCCCCAGAAGCTTTGCCTCTCTATTTTCATGTATGTGCACTTCCCGGGTGTTCAAACCGGAAATAAAATCCGGCCTTACACTCTTTTTCCACCTTCAACAACAAACTCATCACACCCTTGTACCAAACTAGTCTACCCAGCTGAGCAATAACAGCACACATCATTGGAGATCCTCCTGCTTTACAAACAAATTTTTAGTTCATGCTTATCAGCTGCCTGCCTCAGCCTGCTTGCAGAAGATATAGAGAGAATCTCTCTTAATATGGAACTTTGTCATCACTGTCAACAGTCAGACCCTCGATTCCCTTCAGGGCGGATTCAAATGTAGTCTTTATCTGCGTTGTATTTCTAGCAGAGGATGATGTACGCCTGGCAGGGTCCCCCGACGAACCAACAGGAGGGGGGCTTCTTTGACCACTCGAAACTTTCACCAGACCAGCACCTCCACCAGACTCGCTTCTTCCAGCGGCAAACATATCGCCATGGCTGCTCGAAACAGCTGCTGCAGCACGCCTCGACGATCGACCCAAGAAGTTGGAGCTTGGTAACTGCATACTCATCATCAACCATAAGATCCTGTCAATTCATGTCAAACTGTCTTTAACTGGATCTGCAACCAAGTAAAATGCGACATATTTAGAACCTACAATGGGATCCTTAGGAGCATCATTTCCAACCGGACTCTTTTGCTTATTATTTGTATAACTTCCAGAGTTCAATATTGGTCCAGAGAATCTCCGTCGAGCGGGGTCCATGGACTGCCCAGCAGCAGGACGTGCCTCTTCAGCTGCCAGGACACGGGCAAAAAGTACAAACACAACATCACACTCATATAATTCTGATAACCAAAAGAGTACAAATGAACTGTCCATTGGAGATTAAAATTGGCATAGTCTTGCTGACAGTAGTAGTACCTCTACGAGTACGAGATCTAATGACAAGAGTAAAAAGGAAAGACCAAGGTTGTAGTATATATCCAGTTCCTTAATCCACAAGAAAACACTATAAACTCATAGTATGCTAAACAAGCTACAATTAACAGTACCTGTCTGTCTATCCACATTGGCAATAGGAGGCATTCCAGAACTAGTTCCAACACCCGGAGCCTACGCAAAACAAAAACCATTTTAAACTGCTGTCCTGCTAAGGACTAACATTAACATAAAATGAAATGCTACAACTAAGACTTACAAGGCCACGAGCAGGAGGATTAGCCAGCTGGGATTGCTGATACTTCAATATTGTCCAGTCAAAGACATAATCAAACTGGAAGCCTGTTATACATCATTTCAAAATACCGTTAAAGGACTGAATAAACAGACTCCATCTTTCACTCAGCAACCTCCGGAAAGCTAAGAGCAGAAAAATAATACACAGGACAGGAAGAGTGACTGTACCTTCACGAATGAAGAGATCACGGAATATTCTTTTCAAGTATGCATAATCTGGCTTATCGTCGAACCGTAATGAACGACAGTAATGAAAGTACGAAGCAAATTCACTTGGATATCCCCGACACAAGGCCTGATGAAACATTGAATATCAGATCTACTTCATGAACTCAAGTAAAAAAGCAACGTGTGATATCTTACCTCAATTGAAGTAGAAACCTTCTTTTCACTAATTTTCTCATACTTCTGTTTCTTCGTTCCTGCTTTTAGTCCCTGCCAAGGAAGGCTACAAGGACATTGACTGATGAGAACGGGCACTAGGAGGATATAGTATCAGATGCAGGAGATAGGGGCAATAATCACCTTCCTCTCAGGAAGTACATAAGAACATAACCAAGAGACTCTAGATCATCCCTTCTGCTTTGCTCTGTCAAATACCAAAAGATAAGGAAAAAGAGCATCAGAGAAGAAAGTACAGCTAAAAGAAGATAGACATTAAAGCAGCATAAGTGCATACCAATCCCAAGATGAGTATTCATGCTTGCATATCTAGCAGTGCCAGTCAAACTTTTGTTTTCCCTGCAATTTTTATCATCCGTTTAAGTTACCATCATCAAGTTTCAACCAAATTCTACACAAAGACTAAACAGAAATGGCAGGAATAAAGTAGCTTCAACGATCAAAACCACATGAATAAGAAAGTGAATGTAAAATAGTTTTAAATAAGCAACAAAAAGAAACTAATTGTAGATACTGTGGTTGCAGTAGCTCAAGCATTCTGCACGTATCGATAAAGCAGTGGAAATGTGAACAAAACATTACCCACAATACTGGTAACATGTAAGAATCATGATACTACAGCAGTATAATAGTAACATAAACCATCCCATGAAACAAATAAGGACAGTTTGGGTCTTAGATGGCAACGTAGTGGCAGACCTGTATGGAATGTGCTGATGAGTTGAGCTATCCCGATATTTCTTAGCCAAACCAAAATCAATGATGTATACCTACAAGTATGCAATGACAGCTTCATTTAATTTTCCAATTGTAGAAAAGAAAGAGCTCGTAGGAAAGTTATTTCCAAAATAAATAAAAACCTGATTGGCCCGTCTTCCAAGACCCATCAGAAAATTGTCTGGCTTGATGTCTCGATGTAAGAAGGACTTAGTGTGAACAAATTCTACTCGATTGATCTAACAGCAGGTAAGAAACAGTATAAGGACGAAATTGTCATCATGTACAGAAGCTTGCAGCAAAACAGGAAGATAAAGAAGCATACCATCTGATCTGCAAGCATAAGAACAGACTTTAAAGAGAGTTTCCGACTGCAAAAATTAAATAGGTCTTCAAGACTAGGACCAAGCAAATCCATCACCAGAACATTGTAGTCTCCTTCAACACCAAACCACCTCACATTTGGAATACCAGCTGGCGCATAAACAAAAATAAATATATCAGAACGGATTAGCACGCAAGCCAGATTTTAGCCGTGCACGTCTTATAGATGAAACATACAGTTCGAAATATACAACCAGATAAAATAACCAATGAATAAACTATGATCTCAGTAAGTATGATTACTTCCTCCCTGCAAGATTCTGTATAACTTGGATTCATACAACAGCTGAGGATGCTTTGTCTTCACACTCTCCTGCACATCATGAAACAGCATTGTTTAACATGCAACTTAAGCAATCAATTTTAGCCGAAAGGATTTCAAATAAAGTGCGCGAAAATTTCATAAGGCATCACATGATGAATAAGTCAGAGTACAGATACAGATCTAGCCAAGCCAAGCCAAGCCAAGCCAAGCCAAGCCAATAACGAGTTTTACTTTCACAAATAAAAAAATCACCTCAGTTAATGGATGCATTCAATGAAGAAGAGTGTCGCGAAACAAAGAAAAAGCATAACACTTGAATTACCTTTCAATGACAAGATATAAAGTCTCATGAAGAGGCAAAAACACATTCAGAAGATATTTCTAGAAAGCACAGACACAAGTTATTAGCACATGAACAGCCGCTAAAGACATGCATTGAGAGGCCAGATAACATGGACTAAAATCCTACAGATAGATAAACATCATAACAAAGGTAATAAGATGAATTTTTCTCAGGGACATGCATGTTCCACAGGTAGAACTTGCAGATGAGGGTCATTTAGGAGCTAGTTAAAGCATGCATGAGGAACATTCCTATCGACAATAGTATACAACAGACAATCAATTTACTAAGTTCTTTAAGATTTCAAAACACGGGCTTAGGCGAAAGGGCACAGAAACAGCTTGGAGCTCACGAAACCACTTGAACCACAAATAGACTACTACACTCTTGACTAGAACACGCTTATAATCTTTAAGTCCATGAAAAACTTAGCACTGTGCGTGGTCAACTTTTGCACATTAACCAACTAACCCATATTTTTTTATGAGCCAACTAACCCATATTCCAAAGCGAATTATGTCATTAGCTCAAACACCTGAATATTACAACTCATAAATCTCGTCATTGGATTCTTAACTAGCTCAATGACCCACCAATTCTAAGGAAGCTGCACAGTAACTAGACTACTTGACTGCAACAAACAATTTCAACATTCAAATGTAGCAAAATGCTCCATACTCTGAGTAGCGTGCACACATCAGCTACTATCAAGCTACAAGATAAAATTTCATCTCCTAGAGCTTCCAAGTCAAAAGTAGTCGTCCATGACTTTTTCTCATGGATAGCTTTTGCTCCACCACAGGCATCCCCTATCAACACTAAGATATAGGCAACTCTATCTACACAAACGCAAAATCAACGAACCCAACAAGAGTGAAGTTCCAAGTCAAAGGTTTGAAAAGATTAAAGACATAGCTTAAAATTTGAGAAATCAGTAGTCAGAAAGGACTCACCAGCTTAATTGCAACCTCCTCATTGGTTTGAATATTCGTGCCTGAAAGAACACAAGCAAGCGAGGTGAAGTTCCAGGAAGATAAAGCAGACCCAAAATTCAGAAAAGTAAGAGTCAACCAGAGCGAGGTAAAAGCACAGAAATTTGACGAACCCAGATAGATCTCCCCGAACGACCCGCTGCCGATCTTACGACCGAGCCGGAACTTATTGCCAACACGGGGCTCCATCGGAGAAGAACAAACGGAAGGAACCCACGGGAGCGCGGAGAATAGAAACGAAAAGAAACCCCCCCTAGCTAGAGTAGCGAAACCCTAATCCAACGTTTGAACAGCAGTGGAGCGAAGAGAAAGAATAAGAATAGGGTTCACAGACACACTATACAGGGAATAATCAACCCCCCACCGACAAAAGAAAAGGGGGAGGGCCGATTCGGATAGATCTAAACAAACAGAGGAGCTGCTCTTCCGCCAACTGTTTTCGAGAGATAGGAGACGGTAAGTAAATATAAGAAGAACAACCCAAAAAAAAAAAGAAGAAAAAAGCTGCTAGGAAGGGAGGGTCGGATTTTAATTACAGCAAGGAAGTGATAAATGGAAAGTAAGGAAGTCAAATAGAGGAGGAGTTGTGGGGAAGGGGAAGAAGAAGAAGAGCCGGTGCCGACGGAGCAGTAATCATGTTTTTGCTGGCGACGGCGGCGGTGGCGGAGGCGGAGGAAGAGGGAGTGAAGGAGTGAGATTGTGGCTGGATTCGCTCCGTCTCTGTGGCAACGGCTGGTTCCATGGAAGGAAGAGAAAGCCTCCAAAAAGAAGAAAAGAAGACTGAGACTGACGAACGACGACGGACCGTAGTGGTTTGGGGCCGTGGTCTAGGTGGCTGGGCGCCCTTTTCTCTCATTTTCTTCCTATCTTTCTTTTTGAGTGTTCCTATTCGTCGCCCTAAATATTTAAATTCTATCGCCCTAAAACATAGGTAATTACATAAATGTCCTTCATTTAATTTTATGGTTCAACCATCCTAGAGTTAAGAACCCAATCCATTTGAACTCTTTCTGAAACAAAAAAAGAACACAAATATCAGCCCAAAAACTAGAACAAAACACTAACACCACAAAAATCATTCACAATCTTCTACATTGGTAAATTTTTGTTGGATTCCGGCGAGTTTGTCGGAGGTAGAGGCATCATTATTTTCCGGTCGCCATAGCATGCAGGCGCTTGGACTAAAGGTTTGATTTCGTTTTCATTTTTTTCCAGAAAAATGGGTCGAGCATGTTGAAAACTTGCCCCGACCGCTGTCCAAACATGTTGAAAATCTGTCTCGGCCATGGAGCGGACGTGCTGCCAACCCACCCCTCCCACCCGTCAGGCATCCGCGCAGCATGTTTGGAACCATGGCGAAGCATGTTCGCCTTGCGGTCCGGACACGTTTTCAACATGCTCGGCCTAAGGTTCTGTCATGTTCTCGACATGTCCATCCATTGGTCTAGTCCTGTTTTGAACATGCTCGAACAAATTTTGTGATGTTATGGACATTTTTTAATGAAAATTCACATAAATTATAGTAATTATGTTACACTCGTTGTGTATTGTGTTTATTAGGAAGGAGGATAAAAATATTGTGCCACCATCATTAACCAACAAGGAAATTATTATGGGTGATTCGGTAAGTACTCGATTTATTTGTTGTTTTTCACTGGTCCCTTGAAATATCTCTAAACGCACTGGATTCAACCGTTTCTCGATTTGAAGTCAATGAGCGAAGAAAGCATGAATAGTGTCAAAGCTTTAATCAAAGTTTCGAGTGCCTTGGGTGTTAAAACAAGGAATTTCTTCAAACTAACATGAGTCTTTCGATGTTGTGAACGATTGTTGTTAGTGGAGGTTCGAATGATTTGGCCTCTAAGATGAGGTTGTAATAAGATTGGTCAAATTAACATAAAGGTTAGTAGTTATTACATGAATGATACCTCACATGCATGTACACCCACTAATAATGCCAAAGCTTTGATTAGAACTAAGATTCATAAATTATTGTTGAATTGGAATGCGATTATTTTGTAAGCATTTTAAATTTGGAATAGTTATTTTCATACCCATAAGAGACCGACTACGTGGATTTACAATTATCATTAGTTTTATTTATGATTCAATCATAAATTAATGAAAACATTTTTAAATATAACAACTAATAAGTACAACAAACTATTTATGGTAATTAACCATATTAATAATTCACATACTAATCAATAATAACTCATGTAATCGTAGTTCTAATCACAAATTCTTTTGCATACAAATAAATCACACAATTTTTTTATTTTGAATATCTGAATCACAAACACCAAACCATAGATCACGAATTCTAATTTGTAAATTACATGTATATTCACATAATTTTTTTAAAAGACTGGTCTGACCAATGAGCGAACCAGAGCGGGGCGGTCATATTTCTACCCGAACTAGAGCGGGACAGATCGGATATAGGTCTTGACCAGGTCGGGGCGGGTTGAAAACCCGGCTGGACCCGTGGCGGGGCGGATACCCTACTTGCCTCGCCCTGCCTCTAGGTGGGTAACCTACCCGCTTCTCCTCCGACCTCCGCGTAAACCCTACCCGCTCGACCAGCAATGAGGCGGGTTGAAAACCCGTCGCCGGCGGGCTGAGACAGGTCGACACCACGTCTGCAGCCTGCCGGCGACGGGTTTTCAGCCCGCCTCGTTGCCGGCATCAGAAATAAAAAAAAGAATGCGAAGGAGCAACTTTCACCACAGATCTGGCTAGGAGGAATGACGATGACGGTGCGGCTTCAGGCGGCTTCTTCTGGGATGCTACCGACAGTGAGTCTCGTGGTTGGCGGTGGGCTTCTTCTTCCTCCTCCGATGGGGAGAGTCTCGTGGCTGACGGCGTCGTGGGATGGGAGGGGAGGGGAAGAGCGAACAGGTGGCTGGCGGGAAGGGAAGCCTCTTTGCTGGTGGCGCCATGGCGGGGGGAGGGTGGCTGGTGGCGGGGTAGAAGGGCGTTGGAGATGGGAGACGATACAGGAGAGGGGGAGGGGATGGGCTGGTGGGTTGGACTTGGGTGGATGGGTTTAGGTTTAGTTGAGGGTAAAAGTGTCTATTTGGATAGTTTAGGGCGATCAAATTCAAATATTTAGGGCGTTAAATAGCATTCCAGTTCTTTTTTTCCTTTCTCAATTCCTTTTCACAGTTCCTTTCTCCTTCGTTCTTTCTTTGTGGTGTTTGTTCCACTTTTTTTCCCCCCTCTTTCTAATCAATGGAATTGAGTCTTTAGGGGAAGACAATGACATTGCTGTAAACTCAGTCGCATGGTTACTTTCGAGGGGGAAGAGGGAAGGTAGCTGAGTCGACTCTTCGATTGATAATCTTATTTGAACTTTCGTAATGTTGTAGAAAGTCGATACAATCAATGTCTGAGTACTATTAGATGAATAAGAACACATGCATTCAGAGATCGAAAGTAAAAAAATGGCTTCATTTTTGGTTTCTCATAGGTTCCAAACAAGAATTGTTGAATCCCAATCCGTCTCCATCATTCTTCGGATTGGTAGGCGTCCGGTACTATATCTCTGATGAGAAGGACGTGTTGTATGGATGAATGGCGGATGTCAGAGAGACAGAAAGCTCATACAACGAGAGAGGAGTACTACCAGGACCACAACCATTACCAACCGCATCGAGAGTCCAGAGGTCTCATAGTGGTTCATAGGAGATCATGTCATGCAGGTGGTATTCTAGTATGATTCGATGGTGCTCTGAAACCAAATCAAAGCAGTGAAATCGGTTTCGTTGAATTCTAAGGTGTTGGATCGGTCCTTTTTCTTGCGTTTGATTAATTCTATGATGGTATCTCATTCGTCCTATATGTTATTGTTTTTTTTTTAACGAAAGCTTCTCGCTCTTTGGTATGGGGCTATAGTGGGTGAAATTCTCATTTTCTTCACATATTTTTCTTGAAACTTCAAAAAACTACCCAACAAAAAATAAAAGCAGATGTGTCAACGACGATTCGGTTACATACAAACTACCATTTTATTTATAATATATAACTGGGTGTTTTTTTTTTTTTTTTTGCTTTATTGACTTATCTTTGGAAGAAAATATGATGAGTATCATCAACTTCAGAATTTGTATTACACTGCACAATTGCAAATGACCATAGGAGTCAGGACCCTACACTGGGTGAGCTGTAAAAATAACCCCACTAACTATGATGAATTCAAGGTACTTGACAAAAAGAAATAATAAATAAAATTAATGAACAAAGAAAGGATTAAGGAACAAACATGTGTCCCAAACCAAAAAGCAAAAAAAAGAAGAATATGAATTTCATGCTAACCCCTATTTCTATCTACCTCCCCCTACCTAATTGTGTTTCTTTCCCACCTATAATCTACCTAATCACTTACCTTGGTAAACAGAGTTATCACTTAAATCAATTTTTTAACCCTTTCAATTAGCTTACAGAAATTGTGGGGGTCCTTGGGCTAGGCAGGCCCATGTACGAAAGCCTAGGAGAGAGCTTGATCTTCGGGCTGGGCCTGGGAGACGGGATGGGCCCAAAGCTGGCGGGAGCCATTCTGGGAGACAAGTTGACTTGCTCCAGCGCTCTGAATTGCAGCTGCGTAGGGTAGTCCCGCACGCACCCGATCCGTGGCCCGGCGCCGGTACTCCACTTGCAGGACAACCGGTCGGCCTTCCCCGAGTCAAACATCGGCGGCGTGCCCGCCGTCCTATTTTCTTCCTCGTCCACCTTCTTGACCGACACGGCTGCGTCTGCCACGTCCGACGACGGCGGCGAAGACGCGCCGTCTGCCGCCATTGATTTTGACGGCTGTGTTGATCCACCTTCTCCGTTGACTTTGTATTCGGTGTCATCATCCACGGCGTATCTCTGCCAGTAAAAAAAAAAAAGGTTAATTACTGACACTAGACACGAATTTAGTAATACTGACTGCCAATTTTTTTAAAAAAAAATATTATTCGAGATTTTACCTTAACATTGGCAAGATCGACATTGTTCTCCTGGAGGAAGCTTACGAACTCCCTGAAGTTTTCTTCCGTCGGTTGGTAATGTCCACTGTACGGCCATATTGCCTGCCAAGATCCAAACCCAAAATTCCAATTAAGCCCCTCCCAAGTGATTTCTTATCGATTCAACTTGTTACGATCGGACAATCGACAAAGCAAGAAAGTAACGAGGTTACGAATTCGACTAGTGTGAAACATAGCATCCACCCCATTTTTGGTTGATTTTTAGCTGGAAACTATGGGTCACATTCAGAAAACAAACCCAGAACCAACTTGGAGAGGGAAACCAAAAGAGGGAAAAAGCAAGTCATTACCTGGAGGACGCCGCCGCGAGCAACGAGGCGGCCGGCGGCGGAGGTGGCACCGCCGGCGAGGAAACTGGAGTGCTGGAAAGCCCCTTTCTTTTTCTGACCCACGTACAAAACCCTGGAAGTACTGAGCACAAATATCCATTTGGAACCTTCCGTCGTCTCCACCGGCAGCCCGCTGCCTCTGTACACCAACTTCCCTTCTTCCACCATCACTTCGTATTCCTCCCTTTCTTTCTGATCAAACAAACACAAATCAGGCCAATTTAGTCGACGACCCAATCGGCACCGTTGAATACGAAGTTTTTGATGGATCGGAGGGTTACGGCGCGACTTACCGGTCCTAGGTATTGAATGCACTGCCGTTGAAGAAGCGACCTCGGACATTTCTCCAGATTCACTTCTTTTCCGTCTCCCACGTCCAGCCTAGTCATTATAAAGCAATTTGATGTTCAGAACTTGTAACAAGTCGCCGGAAATTGTTTACGAAAATTGGGGAATCAACATACCAGTAGAAGAAAGGCTGGCAGCTCTCGGACTTGAACCACAGATCGTAATAGAAATGGAGGTTGTGACCGTACCGATGCCGTGGATCGATCTGTAGACATCCAATTGATTGTCCAATTAATGAGATGATTAAGAAGAGGGATTTCATTTAATTTAATTAACAGAGAGGGACAGAGGAATGAAAAATCGATCTTTAGTTAATTACCGCTTCGAGCCAGTGCTGCAAGGCGAGCTTCTGGGCCTTGTCGTCCTTGGACAGACCTTTGCCGACCTTGGCGGCCCGGGTCCGGGCCCGGGCCCAACGGGAGACGGCGGTCTCGGGCTTGCTGTCGTCGAAGAAGGAGACGGAGCTCCGCCGCAGGGCCGCGAAATCGAGGGCCTTCCACCACAGCTCCTCCACCACCACGGCGCAATCCGCCAGGTTCCTCCGCGTCCTGTAGCTCTTGTAGAACTTCTGCAGCTTCACCGCCGCGTCGTCCAGCTCGCTCGCGGGCCTCGGCGAGAACATGATCGCCGGCGAAGGTAGCGCCGCCGCCGCCGGCGGCGGCGGTTCGGTATTGTTCCCTGTCGCGACGATTGATCTCGCATCCTTTTGAAGCTTGATCCTCTGCGGCCTGCAGAGGTTCAACTTGACGCTGGAGGTTCTAGTGAATTTGTTGTTGGGGGCATTGGTATTGGTGGGCTCTGCTTTGAATCCGCCATTTTTGGGGGTGAGGGAGAAGTTGCTGTAGGCGAGGGAGAGGAAGCTTTGGCGGAGGATTTCTTCCCAAGCTGAGTGGAGCACCGACAGGGATAAACCCATATGTGAATTGGGGGAAATCCCGTGCTGCCAACCAGTTGATCTAGGTTTTGAATTGAGGGTGGAGATTGGGAATTTTTTTTTTTTTTTTTTTTTTTTGCTGTTGGTTTTGGAGTTTTGGGAGGATGAATGTAGGTGAGGTTCGGGGTTTCTGACTCTTGACCGGTGGGGTTTTATATAGAGAGAGCAGAGAAAAGGGTTGAGAGGGACGGGGACCGCCATGGCAGATTGAGAAAAGAAGTAGCAGTCTAGCATAGGCGTGGAAAGTCTTCGGCGAGGGAAGAAGACGACCGAGTTGAGTTGGGTCGGATCGGGTCGGGTTTCTGTTTTGGGAAGATGGGTTTTTTTTAGAGTAGCGTGGGCTGTGGGTTGGGCCACACTGAATAGTTTGGCAGTTACTTCTTGACATCGAAAAATGACACAATTATTAATGATCAGTTGTTAATTAATTGTTATACGACCACCGCGTTTCACTAATTTAGTAATTTGCATGTTCCATGCATATGTAAGAATCATACATCGGTACGTGTGATGTAATAAATCATGTATGATCTGGTTGTGGATGTTTATTGTGACTTGTGAGACATAGTTTTGATGACATTGTTAAACATGGGTTAACAATGTGTTAAAAAAGACCCATGTATGTATGTGTGTGGGAATTGGGATAAGTGGATGATGCATCATGTGTGCGCGTGCACGCAGATGAAATTGCGATTTATTTCAAATGTGTCGATGAATAGTGGTGGGAGTTGTGTGTTTACTAAGGGATGGTAGTGATTCATGGCCCGACTTCTAAATTAGTGTAAAAAAAAATATTACAATACATATACAATTATATAAAAAAAAGTTACGACCATGAGAAACCGTTGATCCTTCTGCCCAGCTACCACACTAGCTTCAAACTATACTAGATATATAGGGATGAGATATCGCATTTGAATTTGATTTTTTTTGTTTAAACCAAAATCAAATCGATAAGAACGTTGTATTGCTTTCGGATTTTTTGGGTCCTTCAAACCATTTTTATCATTTCTTTTTCCCGGTACAAACCGAAACCCCGAGAAGTAACCACAAGCATCAGGTGAGTGGTAGAGGAGGGTTCCATTTCAATTGGGGGTGCAGACATTTCGAGTTTTCGTTTTTCGTCTAACCGAAAGTGAACTCGTTAAAAAGCTTATCAATTTTCAGTTAATTAACTAGATAAAAAAAAAAACTCAACAAGAGTGACACAACCTTTGATATTTTGTTATATTCATGTCAGGCGATTAGGTCAATGGAAATCTCAACATGAAAAGGAGTTCAAATCTAACGAAAAACTTTTCTTATGGGTCGAATCTGTTTAAATTTCCTACCTTTTCCCTTCGCCTGGATGGTGGTGGAGGTGGGCGAGGGCGTGTGGAATACTTGGGGAGATGATCAGTCCAATGGGTGGGTGGAAAATAGTGTAAACTAAAAAGGGTTCAGAAATCAGAACCTTTTTTCCCAGGGTGTGGAAAATCAGAGGGCACTCCACTCCAGCAAACAGGAAATGTTGTTGATGGATTCAAACCCTTTGACAAGGTTGAAAAGGGCACAACGACTGGTTTTCGGGGGATCTCGATTCTCGATCCGCCTCTATGTTCGAGACATCAATGTGGTCTCAATACGTATTTGGTAAATTCATAAGAGTCGATGATTTTGAGTTTGATCGTATATATGAATCTTTTGATGGCCACCATTTTTTTTCGTTGTTGTGGGAATGTGTGAAAATGAGATTACCAACCCTCGCATTGGATTTTGTGGGAATGTGTGAAAACTGGATAGAAGGGAGATGGGCGCACGATTTGGTGATTGAAATAATTTAATGATTTCAATGGATTGAAGTCTACTTCTTCTTCATGGATTTTGTTCCAATGTACTTTTTGTTTCCGGAAGATTTGAATTTGAATAATGAAGAGACCATGGTTGTCAAACCGGTCTCATGCCGGCCGGTTCAACCGGTACCGATCAGCAAACCGGCTGGAAAGGGGCCGGTATTTACCTATGGTCAAACCCGGTCAATGTCGGTCAGATCCAGTCAAATCCGGAAATTCCGGCCGGTTAGACCAGAAACCGGAATTTAATGTTACACACATTATATTAAAAAATAAACATCCTCCATAGGATTTGAACCAAGTACCTTATGTTATTGTCAAAAAAAAAAAAGTACCTTATGTTCATTTTAGTTTAACTTTCAAACCAGTAGGCTACAAGCAATTTTGTTGTCTATATTAACCTTATATGTTATATATCTAATACTAAATTTTACACAAATCATTATAAACATTAATAAAATTCATTTAATAAAATTTTATTTTTAAGCATCTAATTGTTTAGTATTAGTTATCAATTCTTAGCTATAAATTATTTTGTGTGAAATAATTCTTCTAATTGCTTTTTCATGACTAATTTATTTGGAATTGAGGATTTCCATTTTCCTCATATATTTTATTAAAACCGGCACAACCGACATGAATATTGGTTGTACCACGGTCAAACCATTTCACTTACAAAACCGGCACACCGGCATAAACCGGTTTGACAACCTTGGAAGAGACAAAATGAAAGCGTAGTAACTAAACTAGGTTTTGGTCGTGAAGGTGGGAAATTGGAAGAAGGCGGTCAAAGGAAGTAGCCTCCACTTATTATAAAGGCCTCTCTATCACTGCGTATGCACCGACGGCGACATCTGGCCGCCGGGAAATGGCGGCTCCGGGAGAATTGGGTGTGCTCCAAATAAAATCTGTATTGAGCATAGGTCGGGTCGGGTCGGGCCGGTTCATGGGCAGAGAAAGAGGTTTGAAGATGTCACCATCGTCAGCGGATCAGAGCGTTATAGAGGTAAATTTACATGTAAATTCTGTAACAAATTCTAAAAATAAATAAGTTGGTAAGACTTTAACTTCTTTCTACAATACGGAACCTGCAGGACTTGAATTTAGCGACGACGATGTAATTTTTTTTCTTTCAAACATGGCACATTGAAGAAACACAGTTCATTGGTAAAACTTTTTTCGGATATTTATTCAAGTAAGGATGGTTAAGTATAAATAATAATATATATAGTTATATAATTTGGTTACATCTTGTATTGCTATCAAAGTACATTTACGGTAGTAATTAAGGACATGCAATATAACTACATATTGAAATTGATTTTTAACACAACATTCAAAAATTACAAGGTTGATGAAGAAAATTTCAATACCTTCTTTTCGACAATGGGTAACATTTTCTCTCATAATTTGACAATCTTGTGTTGAAGTTTCACGCTTGTGTTCCCGATATACTTCTATCTTACGTAGAAAGTTCCGTGTATACGGCAATGTACTTATATACTCACGTTTATGTAGTAAATCATTGGGATCTCTTCAAATATTTAGTTATAGTTCAATGATTAGTGCTAGTTTTATGATAAATTACAAGGCCTTACATTCAGAGTTGATGTAGGAATTCTAGATTTTACATTATTGATTGAGTTCGCTTAACTCGATTGTAGATCGTGAATTATGTGTCAAAGTTTTTCTTTTATAATATTATCTGATATCTCCTGAGTTTGTATTTGAAGATATATAAGAGTTTTTTTTAGTATTGAAGGGGAAATGATATATGCTAATAGCTAATCACAATTAGTACGTTACGGTTATAAACGCGTTGTTACGGATCGGGAAATCGTCGGAATCAATAAAGCAAGAATACGAAAGCGATAATCGAAAAACACAGACACACGATTTACGTGGTTCACTAACACGATGTGTGTTAGCTACGTCCACGGGCGAGAGAGAGAGCCAGTTTCACTATATCGAGGAGATTACAGATTACAGAGGAGTGTGAGAAGTATTTATAGTACTTCTCCATGTGGGTCTAAACCTAATCCAATCTGGCAAAGAAAACGGTTACAGACCAGGCCCAGAACCCGAACCCAAATAACATTGAGACCCCCGACTACCAGTCGTAGCGACTGATAGTCTGATTCAAGTTACATCAACAGTTACCATTTCTTCTTATATATATTTTTTTTAAAGTGAGATGGTTCTTTTAATAGTTTTGGATCAAGAAGCAAAACATATTTGACCTAATTATGGATTGTTTGCAGTTTTCAACTAATCCCCCCATCACAGTAGCTAGCTAGCTGGGAAAGTGGTTATATACAAGCTCTTATCATAAGACTTTGAAAGATTATAATTAGGAACATCGACATGCATGCACCCAAAAGAAAGAATTGTAGAAAACTAAAACCCATGCGTAAGTCTAAACCCTAAATGAAAGTTGAGGGTTTGAATTCTTCAAATTTCTGTGCGTAGGTTTCTGTTTCCTTACATTTGTTTTCCTCAAATGGCCATTATTATTAATTATAAAGAGTCTTTTCTGGCTCGTTCAATAATCGCGTTCGCCACATACCTGACTTTCTCCATGATTGATGCTTAATTTTCTGTATGTCCCAAAAGTGAAAAGGAAGAAATGGAAAAAAAGGAAACCATTGATTTGAGGGCCAGAAAGGAAAAGGAGGAGGAAAAAGCCACTGTAATCGTTACTTCAATCACTACTAGATGGGTTTATAAAATAAAAAAAATAAAAATCACTATTAGATGGAAGTGCCAAATTGGATTTATGGATTAAATGAATTTGATTTAATGAATTGGTGGATTCATGAATTAGATCAAATGGATTGTTGGGTTGATCCATGAATTCAAATGACATCCAACTCTTGATTCATTATGTAAATTTTGAAAAGTTTAGGTACTAAAATGTCATAATAGGAAAATTTTAAGTACCATAGCGCAATTTTCCAATCATATTTTTCGTACGAAAAATAAATTTTAGGTACCAAAATATAAAATATAAAAAGTATATGTATTAAACTGTAATTCACCATTTGGATATTCATGAATCCACCAATCTAATTGGATTTGGATAAAAATGAATTGAATAATTTGATGGATGGATTGAATTCATGAATATAGTTACTACTATTACATCACTAGCTAGGTAGACTTTTTAGCCAAATTAAACCCGGGATAGGGAAATCCATTGACCTCACAACTGGGTGAGGGTAGTTACGGACCCGTTGCTCAATCTTTCTATTTAGATGTGACAATTCTCAATGTAGTCAAAATTGCGCTTTAAAACTTAAAAACTTACGGTTTTACGCTTCTAGGTCACCAAAACGCTTTCGTTTCTATGTAAAAACTGTAGTGGATAAAATCAGACTAAATTGCATTTTAAAACTTAAAAACTTACACTTTTACACTTATAGTTCACTAAAATGCTTTACTTTTTACGCTTTTACTTCACTAAATGTTTATTCTTTTCATGAAATTAATTATAAAAAGTATATTTTAAACATAAATCACCGACAATATAATACGTTTAAGATTAAAAGATACATACCAAATACTTTGATGCATTCTGAACTTCAATAAAGTAATCTAATTCATCGTCTATGCTCTTCTCAAATTCATTAGCACAGAGGGGAAGGTGGCTTCTTGATAAGATTTATGTTTATGAACTTATTATTAATAGGCTATAAGTTGCTCTACTTTAAACATGAACTGCAAGTATTTATTAACTTATCTAAATTTTGTGCACTCATATTTTTCATTGTATATGTTGTACTTAACATATTTTTAGTTCTTTTACAGTATGCGTCAAAAACTTACGTTTTTACGCTTTAATTCAACGCTTTACGATTTTACCCATTTTCCGCTTCTAGGTAGAATCGCGCTTTTGACTGCATTGCTCAATCTAATCCACCAATTCATTAAAAATATCCACATAATCCAATCCATTAAAATCCAATCCATTTTATCCAAATCCAATTGGATTGATGGATCAATCCATGGATCCAAATGGCAAATTACAGTCTGGTACCTATAATTTTTATATTTTACATTTTGGTACCTAGCTATAATTTAATTTTTTTATAAGAAAATATCATTGAAAAATTATGTTTTGGTACCTAAATCTTTTCATTATGACATTTTAGTACCTAAACTTTGCACATCTTACATATTGGTCCTTGGTTGGACATGTCATTTGGATTCATGGATAATCCACAAATCCACTTGATCCAATCCATGAATCCACCAATCCATTTTATCCATGGATCCATCAATCCAATCCACCAATCCATTTGCCACCTCTATTCCTATTGGATCATTCTATGGATCTGAAGTATTATGAACCGAAATGATTAATCATTTATTAGCCTCTCCATAGTCGGAAATCAAATCAACCTAGGATGGCAATGGGTCAGGTCGAGGGCAGATAGCGTATATCCGTTACCCTACCCAAAGTAGTTCGAATTTTATCCATACCCATACTCATATGAGAAACGGGTAGAAAATCAAAACCATGCCCATACCCGTTCGGGTTTCGGGTATCCATGGTTATCCATGGGTAATAATTTTTCTTCATAACTCCAACCAATATGTTAACATTCACAGGTATTCTCACATTACGTAAGAAGAAAAGTACGACAATAATACACTAGAATGAAGAAAATTAATTAAAACAACACAATTTCATGAAAATATTATATTTATATGCTAAATATAAAATATGTTAGAGAAAAATAATGATTATTTCTAGACAAAATGCATGTGTATAATCGGGAGGGTTCAGGTTGCTTAGTGAGAAACCCATGCCCACCCATTACCCATAATATTCGGCTTTGGGTTTTACCCGTATCCACTAAATGTCCTTTGGGTTCGGGTTTTACCCTACCCAATTATGCCGGATTCGGGTGGATATCAACGGTCACGGATATTTTTGCCATCCCTAAACCAACCTTGTTGCGTAAAAGATTTCGTTGCAACTGGATCGATTAATATGGTCTGATTTTCAGTTTAACCGAATAATCGAATCAACATCAAGTGAACTCTAAAAGGCACAAAGAGACATGCATAGACGTGCGGGTGTGGAGACATTCTTCTTGCTAATGCATGCAATGGGATTAGAGGTGGAAAATAGATTGAATTCATAGATATTAGTGAATTTATGAATTTGGAGGAAATGGATTGGTGGATTTGGATCATGTTTGAGCCCGGACGACTAGGCGTCACTCAGGTCCAAGGGGTTTGGGGCGTCAGCCATGACTTTGAGGGGGTAGGCGCCCCGCCTCGTCGGAAGTAGGAAAAAAGAAGAAGTATATAGAGAGAGAAAGTAGAGAGAAATTAGAGTAAGAGTAGATAGATTGCCATTTATGAGGAGAGAACTCCTATTTATACACATTTGAGGGTTAGGTAGTGGTCTGGGCGCCTGCCAAGCCATAAATGCTGTGGTCGGGCGCCTCAGACCTTCTGACACTGTACATGGTACTTTTTGACAGAGAGTGTCCCCCTGCCCCTTGTCCTTGCTGATGTCAGGTGTCTGGCCTTGTCTCTTGTCTCCTTGCCTTGTCTTTTTGCTCTTTTGTCTTCTTTCCTTCTTTATACCATTAGCTAGAGTTTTGCCTACTTAGTTACTAGGATACCCTATCAATTGCTCCTTTTGGCGATGGCGTAGCTACTGCGGTATCGCCAAACAAGTGTGCTCTTTGATGGAAAAAATACCAAAGAATTAGGGTTAATTGCATGGTTGGTCACTCAGATTACAAAAAACGTTCATATTTGGTCACTGTAAATATTTAAATCCAATGTTGGTCACTCAAATTAGTTAAATGGTTCAAGTTTGGTCACTCTCCGTCCAATTCCGTTAAATTTGTCTGATGTGGCAGTCAACCCTCAAAGTTGACCGTTAACTCAGTGACGTGACAATTAAAAAATAATAAATAAAATAAATTTTAATCTTCTACCATTTCCAACTCATTTTCACAATAAAGTAAAAAAATATATATATATAATTACAAATTGAAAACAACCACCGCCAGTACCAGGACCTCTCCACCATCCTCCCCCACCGACTCGGCCCTGACGATCTCCTCTCCAAGGACGTCCCCTGATCCTCGAGCGGCACAACAACGATCTCGCCCTCGTTGGGTGTCAAATCCTCCGTCGCCGAGTTCTTTGTCGCTGTCGAAACGGTTCGTGGCCTCTTCGAGCTCGCCGTAGGTGAAGATTGGGATTCCAAAGCAGGTGTTGGCTTCTTCGTCCGGGTCTCTGGTGGTGGGAGATGGTTTGATATAGGCGTTTCCCGAATCGAAGCTTTGTTGATTCTTCTGCCTTCTTCTTCTCTTGCGATGGCAAATGAAAGCAGAGAGCAAAATCATGACTAGTATTACCACTCCAAACCCTAGACCTGGAGAAAAACAGAGGAATCAGAATGTATGACAGGAAATTTCCATCGGGGTAAAAAACAAAACAACTAGACATTGATAACTTACCCAATCCCAGCTTCAACATAGATCTACGTTTCCCTGCGAAAAAGAAATGTTTGCAGAAATATGCTTAGACAAGCGAAAAACCGATCCGATTCAGAATTGGGGTTTTAGTGGGAAAGGAATGAATTGGGTGTGAACGAGGGCGAGATCGTTGTTGTGCCGCTCGAGGATCAGGGGAACGTCCTTGGAGAGGAGATCGTCGGGGCCGAGTCAGTGGGGGAGGATGGTGGAGAGGTCCTGGTACCGGCGGCGGAGGCGGTGGTTGTTGTCATCGGCGGCGGAGGAGAGGTGGTGGTTGTTGTTGTCGTCGGTGATGAGCACTTTTCAATTTGTAATTATAATATTTTTTGTTTTATTTATTTTATTTTATTGTGAAAATGAGTTGGAAATGGTAGAAGATTAAAATTTATTTTATTTATTATTTTTTAATTGTCACGTCACTGAGTTAACGGTCAACTTTGAGGGTTGACTGCCACATCAGACAAATTTAACGGAGTTGGACGGAGAGTGACTAAACTTGAACCATTTAACTAATTTGAGTGACCAAAATTGGATTTAAATATTTACCGTGACCAAATATGAACGTTTTTTGTAATCTCAGTGACCAACCATGCAATTAACCCCAAAGAATTATAAAAAATAAAATAAAAATCGATGTCTTATTCTCCATGATACCACATTCAAATGTCATTATTGCAACATAATTCTTCTAGGTACTGCAAAACAGAGTTCTGGCATAAGTGTATCTTTTTTGTTTTACCGTGATCCTTCTATAACCCTTCCCCTGAAATTATTCTCAGGTGAAACTAAGCCACTATAACAAGTAGGGTTCTTGCATGCCTTCAAATAACACATTATTTTCCAGCCTATACTTTTGGCTCATCGATGCCTACTATATTCGGTCCTAACTGTGAGGATGACCGTCAACGGTTAATCACTTAATTGGTTAATCGTTAACCACCAATTACTAATTAGCTAAATTGGACTACCATAATTAATATAATCGTTAATCATCGACTACCCTTATAATTAGATTGAGTTCGAAGTGTCGAGAAAAAAAAATAGAGGGAAAAGTGGGCCTCAACAGAACAGATCGAGTTCGAAGTGGAACCCACGGCAGGGTCTAGATATGGAAATGGTCTGTTCTAGATGGGTGTGGGCCGGTCCAGTACCTTCCTTCATTTAGCTACAACACCAACCACAAACAATCACCATCCTTCTTCACTCTGCTAATTCAATTCCCTCCAACGTGGCTTCACTTGAACCAGAGAATGATGCACTATTATGGTCTGGGTTTGGCTTAAACGTACGTATTCCTGCTTGGAGCCACTCCAGTTTTAGTCCTAATCGGTCTTCCTGTCAGCTGGTGGGGAAAACACATCAATCCCAGCCAAGCTCTGGTGTGTAGGATCAGTACGTGTTTACATCGTTGGATTTGAAGTTTGATGCAAAATCACTGCATTCGAACATCCCAGTAATTCACTGTAAAATATGAACGTATCAACGCGACTGTCGTATCTTTAAAACTTCCATGTATAGAGGAGGATCATACAAACAAACATAAGAAATAAATCTATTCATAGTAGTGTTCTAAAGTGGATTCTTAAGTTGGAAACCTTATACCAGTAAGGGAGAAACCAAAGAGGAAACAAAAAAACAAAAACAACAATCTACTACACTAAAGCAATAGATCAAAACCTAAGTTTTCTGCTGGTATGTACATTGTATACCGGTTATTATTATACAGCACAAGTTCCAAACAAAAGTGGCAGGTTTTTCGTTGCTAGAGGCTAAAGCATAATCCCAGCTTCACACAGCCAATCCAACTCTGCTGCTGCCGAGCAAATCCTCCAACTCCAAGTAGAATTTGGAGTCATTCATGTCCAGATCTTCATCGTCGACCGGTGTGTAGTCCACAGCCGGGTCTTCGTCATCCAAAGACATCAGATCATAAACCGAGGAGATATCGTCAGGGTTATCCTGATCATCTTTCTTCTGATCAGCATCATCAATTGGGCTGCCGAATTCGCCACTTGGCACCGGAGCAGCAGCCGAGAACAGCTTCGAGACCGAAGACGACAACCCAGTTCCAGCCTCGCCGCCGTCGTGATCAGCCGGCAGTACCTGATCGAGCTCGGTCTGCATCGTGGCCAAGTGGTGCCGCGCCAGGTTCCTGCAGTTGATGTCATCGTGAACCGACGACGTCTCTGCAGCTTGATGGCGGGGAGGAGTTGGCAGCAGTTTCCTCTTCTTCCCTGCCATTTCACCGCTGTAACCCAACTGCTGCTGAGATTTCCTCTTCTGGATTAGCCGCTGGATGAAGCCTGGGTTTCTGGTTGCTTTGGCGAAGAACATGAACATCTGGAGTTGCTTGCACTCTGCCGCCCGGATCCTCTCCTCTACTGCGACCATCTGGCTGTTGGAATCCTCCTGTTCCTGCCTCAGCTTCAGGATTTCCAGTTTCAGCAGGTCCTGGTCGTTCTTCAAGCTCTCGAACTCGATCTCCAACTTGGGTTTCGCTAAATCACCGCCATTGACGAGCATTCCCCCTGGTAGTTGTTGTTGTTGTTGTTGCTGCTGTTTGTTATACCTGCTTCTTCTCTTGATGTTCTTGAGCAAATGCCTCTTCCCTCCTTGGAATCCTTCATTGGCGAACTCCCATCTGTCCGGATCAATCTTCCGGAACCCCTAAAACCCCCCCAATTTGGGAGAAACACAGTTAGAAACGAATCAGATTACAACACACATCAAACTGCTCGACGAAATGCCTCAGAGAGAAAAGGAAAAAAAGAAAAAAATAACTCACATAAGTGTTGAGCTGGCGAATGAAGCTGGAGAAATTACTGTGCTTAAAATACTTGGGCAAGAGATGCTTAGCAAACTCGTGAGAATCCCAAACCACGAAGCTATCCCTGTTCTTGCTCCACGAGACGATGGGATCCGTGTTCCGATCGTCCACCATCTCGAACGTCTTCTTCAGGAAAGGGGGCGGGCCGGAATCGTTCAATCCCTCCATCGGTTTCGGCACAACCGCCGTAGACGACGACGTCGCTGAGGAAGACGACCCGCCGCTGTCGCCGCTGCTGTTGTTCGGAACTTCTTCACCACCGCCGCCGAATCCTTTCAAGTAGCTAAGCACCCCATCACCATCGTCATCATCCTCGTCTTCCTGATCCTCTTCTTTCACCGACGCTGCCGCCGCCGCCGCAGCCTCGGTGCTCTTCTCTGCTTCAACCACCAAGCTCACCAACTCCACTTCCTCCCCTGCATCGGGGGACGACGGGAAGAGGCAGGGAGAGACGACGCCGCTGGTGGGTTCGGATCCTTGAGAAACCACCATTTGTGCCGGATTTGGTGCTGTCAGAGGAAATTTTGGGGGATACGCAGTGATCGTTGTTTGGGCAGAGAAAGAGAGATATAAATTGGGGTTGGGGAGGAAGCGGTGGACGGAGGTGGTGATTCAACAAAATGGAACGGAGAGGTGGGAGAGGAAGGGGCCACGTAACCCTTGCTTTCTCTCTTTCATTGCTTTTTTGCCATTTGTAGAAAAGGTCCCACCATTGTTTTCTCCTTTCATTATCACTGTTGCACTTTTACATTCCGCGGAAGAGGTGCTGGCTAGCGGTTGGGATAAGCATGGGATCGGTCATTCCTATTTCCTTAATTACACTTCTATGTCACTCATTCTATGAAATAAACACAACAGTCGACAACTAGTCGAACTGTCGATGAATGAGCCTTTTGTGTTAAATGGGCAGCCTGATTGTACATGTGAAGGGTAAAAGTACAATCAAAAGAACTAAATGAAAACCGCATCAACCGAATCTCTTCCATTATTTACTACGCCCATCCGGTGCTGCACCTCTCGTTTCCCGAACGCGCCGGACCAGTGATTGACAATCCCCACATCAAATTGATAACAAGGAAAGACACCACCTCATTGCATCCCACAGAGCTATCAATTTCATAAGAAACAGATCTGTCAAGCCCGGATAGATAGTATTTCCCAAAAGCAAAACACTAAGTCACCGTCCACCGAGAACCCTGCGAAGCCAATAGCACCACCGTGGTCCTTTCGCCAAGCACCATCAAACCTAGCAAGGATTCCCCCTGCTGGAAAAGCGCGCGACGTCTCCCGCCCTGTCACATACTTTAATTATGAGTCATCTCACTGTTCAGTTTTATTAACTTTATTCGCCTGAAGCCCGTCTGCCATGGGCCTATTTTGCCCGGACATTGAGACCCATCAACGGGTGGCAGGCAAGGCAACCCATAGCCCGTCAAACGTGGGTCGCAGGCGGGCATGATCACAAATAAGGAACAACATGCTTCCTAGGATTCATTATTTCTTTTCTTTCTAAGTTAGAATTCGAACTAGCTCTTCATTCTTCCCCTTTTCTATTGCTATATATAGGGCATTTCTGAGCGAGTCTTTTTATCTCATCATCTGGCCATCTTCTTCTCTTATGGGTAGCGAGTATTGAGTTCTAATATCCAGAACTTCCCAAAGACAAAGAGGCAGATATTAGGGATAAGTAGTCTTATCCGTGTTAGTTTTGTATTCCTTGTATGATAAGTAGTCTATTACCTTGTCTTTGTTGTATACTCTTACTCTCTTGTAATCCTTGGGTTATAAATACCCTTAGTTGGTTAATGATACACATACATCATTCATACAAACCTTACATGGTATCAGAGCCTGGTTTCGATCCAGGGACCTGTGGGTTATGGGCCTTTCTCAGTTCATGCATGCACCCACGACAGTGCATTGGCAGCACGTCAATCGCCTTCTTCGTTATGTGGCTGGGAATCGCACTTTAAGTCTCCGCATCAGTCGACACCGCTCACCTCTTCAGCTTCGTGTATTCTCTGACTCTGACTGGGCTGGTGATCCTGATGACCTCACTTCCACCTCTGGTTTTTTGGATTATCTTGGTGATACGCTTATCTCATGGAAGTCTAAAAAGTAATGCACTGTTGCTCGCTCTAGCATTGAGGCTGAGTATCGTGCGCTAGCTCTAGCCATGTCAGAGGTTCAGTGGGTTCTTAATATCTTATCCGAGCTTCATCAACCTCTTTCGTCGGCCCCGACCCTCTACTGTGATAATTTGGGAGCAGTTCACTTCAGCTCGAATCCAGTCTTTCATTCGCGCATGAAGCATCTTGCGTTGGATTATCATTTCATGCGTCAATTGGTCCAGACTAAGAAGCTTGTTGTTCGTCATCTTCCCACCGCGTCACAACTTGCGGATATCCTCACCAAGACATTGTCGCGTACTCGGTTTCATCTACTACAGTCCAAACTGGGGCTAGCTGACGCCGCCTCCATCTTGCGGGGGCGTATTAGGGATAAGTAGTCTTATCCGTGTTAGTTTTGTATTCCTTGTATGATAAGTAGTCTATTACCTTGTCCTTGTTGTATACTCTTACTCTCTTGTAATCCTTGGGTTATAATTACCCTCAGTTGGTTAATGATACACACACATCATTCATACAAACCTTACAGCAGAGACCAGACTCTAGAGTTTAGGGTAAGAGTTACAATATTACTTATTCGATGTTATTTTTTTGGATCAGTGGTTTAATAGACATGCATGGATGATCCAAAGATTTTTAACTGTGATTTTATTTTTCGTTCATTTGTCTTTGCATATAGTAGGTGAACTGAATGTGGAACCTGTTGTTGAAATTTTCCAGCTTGAACAAGCTGCTATTGATGCATCGTGCTAATGGTAATGAGGACGAACTGGAAGAACAATGTACATAGGTTAACATTTGTTGTGTGGCCTCACTTCACTAGAGTGAGGATTAATGGGGGTAATGAAAGCAATGTGTAAGTACTGCAGGAAATCAATTTGTGGGGAAACAATCAACGGAACTTCACATATGAGGAACCATATCATGTACCTAGAATAAGATACATGATGTATCTGGAAAAAAATTTGGCCCCAACTATCGATCTACAGGTAATCCCCAACTCTCTGCTTCTCGGTACAATTCTGATGTGTGTAGGAAGGAACTCTGTTCTATGATTTTGGTCCATGAGTACCCACTTAGCATTGGTCACTTAGGGTTGAAACATTTATGTTGTTATTTGCAACCACAGTTCACTGTTCCTTGTAGAAACACTGTGAAAAAGGATTAGTGGCTTTGTATGAGGTTCAAAGTAGCAAATATCAAAGCATTCTTAGTTGTAACTTGGGTAGGATTTTTGTGACTACTGATTTGTGGACGGCCTCAAATAAGAAAAGAGGGTATATTGTTATAACTGGCCACTTTATTGAAAATTCTTGGAAGCTTCGTAACATTATGATGAGGTTTATGTATGTTCCAGCCCTCACGCAAGTTAAAGACTTGCTGATAGATTGTTTGATTCTCTTTTGGATTGGAATATTGATAGTAAGTTGTCCTCAATACACTGGAGAACTGCACCACCAATGATTCAATGATATTTCATTTGAAAAATAAGCTTGTGACGAGTGACATGTTGATGGATGGTAAATTGGATCATATGAGGTGTTCAGCGCATATTCTGAACTTGATTGTGAGGAATGGTTTGGATGCAATCAATGACGTTATGCATTTGATTTGGAAGAGTGTAGTTTGCTGGAATTCTATACCTACAAGGATTCAAACCTTCTTCGAAACTGCTAAGCAACTGAAATTGTCTTTTGAGAAGAAGCGCTTACTTGATTGCCCAACTATATGGAATTCTACATTCATATGCTCTATGTTGCTCTTCCATATAAGGATGTGTTTTTTCGTTTGAGCATGAGAGATAGTCAATACACATGAGTTCCTTCCAATGCTCATTGGGAATTTGCATATGTTGTGAGTGAGAATATGGAAATTTTCTCTAAGATTACTGTGTTGTTCTTCGATTCCAAGTATCCAATGGCCAACCTCCCCCCCTCCCCCGGAAGATTTTTGATCTTATATTGAAAATGATTAAGTGGGATGTTAATCCCAATCCTGTGATTTTTGAGATGGTCAGTAAGATGTCCATGAAGTTTGCTAAGTACTTGGATGATGTCCATCTTTTTCATGTTGTCTTAGTTGTTATGGAACCTTGACATAAGCTACATTTTATTGAGTACTATGCTGCAAAGTTTGGCAATAATAATACTGATTTGGTGGCTGACAATATCAAGCAAATTATCTATGGTTTGATTCTTGATTATCAAAACCAAAGTTGAAAAGAAATTTGGTTCTAGAACTGGAACTTCTTCTGCTAGTTCTGCATCTTTCTCAGCCACTAAAATTGACGTTGAGTTGTTTGTAAGTCAAAGAAAAAAGAGTAAAGTACTTTGATTACTATTGAGTTGGACCACTATCTTGCTGAGGATATAATTCATCGGAAAAACAGAGTTTGATCTTCTCTTGTGGTGAAAATTGAACAACCTCAAGTAGGGGTAGAAGTTTGGGTTGCGAGGTGTGGATAACCCACAAACCACACCATTCCACACCCATTGTGGGTAGTGAGTTGGGTGTAGGTAGTAAACTAATGATTTTTGAGGTTATTGATTACCCACAACCCACCGCGGTTAACCCACAAAATCCATAATAACAACACTAATTATATTTATTTACCTATACTACATTATAATATAATAGTATGTGAAAAGTGGAAGACTAAAAATTAAAGTAGCCACCAAAATCAAATACGCACTTAAACAGTTTTATATGATAAATTTTTAGTTTATAAAACACTGTAATCGAGAGAGTAGAGAATAATCGATTCATGAAAAGTAGGCACCTTTAGAAACTTTTCTCTGTATGTTTTTTCTTTTGTGTGAAAGAAAATACAAGATCATATTTAATTATTATATTCCACCCCTAGTGAGTGACATATGAAATCACAGTTTCCTGAAACAAAACTTGAAAAGAAAAAATCTTCACCTCAAGTAAGATCGATATACAAAATTGTATCTCCATGAACAACACAATTGTATATCACTATAGTCTAGCTACGAACAACAAATTTGTTAGTGGTAGCGTCAACTCCATACTTGAAAAGATGGATTTTTTTAGGGTAATCACATCCAACCCGCACCAACCCACAGTGGGTAGTGGTTACCCACTAGCCACTGCGGTGAGGGGTGTGGTTAGCATAATTGTGAAATTGTGGGTGAGGGTACTCGCAAAATGTGGGGCGGGTAACCACACCCGCTCAATTTCCACCCCTAGTCTCAAGTATTCCACCTTGGCAATCCTACTTACCTTTGTGGCTTCTGAGAGTTTTTTTTATAGTTATGCTGGGAGGTTGTTAGACCCTCACCGGAGCATGCTGCATTATTCAACTGTGGAACTGTGGAAGCAATGATGTGCACACGAAGCTGTATAATGGAAGACATGCAATGAGGTAAGCTGTAAATACACCTCTCAATTTGATTACATCTTTATTTGCTTAAGCGTTAACTTTATTCTCCTGTTTCTTCAGACACTGAGGTTGTTGTGGAGGCATTGTAGGAAATATTTTGTACGATGTCCATTGAAGATACCTCTGTTGAAGAGGCATAACCTAGGGGTAAGACACTAAAACTTTTTCCTAATCTTTCAAAGTTTTGACTTTTTTTATTCAGACAGAATGACTAATGTGTTTTGCTTTCTTTTTTCAGGTCCAGGAATGGTGTTCATGAGATCAGCATTTGGGCATGAAGAATGATTATTGAAGAATTTTTTGTTGCTTGTTTTGGTTTTCTCGGCTAGAGGTTCATCATTTTAGGTGTCACTGTGATTTTTAGAACAAGGGCAATCCATATGTGATTTTCTTTATTAAATCGCTAGGTGACTTCCATTTTCACGGTAATTTTTTCATGCTCACTCTAGTGACATTATGGTGTTTAACAATAATGGTTTGATTTAAAGCTAATGGCTTGGTTTGGATTGTTCATTTCAGTATTTATGTATTATTGTTTCTTTTATAATGCAATGGGATCGTTAAGGGAAACGGCATGGCGTTTTGGACTCGTCCAAGCTAATATGGGTGTCGTATTACGGTGATACTCCGTGTCTTAAAGCCTGGAAAGAAAAATCCTCGGAAACAAATTGGCGTCCCTCAGCCGCACTCCGACTTCTCCGTCGTCACTCTCTCACTCAAAGAATCGAGTCGACGGAGATGGTAACTTCCACGATCTAATCGCTTCCAATTATCCGAGCACAGTCGAGGAATCCGCCGCCGCCCGTTCCTTCTGCTCCCTCCGCCCGACTTGCTGTGAGTAAACCGAACTTTGTCTACACACTCACTCTAGGGTAGATCTGTTTGCTCATTCATTTTCTTGATCTTTGAATCCTCAACTGGTAACTGTAATTGGAAATTGCAACAACCCATTGACTGAAGATGTTTGATTTTGTTCTGGGTTCTTCGGAATCTTTTGAATCCATCACCCTCCAATCCTTCATTCTATTATATTCCTTGGGTTGCTTTTGTTTCGATGGTGCGCTTCCGCTTTCCTATTTCACACGCCTATTAATTTCGAGCTTATTCTTGCATGTTCGCTTTTCTTGACCGGAGAAGGATTTCCAGATACTCTAGCTTCCACAGCTACTTGCTTTTGCTGCTAAGATTCAGTCTGTTGGGATGGGTGATAAGAACGATGATCATTCCTCGCCTAAAAAGGAAAACCCAGATCATGATTCCGAGACTCCTAACCCTAGTGATTCCCAGGAGGATAACTCCCTCGAAACCATAGTTCGAAAGTTTCAGGACTCGATTTCTGTAGGCAAGCAACACAAGTTTTGGGAAACCCAACCAGTGGGGCAGTTCAAGGATGTCGGAGTCACGGATTTGCCTGAGGGACCTATTGAACCAGCAACTCCTTTGTCCGAGGTCAAACAAGAGCCTTACAACCTGCCTGCACAATATGAGTGGACTACTTGTGATATGGAGTCTGATGAGACCTGCAATGAGGTCTATGCTCTGCTGAAGAACAACTATGTTGAGGATGATGAGAACATGTTCAGGTTCAATTACTCCAAGGAGTTCCTCAGCTGGGCGTTGCGCCCTCCCGGGTACTACAAGAGCTGGCACATTGGGGTACGTGCTAAAGCTTCCAAAAAGCTTGTTGCTTTCATCACGGGGATTCCAGCAAGGATCAGGGTACGTGGGGAAGTGGTGAAGATGGCTGAGGTCAACTTCCTGTGCGTTCATAAGAAACTAAGGTCAAAGAGGCTTGCACCGGTCATGATCAAAGAGGTTACTAGGAGGGTTCATTTGGAGAACATTTGGCAAGCAGCTTATACAGCTGGTGTGGTTCTGCCAACACCAGTAACCACTGCTCAGTATTGGCACAGGTCGTTGAACCCCAAGAAGCTTATTGATGTCGGCTTCTCCAGGCTTGGTGCAAGAATGACAATGAGCAGAACTATAAAGCTTTACAAGTTGCCAGATTCACCGGTTACTCCTGGATTCAGAAAAATGGAGCTTCGTGATGTCCCAGCTGTCACTCGGTTACTTAGGAACTACTTGGCTCAGTTTGTTGTTGCACCTGATTTTGACGAGGACGACGTTGAGCACTGGCTTCGCCCGGTCGAGAATGTCATTGACAGTTTCGTGGTTGAGAGCCCAGAGACTCATGAGATCACTGACTTCTGCAGCTTTTACACTCTGCCGTCCTCGATCCTCGGCAACCAGAACTACTCGACTTTGAAAGCTGCTTATTCCTATTACAATGTCCCCACCAAGACCCCATTACTACAGTTGATGAATGATGCGCTGATAGTAGCCAAGCAGAAGGATTTTGATGTCTTCAACGCCCTCGATGTTATGTTCAATGAGTCGTTTGTGAAGGAGCTGAAATTCGGGCCAGGTGATGGGCAGCTTCACTATTACCTTTATAACTACCGTTTGCAGCAGGCACTTCGGCCATCTGAACTTGGTCTGGTTCTCTTGTAGTTCAGGGTTGATGTAGGGGATCTTACATGGATTTTTCCCGTTACCATTGGATTGTTACCCCAGAACAGTTTTGTTTACTCTCATCTTCATTTTTTAACTAGTCGTATTTCGCCCATGAAAGTTTACACTTTACACAATGTTGGTTGTTGGTTATTTGGATGTTGATGTGGGTGATGAATAACATTTTGAGTTCGTCGGAATCTGTCGATGCTGAGTTTGTAATATTGTCAGGTAGTTCTCTTGTTGTTGCTGCAGGCCTTAAGGGCACTTTGTATGCAAGAGCTTCGTATTTGAACAATTGAAGTTTGAGATTAATGGATACTAAACTGTTCAAGACCATTAGATTGAGGGAATTCGGCTTACGATGATGTGTTGATAATGTAATTATGAATTCGTAATCTCTGCCCTTCAACAATCGGACTGGATGATGAACTGAATGCAGAAAACCGTGCAAAACTAAAGTGTACTTCAAAACTAAAGTGAGACGTCTATTGATCCATGATTGCTATCAAGATGTAGTTGTCACATAAATCCTTACCTTTATGCAAAAACCAAGAAGATTTACTACCAAACCATGATCATACTAAGAGCGAATTGGTCTGCAACATTGCATTAGTTTTGAGAAACACCAACGGTCCAAATAGCTCTGCAAGAACAACAGAGTCTGCCGTGCTTAATTTTGTTTTTTTTAGGTGATATTACAAAGACTATCAGACCGAATAATCAGCAGCTAGCCACCTATCCATACTACAGAACCCAACTACAAATTGAAATGCTTGGCCTGGTTCTGGGAATGATTGACCAACAGAACTGAGCATTACATCTAATTAACCAGAGACTCGACTTCAAATAACAATTAGAGCTAACTAAGCAAAAAGTCTTCCTCCGCAATCAATGTGCTAATTTGAACTACTACCATTCCTTGCCAACAGGTGCCCTTCATCATTCCTTGCCACGATCGAGCATGTGCAGTACAGAATCCCCCACTGAAGTTTGGCAGCTGCAAAATCCTGACAGGAGCAACAAAGCTTTCATCAGAAACTGAGAACTTGAAAATACCGAGAGCAGTTTCAGCTCTGATTTTGAGATTGCAAAATGATAATAGACTAGATCTGTCAACCAAAGAAGGCAAAGGGTAAGTCGAAAATCTTCCCTTCAGTCATGTACCACAGCTCCCCTCCTGAGTTTGGAGCATGCTTGCTGAAGATCTGGTTCACTTGAGAGGTGCACAAGCATGCATCTTCAAGAAGCAAACACATACTGAAGAAACCAAACAAGCAAGTAGTACTAGTAGAGTAGCAGTACTAGTTAGCTCACCGAGACAAGAAGTTAATAGGTAAGAACCTAAAATGCATAAAGTTATTTACTGAGTGAACAATTAAGCAATGTATATACATACTTCCCTTCCATTCCCTTAAGTGGCAATCACATTGCTTGCCTGCCTCCCTGCCCGAATCACAAATATATATGAGTAATCAGCTAGTCACCGCATTGACATGAGAATGCGGATCCTTCTCTCCCTTTTCGCCCCCTTCTTGTTCACACAAGTGTTGTGCTTCACCCTCCGAAGTTCCCTGATGATAAATCTATCAACTATCCGGATCCAGTCGATAAATCTTTTCCCCGTTGGCAGTAAGCACTCTGACCCTGCAAATAGCCGATTTGCAGAAGCATCATGGAGCATTTGGCCACGATGATCACTAGAATGATCAGTGGAGCAGCAGCGGAGCTTGACTCCACTTGCCGAAGGAACATGAAATGGCGATCCGGTGATGTTGCGGTCGCTGAGATCAAACCGATATGCAGCCGCCGCCGGTGGTGGTTGTGGTGGTGATTTGTGCGATTCTGGAGGGGAATCACAGAAGTTGAGCTTCCTCCTGGTTCCTCCGACGCCACTCAGTACCTGTTCTCTCCTCCTCCTTTTAGCACCATGTGTCAAGAATTCTCCCTGCCAAACCCAACAAAAAAAACACGAACACCATCAGCACAAACAAAGCACAACCTCCAATTGGTCGGGGAAACGATTCAGCTAATCTAGGGTTTCTCCGTAAGAAATTAGGGTTTCCGCAATATTCATCCCCTGACCCATTTGGGCATTTCGTTCTCGGAGTTCGTAAAACGGAGACGGAGAATCTCAAACCCAACCAAATTTTTAGACAGGAATAGAAATCGGAAAGAGCGAGTGGAATTGGGGATACCTGGAGCGAAGAGGCTGAGCGCGAACCGTGATGATTGTGAAGTAAAGTTGGAGAAGAAGGCGATCGATCAGCTACCGAAGCGGAATTTAGATTCACCGGACTGGGAGTCCCAAAAGGGGAGCCGTCGTTGCCGGAGTTCGACGACAGCATGGTTCCGACGAGAGAGATCGAGAACTGACGGGGAAGGTTGAGCGAAAAGGAGACGGCCGGCGGAGAAGAGAAAAGGGAAATTATGGAAAAGGAAGAAGTGAAATGGAATCAGACCCGCGCTTCCTTCCCCTTTTTATTGACGATTCGCAAAACGGTCACAATTTTTTGATTTTTGGCGCGGGAAAGCAGGGCGTGTAAGTTCCTTCCCGCTTCGTCTTGACGCTACCCGAACGACTAGTTTTTTTATTTTATTTTAACGCGGGAAAGCACGTGCGAACTGTAAAGAAAAAAATAATATGCATAATACTCAAAGTATTATTATGATGTTGGTAAATATTAAGAAAAGTTACTATAAAAGATGAATTAATAAGAGGAGAAAAACACATTTAAAACAAAACAAATTTGTACCAATTCTATACTAATTAAATATTTTCAAATCTTAATTTTTTGCTTTAATTTGAAAGAAGGAAGTAAAGCGCAAAGAGAGTACGGCGTCGTTTCATAAGTCGGGTTTCAAACGATGCCGTCGCTTGTTTTTTTCGCAATTTAGGGCTTTTGATTTTGCTGGCTTGGCGGAGGAGACGGTGCCAAGGAGGAGAGAAAGAGAAAGAGAAACACAGTTAAGTTAGGCGGCAGCGTCACCGCCGTGAACAAAACATCTCAGGTTTAGCTGAAGGAATTCACCGGCGTGTTTGGGAGGAGCAAGGAACCAAGAGAACGAAAGAGATGGGGAATCCGAAACAAAAATGGACGGCGAAGGAGGAAGAAGCTCTGCGGGCTGGGATAGCCAAACACGGCACAGGCAAGTGGAAGAACATCCAGCAGGACCCGGAGTTCAATCCCCATCTCTCCACTCGCTCCAACATCGATCTCAAGGTCTCTCTCTCTCTCTCTCTCTCTCTCTCTCTCTGGCTCTACAGCGCTGTGGTTTGTTTATGGCGTTTTGCAAATCGAGTAAGCCTTGATCGTCTCTCTGTTTTTCCGCTTTTCACAGGACAAATGGCGGAATATGAGCGTTGGCTCCGGCGAGAAATCCCGGACGCCGAAGCCCAAACTCGCTGCCGCCGATGCTGCTGTGGCTGCAGCAGTGCCAATGCCCATTGCTCAAGCTCCCGCTCCCCTCCCCACCCCAGCTGCTGCTGCTGTTGCGATTGCGCCTACCTCGACCGATGTAACAATGGAGGATACCAAACCTGTGGTTATGGTTGGTACTGAGGTGAAAATTGCTTCCAAGTAATGCTCTATTACCATTGTCCTTTCTCAGTTCGGCTATCTTTGTTTCATGGATAATCACTTACCCTGACACGCCCTCCTGAAGGGAATCAGTCATTCAGTCTCTGAAACTGAAGTGGTTAGCTTACCGTTTCAGTGCAAACTGTGCAATGCTGGTTTCACTATATCTTGGTTTCCCTCTGGGCAACCAACCTTGTTTCCATTCTGGGCCGTAAGCTGCCTTCCGCTAATTTTTGTTTCCTAGAATGTGATTCGATTTCTCAAGTCTGCTTAGAAATGCCTACAGTTTTACTTTCAGAGCACTTCAGCTCACTGAAACTTAAAGGCTTGTTTGAGTTGGACCTCTCCAAGGATTTGTTGAAATCTTTAGGGTAAAAGGGTTGATTAGTAATCCGCTTGGGAGATGAGATTACAGAACATGAAGGGACAGTGTATATGAGTGGAGTAGGATCTTTTGGGTGGTGAGATAGAAGATAACTGTGTGATATAAATCCACGTATCTTCAGTTGCAAGGCAGTGTACTCTGTATCCATTAGATGTTAGAAGTTAGAACTAACTTCTCGTTATTCTGTTTAGTTATATGAGGTATACTGCTGGCTGCTCCGTTCAGTGAAATCTGGAATCTCTGATTGACTTTAGTTTAATTTTGTACAGGTATGATCCAATGATATTTGAAGCAATTGCGGCCTTGACTCGAGTTGAGACAAATGTTGTTGATATCAGTGCAATCATCAGCTTCATTGAGGTATGGTGGTAATCTCAGTCGCCATGTGATAATCTTTACTGAAGTTTCAGTCTTGCCATAATAACTCTACCCCCCTCCTAAAATGAGTACCAATTCCCATATCGCGCAGCTTATATATTTGTTGTGGTGGCCCTTTTGTCATGCTTCATGAACTATGACTGAAGAGGCATCTCTTGTGGTTTTGCTATTGATATATGCAGCAAAGACAAGAGTTGCCACAAAATGGCAGGAAGCAGGTAACTTCAAGGTTGAGACGCTTGGTTCAAAAGGAAAAACTTGAGAAGGTTGGTAGTCCTTTTCTTCATGGCCACTTACTTGTCGATGTCTTGAATTGATTCCAGAGTTTCAGTTCTTATTAATGTTGCCAGTGGCAAATATTTCTAGCTTCTAATTGCTGTTTTATGTTTCTTTACTGTTCTTCAGTGAAGTACTGCATGTCTATTTCACACCAGCAAAAGATTACATATTAGAGTTGGCAAATTCATCTTTGTCAGTCGAATTCAGATAGATGAGAATCGTTATATATGTGATGCGAGTTCTACTGAAAATGGTGTTTGGGTGCTGGCCGATGTATTATGTTATGCAGATTCAGAATTCGTATAGGTTCAAGGAAAGCAACCCAACCACTGTTACAAATGCACCTCCCGTCACACAAGCACCTTCTCCGAAGAAGGAAGTCAAATCCATACCGTTGAAGAGCACTGATTTGGTTACCTCGGATGAAACCGTGGAAGAAGCAGCAGTTTCTGCTGCCTGCAGAATCGCCGAAGCAGAGAACAAATCCTTTGTGGCCGCTGAAGCTGTGAAGGAAGTGGAAAGGATTTTGGAATTCGCTGAAGAATCGGAATCAAATTTGCAACTCGCCAATCAGATATTTGAAAAATGTAAGCAGAACACTTTTGTTGGTTTTGTTTATGATTATGCTATTTTCATCTCGGTTTCATTGTCTGCCAACCTTGAGTCTCAAGTAAGCAAAGCAAAGCAAAGCTCTAAAAATACAGGCTCTCTTGACATGGCAGGTTCGCAGGGGGAAACTGTAATGTTGTCATGAGATGTTGATCGAGACTCGAGAGCCAATCGAGGGGGCGAAGCTGAGCATTCGCGTACTAAGGTGCACTGTAAATACTGTGTTGTCATTTCAGTAGGCGCTCATCAGGGCTAAATTTTGTGATCGGCTCGCTAGTCTAGTATATAGTATACGTATGGTGATGTATTCCTCCCCCCTATAGAATTCTGCTGTTTATGCAGCAAACCATTTGATTAAGCTTCCTGAAGTTAGGATCCGAACCAAGCGAATCAATCCCTTACTGCATTGTCGTTGAGCTCCAGTCTGAGTTTTTCCGGAATCGAATCAATTAATTGAGCATTACATATCTTGTTCATATAGGCTAACTGAGAGCTGAGTGGGGCTCTAATCGAAATGTAGTGTCAGTTCAAATATGTAACGGTTTGTTGATTTGGAAAACTATAGCGTCAATGCGATATAGATATCGTTGTAGTTTGTCGAGCAATGAAGCATCATTATTCGCGTCGATCGGTTGAGGTTTCGGTTCAAAACTTGTAGCCACCTATCGAAGAAAACTTCAGCACCTCAAGAAATTGGGACGGAAGAATTATGGTTCGTAGCAGCAACAACTTCCATCTGCTGCTGCTTCACAATATTCAACTTCAGCTCTTCCAAATCGTTCCTCAACTGCACAAGCCCATCAAGCCCAAGTTCATCAATTGGACATATCGTCCAACAGTTCTGTTGGGCTTTCATCGCCTGGCCCACCAGTTCCAGTTGGGTGAGAATCTGCGCCAGCTGCGCGTTCTTCGGCCCACCATCGCCCGCCTTAACTGCGCCTCCGCCGGACGGAATTTGGTTGCGATTGGTCGAGAACATGCCGACGACCGGACTCACCGCAGGATGTCCGAACGAGTACGCCTTGCCGGCCGGAGAGAAGACGATCACGACAATTTCGATCTCGCACAGGGTGCACAGCTCGCTGGCCTTTTTGAAAAGGCCGGCTCGGCGCTTGGAGAAGGTTACCTGTAAACGGTTCTTGTAGGGTATTTTCCGGATCGGAATCTTCCGGCGACCCGGATTTGACATTTTGTCGAGAAGCCGATGAGAGAAATGAAGACGGTGAAGTACTAAGGACCCTAGTAGTACTTGATTTTGCTGATAAGAAAAACCTGGTCTATTTATAGGGATTGATCTCTCCAAATTATTGGCATTGTTGTGGATGGTTTTGTAATTGTTTATGGCTCTTTAATTTTGGTTTCTTGGTGTGATCATTGCACATTTGGGATGGGAGGTTATGTTATCTTCCAGCATTATTCCCAAAGTAATTACAATTATATTATTTCACCAACAAATTGAATGTGCTGACTGACTGGCAATAGTAGCCTAGTAGGAACGATTGCCTTAGTGGATGACCCAATTGTCAACCAATCAAATTCATGGTGGCGGGTACCCGACTTCCTCCGATCTAGTCAACATGGAGAATTCCCGTTTTGACAGGGTATGAGGCGGGTATGGATAAAACCCGCAAAAAGGTTGATGGGGATGGGGCGGGTATTGTTTTGGATTTCCCCGCCCCATACCCATATCCAAACCCACCTCACCAATGATTTTTTTTTTATAGTAACCTGTGGGCTTTTCATTCAAAGTTTAAAGTTGGCCTAAACAGGATCGGCCCAGATCGGCCTCAAGAACACAAAGAAGTGACAAAGGTGGATTATCCACCCAAACTAACTGTCTATCCCTGCAGGAGATCGAATGAGCCAACCAGTGAGCTGGGTTGTTGTTCTTCCTTGGAGTGAAGTTCCAGATCGTCGACAACCCCGAGAAAGACTCATTGATCTTAGCCAGCTTCCTGATCTTATCACACCAAATTTCCAATTCCGTAGACACCTCTCTCCTTCTTCGCAGTAGCACCGCAAAAGTTTCCCCTCCAATCCCTGATCACACATCCGAATCCCACCCCATATGTTTAAAAACACCCGCATCAGAGTTCAGCTTGAAGAAATCTTCGAGGGGAGGACACCAGCCTTCGGATCTACTCGGGCATGCAGCTTCTCCCGAAAACAGGGGAGCTCGGGCTTTAATGAAGGATTGCAGCCAACCCAAAGCTTCAGGGATGATCTGGTCTTCGTCAATCTTATGGTTGCTGTTCAGGTGGTTACATCTCTCCTTCCACATGTACCAAAGCACAACACTGAACTTCTACATCTGTTCTATTGTTGAATTTTTCCATATCTCCTTGAGCCAATCAATACACGATTTTCCTTCTCCGATCTCAAACAATTTCTTTTCTTCCCATGACTGCCATCTACTCCTAATCCAACTGCATTCTCGGAGGGCATGAAGCTGAGTTTCAGGGAGTCCACAAAAGGGACAGTGCGTGCAAGTTTCGTCAATCTATTCTTCAGTGTGGCACCCAACCGGTAATTGCATATTTGGTTTTCGGATACCCATTGGAAGTAGGGCTGCAAATGAGCCGAGCTGAGCCGAGTTTTACCCCAGTTTGAGCTTGACTCGTTAACAAATGAGCTGAGCTCGAGCCCGAGCCATTTATTAACGAGCCGAGTCGAGTTCGAGCTAGGCTTGTTTACTAATTCTTAGATCGTATTTGATACATTCATTTTGTATGTCGTGCATGGTATATGTGATTGATGTAGTGATAAAAAAAGAATCAAATGTTCAACATTAATTAATCTTATTTTATAATTTTTAGGTGTCATATTGTTTAGTTAATAAATTTTAACTAGTTCAAATCATGTTATTTCATAGTATCGAAACAATTTTGTACATAATTTCTTTATAGAATTAAAAATAAGGCATATTCTCTTACATGTTCAACATGTTAACTTCACATGATGTGAGATATATAATTTAACAATCCTATAAATTATGAAAATCCAAATTAGATCGATTAGTCCATAAGTCGGTGATCAAGTTGGCCCTCAAACCACAATGTTGAGACATCTCATGAGCTTTAAATGAGCCAACTCACGAGTTGAGCACAACAAGCCACCGAGTCGAGCTAGCTCGCGAGCTTCACGAGCCCAACAAAGCTAAACTCAAGCTTGACTCGTCAGTAAACGAATCGAGTTTCGAACGAGTTTTCCCTATTCGAGCCTCGAGTTGCTCGCGAGTAGCTTGGCTCATTTGCAGCCCTAATTGGAAGACTATGTTTGTTAACTTGCAATAGCAAAGGGTATAAAATACTATTCACCCTATTATTATTTTCTCTAGTAACCACTACAAAGGTTGACATAGGGATGGCAAGGGGCGGGTTTGCCTAAACCAACCTCATTCCCATTTTCAAATAACCAAACCAATATCCACCTCATACCCATGCGGTGGAAGGTTTTACAAATTCATCCTCATACCTGCGATTTTCGAATACACATGGGTAGTACCCAGTCCATGCAAGCTTGGAGAGTTGAGCCATTTATATTTTCTGCTACAAAAGGGACAATTCCGTAAAATCACTTTCATCCTTGGAGAGTTGAGCCATTTATATTTTCTGCTACAAACTTATAAAAAATAAGAAATAAAAATAACACGAACAAAAACAACTATTGAACTAATGTTGACTTTTATCATCATCTTCGACTTCTTTGACCGGCGACTAAGATCACGGTGGAGAAAACAGCAAACGATGAGGGGACTCTTTCGTTAAGACTGACTTCGTCTCCTATGATCTCACACCCAGACGGTCAAACCCCAACTCAAAGCCTTTACATGATCGAAATTTAAATCGACGATGAAAAATCCGGTGGCTAGAGGACTTTCGTAATGTGTCTGTCAGCACTGGCACCGTATGTTTATCAAGTAAGTGATGTCTTTGGGTTCAATTACGAGTGGGAAAGAAAGTGGCTGATTGCGAACAATCCAATCCAAACAAGAACATATTGACCTTTGGTCGCCAGAGTATGCACCACCTCTGAGACTACTTCCACGTTGGATCCAAGCTAAAGATGGCAACTTTGATCCCGGTGTGGCGATCAGAGATGATTGTCGGGTTTGACTCTCTTGCTTCTGATGGCACTGACCCTAGCCTTGCATTCCTCGTGTTGATTCTGGCATTTAACTATGAGCCTTCTCTTGTTAGAATGACTTGTGCGCCATGCCGCCATTCAAAACTCCGATTCATTGCTTTAGTGTCAACAGCGTGCCACACCTCTTTCTTCATACCAAATTGTTGGCTCTTCTTAGCCCAGTGGTTGGACCCCATATTGGCACCTCTGGCGACTCCATGTCGGCATCAACATATCAATTTTCATATGAAATATCCATGTAGTACGTGATAGTCACACGTTCAGTACACCTCCTCATCAGTTGAGTCTGAATCTCGACCTGAATCATCAACACCTTCAAGAGGGTCGAAGTTGTCTGCACTGATGCTACCTTCCTCTTCTTCGTCTTCAAGGTTACTAACTGGACCTAGCAGCGCATCTTCCATCTCATCTAGATCATGAAAGACACATTCATCAGCTCCGAAATGGTAGCTGTGATAACTACTGTTGCCTAAATGAAAGTTGTACTCGGGTTGGTACTGGTAGCGTTCTTGTTGGTTATCATGGTATCGTTGGACTTCTTCTTCGATGGGAAGGATTGATGATGATGAACTCTACCTCCTTCTTGGTACTCATGGTAGGAATGATGATCATGGTGACCTTGATAGAGATGATCTTCATATACTCCACTCCCGCCGTGAATACTAGATGTTTGACCATCTCCAAAATGACATTCACCGCCTTCAATTTGTTTGGTGTAAACAAACATCTCTGCTTTGGAAATGTTATTGAGATTCAAAAATTCGAGCATGGCAACAACTTCCTCTTGAGTGGTTATGAACAATTCCTCATGCCACAACGACACATCCTCTCTGTTTGGATATCGATACACCATACGATCAACTCTTCTCGTGTCATCCATGCACGTAACCGTAGAACACATTTGACGGAGCTCTTCAAGGTTCGGTCTCGTAGACCTTCACTTTCTGAAAATTATCACCGATGTAACGTACCCCATTTCCAGTCTCTTCAGTGTAACCATTCTACCGTAACCAAAACGTGAACTTTCGTAATGTCATATGCAATAAAATCGTAACTCACTTAATACCATAAAATTTGTGAAAGACATGCACATGAATACCTTTTGAATGATAATCATTTAAAAATCACAAATCACAATAAAAATAATACAAAACAAACTTACGAAGTAACGTTAATCGCAAAAACTCTAAAAAGGTAGGGAACCGAATTTTAAAGAAGAAGGAGAGGGAGTGAAGAGTTGAGGTTTTCGGGGCTGCCTTTTATAGGCAAAATGTTAGGTGAAAACCGCCACCCCCACCGCATTCCACTGAAAACCGCTGGGGGTGGCAGTTTTCACTTGACATGCAAACCCTACTTTTGCACCCCTGCATGCCGACATGTCAGCTGTCGGGCACGACATGCAAACCGTCACCTCGTCCTGCAGTTTGTAGGTCGGCAAATCAAACCGCTAGGTAAGGTGACAGTTCCTTTTGGCGAGATAGAAATGCCACGTCTAGTGGTGGTTTGTTCTAGGTCAGCCATGAAACCGCCACTTGTCCATTATGGTTTTGTTCCCATAATAAAAATCGCCGCCCTACCACGCAGTTCATTTGAAAACCGTTGCACCCTCTAATGGTTTATGTAAAAAGAGTGGTATATAAAGAATTATTTCGAAAAAGGATGGTATTTTTGTAATTATTTAGTTACACGGTGATATTTTTAGGAAAAAATCCTGGGAGATGAGGACCATACCGATACCACATGAGTTGCGGCTTTTTGAAACTACGTTGAAATCAATGGTATTCGGTGACGCCACTTGGCCGGCCGATCAAGGTCGATCTTCACTCTTCAGTTCACCTAAAATTGCCAGTGTTCGAAGCGATCAGAAACGTACTACAAAACACATCTGCTACTAGCTGCTCTTCGGTTAATGGAATGATTGGCTCCTTCCCTTCCCCTCAAGTTGACCAATGGGTAGGTCTCTCTCTCTCTCCTTTCCTCGAATACGTTAAGGGATGGAATAATTTCTCCCCGTTCTTGGGTCGTTGCGATATGAATTAAATAAGACCGTGATCTGCAGAAACAAGAAGAAGTAGTAGTTAAAGACCCGATGATCTCCATTCTTCGCCAATATATATTTGCTCATTTGTCACTGGCAAGTGGCAACAGCTCTCAGATCAGTCCTTTGAAACAGGTCCGACTTCATGGAAATGCTTTCGATTCTTGTTATTGCGTTGAGCAGCTGTGTCCTGCTTCATTGCCATGAAGCCGTAGAAGGTTCCCGCTACCCAGAAACTGGGAACTCGGAATGCCGCATTCTGGAGCAACAGCAGCCGTATCTGCCCTCTTTCCACTTCAGACCTCCTCAAAATTGGCTCAATGGTAAAACCCCCGTTGACCATGAGAGCTTTTCCTCTTTCCTTCTGTTTTGATCCACTGGCCCTTTATTACAAAGTTCTGATCTTTTTCTGTTTTCAATCGATCGTCGTCTAATTTGGTGTGTGCTGGATTGATGGGTTTCTCTTACTCTGCAGATCCTAATGGTAAGTCCATTAAAATTCCTTTCTTTGATGTATTATCAAAGATCACATATTTGTTTGAAGTTTGAACTGGTGTATTCAAAGATGCATTTGCTTCTGCTGCTGCTGCTGCTGCTGCAGGTCCAATGTGGTATAATGGGATGTACCATTTGTTCTATCAGTACAACCCAGAAGGTCCGTTGTTTGGTGACAAGATGGTATGGGCACATTCAGTTTCCCGTGACATGATTCATTGGGTCGACCTCGATCTCGCCCTAACCCCAACCGAGCCATTCGACATGAAGAGCTGTTGGTCCGGTTCGATCACCATTGTTCCAGGGAACATACCAATGATTCTATACACCGGCATTGATTCCAATGGTGTTCAGGTTCAGAACCTGGCATTCCCCAAGAACCTCTCCGACCCGTTCCTGGAGCAATGGGAGAAATCGACACGAAATCCCATCATGACCCCTCCCCAGGGCGTTCCAGGGGACTTCTTTAGAGATCCAACCACTGCTTGGCGGGATCCTGGTCCTGATGGGAAGTGGAATGTGATTGTTGGTGGCCTGATAAAAAATGAAGGGATGGCAATACTGTATCAGAGTGAGGATTTTGTTAGCTGGACAAAAGCTGAGCACCCTCTCTATTCATCCCCAGGGACTGGGATGTGGGAATGTCCTGATTTTTTCCCTGTGTCTCTTAATAGTAGCAACGGGGTTGATACGTCGGTTGTAGATCCCAGCGTTAAGCATGTGTTGAAGATCAGCTCGTTCAGTAATGTGCATGATTACTATGTGTTAGGCTCGTATGCTCCTAAAACTAGTAAATATGTTCCAGGCAATGAATACACAGGTAGTAGTACAGATTTGAGGTATGACTATGGGAAGTTTTATGCTTCAAAGACTTTCTTTGATCAACCAAAGAGCAGGAGAATCCTATGGGGATGGGCGAATGAGTCCGACACCATGGAAGATGACCTTGCCAAGGGATGGGCTGGAGTTCAGGTGAGTTCTGCAGCAGGCCTTTCATTTCGTTACTGCTAATACCTTCTGGGTTTTGACTTGGCTTCTTCTTGGAAAGAAGTAAAAGAAAGCATCAAGTTCTAACATGTACTCTGTGACTCTACATTACAGGCAATACCAAGGGAAATATGGCTTCACAGTAGTGGAAAGCAACTAGTCCAGTGGCCAGTCGAAGAATTGAACAAATTACGCGGCCAACATGTACAAGTCTTGGATGAAAAACTGCATAGTGGATCAGTATTTGAAGTTGAAGGCATCACTGCTTCACAGGTAATTACAATACAATGACTTACTTTCACAGCAATGGCGCTTCATTGATCCTGCTTCTTTTCCTGTCTATCAACTTAAAAAGCTTTCTTAATATCTTTCAAGGCAGATATAGAGATTGAATTTGAATTGCATAGCCTAGAAGAGTCAGCCGAGGTCTTCGATACTACTGGGACCGATCCCCAACAACTCTGTAGTGATTCAAATGCATCGGTTAAAGGCGGAGTTGGTCCATTTGGCTTGCTGGCTTTAGCAACAAAGGAACTGACTGAGCACACTGCAATCTTCTTTCGGATATTCAAAGGCAGTAATGGATTCGTGGTGCTCATGTGCAGTGATCAAAGAAAGTATAATAACAACATTGAACTTACTTTCTTCTTCTGTACTGTAACATGGGGAACTCCATCATGAACTTTTGAATTGTTGCCTGCCAAAATTGCAGGTCTTCTCTGAGGGACGGTTTGGACAAAACCCCTTACGGAGCTTTTCTGGAAATTGATCCTCAACACGAAAAGATTGCATTGCGAACACTGGTGAGTTTTGCATAAGGTTATGCCATAATCCCAAAGTTCCAGCACGAAATTTGGCGATATGATTTACGTTGCTTGTCACTACTGTATATGTTGCAGATTGATCACTCTATTGTTGAGAGCTTTGGTGGGGGAGGGAAGACTTGTATCAGCAGCAGGGTGTATCCTAAGCTGGCCATTAACTCAGAAGCTCGACTCTTTGTGTTCAACAATGGGACAGTAGATGTAGCAATCTCAAGCTTGAATGCTTGGAGCATGAACACTGCCCAAAAGAATCGCCCCACACAGAGTTACGCGCTGCTGGACTGATGATCGCAATACGCATCAAAGCGTGGGAGCTGGGAAACCTCCAGTAATATTCATCAGCATTTGCCACTTTGAGTTCATAACATAAAGGAAATTGTTGATGTCAAATTTGATGATTGTTGTAAGGGATCTATGAGTGTCTACATACTTGCTGGTTGCAAGGGATCTATTTATTCCAAGTCTAGACACATTTTCATTGTCTCTGCATGGGAAAGTGCAATAATGATGCTCCACCATAACCTCCATTTGCTGTTACCTGAATCCAGAATGAACAAAAGGGATCTGAACGCATCAGAAGAAGCACGACCGAATTGAATCTTCTCTTCCTTAACCCTAATTTCCTCCTGAGCCGCATTCATTCATTACTCTATAAATAATGATGCTCCATCTTCTCCTCCTCAACCCTAACGCAATCATCTGATTCCGCCTTCTCCGCCTTCTAATATAGTCCTTAGCCCTGGTGTCGATCTAATCTATTGCGGGAGCGGGATAGTATAACTGATGGTATTTTGGGAATCATGTTGATGTGATCCATCGTGATCTGAAACCACAGAATATCCTGTTAGACAGAAATTAGTCAATTACTGAGGTTGTCCCTGACAAGTGACAGTGTCACCAAGTACAGAGTCTCTATGCTCGCTGAAACCCTTTTTTTACATGAACCCTGAGTACCAGAGGACAGGGACCATCCGCCCCAAATCGGTGCTCTATGCGTGTTGAAGAAGCACTTAAAAGTGACACCTTGGCCAACGTTCTGGATCCATCAATTGCTGATTGGCCACTTGTCGAAGCTAAGGAGCTTGCCCAGATTGCTCTGAACTGTGTAAAGCTCCGTTGCAGAGACAGGCCAGTCCTTGACACTGAAGTGCTACCAGTTCTTAGAAGACTCAGCGAAGTAGCAGATGCTAGCATGATGACAGAGAAAGGCAGCATCTATGCACCAAGCTACTGCTTTTGTCCAATCCTTAAGGTTGCCAAAAACAGAACTCCAAACAACGTTTTCTTGTTAAAGCTGAAACAAACACAGCCTTAATTGAACAAGGATCTGCACAGAAGGCCCTCTAATGTTGCTTCATACAACTGCAGGAAGTAACGGATGATCCTCAAATTATTGCTGATGGTTTTACCTACGAGAAAACAGCCATCAAGGCATGGCTGGAGATGCACACAACATATCACCAGTGACAAAGCTTCAGCTCCAGCATGCTGCATTGACCCCCGAATCACATGCTAACGCTCTGCAGTTCGAGAATGGATGTCCCGCGTGAATTCGCGATAGCCAATCAAAGCATCAGTCTTCCCCTGCCATTCATTCTTCTTTCTCTTAGAAGTTGATGATGACTGTTATCAGCACAACTGTACAGCATACTGCATACACATACACAACATACTTGGGGAAATCCAAACAGAACTAGTTAAAGAAAATCAAAACACACAGCATGTATAGGGGAAAAAGAGAAGTGCATTATATCTGAAGGGGGAAGTGGTTCTATGTACAGCGCTGCAATTCATCTACTCTGCATCTATCCAGATTACTACATACATCCATATGAAAATTCCAATGCCATTCAGGAGTTAATCAACTTGAGTGAACTCCAGCGCATTCGCATCAGGATCTCGCGTGAAGATTGCAGGCCTCCCGGATCGGCTAAGCGTGTAAGGATGTCCTGCACAAACCATTCAAAACATGGCCTCAGGCCACAACCCAAATGCAAACTGAAGAAGGCGGGAAATTGAAATGGGAAAGTTACCAGCTTGGTCAAGGATCTCCTTGAGCTTGGAGACGTCTCGAATGGCGAGGCAGGCATGGCGGTCGCGGCCACCGTGTTGAGGCCGTCCTGTTAAAGGGTCCGGATTGGGGAGCTCCATTAGGTGGATCATCTCAGCGCCCACCCACAGCCAAGCTCCTCTGTATGGCAATTTGTCGTGAGGCCTCGCCTCGTTTATCTCCAGACCCAACATCCCCTGGTAGAATTCGATCGACCTTTCGAGGTTTTCGCACAGGATACCAACGTGGTGAACTCCAACGACTCCATAATCTGCACCCAAAACAGTAGAGAAATTGAACATTGGGAAAAAGCAATAAACACGGTGGTATAATGTTTTTGGATGGTGGGTTACCGATTTTGGGACTGGCTGTGGTGGCAGTGATTGATTCTTGTTTGTCGACAGAAGCGACATTTGATTCGGAAGTAGATAGGTTGGGTCTTGATGTTCTTGTGAATCGGCCATGGCGGCTGAGAAACGTTTCGCCGGACTTGGGTTTCACACTGAGAGAGGGAGGAAGAAAGGAAGGGGGCTGACGGCGGAGCTGAGGCGGGGCGACGGTGGATGATGGGGTGAGTGGTGGAAGAGAAGCCATTGCAGCGGGAGACGAACGGAGGATTAGGCAGAAGGTTTGATTAGATTTGGTTCACTTCTCTTCGGTAATTTTTTGTTCCTGTTCTATATTATAGGTATCCAATTCGATCCAAACCAGACAAAAGTGAGTGAAATTCAGTGTTGATGGCTTCGATACGATAAAATAACATGATTTGGACTTAAATTTCCTGAACTCTATAATATGATACCAATAGAGCATAACATTTGATTAGTTAATGATGAAAAATTTGACTACGATTCTTTTATTCATCATGGCATAAATAACATGTATCATACATGGCATACAAAATAAATGGATCATACATGATAACGATGTAATTGCACATGTTTGCGTCTCTAGTTCTTATCCGTTTGAGGGGCATAGTCGTGTGTTGTGGCCTATTTTACGTCGGGTTGTGCTATTTTGTCATGTTTCAGGTCCCAGGTGTCAAAGGGAAGGCTAAGCGCGAGTTTCGGGGCATTCGGAAGTCATTTCGGTGAGCTGGAGCCAAAACACGGGCAGCCTAAGGCATTACACGGCCGTGTACTGCTGGCCGTGCTTTTTATGTCGAGAGCAAATTCAGTTTGGCCAATTCAGCTGCAAACACGGGCACCGAAGCACGGCCGTGTTCAGGCAAAGCACGACCGTGTACATTGCGAAGCACGGCCGTGTTTAACCCACTTGCTGGCCGTGTAATTAAGCCCTGGCCGAGGCACGGGCGGAGTCAGGCAAAGCACGGCCGTGCCCTCGACCGTGCTTTGGCCACTGATGCTTTTAAGCAGATTTTCAGCCACAACTCAGGGGGATTCGAGTTTTTGAGAGAAAGAACGACTTCTAGAGAGAGAAAGTGACGAGCAAGAGTTCCCAAGTGCCCTAGATTGATCTTCAACACCATTGGAGGCCAGCTTGAGCTTGGAGAAGTGCCAATCAACGTCCAGGAGCCGGAATCCGTCCTTCGCAGTATGAATTCCGTGTCTGTTTCTGCTTTTGTTTTCTTCTCCATGGAGTAGTTCTCCCATTCATCTGGGTATGGAGAACCCTAGATTTGTATGTTAGGCTTTGATTGTATGAACCCAAGTACTGATTCTGTGATTGATTATATTCGATTGAGGTTTTGATGATTGAATGACTTGAATCCTGATCAAATTCCTGTTGTTTCTGCTTTAACCTAGTATGAGAATATCTGCCTAGGTTAATAGCGTATCCTTGATTGAAGGTAGGGAGTTAGTGACTTTAGTCGAGGAGCCAACTCACTATTCTGTACCGGATTTACTCCGGTAGTGGAGGTTTTGTTCTTAGGGCCTCAATCTGTCGACTCCGGTGGAGGTTAGTCGCCCGCTAGAGAGTCAGATTGAGAGGGTCTGAAGACCTTTAGTCGAGACTTCAGGCTGTTTAAGAACCTTCCGCAGTATAACTGTCATAGAAAATGAACTTGGTAATTACAATCCGGCTTAACTGCAGTCTAGGGGGAACCATATCCGGGTGACCTCTTTAACCTGAATACAACAGTTTACTTGCTTTGTTAGTTTGAGAGTTTAGACTTGCATGCCAGTTTCATTGCTAGATAACAAGAATTCACTGAGTAGTCATCACATCTAGGACCCGGGTTGATAATTAAACCCAAACCCGCTATACTACGCTTTAGGAAGTGGTTTCACTTGGCCAATTCCTGGAGTGACAGTAGAGTCGAGTCAAGTTTTTGGCGCCGTTGCCGGGGACGGCTAGGTTTTTGAAGAAAAGTGATTTCTGTTAATTTAGCTTTTCTTTTTGCTTTGTTTGCTTTGTCCCACTTGTGCCTTCACGGGTTTGCTTGCTTGAGTGTGTGCAGGTAGTGCATGACCCGTAGCCAGTCAGGAGGTTTACTGCCGTTGAATCCAGAGATTGAACGCACATGTCGCCAGCTCAGGAGACAACAGCAAGCTAGACTGGCTACGGAAGAGCGCATAGACGGCCACGTGAGCAGTGATTCTGAGGAGGAGTACGAGATGGAAGACTACAATCAACACCAGGGGAATCCTCAGCAGGCTCCCCCGGTGAATCAGGTCCTGGGGAACAACCCCATACCCCAGGATCATGGAGTTCATCATCCACCGCAGCCGGGTCCCACATTGGAGTACTACTACACTCCGCGGATTGCTGACATCCGCCCGGTCATCCTCTACCCGCCTATCCCAGCAAACAACTTCGAGATCAAGCCATGCTGGATTTAGCTCATTACATCATCTATCCAGTTCCATGGCTTGAAGAATGAGGAGGCCAGGGTACATCTGTCCCGTTTTCTGCAGCTGACAAACGGGTTCAAGCTGAATGGTGTCCCGGATGATGCGATCTGCCTTCATCTCTTCCCCCATTCTCTGGCGGGGAATGCTAAGAGGTGGTTGGAGACCCAGCCCCCATTGTCCATCACCTCTTGGGACGATCTGGCGGACAAGTTCGTGCACAGGTATTATCCGGCATCGAAGACTACAGAGATTCAGCGGGAGATCACTCACTTCCGCCAGGAGCCAGATGAGTCACTTCGTGATGCTTGGGAGCGGTACATGGGCTATTTCTGGCAGTGCCCCCATCATGGCTTCAGTGATGCATTCACAGTGGGGAACTTCTACAATGCCCTTTCGCAAGATAGCCAGAGGGTGATTGAGTCTCTATGCCCAGGAGGGGATGTTCTCACCAAGACTCCACCCGAGCTGAATCAGATGATTAATACATTGGCTGCCATAGATCATTCTTGGGGGCAGAGCAGCAGGGGCAGACAGTCCCGGGACCGTGGTGTGCACGCCATGGAGACCAGATCCGAGCTCGAGCAGCAGGTAGCTGAGCTAGTGCAGACATTGAAGCAGCCTAACAGTCTGATTCCGGGCAGAGGTTTGGCTACACCTCCAGTTGCTCAGTGTCAGTGGTGTGAGAGCTCCAATCACCTAGTGGAGGACTGCCAGGCTATGAGGGAGTCTACCACACCCCAGGAGCAGTTGGCCTTCATCGCCAATGCGAGGCACCTCGATCCATACAGCAGCACATATAATGAGGGGTGGCGCCAGCATCCCAACTTCGCCTGGAGCAGCAACACCACTAACCACCTGGTTTCCCAGCACCAGCAGGTAACCAGGTGGTTTTCAACAGAGGCAGCCCTTCCAGGCTCGCCAGGGGCCAGACCCACAGCAGCAGCCCTACCAGCCTAGGCAGGGGCAGCCATTCCAGCAGCCCCAGCGCCAGTTTGCCGAGCCAGCAGCAGCTCCAGCCCCAGATGATAGGATGACGAAGCTGGAAAACATTCTAGCTTCATTCATGACGAGCACTCAGGCGACTATCACGAGGTTGGACCAGAGTGTAGCCTCACTGGAGGCAGGTCAGAGGAACCAGGGTGCCATTTTGCAGGATCTGCAGACCCAGGTGGGCATCTTTGCCCGCCAAAACACTACCAGGGCACCGGGGACTTTGCCTGCCACCACTGTCCCGAATCCTCGAGATCCTCATCAGCATCAGCAGCTGGATGCCATTTTTACCAGGAGCGGTAAGACCATATCTGCTGATCCTGTCCCGGCCAGACAGGAGGAACCACTGACTGCTTCAGCACTTCCAGCCGACGATGCAGAAGTGCGGGTGGAGAAGGAAGCCCCTGCTCCCAAGCCACAACCAGTGGTTAAGGAGCATGTACCCCAGCTTCCCTTCCCCACTCGCCTACACAAGGACAAGCTGGAGACTGAGTTTGCCAAGTTCATGGCAATGTTGAAGCAACTCAACATCAGCATACCGTTCATGGAGGCACTGTCGAAGATGCCCAAGTATGCCAAGTTCATGAAAGATATCTGCACCAACAAGAAGAAACTTGGGGATCTTTCGACAGTGATGCTCAGTGAGGAGTGTTCTGCTATCCTGCAGAACAAGCTGCCCGAGAAGCGCAAGGATCCAGGGAGTTTTACTATCCCTCTTACTATTGGCAGCATGCATGTAGGAAAGTCCTTGGCGGACCTAGGCGCTAGCATTAACGTCATGCCATATAAGTTGTATAAGATGCTAGACCTAGGTGAACTTAGCCCTACTAGGATGAGCATTCAATTAGCTGATCGTTCTATTGTGCATCCTAGGAGAATCATAGAGGATCTGCTTGTTCATGTTGGTGCATTCACATATCCTGTTGATTTTGTTATTCTGGATGTAAATGAGGATGTGGATGTGCCTTTGATTCTAGGTAGGCCATTTCTTGCCACCGCCAAGGCACTTATTGATGTGCATGATGGTAAACTGATACTGCGAGCTGGGGATGAACAGGCTACTTTTTCTGTGACTGAGTTTGATCACTGTGCTATGATTGATGTCACGCCTGTGCATGCTATGTCTGATCAGGTACACGAGCCTGTCGTGTATCCTTCTGCACCTCCTATTTTGCAGGACCCTCCTATCATTCCTTCGCCGCCACTCCATCCAGCCACGCCTCCGAACAAAAAGCTCAAGGAGGAGTGGCGTCCGAAGCCGCAGGTTGCTAAACCTGCACGGAAGAAGAGTGGAGACCACTATGAGCTGGTCCCACCTCCTGCACCACGACCACCCTGGCCGCCTGGGTACTCGCTCGCCTGCATCTTGCCAGATGGGTAGGTCGAGCTGACTGATGAGGGTGGTCGCATCCGTCGGGTGCATGGCCACAACCTGAAGCTGTACCTCAAGAGCGATGTGGATCCGCTCTTGGAGGCACCTGTTCCTGCACCGCCCTGAGTATCCGCCATGGGCGTCCAGCTAAAAGACGGTAAAGAAGCGCTTGTGGGGAGGCAACCCCACCTCGGTTTGATTTTCTTTCTTGTGTTTTGCGTCGGATTGTAACCCGGTTTGGGTTTGGTTTGTTTCCTTTTGGTTTGGATGATATTTTATTGGGCTGACCATTGAACCTAACATATTGTGTTTGAGCTCTTCTGTTTCCCTTTGGCTGTGCGTGCCCCGACTGGCCCGTTTCCAGTCTCCTGCAGTCCGTGCATACCGGTAACATCGTTCCCTTATCCTTCCCTCTTCTCCATTGAGGGCAATGTCGAGCTTAAGTGTGGGGGGATGTTTATCTTTTTGACTGCATTAGATCTGTTTGTGTGCTTGGAGCCTAGTCCACTGTCCAAATTTTTAAATTTGAGGGCTCCAAGTACGTGTTTCCTTGCAATTGCCTGCTCAGTATGCTTTGAATTGACAGTCTTTATAGTAATATGCAACCTAGGGAGGTAGTGTAGCACTATGGAGGATGTTGATGCATTTAAGGAGTCTCATTTCTTCTTCATATTGAGTTGGTTGATTGAGTGAATTAGTGATCTTAGGACCCTTGAATTGTGTGGTGTTGTGGATTCTCTACCTGTCATGAACTCTTGTATCATGTTTTGAGTTTAACAGGTGCTCGAAAATGTGCTTCAAAATAACGTCTCCCGTGCGAATAGGGCGAAAGTGTGTAAGGGGAGACGGGAATTCGTTCCCAATTTCCACCTACTACCTCCAGCCCCCTTACATGTCTTTCCCCCGCACGAGGCTCGAGACATCCGCTCCTGGCATGGCCGGTAAGAGCAGGTTGGGACCCTTGAAAAAGAAAAGAAAAATATCAGAAAACAAGCAAAACAGAAAAAAAGGGGTTCCAACCATCTTTAAGCAGAAAATAGAGCACCTTGAAAAATGTGAGTCCATGATCTTTTGTTTTTGAGAATCTCTTCATCCACGATTCATTTGTCCTCGGTTCACTGTTTGCCATGATGTCGACTCGCCGAGGAAGCTATGAGATGACTTGTGCGTCGGTTGACCTCGTAAGTTGCTAAATGATCTAGGAAGTCCTCCACCTACGATCTGGGTTGTTTGTTGCTATGAAGGTCTGGAGTTGCATTGGTTTGAGTTAGGTTTGCTTGGGGACAAGCAAACGGTTAAGTGTGGGGGAGTTTGATAACGATGTAATTGCACATGTTTGCGCCCCTAGTTCTTATCCGTTTGAGGGTCATAGTCGTGTGTTGTGGCCTATTTTACGCCGGGTTGTGCTATTTTGTCATGTTTCAGGTCCCAGGTGTCAAAGGGAAGGCTAAGCGCAAGTTTCGGGGCATTCGGAAGTCATTTCGGTGAGCTGGAGCCAAAACACGGGCAGCCTAAGGCATTACACGGCTGTGTACTGCTGGCCGTGCTTTTTATGCCGAGATCAAATTCAGTTTGGCCAATTCAGCTGCAAACACGGGCACCGAAGCACGGCCGTGTTCAGGCAAAGCACGGCCGTGTACATTGCGAAGCACGGCCGTGTTTAACCCACTTGCTGGCCGTGTAATTAAGCCCTGGCCGAGGCACGGGCGGAGTCAGGCAAAGCACGGCCGTGCCCTCGACCGTGCTTTGGCCACTGATGCTTTTAAGCATATTTTCAGCCACAACTCAGGGGGATTCGAGTTTTTGAGAGAAAGAACGACTTCTAGAGAGAGAAAGTGACGAGCAAGAGTTCCCAAGTGCCCTAGATTGATCTTCAACACCATTGGAGGCCAGCTTGAGCTTGGAGAAGTGCCAATCAACGTCTAGGAGCCGGAATCCGTCCTTCGCAGTATGAATTCCGTGTCTGTTTCTGCTTTTGCTTTCTTCTCCATGGAGTAGTTCTCCCATTCATCTGGGTATGGAGAACCCTAGATTTGTATGTTAGGCTTTGATTGTATGAACCCAAGTACTGATTCTGTGATTGATTATATTCGATTGAGGTTTTGATGATTGAATGACTTGAATCCTGATCAAATTCCTGTTGTTTCTGCTTTAACCTAGAATGAGAATATCTGCCTAGGTTAATAGAGTATCCTTGATTGAAGGTAGGGAGTTGGTGACTTTAGTCGAGGAGCCAACTCACTATTCTGTACCGGATTTACTCCGGTAGTGGAGGTTTTGTTCTTAAGGCCTCAATCTGTCGACTCCGGTGGAGGTTAGTCGCCCGCTAGAGAGTCAGATTGAGAGGGTCTGAAGACCTTTAGTCGAGACTTCAGGCTGTTTAAGAACCTTCCTCAGTATAACTGTCATAGAAACTGAACTTGGTAATTACAATCCAGCTTAACTGCAGTCTAGGGGGAACCATATCCGGGTGACCTCTTTAACCTGAATACAACAGTTTACTTGCTTTGTTAGTTTGATAGTTTAGACTTGCATGCCAGTTTCATTGCTAGATAACAAGAATTCACTGAGTAGTCATCACATCTAGGACCCGGGTTGATAATTAAACCCAAACCCGCTATACTACGCTTTAGGAAGTGGTTTCACTTGGCCAATTCCTGGAGTGACAGTAGAGTCGAGTCAATACATCATACAAAAGAGTCGACATTCAAATAATATCGAATACCAACAAATTCAATATTAAGTCCCGTACATCTCAGATATCGATATCGAACTTCCACCCGAGCCATCATCACGTCCTCTATCCATCCTTAGAGATGGTATTCGATCGGTAACCGGTTTTACCGGTTTTCGGTATGCCGAGTGTGGGTAAGTGAGAATCGATTACCGATACTTTACCGGTTACCGAATTACCAAAAAATGGTTACAAACCGGTTTTACCGACTTACCGTAAAGAGTAGTTGCGGACGGTTTTTTGGTTCGGTTTACCGGAAAATTATCGAACCGAGTTTCTGGGCAATGGAGTGATGTTATAATATTTTGATTTTTCTGAGTTTTTTCTTCATTTTTTGTAATTAATAAATTATTATTAACTCTTATTTATAATATTTTCGAGGCCTATACTTACTTACTTCGATTCATGTATGTAATATTGTGAATAATGAAGTTTATGTTATTAGTTAATGCCTTAACTGGTCCGTATCGGTATTACCGAATTACCGTCGGTATTTACCGATACTGGGGCCGGTAAACCGAGCTTCCCTATTTGACCCTCGGTTGCCGATATCGCCGATAAACTGTTTACTGTTTACCGACTTACCATTTGTCACCCCCTATCAGGGCCGGCCAAGAGGGTGTGCTGGCCCGTCCTCCGGCATAGGGCCTCAAAATATTTGGGGCCTCTACTTAGATTTGTTAGTTACCGATCTTATATTGTAGGTTGTATTTTTAGTGTATGATTGATTGATTATGAGTATGATGATGTGTTTAATAGATAATTTTAGCTATAATAACAATTGAAAAGGATCTCATGGAGAATACGAAAATCTGAAAAATAATAGATAATTTTAATTTAAACATTATAGAAAGATATTACATTTTAAATAATGTTATTATAATAATTTTAGTTTTATTATAGTTAAAGGACCATGTCTAGATTTTGAAATAGGGCCTCCACGATCTAGTAGACAACCCTGCACCCACCGCTCGATCAATTTAGACTATTTTCATTTCTCCGTTCAAATTTTTGCGTTATATCCATTTTCTCTTCCTTCCAGATTTACTTTCCTCCCTACTAGGGCTGGGAATTCGGTCTTGGTTTCTTGGTCAAACTGGAAACAAGATCGTTTATTCCTGATGTAATCTTTTTCGGAACTTAAGTATTTGTTTACAATTATTTACTAATTTTTTATTTTGATAAATTTATGGGGAAAAAAATTAGGACCACATTTTAAATTTTCGAACAGGACCTCCAAATATCATGGGACGTGTTGAATGTGATTATTGTACGTAATTAGCAAATGATGTAGTGTAGTTAGGATTGAGCCATTTGTATTAAAGGCCTGTTAGGCCCATGCAATTCACGTCGACCCATGTAGAATGACGTGTGAGCTAGGGTTGTGCTGTAGTGTATATAGTACAGCCGATACTCTCTGTTCCGGTACCAAAAATTATCAGTAAGATCAGTAGCCGAAGAGTGTTCACGCTCTTCCGTGGATTAGTCCTGGAATCTCCAGGGATACCACGTAAATCTGAGTCTGTTTCCGATTTTGTCTTTGTCTTCTCAATATGGTATCAGAGCTTCAGTCAATTGAATCTGAACGTCCCGCCGTTCGTCTGACCTCGACAAATTTTGCACTCTGGGAATTCCAATTCCGGGTTTTCGTCGAAGGTAAAGGATTACTGAGCATTCTTGATGGAACGCAGGCCAAACCTGAAGGCGCTGCCGCTACTCCGCAAGCTGTCGCTGCCTGGACCCAAAATGATGCACGAGTCCGATCTTGGTTGCTTGGATCGGTGGATTCGTCCACCTGCCTCAGCCTTCGTCTATATCCAACAGCCAATCGAATGTGGCGTCATCTCTCCGTCATGTACTCCACGGTGAATGCCGCCCGACAGTTCGAGATCCAGATAGCCTTATCTCGCCTTGAACAAGGCGAACGCACTGTCTCGGAGTACTTTAACGCGGCCCAAGAACTGTGGATTGAGCAAGATCTTCTGCACGCTGCTCTTCGTCCCCAGGCTGTTCTCAGCGAAGATGCTATTGCCGAAAGGATGCAAACTCGGCTATTGAATTTTTTGATGAAGTTGCGTCCGGAATTCGAATCTGTCCGGGCTACTTTGCTGAATCGAGATATACTTCAATTTGATGGAGTGTTGGGTAAGTTAATGAGAGAAGAGATCCGCTTGCGAACCCAAGCGGCCATTGACTTGAGACCTGGAGAAGGGGAATCAATTGTTGCAGCCGCTGCCGCTCAAGGAGTCGTAGGTGCAAATCGTGATAATTCTGCTTATGGAGTGTCTCGACCTCAATTTCAACAACGGGTTCCCGTATCTGATTTGGAGTGTCATCATTGCCGCGAAAAAGGTCATGTTCAAAAGCATTGTCGTCGGAGGAATTTTTGCGTTTATTGTAAACGCATGGGGCACATCATCCTTGACTGTCGAACACGGGAGAGGAATGCTGCACGTGAAGGTGGTCCGCCGCCGCGAGGGAATTCAGGCAATTATCAGTCCCGTCAAGGTTATGGGGAACGTATTGATCGTCCTGCTTATGGAGTGTATCACACTGATGATGGTGGTAGCTGGCGGTCGGGTCCTTCTCGTGATGCTTGGAGGCCTGGTGGACGTTCCTCTGGGACATTGGGTGAAGCTAGCAGCAGCAAAGGGAATCAACCAGGGAATGCAATAGGTGATGTAGGTGCTGCTGGTGGAGTTACAATGGCAGCAGTAGAGCAAATTGTCAATTCGACTATTAACGCTGCGTTTGCTACCCTCAATGGAACGGGTAAAATTCCTTCCCCTTGGTTGATTGATTCTGCATGTTATAACCATATGACCCATGAATCTCATACTTTGAAAAATGTGTCTCCTGTGAACAATATGGAATTAATGGTTGCCAATGGAAATAAGCTACAAGTAAATGGCATGGTTGATGTCGAGATGAAGGGAATGACTTTACGTAATACATTGCATGTGCCAGACCTTGTTCCTAATCTAGTTTCTGTTGGGCAACTTACTGAGCAAGGTTATACTGTATCGTTTGCTCCGACTGGATGTCTTGTACAGGATTCGAAGACGGGGAGGCTGATCGGAAGGGGGAGTAAGCAAGGCAGGCTTTTTCATCTCGAGGAACTTCATGGGAAATCAGTCTCTCCAGTTATCCGTAGTACGTTGAATAGGTCTGTCCGTAGTCCTGAGTCTTCTAGTTCTTGTTCAGCTATTTCTAGTACTTCCAATAAGTCGTGGGAACTTTGGCATGCCCGATTGGGGCATCCCCACTCTCAACGTCTTTCTTTGATGTTCAACAAATCCTTGCTTGGTAAAAACAGTGCTCGCATGCCTGATTTTCATTCTTGTACTAGTTGTGTTGAAGCTAAAACTGCCAGTATTTCTTATCCTTCTAGTACTACTGTCATTCAGGAACCTTTCCATGTGATTCATACTGATCTTTGGGGTCCTGCCCCCACTGTCTCTCGTCATGGATTTTGTTATTTTGCCCTTTTTATAGACCATGCTACGCGATATACCTGGATTTACCTCCTTCGTCTAAAATCTGACTTGCAAGATGTTGCAATTGAATTTCTAAACATGGTTCAAACTCAATTTGGCAAACCTGTAAAAATCATTCGTTCTGATCCCGGAGGAGAATTTAGTTCTTTTCCTCTTCGCGAAGCGTATCGCTCCCGTGGTATTTTAAGTCAAAAATCGTGTCCTGGTATTTCTCAACAAAATGGTCTTGTCGAGAGAAAAAATTGCCATGTGGTCGAGCTAACTAGAGCTTTATTGTTAGCTTCTTATGTCCCGTCTAGGTTCTGGCCTGAGGCAGTTGTCACGGCAGTTCGTTTGATCAATTATCAAATTACTCCGGTGCTTGGTAATGTGAGTCCTTTTTTTAAATTGTTTGCCCGTCATCCTGACTATTCCCGTCTTCGTGTGTTTGGATGTTTATGCTTTGTTCTTCTTCCCAAACGAGAACGTACAAAGTTGACATCCCGAACTGCGAAGTGTGCTTTTCTGGGTTATAGCGATGTCCATAAAGGGTATATGTGCTTTGATCCCGTAGCTCAGCGTATTCGTGTGGCAAGTACTGTCGTGTTCTTTGAACACATGAGATTTTTTGCTCCCCAGCCTACTTCTGAGTTGGTGTTTCCTTTGTCTAGTACTATTCCCATGTTCCACGAGGATGATGCGCCTGCTGAAGATCTTTTTCCAAGCTTTCCCCCTGATGATACGGATTCCCCAAGCTCTTCACAAGCCACTTCCTCTATGGCAACTCCAGGAACTTCGTCAAGCTCTCCTGTTTCGGCTTCTAGTGGCATTGTTGCTTCGTCTCCTGTCCAGCAACCTCGGCGCTCTCTTTGCTCTACCAAGGGAGTTCCGCCGCTGCGATTTGATGATTATATGGCGTTGGGCTTTGATACTTTAGTTGTGCCTACACGGTACAAGGATGCCCGAGGTGATCCTCGGTGGGAGGAGGCGATGGGGAGTGAATTTGATGCTCTCCATGCGAATCACACCTGGGACGTTGTTGATCATCCTGCTCCGGATACTCCCACTGTTGGCAGCCGTTGGGTTTATACGATTAAGATGAATCCGGATGGAACTATTGAACGCTTCAGAGCCAGGGTGGTGGCTTTGGGTTATACTCAGGAGCATGGGGTGGACTACAATGAGACCTTTGCTCCTGTAGCTCGTATGTCGACTGTTCGCACCCTGTTGGCTGTAGCTTCTATAAAACATTGGACTCTGTCCCAGCTTGATGTGAAGAACGCCTTCCTGCATGGTGATCTTGATGAGGTGATTTACATGGAAAAACCTCCTGGATACAATGTTGGAGGGCCAGGACAGGTACGCAGACTCCGTAGATCCCTGTATGGATTAAAACAAGCACCCCGGGCTTGGTTCGAGAAATTCCATGGCACTCTGGTTGGTCTTGGGTACTGTCAAAGCCTTAACGATCCTTCACTATTCATCAAGACTACCTCCCGAGGTATTGTTATTCTCTTGCTGTATGTAGATGATATGATCATCGCTGGGTCTGATTTAGAAGGCATTCGACAGCTTAAAGATGGGTTACATGTTGCTTTTCGTATTAAAGACTTGGGTCAGCTGTCTTACTTCCTGGGATTAGAAGTCTCTCGTTCTGCATCTGGAATATTTCTATGTCAGCGGAAGTATATCTCGGATTTGCTGGGAGATTACAACATGGGAGATTGTGTTCCGGTACATACTCCGATAGAGCTTAATTTAAAACTGAGGAAGGAGTCAGGTGATAAGGTAAAGGACAGTTCGCAGTATCGGAGTATTGTTGGAAGTCTGATTTATTTATCGGCTACTCGACCAGATATCTCTTATGCAGTGCAGCTAGTTAGTCAGTTTATGGCCGATCCTCGCACTGATCATTTGGCTGCAGTGTATCGTATACTGCGCTACTTGCGTGGAACTATGGAGTTGGGTCTCTTGTTTCCTTCGTCTGGGACCGCAACTCTGCGAGCCTACTCTGATTCAGATTATGCAGGGTGTGTTGATACTAGACGATCTACGACTGGATGGTGTGTTCAATTCGGGAATTCGTTCATTTCCTGGAGGTGTAAGAAACAGGACAAGGTGTCCAAATCTTCCACAGAAGCTGAATACCGAGCAATGTCGGATGTTACTTCTGAATTGACCTGGTTGAGACGTTTGTTGCGCGACATGGGGGTGGAGACTGCAGGACCAATGGATCTCTTTGTTGATAATACCAGTGCTATCCGAATAGCAGAAAATCCAGTTCTACATGATCGGACCAAACATATTGAGGTCCACGTACATTATGTTCGAGATGAAGTTCGGGATGGAACAATTGCGCTACACTACATTCGGACTGAAGATCAAGTTGTTGACATGCTTACAAAGTCATTTTCTACTAGCCGGCACAAATTTCTGACTGACAAATTGATGCTTGTTCCTCGGCATCAATTTGGGGGAGGCTGTTGAATGTGATTATTGTACGTAATTAGCAAATGATGTAGTGTAGTTAGGATTGGGCCATTTGTATTAAAGGCCTGTTAGGCCCATGCAATTCACGTCGACCCATGTAGAATGACGTGTGAGCTAGGGTTGTGCTGTAGTGTATATAGTACAGCCGATACTCTCTGTTCCGGTACCAAAAATTATCAGTAAGATCAGTAGCCGAAGAGTGTTCACGCTCTTCCGTGGATTAGTCCTGGAATCTCCAGGGATACCACGTAAATCTGAGTCTGTTTCCGATTTTGTCTTTGTCTCCTCAATAGCCCTGCCCCTATCCATCCTCGACCACCAGTCAACAAAGTGAGGCCTGCTCTTTCGGTAGTTGGTAAGAGCATACTACAAAACCTTCTTCTGCCCATTGTATTTCTTTCTTTCTTGTGTGTTGTGTGACACGAGGTTGACTTCAGTTTTGCGTCTTGCTTCCCCCCATCTCTTTTGCTTTCCAACATGTTCGATTTGACCCAATGAATTACGCGTTATTCTGTTGGTTGCCGCTACGGTCGTCTCAGTCGTAAGGGTGCATACATTAACATGGTACTTTGTCTGAACAGTTGACGGCCGTTATTTTTTTGTTGTTGTAATGTTGTTGTTCTGAGGTCGTCGTCGGATTCATACTAGTCAACGTGCCTATGTCAAATCCTTCTACTGAGTTTCTGCTGCCTGCCTGCAACGAGAACAACAACCAACGAGAATGCAAAGTATATTAATGAACAAGTGGAGTTCCCACTTGATGACTCCCACAATAATAAATAATAAATTAACTAGTTCATCGTAACCAGTGGCGTAGCCAGACATCGAGTCCACTCGGATCCTTAAAATTTTACTAACATAAATGCTTGTGTACCTAATGAATTTTGAGTTAACCGGGGTCCTTGATGAGCTAACATCGTTGAGAGTATGAGGTCATAAACTTGAATTATCGTACTAAAACCTATGTATTTAAAGGGTTTTGTTGCCCAATTATTTGCCAAGTGGGGTCCTAGGACCCCTCTCCTCCTTACCTCCCTTCGCCACTGAACGATAGTTGGGAACAAAAAAAAAAAAAATTTGAACATGCCCGGTTTCGTTTCGAATCGAATTTGTTTGAAATTGATCGAACCAGGTCAAGATCGTCTCTATGTTAATGGCTTGAGAGAACAATTGAGTCTGCCAGATTCTTTGTTTCTCTGCTTACGATTATATATATATGGTAGTAATTTGAGATGTAGAGTCCTAGGGTTTACGGGGGGTTTGTTGACGTGTCGCGTTTTGTTGACATGTCGAGTACTTTTTTTTGTACTTGTACCTTCACTAATCCGGTCAATGGGAATTTGAAGTACAAAAATCTTAACTAAAAATCTAAAGAAAGTGTCAAACTTCTTAACGATGAGTTGATTATTATTATAACTATGAATTTCTCTATTGTAATCGAGAGTCATATAAATTCTCACTGTATTAATACATGGAAAAAAAAAAAAACAAACCCTACAAAACTCTAACTATTAAGATAATTTATAAAAAATTCAAACCTAAATATTCCCACCTATCCAAGCTAGTATCTTTTACGGAGGAGAAATCATCTAGGACGAATATGAAAATAGAAATTATAAGGGGAAAAAAAAGAAATAGTATTTTCCATATATATATAAAGTAAGCAATGAGGTTAGCATGAGCTTGATAGTGTGGCGAGTGGATGGAAGGATATGATATGGATGCCAATTATTGATTGGCAGATACTATATATTTTGACGACGTGTCGTGTAGGGATTGGATATGTATAGTATGTAGGCATGCAAATTTTGGTCAAAGTCGTTTTATTCGATATGTTTGACATGTTTTTGTGATAAAGCATATATAAATACTCTCCTTGACCTGATTTATTCTAGTCTATCTCGTTCTCTGTGCAATTTTATTCAAAATTATTAGCTACTGGTTTCATTTTTTGGGTCATTATTTACGTTTGAGGTTTGACCCATATTTTACCCTTTGGCATTTGCATGTATGTAGCAATCAAGGTTCAAGGGTCGTGTGCGGTGGTTTTCTTGTTGGAGACACGCTTCCGTTATCATTGACGTTTGATGTCGCACTCACTTCAAGTTGATCAACACTACTCAATATTATAAATATGTCTTGGTTTGTTCAATTACTTGATCGAATTTGAAAGGTGGAATTGAGTTTTTGTAAATTTTATGGATGGTGAAAAAGATCGAATATAATAAATTCTATATTAACTCACATTTGGATTATTTGATCCTCTATTACGCTCGATGGTCGAGGGTTCGACGGCGAATTAGGAGAAGGAGACGAAGAGAAGATGGGGATGAAGAAGAAACAATCAATATCGGAGAAAGATCGGGGTGGAATTTGTGGAAAGGAGGAAGGAAGATCTGGGTTTGCTGGATCTGGGTTTGCTCGAAGGAAGGAGCTCTTTAGAGCTAGTCGGAGAGGAGGAGAGAGTGTAAGAAGAAGAGGGAGATTTCTTTTAATTTTCCTATTTTTTCTTTCATTTTCTTAATTATTTAATAATTTATTTTTTAAATTAAAATATGATATAGTGACTGGCATGTAATTGCTAATAGACATTTAACGTTTGGCTAATAATTTGTATTTTGATAGTTATGGCTGTAATTTTCCGCTTCTTAATAATTATGCCTAATATATTATATATTTTGTTGGAAATGTATATGAATAGCTTTGAACGCTATAGAGTCTCAAGTGGAAAAACTACCACATTGGTAGTTTTACTTGGTTAAATATGTATAAAGATAGGAGCATTTCTCTTAAGGGCATGCCCCTTGGGGTGACCCACTTTTGTGGGAGAGAGAGGACCTAACGGACCACCACACACACGTGCGCGCCGTCCGTCCGGTTGGTTGGTTCACTTGAGACTATATATATATATTTTTGGAGAAATTCCGAACGAAATTAATTATCTTACTTAATTAATCTGACTTATTCCTCAAGCAAGAGGGTATATTCCTAGGGGTTCGGCTCCTATAAATAGCCGCCTCCCCAACCCCTCTAAACACACCACAACGAGCATAAACACAATAGAGAGAGTGTTCAGAGAACTCGGGTTTTCGCACAAAACCGTGAGTATTGAGAGGAGTTGTTTTATCCTGGAGACGACCGGTTGATAGTCTGCCGTGCGCATCGAAGGCAGTGCTGCGAACGTCTTAAAGAGAGCGACCTAGTCCGCGACTCAGCTCCAGATTCGATAACCTCGTTCTTGTTGTTGTTCCGTTCCTAACATATTTACTCTAAAAAATTTCAATTCTAGATCCACCCAAATCATTGATACACTCATATAATTTAAGTTATTTGCAAGAGGATCGATATCAAACTCCGAATTATCCACCCTATCCCCACCCGAGTTCCCAACCACCGCCCATCTAACCCTAACGCTTGACATTGTAGAACTCAAAGCGTTACACACACAGAGTCTTACACGGGTTGTTGTTGTTGATTATTTTGGTCAACCAAGTTCACAAATGAAAATGACGTAACGCTGGCAATTAGACCACCAGTCCAATAAATAATAATAATAATAAATTAATATTTTTTCAAATTTAAATAAATAAAACCCCACAGACTACAACAGTTTCGAAGCAAGGCGAGCAAACCCACGGGTCGACTCCCGATTGACCCGGCTTGACCCGGAATTAGTGAAGAAAATAGGAGTCACTGGGAGGATTCGCTGTAAGGTTCTCTGACTTGGAGGTCATACGGTTTCTTTCAGGTTTTCCTCTTCATGTAACCCTGTCTTTAAAGTTTTAAGTTGAACACTTGAATATATTTTGTTAATGAGCGGGTTTGAATTTTATTATACGATTGATCCAAGTACGAACTATTATTTCTGGCGAATATATTATCCATGTCGATTTGTTAGATGCAATTTGCTATAATCTATAAATGTATGAACCATTAATTCTCAACCCAGTTACTCATCCAGACCAACGAGCTAAATCGAGTTGACAACTTTGCAATTGCAAGGAATCGAGTCTGTGTTGTACTGTTGTATCAAATTAAAAATTAACAAAAAAAAAACCTCCGTCCGCGGTTGTGCTACTCGGTTAGGTTACTGTCCGATCCGACCCTCCCTCCACCGCGTAAAAATCCTTTTAATCATCAAAATCCAAAAAAGAAGGTCAAGTCACCGTCAAAAGCAGCACCAACGCGTTCACATTTCCGCACACGTTTCATTTCTCGCTTCATTCATCCCACCATCTCTTCATCTTCTTCTACCTTCCTCTTCAATTTCCTTCCTTTCCACCACACCCTATATATCATCCATGGACTTCCCACTACCAGTCTCCAATTCCCATTTCTATTCTTCTTCTTCCTATCTTCTTCTACTCCTCTGCCGCTCTACGTTTGAACGCTCCCTCTGTTTCCACACCTGTCTTCCTTCTTTGAAGCATTTCGTCGAACACTTTTCTGACCCTTTCCTATTCCCTTCAAACCTCTTCATCAGTGGGTGGGTCGGCCAGCTTGTATGGAAATATCTACTTCGTTCCCATTCCTCAACCCGGAAGAGATTTCAAACTTCTACACCCTCTTCCAGGAGATGGACTATAACTTCCCCGACAGCAGCGGCAGTTACGGGGGAGACGGGATCAGCGGCGGCGGTGGATTTTACAGCGGCGACAATAGCGTTGATATAAATATTGGTAATACTTCCTCGAAGAAGCGGAGAAGGAAGGACGCTGGCGGCGGTGAAGACGAGACTAGTAATGGTAAAGGCGAGGTGGAGTTGAAGAAGGAGAATGCGGTGAAGGATATCCTCAGCTCGCTTATGCTATTGGACGAGGGGGAGAAGCAAGAGCACAATCAGTGGCTTGTGGAGTCGCAGCACGATCAGAAGGTGCGAGTCATGAATGATTTCAATTCCGGTATGCAGACCCATTTCTCCAATTTGGACGAATCCAGGACCAAACGCTCCCGCGGCTCTGCTTCCGCCGTGGCTACGGCGGCGGCGGCTTTGGGGGATTCGGTTCAGACTGGGAATCGGGGAGGTGGGTCGACGAGCACGGCGCCGCCGCAGCAGCGGCGATTGTGGGTCAAGGACAGGTCAAAGGACTGGTGGGATCGGTGTAACCATCCCGATTTCCCCGAGGAAGAGTTCAAGAGGGCGTTCCGTATGAGCAAGGCGACGTTCAACATGATCTGCGAGGAACTGGATTCCGCGGTGATGAAGAAGAACACAATGCTGCGGGATGCAATCCCGGTCCGCCAGCGGGTTGCGGTGTGCATCTGGAGGCTGGCCACAGGGGAGCCACTCCGAATCGTGTCCAAGAAGTTCGGATTGGGGATCTCCACTTGCCACAAGCTGGTTCTCGAGGTGTGTTCAGCAATCAGCAAGGTGCTGATGCCCAAGTTTATCCACTGGCCTGACGAGGAGAAGATGAATGGGATCAAGGGCGAGTACGAATCGATCTCGGGGATACCGAATGTTGGTGGGTCGATGTACACGACCCACATCCCAATCATCGCTCCCAAGACCAGTGTAGGCTCTTACTTCAACAAGAGGCACACAGAGAGGAACCAGAAGACATCGTACTCGATCACGGTTCAAGGCGTGGTGAATCCGAGAGGTGTGTTCACAGATGTGTGCATTGGCTTGCCTGGCTCGATGTCAGATGATCAGGTGCTTGAGAAGTCTGCACTTTACCAGAGAGCAAGCATGGGCTTACTGAAAGATGTCTCGATCGTGGGGACTTGCGGGCACCCTTTGATGGACTGGCTTCTGGTGCCCTACACTCACCAGAACCTGACATGGCCGCAGAACGCTTTCAACGAGAAGATTGGGGAGATTCGAGGCGTCGCCAAAGATGCATTCGCCAGGCTGAAAGGGAGGTGGACTTGCTTGCAGAAGAGGACGGAGGTGAAGCTGCAAGACTTGCCTGCTGTTCTTGGGGCTTGCTGTGTGCTTCACAACATCTGCGAGATGAGGAACGAGGTGATGGAGCCTGAACTCAAGTTCGATCTTTTCGACGACGAGATGATACCAGACAACAGCCTGAGATCAGCTGGTGCGGCGCAGGCTAGGGATCACATTGCTCACAACCTCTTGCATCATGGCCTTGCTGGAACTTCTTTCCTGTAGGTTTAGCAGCTTCTTCATTTCATCATTCCATACATGAAGTTAACAGCTTTTCTTCTTGTTTTGTTTGCCCCTTTTTCTGATTTCTTGGAAGGCTCTATACTTGTAGAGTTAGGGTGGCTTTCCTGAGTTGGTTGTATTCTTCTATACACAGGCAGTGTAGTGTCATTCTTTTGATGGGTCCTTGTATAATAACCCCGTCTGCAGAATAAGAACAAAGCATCACAGTTTTCTGTTCCAAAAAATACAGCAGCAGTTGAGTTCATACTATGGTGGAAAGACCATGGTCTCGTTGTTCGATTAAATTATGTATCAGTGATCAAGTCGATATATCGTTATACGACGGATTCATGGCGATTTTGTTTCCTTTCTGGGTTGGTTGTGCACAGTTTGGTTGCAAGTCAGCTGCTACTGCTATGGATACTGATTGTTAATTGTTCATGTAAGATGTTATTAAAGGTTGCTGTTACTTTCTTATATGTTCCAATCTCTCTGTCTATTTCCCAAACGGGGGAAGACAAACTTTACATATTGTTAACCATCTTTTATGCCTACATTTATTCGATTAAATGCATCCCGCCGGGTTTTGAATTTTGATTGATTATTTCGTCAACACTATTGTCAAGAATCTGGCTTTGACAAATGAAACCAAATCTTGGACAAACAGAAAGATTGGTGAGCGACATCAGCACTCACGTAATGCTTATGTTTTCATTTCAGCAACAGTCATGTACTCATGTTAGACCATAAAGGGGGTTATTAACGCTTTCTTAGGCTTAGGTTAGCATTTAGGCCCAAAATGTTACTTGTGCTTCGACGTGAAAGTTTGTGCTCAAGGTGCTTCCTTCAGCTTCGAGGGATAGACGATTTAGAAACCTCCACAAATTATCGCATACGCTTCACGTTTGGGTCATCCTTCAAGTGGTAATGTGTTTAAAAACATAATGAATTAGTTGAAAGTACCATAAATCAGGACTGAAGACTATTTATATTGTTCGATGGTGATTGAGAGCATTTAATGTTATATAGAGCGTCTTGGTGAGTTCCATTAATCGTGAGTCGGGTGGTCGATTGAGCATTAAATGCTATCCTTGGTGTTCTCATACTGTTTATAATAGGTAGGTTGTTCCCCCCAAAGCGTGTGGTTATCTCGATGTGTAGATGATGGGTTCGATGCGGTTTACATGGCATGTGGGGGCCTCACGACCGCTTTGTTGGCGATACCCGTCCAAGTGTGATGTGAGCTTCTTGGGCCTGATGGGCCTCGTCCTTATATTGGGCTTGGTGGGTCTGAGAGAACATTTAATTTTGAAGACTTTTTAAATTTAAGGATTTGATCACAATTAATGTTGATTTTAAAAGAAGGGACACACTTGTCATTTTTACAAATTATAGCAGGGACACACATGTGGCGTTGCTCGTTTATTCTACATCCCCTCCTTAGCTAGCTGCGACCACAAGTATCATAAAGCATACCAAAAAACGCAAACCAGAAACACGACAAATTAACATGAAGTATACCAGAAAACTCATAAAGTTTACTAGAACCTCACCACACCACAAAACTCAAATTTGACCACAAGTTTTTCAGAACCGGACCAAAACTCTCAGAAAGCATACCAAAATACTCATACTACACAAAAAGCACTACAAAACCACACCACAAAAACTCATAAAGTATATTAGAAACCTCGTAAAGCAAACCAGAAAAAATTAAAAAAACCACCACAAAACTGACCACAACTTCCCTAAAACAAACCACAACTTTCCTGAAAGCACAATACAAAGCTGACTACAAGTTTCATGAAACAAATCAGAAACCTCGTATGAAATACAAAACAAAACGAACACATCTAGCGTAAAATAGCTCCCATGACCAATTAAACCAAGCAAAACGACACAAGTAATGGGGTGTAAAAGTGTATAATCTAACATGAATCAAGAGGGAGATAAAAAAGAGAGATAAGTCTTATAAATGAAGAGGGCTTGGAGAAAAATAAGGGGGAGGGGTGTGGACCTAGAGATTGACAAAAAAAAACTAATAACATGGATGGCCAAGAGGCGAGCCTTGCAGTTAAGCGAGGACGTCCAACCCAATGAGTGTACTTAGTTACAACTGTGATGGTTTGAGGAACATTACGATAATTTAAAGATTAGCTGATGTAATCAGAAGGAAGGACCCCACCATTTTTTTTATGGAAACAAAGTTATAGGAACATGAATGAGAATCAATTATGCACGATGTAGGTTGGAAAAGAAGGGAAGGGAGTAGGATTTAATAACTGAGCAGACGATTGTTGATGATATGGAAGGAATATCTGGAAGTCAAAACAAAGAAGTACGTTGATACTATAATTTAGGAATTTGGTGAGAGAAGTCCCAGGAGGCTAAAAGTAGGCCTGTTAGCGGTGCGGTTTCGATTTAACCGAACCGCAACTGCGGTTAACCGCAGCCGAAGACGCCACTGAAACGTCAACCGCAACCGCAGCCGAAGGGAGGTGCGGTTACCCGCAAACCGCAACCGACGGTTTCAGTTTGTTTGTGAGGTCAGTCGAGACCGATGGCCGTCGCGATCTCCACCCTGCTCACCGCCGTTTCTTCTTCCTCCACTTCCACCCCTTCCGTACAGAACGCCGCCTCTTCCCTCTACCGAATCACCCTCCTCCTCCCACAAGAAACGCCTCTTCTTATCCGTCACTGATAGTGACCAAACCATTGAGGGAAAACAGAGGACTCACATAGGAAAGGGGCGCGCGACGGACGATGGGATTGAGGGTCGACGTCGTGAATCTCGAGACTAGGGGCAATGACGAACGGCAGGACGGACGAAGGCTGGGGCGGAGCGACGCTGACGCGAGGTGACTGACGATGGCAGCGACAACGATTACGACGGGCCGACGACTGCAGTGGGGACGCTGGGGTAGGGCGATGACGACGTCTGCAGTGTGGACGCCGCTCCGGAGAGGGGAGGTCAGGGAACAAGGGAATGGGAGGGTAGCGGCGGGGCAGGGTGAGAGACTTTCTCCCGCTGGAATTGGTATCGCGAATTAGGGTTGCGGGAGGATTCGATGGACTGGGACGCCTTGGCGATGACGAGGCAAGGACGACGACAGGAGGCCGGGAGGGCTGGGGTTTGTTGGGGAGGAAATCGGAGGAGGTGGTGGATTGGCGGGCATATAATTTTTTGGGAGGTCGAATTTAGGGTTCCCCTTTCAGTTCTACTCTGTAATCGCGACAAGAGGGAGACCTAGGCGAGGGCACGACGCGGTTTGGCCAGGTGAAGTGGGATTCGCGGTTAGGGCGGTTAACCGCGCGCGGTTTTGGTTATGACCGCCAACCGAATTTTGCCTCCTTCGCAAGGAATTGACCAACCGCAACCGCAAACCGCATTAATATTTCGGTTTTTGGTTAACTATAAAACGAACATTTTCGGTTCGGTTTTCGGTCCAACCAAGTAACCGCTGACCGATTAACAGCCCTAGCTAAAAGGTATGTATGGCTTTTCAGAAGCAGACAAAAATCAAAGACATGATAATTGATGAGAAGATTTCATGGACATTTTAATATGAGAAGATTTCACTAGGAAGAAATGATGTGGAAGTAGAGACCGAGATCATATTGGCTAAAGGAGGGTGATAGAAACACAAAATTCTTCCACATGAAGGCGATTGATAGACAAAAGAGGAACATGATTAAGGAATTGATAAGGCAAGATGGTAAAAGTCACGTAGGCCAAGAAGCAGTCACAAATTGCATGATAAGTTATCTATCTAACCTATACTCTGTAGGACCTTTACCACAAACACATGAAGTAATAAAGGCAGTTCAAAGGAAGATAACTGACTAGATGAACCAGGATCTAATGAAGCCTTTCCATGAAGAGGTCTGGTACGCATTGAAGAATATGGCCCTACCAAAGCTCCTGGGTCATATGGGATGCCTACATTATGTTTTGAAGAACAAAAAATGGTCAATAGTTGATCCCATAGTGATAAAAGAGTTGTAAGCTATACAAACGCAAGCAGTGGTACCACAAAGTCTTAACCTGACATTGATAGCCCTTATTTCAAAAACAAAGAAACTAACGAGCCCATTGGATGTCATGCTAATTAGATTATGCAAAGCGTAATACAAGATTTTCTATGAAGTCCTGGGAAATTGATTGAGAAAAGTATTGAATAAAGTGATTAAAGAGACTCTTAGTGCCTTTGTACCGAGAAGATTTATAATAGAGGACATAATGGTAGCATTTGAGTGCTTTAATTTGACGAGGAACAAAAGAGAAGGAAAAAAAGGGCATGTGGCTGCTGAACTTGATATTGCGAAGGTTTATTATAGTAAAGTGGAATGGTATTTTTTAAAGGCCATAATGTTGAATTTGTCAAAACTGTATCATATTCTGCTTTAGTCAATGATCATCAATCTCAAGTGATCTATCCTAGCTACCAGAGGTCTTTGATAGGGGGACTCTATATCATCATATATGTTTCTTATGTGTGCTAAATGTCTTTTTCGCTTTGACAATGAAGGAAACAAAAGAAGGGATATAGAGAGGGATCAAAGTTAGCAAATAAGGTTTTATGATAACTCACTTGTTTTTTTAGATGATATTATATTTTTGGTTTAATACACTTATATATCCAAAACTTTCACGGTTGTGCCAATAATATCCAAATTTCCCGAAATACCACTTATATCCATGTTTTAAATTTGTTCTTTGCCAAATCTATCCATTTTCCAATATATGTTTGGTTAAATACACTTGTATATCCAAAAACACCGTTAAAGAATGTGAAGTAATTGGATATAAGTGGTATTTCGGGAAATTTGGATATTATTGGCACAACCGTGAAAGTTTTGGATATACAAGTGTATTTAACCTATATTTTTCTATGAAAACATGGAGCAACAAGGACAAACACTAAGGGATATTCTTAAGTAGTATGAACATGAGTAAGGTAAAGTAAGTATGACAAAATCAGAATTGTCATTCGACATAAACTTAAACAGAAAACTGAAGAGCAACGGCAACAAGTGATTGAGTTCAGTAGTTCCTCATAGAAAATTATTGACTCTAGAGATAGAGTAATATGGAGAAGACAAAATTGTTTCAAGCACCGACAGAACCAGAAGCGCCCCTTGTTTCAACGAGAGGAGGACGGGTTATTCACATTTCATTTGATGGTCAGAGGCGAATTGAAAGCTAAGCAGTGGTGATTTGAAAGATTTCCCGGTGGAAAAATAGAGATGTCTCCTGCGTTACCCCCATAGGTTATACAACATGACAAATACTTAGAAACCCTACATTTAATGACAAATCTAAGAATGCAGTTTTTAGCTAGCTAATTGACCGAGTGAGGAAGAAAATCAAAATGTGAAAGAGTAAAACCACGTTGAATGCATCAAAAGAAGTTTTGATTAAGAGCATGGCTCAAGCACAAGGAACAAATGCAATGTCAGTGTTTCTCATTCACCAATGAGTAATTCAAGAATCACAAAGCCTAATAGCATGATTATTGCGGGGAAGAAAAATGGAAGAACCTTCATTAAGTAAGTTGAGAAAACTGTATATCAAAAGCGAAAGAAACTCACAAATATGTGACGAATGCCATTCTATGGATTGAAAGAAACTCAAGAGCACGTAACGCGTGATTGCGATTGGGCAGGTAGGGCTTGGAGAAGTAGTTTACTAGGAAGTTGTTTCTAATGGGGGAGGAAAGATCATGTGAAAAAGGGTTATGTAAAGTGTTGTAAAGAGGTTCATATGAGGGTATGTTTTGTTTGCTACAACCCTATGGTACATATGGAAATAACCATCTTTTGAACAACCCAAAATTCTATGATTGGGAGATAATTAAGAGATCACGGGATTACCTCGAGGAATTCCAAATGTATTAACTGTTCGATGAACACAAAATGTTGATAAGGAGAATCTATAAATGGGAAAATCTGAAAATGAGAATCTATAAACTAAATTTGGATGCGACCGTGTTATCAACGCGAGGAATGGGGTATGGGCGGGTAATTCAAGTTAGTGGATGAGGTTTTTAGATGACGATAGTAAAGTGAACAAGGATTTCTAGGCAACTAGAGCTCGTAGAAGCTCGAGAGCCCTATGGGCTATGGAAATGGCCGACATGCATAGCTTCGGGCCGATGCTTTCGGAATTCAATTGCCAGAATCTCATACGCAAACTCTATCGAGAAGAGGAGTCGCTATTGGAAATTGGATTTGTTGCAAGTGAGATAAGGAATTTGGAAGCGAAGATTGAAAATGTGAAGTGGCGTTTCTGGGGGAGAGCCGCCAATGAAGCGATGCATCTGATGGCACGCATGCAGTGCCCGTGGGAAGATATATATTTAGCTGACTCGACGTTCGATTTTCTTTTTCCTCAGCTCTATGTTGTTGTGTTGAAGCTAGGAATGATAAATGGTTAGTTGGTAATCTGTTTTAACCGATAACCGAACAACCTATAACCGATCCGATAATGGTTAATTGATAATCACTAATTTCTTACTGGTTCAATTTCGGTTAGTTATATTTTGCTTAGTGGTTAACCGATAACCGCCTGCTAGTATAACCCCATAGTTTTGATCTTTCACTAAGGAAAAAAGTCTCAAGGTTTAAAACCAACCAAAGTCACAATTCTAGACATCTCAATTTTCACTGATTGCATACAACCCTCCACCCAAAGTTTTAAATTTGTACAGAACCCAAAAGTCATCCTCTCCGACTCCCCTACTAGTCTTTGTTTCTTTTGATGCTTGTGGATGATGATGATCTTGTGGTTCTTGTTTTTGATGTTTTGGTAGTTGGTATTCACTAATTAGATGAAATCGTTTGATTATTTTATGTGTTGGAGTTTGGATTTGGATTATGAATTCAAGAAGGATGTTGTCTTGATGTTATTTCTTATTGTTAGTATTTTATGTTAATTATGTAGAAGTCTAGTTACATTGTTTTACATGTGGTTAGGATTAAATGACACTTTTAAAATTTAATTGGACGATGTTTCATTGATTTGTGTATTACAAGTGTTTATTTTTTTTTCACTTTTATTACATTTCATGAAAGTAAATAGAAGTTATTTGTTTGATTAGCTATATTTGTACTTGTTGGAACGTATGTTAGTAGTTATTAATTAATCGTCAAACTGACCGCTAACCGAACTGATAAGAGACGTTAATCGACAAGACTTATAAGTTTGATTATCAGTATGAGTTTTTTTCTTATCGGTTAGTAGTTAACCGACACCGAACCGATTGTCACCCCTTCCAAAAATTTATATAAAGAGAAAAAGACTTGAAGAAGCCAACTTGAGAAAATATATAAAATAAAATCTTATTAATACATGGAAAATAAAAGAAAAGATTCAACGAACTTCAACGAACATAAGACGACGCCGTAGAACTGCTGTCCAGCCTCGTTTGACGTTTGCCGATCCTTTGTTCCATTATTCTTCTTCCTCCTCGATTCACTTCGCCTCACACCGGGCCTCCCCAACTCGCCGGCGCAAATCTTCCCCCTTCCTTCCGCCTCTCCCTTAATTGCTCTGTATCCCTAATTACTCATTAACAATCCCTTCCGCTAAATCCCTAATTCCTCAAACGGCTTCGGAGGAGCAATTCCGCCAACATCTCCTCCGTTCAATCCTCGTAGGAAGCTTCATCAAATTCTTCTTTTTGGGTTGATTTCAAGTTGTGGCAACTGGCAGAGCAACTCAGCAGATTGTTCGCATTACCGCCGAATCGCCCCCTTCAGCAGGCGAGTTCGAAATAAAGCTTGCTACGGTGAAATCAAGACTTCCCGTGAGTCTTCTTACTTTAAGCAAAACAGGGAAGGCCGGAGGCTCAAGGTCGTAGCTTGCCTCGAACTTCCTTTTCCACTTCTTCTTATTTTTTAGCAGGTTTGTGCTTTCAGGGTTTTTTGTTTTGTTTTGTTTGCCAGTACTGCTGCTGTCTGCTTTCCGGACTTCAATTCTAATTTTCTTTTTGTTGGGTTGTTTTGTTGATTTGATATGATCCCAATTTTTCGGGCTGCTTTTGTTTTCCATTTCTGGGATGGTTGAATTTAGTTCGAATGTTGAAGTTGAGTTGAGTGCTGCAAGTGGAGGAAAAAAAAAAAAAAGAGAGAACACATTCTACTGTATATTGCCTTTCACGATTTAAGTAGTTAGGCTAGTGGTTTTCCAGATTTACTGGGCGGAATCTTTGGGAATGTGAACGCAATTGAAGTTTTGTTTGTGTTTGGAAAGTTACTACTGATTGATCAAAACTTGGAAAAGGTGGCTAATGTTACTAATCTGAGAGCTATTAGTTGGTTATCTGTTTGACGGTTGGTTGCACTGATCACCTGTTAGAAGATGAAGGAAAGTTCCATTATATTTTATTCGTTGTTTCACTCTACTGCATTGATTAATTGGCTTTACCTGAAATTAAGTGAGTGAAGCATCGCTTGTCTAGTTTCGAGTTCGTGATGGTTTGTCATTTTGTTCATTTCTCTGTCACAATCAGGACCATCAAAAGATTGGGAGATCATGGCATTTTTAACTGGTGAATGGTTCCTGCCATTATGAGCTTTGACTAGGTTTCTCATCGTTCTAGTTCCTTCTTTGCAGGTGGATTGACCTTTGAAGTCTTGGACTGGTCTTTATGTGCTGCAGCCTGCAGTGTTACAGTTTGTCATGTATTGTTGCATGTATTGGGTTCATAACACAGTGAATGTAAGACAACCTATACAATGGCTACTTCTAGTAAGTTTGATACATCTTCTGGTAGCCCAGATAGGCCAGTGTACAGCAGTGGCCAGCGTGGATCCCATACCATCACTCAACTGGATAGATCAAGTAGTTTCCGTGAGAGTATGGAGGGTGGTCCAGTCCCATCCTCTCTTCCGAACATGATCAGAAGTAGTTCTGTGCTATCGCAGGGAGATGTGACAAATTTTCTCCAATGCTTGCGTTTCGATCCAAAAAATGTTGCAGCAGACCATAAAGCTAGTCGTCAAGGGGATTTTAGAAGACACCTAAACATTGCCCTTAATGTCTCAATGGATGATTCCCAATCTGTTTCATTGAAAGGAAAGGTTGCTCAGGCTCCTATACCTGAGGAAATAAAGAGAGTCAGGGCTAGTCTTCGTGAATGCTCTGTGAAAGCAAGGTAGGGTTTCTAGATCTTCGAACCCTTCATACTTGTAATTGCAGTGTGATGGTTTTATTTGCTAATTATATTTGCTCCCAATGGCAGGGAGCGTATGAAGATCTTCAGTGAAGCTTTATCTGTATTTAACAAGTTCTTCCCAGCCATACCCTCAAAGAAGAGATCTAGATCAGAAAGTTTTTCAAATGACCGATCTAGTTCAATATTATCTAGTGATCGTTCAGTTTTGGGCCAAAGCCTTAGTAAGATGGGAGTTCAGAATCATGGTGTTACCAGCAGCTTTGATCTGGAACAGCAGAAGCCAGAAGAACGAACCAAAAGTGTTGTTCCAAGCAAGCGCACTCGCACTTCTTTGGTGGATGTGAGGGTTTGTATTCTATTACCTGTACTTCCTTGTATACATGAAATGGTGATTCCCCTTGGTTTGACCCTCTTAGTTGACTTGTTATGTCCACAAGTACCTTCTCCATGGGTGGAATTGTCAGCCACTTTCTGCCTGTGAATTACTTCCCATTTTTCTGGTCTCTATGTTGATCCATAGATGTCTAGCCATATTCTCTACAAATTAGTGGTCTGGATTTATTTAATTTTCATCTTGGGTATTCCAGACATTAGTTTATGCTAATAGGTTTGTACTAGTTTCTCTTTTCGCTCTCAAGGAGACGTGCCCTTTCCTGCATCTACTAACAGGAAAGTTTGCTTTTATTTTAATGCACAGAGCAATAACCTTGCCAGAGCACCTGGTGCTGCAGATCGAGATAGAGAAGCGCTGAGGCTCGCAAGTAACGGCACTGTTCAGACTGATGAACGGACATTATCAATTGGTGTTGATGGTTGGGAAAAGACAAAAATGAAGAAAAAGCGCTCTGGGATTAAACCTGATGCTTCTTCAAGTTCAGTCTCTACAAAGCCCACTGACTTATATCGTGACCCTAAACAGGGGCTGCAGCAAAGAGCTGCTACTGATCCCCGTTCCAGGTTGAACGGCGACGCTCAAGGTTTCAGGTGTGTAACTGGTGTCTGTTTATTGTTTCTTGCTGCATACATCTGTAACTAAAGTGTTAATTTGGTGCTTGATTGTGCAGAAACTTGAGGCCCCTTCTTCATTCGTTTTTGGCAACCTACTTGATAATGTTTGTTTGAACAATTGAACTTGAATCGACATATTTCTAAAGAAATAGTGAGGAAATTCAAAATGTTGAATGTTTCAACATCTTCCAGACTTTGGTGATTTTGATTCAAATAGTGGTTCCTTTTTGTTTGTACGTTTTTCCATACTGCGATGTGGCATGGTTTCCATCTCTTGGTTTAGCCTTGAACAAGTAAGTAAAGTGTCTCTTGACTCAACGGGAAGAGTGAAACACCTTAGTTGATACATCCTCATATTGACGAAATCTTAAAATTGTTTTTTGAATTCTTGATCATGCTTAGAAGTTCAATTTTCTTTACTTTGTGGTATGTTTACTACTCTTAGACATTGGACTATGAAGAACTTTCCGTTAGGGTTTTACTTATGTGGCCTGTATCATGTTGGAAGGTTCTGAAGTTCTAGTGTACCTGAACTGTGGTTTGTTCTGAAATGTGAACATTGTGCGCGATGCTTGCCGAAAATGATCAAAAGTAACTGTCTGTGGTCCATGCTTGATTCTCAGTTCATTTTGATACCCCAACTCAATTTGTTTCAGTATTCATTTAAGCACAAAGTTCAGCATTTTTATTATTATTATAAAAGTTCAGCATTTTCTTTACCACAACATGCACTCTTTTGACGATTATTGTTTTATATATTAAACTCTAGGCAAGGAGTTGCAAGTGCTGTTGGTGTTGGAAAATCCGAAGGTGTCTCTCAGTCACCATGCTTGAGCTCGCGTTCATCCTTCCCTAGGGCAGACCTAGAAAATGGTTCTGTTCTAAATGATAGGAGAGAGCGCTCAGTTAGTTCAGATAAAGAAAGGCCAAATATTAGAAGTGTTAACAAGTATGTACACACCTCTGATTCCATTGAAGTAGGGATTATGTAATATTACCCTTCTATTGCTGCTTATTTGTTTGTTCAGATAAAGAAAGGCCAAATATTTCTCTGTTTTTGTTTTTCAATCTCTCTCTCTCTCTCTCTCTCTCTCTCTCTCTCTCTCTCTCTCTCTCTCTCTCTCTCTCTCTCTCACTAGCTTGCTCACAAGATAATGGGTGAGTGGGGAGAAGTAGTGGTAGTCAGACGCTCTTACTGTCGTAATGCACTGACTTCCTTTGTTGTCGACAGGTCAAATGTTCGTGATGATTTAAACTCAGCTAGTCCTACTTCAAGCACAAAAGCAAGTCCATCTGTTCGGGCTCCCCGCACAGGCTCTGTTGGTGCACCCAAGTTGTCCCCGGTTGTGCACAGGGCAACTGCTGCCAGTGATTGGGAGCTTTCTCATTGTAAAAACAAGCCACCTGCTATTGGAGCTAATATTCGCAAACGCACTGCATCTAATCGTTCTTCATCCCCACCTGTTGCCCAGTGGGCTGGCCAAAGGCCTCAGAAGATCTCCCGCACAGCAAGAAGAACAAATTTGATGCCTATAGTTTCTAGTAATGACGAGGTTTCAGCTGTAGATACTGTATCCGATGTCTCAGGTAATGAAACTGGGATAGGACTTTCTACTCCCAGGCGTTTGTCCGCTGGCTCTCCTCAACAGGTAAAACTAAAAAGTGAGCCCTTATCCTCTACTGCGTTATCTGAAAGTGAAGAATCAGGGGCTCCTGAAATCAAATCTTGGGACAAACCCAAAAAGTCTGATGAAATGGATGAAAAGGTTGGGCAAAATGTTCAGAAAGTATCAAGTCTTGGTACACCATCAAGGAAGAATAAGCTGATGCAAGGAGAAGACCTAGGAGATGGTGTGCGAAGGCAAGGAAGGACCGGGCGTGCTATCTCCACAACTAGGTCTCTCACGCCCATTGGCATTGAGAAGCTTGGACCAGCAAAACAGATTCGAAGTGCAAGGGCTGGTTCTGACAAGAATGAAAGGTCAAACATTTGATCTCCGACTTTATTCTGTCCCAGGATCTTTTGTACATCTTGATTGCTACTGGGTTATTTTCTTATGATGCTTATAGTTGATTTTTAATTCTTTGCTCAGTAAGCCTGGTCGTCCACCAACCAGAAAACTATCAGACCGCAAAGCATATACGCGTCAAAAGAATACTGCTGT